ACCTCAGGAATCTCTTCGAGGCTTGGCAGGGCCAAAGGGACGCTTCTCGAGGTGAGGCAGGGCACCCAAGGACCCTTTCCAGTAGCCACAGGGATTTTGGGATTCCTATCAGTATTCAAGAGGAGTCAGGCATCGTCACCTTTTGAAGCAATGAACTCCGCGTGCCTCTCGAGGTGTCAGCGGGATGTGAGGCATTCCGTCAAAATGAGGCAGGGACCTAGGGCTTTCTCTAAGGTCTCCACAGGGGATTCAGACATCCCTTCATGTTGTGAGATGAAAGACGAGCCTGTATTCAAGCCACTGCAAGGAAATCCGGCCTCCTTTCAAGTTAGGGCTTCTCGCTGTATATTCCCCTTGAGGCAGCAACCTCGGGGTCCCTCCCACATACCTATTGCTGAGAGAAGCCTCCTCCTGAGGTGCTTCTGGGAAGTTGGCATACGTCTTGAGCCTAAGCCAGGGAATCAGCTCGCATCTCGAGACGACTTGGGGTACACGAAGCATTCCTCGAGTTGCTGTGCTGAAGTTGGTGTTCCTCTAGACTTGGGACAGTGTTCTCGGGGCATCTCTGGAGTTGCCTGAAGGAAGTCGAGCCACCGGTCATGTTGAATGGGGAACGGGGAATGGCTCTGGAGTCAATGCAGGGGAATCGGGCCTCATCTCGAGTTGATTTGGGGCACATGGAGCTGCTTTGCGTTGCTGGGGTGACCTCAGGGTCCGTCTAGACTGGTGACAGTGTTCTTGGGGACTGTCTCGAGATCCATTAAGCAAGTCGAAGCTCCTGACTTGTTTGAATGGGGTCACGGAATAGCTCTGCATGCACTGCAGGGGAATGGGGCCTCATCTCGCCTCTAGGGGGAAGTCTCATGGTTTTTCTCGAGTTGCGGCGGGGACCTGGGGTATGTTCTCGACTTACGGCGGGGATGGCCCTTCAAAACACGAGTTTCTTCAGTGACGTCAGGACTCCTGTCTAGTAACGAGGGACACCTCAGGAATCTCTTCGAGGCTTGGCAGGGCCAAAGGGACGCTTCTCGAGGTGAGGCAGGGCACCCAAGGACCCTTTCCAGTAGCCACAGGGATTTTGGGATTCCTATCAGTATTCAAGAGGAGTCAGGCATCGTCACCTTTTGAAGCAATGAACTCCGCGTGCCTCTCGAGGTGTCAGCGGGATGTGAGGCATTCCGTCAAAATGAGGCAGGGACCTAGGGCTTTCTCTAAGGTCTCCACAGGGGATTCAGACATCCCTTCATGTTGTGAGATGAAAGACGAGCCTGTATTCAAGCCACTGCAAGGAAATCCGGCCTCCTTTCAAGTTAGGGCTTCTCGCTGTATATTCCCCTTGAGGCAGCAAACTCGGGGTCCCTCCCACATACCTATTGCTGAGAGAAGCCTCCTCCTGAGGTGCTTCTGGGAAGTTGGCATACGTCTTGAGCCTAAGCCAGGGAATCAGCTCGCATCTCGAGACGACTTGGGGTACACGGAGCATTCCTCGAGTTGCTGTGCTGAAGTTGGTGTTCCTCTAGACTTGGGACAGTGTTCTCGGGGCATCTCTGGAGTTGCCTGAAGGAAGTAGAGCCACCGGTCGTGTTGAATGGGGAACGGGGAATGGCTCTGGAGTCAATGCAGGGGAATCGGGCCTCATCTCGAGCTGATTTGGCGCACATGGAGCTCCTTGGCGTTGCCGGGGTGACCTCAGGGTCCGTCTAGACTGGTGACAGTGTTCTTGGGGACTGTCTCGAGATCCATTAAGCAAGTCGAAGCTCCTGACTTGTTTGAATGGGGTCACGGAATAGCTCTGCATGCACTGCAGGGGAATGGGGCCTCATCTCGCCTCTAGGGGGAAGTCTCATGGTTTTTCTCGAGTTGCGGCGGGGACCTGGGGTATGTTCTCGACTTACGGCGGGGATGGCCCTTCAAAACACGAGTTTCTTCAGTGACGTCAGGACTCCTGTCTAGTAACGAGGGACACCTCAGGAATCTCTTCGAGGCTTGGCAGGGCCAAAGGGACGCTTCTCGAGGTGAGGCAGGGCACCCAAGTACCCTTTCCCGTAGCCACAGGGATTTTGGGATTCCTATCAGTATTCAAGAGGAGTCAGGCATCGTCACCTTTTGAAGCAATGAACTGCGCGTGCCTCTCGAGGTGTCAGCGGGATGTGAGGCATTCCGTCAAAATGAGGCAGGGACCTAGGGCTTTCTCTAAGGTCTCCACAGGGGATTCAGACATCCCTTCATGTTGTGAGATGAAAGACGAGCCTGTATTCAAGCCACTGCAAGGAAATCCGGCCTCCTTTCAAGTTAGGGCTTCTCGCTGTATATTCCCCTTGAGGCAGCAAACTCGGGGTCCCTCCCACATACCTATTGCTGAGAGAAGCCTCCTCCTGAGGTGCTTCTGGGAAGTTGGCATACGTCTTGAGCCTAAGCCAGGGAATCAGCTCGCATCTCGAGACGACTTGGGGTACACGGAGCATTCCTCGAGTTGCTGTGCTGAAGTTGGTGTTCCTCTAGACTTGGGACAGTGTTCTCGGGGCATCTCTGGAGTTGCCTGAAGGAAGTCGAGCCACCGGTCGTGTTGAATGGGGAACGGGGAATGGCTCTGGGGTCAATGCAGGGGAATCGGGCCTCATCTCGAGTTGATTTGGGGCACATGGAGCTGCTTTGCGTTGCTGGGGTGACCTCAGGGTCCGTCTAGACTGGTGACAGTGTTCTTGGGGACTGTCTCGAGATCCATTAAGCAAGTCGAAGCTCCTGACTTGTTTGAATGGGGTCACGGAATAGCTCTGCATGCACTGCAGGGGAATGGGGCCTCATCTCGCCTCTAGGGGGAAGTCTCATGGTTTTTCTCGAGTTGCGGCGGGGACCTGGGGTATGTTCTCAACTTACGGCGGGGATGGCCCTTCAAAACACGAGTTTCTTCAGTGACGTCAGGACTCCTGTCTCGTAACGAGGGACACCTCAGGAATCTCTTCGAGGCTTGGCAGGGCCAAAGGGACGCTTCTCGAGGTGAGGCAGGGCACCCAAGGACCCTTTCCAGTAGCCACAGGGATTTTGGGATTCCTATCAGTATTCAAGAGGAGTCAGGCATCGTCACCTTTTGAAGCAATGAACTCCGCGTGCCTCTCGAGGTGTCAGCGGGATGTGAGGCATTCCGTCAAAATGAGGCAGGGACCTAGGGCTTTCTCTAAGGTCTCCACAGGGGATTCAGACATCCCTTCATGTTGTGAGATGAAAGACGAGCCTGTATTCAAGCCACTGCAAGGAAATCCGGCCTCCTTTCAAGTTAGGGCTTCTCGCTGTATATTCCCCTTGAGGCAGCAAACTCGGGGTCCCTCCCACATACCTATTGCTGAGAGAAGCCTCCTCCTGAGGTGCTTCTGGGAAGTTGGCATACGTCTTGAGCCTAAGCCAGGGAATCAGCTCGCATCTCGAGACGACTTGGGGTACACGGAGCATTCCTCGAGTTGCTGTGCTGAAGTTGGTGTTCCTCTAGACTTGGGGCAGTGTTCTCGGGGCATCTCTGGAGTTGCCTGAAGGAAGTCGAGCCACCGGTCGTGTTGAATGGGGAACGGGGAATGGCTCTGGAGTCAATGCAGGGGAATCGGGCCTCATCTCGAGCTGATTTGGGGCACATGGAGCTGCTTTGCGTTGCCGGCGTGACCTCAGGGTCCGTCTAGACTGGTGACAGTGTTCTTGGGGACTGTCTCGAGATCCATTAAGCAAGTCGAAGCTCCTGACTTGTTTGAATGGGGTCACGGAATAGCTCTGCATGCACTGCAGGGGAATGGGGCCTCATCTCGCCTCTAGGGGGAAGTCTCATGGTTTTTCTCGAGTTGCGGCGGGGACCTGGGGTATGTTCTCGACTTACGGCGGGGATGGCCCTTCAAAACACGAGTTTCTTCAGTGACGTCAGGACTCCTGTCTAGTAACGAGGGACACCTCAGGAATCTCTTCGAGGCTTGGCAGGGCAAAAGGGACGCTTCTCGAGGTGAGGCAGGGCACCCAAGGACCCTTTCCAGTAGCCACAGGGATTTTGGGATTCCTATCAGTATTCAAGAGGAGTCAGGCATCGTCACCTTTTGAAGCAATGAACTCCGCGTGCCTCTCGAGGTGTCAGCGGGATGTGAGGCATTCCGTCAAAATGAGGCAGGGACCTAGGGCTTTCTCTAAGGTCTCCACAGGGGATTCAGACATCCCTTCATGTTGTGAGATGAAAGACGAGCCTGTATTCAAGCCACTGCAAGGAAATCCGGCCTCCTTTCAAGTTAGGGCTTCTCGCTGTATATTCCCCTTGAGGCAGCAAACTCGGGGTCCCTCCCACATACCTATTGCTGAGAGAAGCCTCCTCCTGAGGTGCTTCTGGGAAGTTGGCATACGTCTTGAGCCTAAGCCAGGGAATCAGCTCGCATCTCGAGACGACTTGGGGTACACGGAGCATTCCTCGAGTTGCTGTGCTGAAGGTGGTGTTCCTCTAGACTTGGGACAGTGTTCTCGGGGCATCTCTGGACTTGCCTGAAGGAAGTCGAGCCACCGGTCGTGTTGAATGGGGAACGGGGAATGGCTCTGGAGTCAATGCAGGGGAATCGGGCCTCATCTCGAGTTGATTTGGGGCACATGGAGCTGCTTTGCGTTGCTGGGGTGACCTCAGGGTCCGTCTAGACTGGTGACAGTGTTCTTGGGGACTGTCTCGAGATCCATTAAGCAAGTCGAAGCTCCTGACTTGTTTGAATGGGGTCACGGAATAGCTCTGCATGCACTGCAGGGGAATGGGGCCTCATCTCGCCTCTAGGGGGAAGTCTCATGGTTTTTCTCGAGTTGCGGCGGGGACCTGGGGTATGTTCTCGACTTACGGCGGGGATGGCCCTTCAAAACACGAGTTTCTTCAGTGACGTCAGGACTCCTGTCTAGTAACGAGGGACACCTCAGGAATCTCTTCGAGGCTTGGCAGGGCAAAAGGGACGCTTCTCGAGGTGAGGCAGGGCACCCAAGGACCCTTTCCCGTAGCCACAGGGATTTTGGGATTCCTATCAGTATTCAAGAGGAGTCAGGCATCGTCACCTTTTGAAGCAATGAACTCCGCGTGCCTCTCGAGGTGTCAGCGGGATGTGAGGCATTCCGTCAAAATGAGGCAGGGACCTAGGGCTTTCTCTAAGGTCTCCACAGGGGATTCAGACATCCCTTCATGTTGTGAGATGAAAGACGAGCCTGTATTCAAGCCACTGCAAGGAAATCCGGCCTCCTTTCAAGTTAGGGCTTCTCGCTGTATATTCCCCTTGAGGCAGCAAACTCGGGGTCCCTCCCACATACCTATTGCTGAGAGAAGCCTCCTCCTGAGGTGCTTCTGGGAAGTTGGCATACGTCTTGAGCCTAAGCCAGGGAATCAGCTCGCATCTCGAGACGACTTGGGGTACACGGAGCATTCCTCGAGTTGCTGTGCTGAAGTTGGTGTTCCTCTAGACTTGGGACAGTGTTCTCGGGGCATCTCTGGAGTTGCCTGAAGGAAGTCGAGCCACCGGTCGTGTTGAATGGGGAACGGGGAATGGCTCTGGAGTCAATGCAGGGGAATCGGGCCTCATCTCGAGTTGATTTGGGGCACATGGAGCTGCTTTGCGTTGCTGGGGTGACCTCAGGGTCCGTCTAGACTGGTGACAGTGTTCTTGGGGACTGTCTCGAGATCCATTAAGCAAGTCGAAGCTCCTGACTTGTTTGAATGGGATCACGGAATAGCTCTGCATGCACTGCAGGGGAATGGGGCCTCATCTCGCCTCTAGGGGGAAGTCTCATGGTTTTTCTCGAGTTGCGGCGGGGACCTGGGGTATGTTCTCGACTTACGGCGGGGATGGCCCTTCAAAACACGAGTTTCTTCAGTGACGTCAGGACTCCTGTCTAGTAACGAGGGACACCTCAGGAATCTCTTCGAGGCTTGGCAGGGCAAAAGGGACGCTTCTCGAGGTGAGGCAGGGCACCCAAGGACCCTTTCCAGTAGCCACAGGGATTTTGGGATTCCTATCAGTATTCAAGAGGAGTCAGGCATCGTCACCTTTTGAAGCAATGAACTCCGCGTGCCTCTCGAGGTGTCAGCGGGATGTGAGGCATTCCGTCAAAATGAGGCAGGGACCTAGGGCTTTCTCTAAGGTCTCCACAGGGGATTCAGACATCCCTTCATGTTGTGAGATGAAAGACGAGCCTGTATTCAAGCCACTGCAAGGAAATCCGGCCTCCTTTCAAGTTAGGGCTTCTCGCTGTATATTCCCCTTGAGGCAGCAAACTCGGGGTCCCTCCCACATACCTATTGCTGAGAGAAGCCTCCTCCTGAGGTGCTTCTGGGAAGTTGGCATACGTCTTGAGCCTAAGCCAGGGAATCAGCTCGCATCTCGAGACGACTTGGGGTACACGGAGCATTCCTCGAGTTGCTGTGCTGAAGTTGGTGTTCCTCTAGACTTGGGACAGTGTTCTCGGGGCATCTCTGGAGTTGCCTGAAGGAAGTCGAGCCACCGGTCGTGTTGAATGGGGAACGGGGAATGGCTCTGGAGTCAATGCAGGGGAATCGGGCCTCATCTCGAGTTGATTTGGGGCACATGGAGCTGCTTTGCGTTGCTGGGGTGACCTCAGGGTCCGTCTAGACTGGTGACAGTGTTCTTGGGGACTGTCTCGAGATCCATTAAGCAAGTCGAAGCTCCTGACTTGTTTGAATGGGATCACGGAATAGCTCTGCATGCACTGCAGGGGAATGGGGCCTCATCTCGCCTCTAGGGGGAAGTCTCATGGTTTTTCTGGAGTTGCGGCGGGGACCTGGGGTATGTTCTCGACTTACGGCGGGGATGGCCCTTCAAAACACGAGTTTCTTCAGTGACGTCAGGACTCCTGTCTAGTAACGAGGGACACCTCAGGAATCTCTTCGAGGCTTGGCAGGGCCAAAGGGACGCTTCTCGAGGTGAGGCAGGGCACCCAAGGACCCTTTCCCGTAGCCACAGGGATTTTGGGATTCCTATCAATATTCAAGAGGAGTCAGGCATCGTCACCTTTTGAAGCAATGAACTCCGCGTGCCTCTCGAGGTGTCAGCGGGATGTGAGGCATTCCGCAAAATGAGGCAGGGACCTAGGGCTTTCTCTAAGGTCTCCACAGGGGATTCAGACATCCCTTCATGTTGTGAGATGAAAGACGAGCCTGTATTCAAGCCACTGCAAGGAAATCCGGCCTCCTTTCAAGTTAGGGCTTCTCGCTGTATATTCCCCTTGAGGCAGCAAACTCGGGGTCCCTCCCACATACCTATTGCTGAGAGAAGCCTCCTCCTGAGGTGCTTCTGGGAAGTTGGCATACGTCTTGAGCCTAAGCCAGGGAATCAGCTCGCATCTCGAGACGACTTGGGGTACACGGAGCATTCCTCGAGTTGCTGTGCTGAAGTTGGTGTTCCTCTAGACTTGGGACAGTGTTCTCGGGGCATCTCTGGACTTGCCTGAAGGAAGTCGAGCCACCGGTCGTGTTGAATGGGGAACGGGGAATGGCTCTGGAGTCAATGCAGGGGAATCGGGCCTCATCTCGAGTTGATTTGGGGCACATGGAGCTGCTTTGCGTTGCTGGGGTGACCTCAGGGTCCGTCTAGACTGGTGACAGTGTTCTTGGGGACTGTCTCGAGATCCATTAAGCAAGTCGAAGCTCCTGACTTGTTTGAATGGGATCACGGAATAGCTCTGCATGCACTGCAGGGGAATGGGGCCTCATCTCGCCTCTAGGGGGAAGTCTCATGGTTTTTCTCGAGTTGCGGCGGGGACCTGGGGCATGTTCTCGACTTACGGCGGGGATGGCCCTTCAAAACACGAGTTTCTTCAGTGACGTCAGGACTCCTGTCTAGTAACGAGGGACACCTCAGGAATCTCTTCGAGGCTTGGCAGGGCCAAAGGGACGCTTCTCGAGGTGAGGCAGGGCACCCAAGGACCCTTTCCCGTACCCACAGGGATTTTGGGATTCCTATCAGTATTCAAGAGGAGTCAGGCATCGTCACCTTTTGAAGCAATGAACTCCGCGTGCCTCTCGAGGTGTCAGCGGGATGTGAGGCATTCCGTCAAAATGAGGCAGGGACCTAGGGCTTTCTCTAAGGTCTCCACAGGGGATTCAGACATCCCTTCATGTTGTGAGATGAAAGACGAGCCTGTATTCAAGCCACTGCAAGGAAATCCGGCCTCCTTTCAAGTTAGGGCTTCTCGCTGTATATTCCCCTTGAGGCAGCAAACTCGGGGTCCCTCCCACATACCTATTGCTGAGAGAAGCCTCCTCCTGAGGTGCTTCTGGGAAGTTGGCATATGTCTTGAGCCTAAGCCAGGGAATCAGCTCGCATCTCGAGACGACTTGGGGTACACGGAGCATTCCTCGAGTTGCTGTGCTGAAGTTGGTGTTCCTCTAGACTTGGGACAATGTTCTCGGGGCATCTCTGGAGTTGCCTGAAGGAAGTCGAGCCACCGGTCGTGTTGAATGGGGAACGGGGAATGGCTCTGGAGTCAATGCAGGGGAATCGGGCCTCATCTCGAGCTGATTTGGCGCACATGGAGCTCCTTTGCGTTGCCGGGGTGACCTCAGGGTCCGTCTAGACTGGTGACAGTGTTCTTGGGGACTGTCTCGAGATCCATTAAGCAAGTCGAAGCTCCTGACTTGTTTGAATGGGGTCACGGAATAGCTCTGCATGCACTGCAGGGGAATGGGGCCTCATCTCGCCTCTAGGGGGAAGTCTCATGGTTTTTCTGGAGTTGCGGCGGGGACCTGGGGTATGTTCTCGACTTACGGCGGGGATGGCCCTTCAAAACACGAGTTTCTTCAGTGACGTCAGGACTCCTGTCTAGTAACGAGGGACACCTCAGGAATCTCTTCGAGGCTTGGCAGGGCCAAAGGGACGCTTCTCGAGGTGAGGCAGGGCACCCAAGGACCCTTTCCCGTAGCCACAGGGATTTTGGGATTCCTATCAATATTCAAGAGGAGTCAGGCATCGTCACCTTTTGAAGCAATGAACTCCGCGTGCCTCTCGAGGTGTCAGCGGGATGTGAGGCATTCCGTCAAAATGAGGCAGGGACCTAGGGCTTTCTCTAAGGTCTCCACAGGGGATTCAGACATCCCTTCATGTTGTGAGATGAAAGACGAGCCTGTATTCAAGCCACTGCAAGGAAATCCGGCCTCCTTTCAAGTTAGGGCTTCTCGCTGTATATTCCCCTTGAGGCAGCAAACTCGGGGTCCCTCCCACATACCTATTGCTGAGAGAAGCCTCCTCCTGAGGTGCTTCTGGGAAGTTGGCATACGTCTTGAGCCTAAGCCAGGGAATCAGCTCGCATCTCGAGACGACTTGGGGTACACGGAGCATTCCTCGAGTTGCTGTGCTGAAGTTGGTGTTCCTCTAGACTTGGGACAGTGTTCTCGGGGCATCTCTGGACTTGCGTGAAGGAAGTCGAGCCACCGGTCGTGTTGAATGGGGAACGGGGAATGGCTCTGGAGTCAATGCAGGGGAATCGGGCCTCATCTCGAGTTGATTTGGGGCACATGGAGCTGCTTTGCGTTGCTGGGGTGACCTCAGGGTCCGTCTAGACTGGTGACAGTGTTCTTGGGGACTGTCTCGAGATCCATTAAGCAAGTCGAAGCTCCTGACTTGTTTGAATGGGATCACGGAATAGCTCTGCATGCACTGCAGGGGAATGGGGCCTCATCTCGCCTCTAGGGGGAAGTCTCATGGTTTTTCTCGAGTTGCGGCGGGGACCTGGGGCATGTTCTCGACTTACGGCGGGGATGGCCCTTCAAAACACGAGTTTCTTCAGTGACGTCAGGACTCCTGTCTAGTAACGAGGGACACCTCAGGAATCTCTTCGAGGCTTGGCAGGGCCAAAGGGACGCTTCTCGAGGTGAGGCAGGGCACCCAAGGACCCTTTCCCGTAGCCACAGGGATTTTGGGATTCCTATCAGTATTCAAGAGGAGTCAGGCATCGTCACCTTTTGAAGCAATGAACTCCGCGTGCCTCTCGAGGTGTCAGCGGGATGTGAGGCATTCCGTCAAAATGAGGCAGGGACCTAGGGCTTTCTCTAAGGTCTCCACAGGGGATTCAGACATCCCTTCATGTTGTGAGATGAAAGACGAGCCTGTATTCAAGCCACTGCAAGGAAATCCGGCCTCCTTTCAAGTTAGGGCTTCTCGCTGTATATTCCCCTTGAGGCAGCAAACTCGGGGTCCCTCCCACATACCTATTGCTGAGAGAAGCCTCCTCCTGAGGTGCTTCTGGGAAGTTGGCATATGTCTTGAGCCTAAGCCAGGGAATCAGCTCGCATCTCGAGACGACTTGGGGTACACGGAGCATTCCTCGAGTTGCTGTGCTGAAGTTGGTGTTCCTCTAGACTTGGGACAATGTTCTCGGGGCATCTCTGGAGTTGCCTGAAGGAAGTCGAGCCACCGGTCGTGTTGAATGGGGAACGGGGAATGGCTCTGGAGTCAATGCAGGGGAATCGGGCCTCATCTCGAGCTGATTTGGCGCACATGGAGCTCCTTTGCGTTGCCGGGGTGACCTCAGGGTCCGTCTAGACTGGTGACAGTGTTCTTGGGGACTGTCTCGAGATCCATTAAGCAAGTCGAAGCTCCTGACTTGTTTGAATGGGGTCACGGAATAGCTCTGCATGCACTGCAGGGGAATGGGGCCTCATCTCGCCTCTAGGGGGAAGTCTCATGGTTTTTCTCGAGTTGCGGCGGGGACCTGGGGTATGTTCTCGACTTACGGCGGGGATGGCCCTTCAAAACACGAGTTTCTTCAGTGACGTCAGGACTCCTGTCTCGTAACGAGGGACACCTCAGGAATCTCTTCGAGGCTTGGCAGGGCCAAAGGGACGCTTCTCGAGGTGAGGCAGGGCACCCAAGGACCCTTTCCCGTAGCCACAGGGATTTTAGGATTCCTATCAGTATTCAAGAGGAGTCAGGCATCGTCACCTTTAGAAGCAATGAACTCCGCGTGCCTCTCGAGGTGTCAGCGGGATGTGAGGCATTCCGTCAAAATGAGGCAGGGACCTAGGGCTTTCTCTAAGGTCTCCACAGGGGATTCAGACATCCCTTCATGTTGTGAGATGAAAGACGAGCCTGTATTCAAGCCACTGCAAGGAAATCCGGCCTCCTTTCAAGTTAGGGCTTCTCGCTGTATATTCCCCTTGAGGCAGCAAACTCGGGGTCCCTCCCACATACCTATTGCTGAGAGAAGCCTCCTCCTGAGGTGCTTCTGGGAAGTTGGCATACGTCTTGAGCCTAAGCCAGGGAATCAGCTCGCATCTCGAGACGACTTGGGGTACACGGAGCATTCCTCGAGTTGCTGTGCTGAAGTTGGTGTTCCTCTAGACTTGGGACAGTGTTCTCGGGGCATCTCTCGAGTTGCCTGAAGGAAGTCGAGCCACCGGTCGTGTTGAATGGGGAACGGGGAATGGCTCTGGAGTCAATGCAGGGGAATCGGGCCTCATCTCGAGCTGATTTGGCGCACATGGAGCTCCTTTGCGTTGCCGGGGTGACCTCAGGGTCCGTCTAGACTGGTGACAGTGTTCTTGGGGACTGTCTCGAGATCCATTAAGCAAGTCGAAGCTCCTGACTTGTTTGAATGGGGTCACGGAATAGCTCTGCATGCACTGCAGGGGAATGGGGCCTCATCTCGCCTCTAGGGGGAAGTCTCATGGTTTTTCTCGAGTTGCGGCGGGGACCTGGGGTATGTTCTCGACTTACGGCGGGGATGGCCCTTCAAAACACGAGTTTCTTCAGTGACGTCAGGACTCCTGTCTAGTAACGAGGGACACCTCAGGAATCTCTTCGAGGCTTGGCAGGGCAAAAGGGACGCTTCTCGAGGTGAGGCAGGGCACCCAAGGACCCTTTCCAGTAGCCACAGGGATTTTGGGATTCCTATCAGTATTCAAGAGGAGTCAGGCATCGTCACCTTTTGAAGCAATGAACTCCGCGTGCCTCTCGAGGTGTCAGCGGGATGTGAGGCATTCCGTCAAAATGAGGCAGGGACCTAGGGCTTTCTCTAAGGTCTCCACAGGGGATTCAGACATCCCTTCATGTTTTGAGATGAAAGACGAGCCTGTATTCAAGCCACTGCAAGGAAATCCGGCCTCCTTTCAAGTTAGGGCTTCTCGCTGTATATTCCCCTTGAGGCAGCAAACTCGGGGTCCCTCCCACATACCTATTGCTGAGGGAAGCCTCCTCCTGAGGTGCTTCTGGGAAGTTGGCATACGTCTTGAGCCTAAGCCAGGGAATCAGCTCGCATCTCGAGACGACTTGGGGTACACGGAGCATTCCTCGAGTTGCTGTGCTGAAGTTGGTGTTCCTCTAGACTTGGGACAGTGTTCTCGGGGCATCTCTGGAGTTGCCTGAAGGAAGTCGAGCCACCGGTCGTGTTGAATGGGGAACGGGGAATGGCTCTGGAGTCAATGCAGGGGAATCGGGCCTCATCTCGAGTTGATTTGGGGCACATGGAGCTGCTTTGCGTTGCTGGGGTGACCTCAGGGTCCGTCTAGACTGGTGACAGTGTTCTTGGGGACTGTCTCGAGATCCATTAAGCAAGTCGAAGCTCCTGACTTGTTTGAATGGGGTCACGGAATAGCTCTGCATGCACTGCAGGGGAATGGGGCCTCATCTCGCCTCTAGGGGGAAGTCTCATGGTTTTTCTCGAGTTGCGGCGGGGACCTGGGGTATGTTCTCGACTTACGGCGGGGATGGCCCTTCAAAACACGAGTTTCTTCAGTGACGTCAGGACTCCTGTCTCGTAATGAGGGACACCTCAGGAATCTCTTCGAGGCTTGGCAGGGCAAAAGGGACGCTTCTCGAGGTGAGGCAGGGCACCCAAGGACCCTTTCCAGTAGCCACAGGGATTTTGGGATTCCTATCAGTATTCAAGAGGAGTCAGGCATCGTCACCTTTTGAAGCAATGAACTCCGCGTGCCTCTCGAGGTGTCAGCGGGATGTGAGGCATTCCGTCAAAATGAGGCAGGGACCTAGGGCTTTCTCTAAGGTCTCCACAGGGGATTCAGACATCCCTTCATGTTGTGAGATGAAAGACGAGCCTGTATTCAAGCCACTGCAAGGAAATCCGGCCTCCTTTCAAGTTAGGGCTTCTCGCTGTATATTCCCCTTGAGGCAGCAAACTCGGGGTCCCTCCCACATACCTATTGCTGAGAGAAGCCTCCTCCTGAGGTGCTTCTGGGAAGTTGGCATACGTCTTGAGCCTAAGCCAGGGAATCAGCTCGCATCTCGAGACGACTTGGGGTACACGGAGCATTCCTCGAGTTGCTGTGCTGAAGTTGGTGTTCCTCTAGACTTGGGACAGTGTTCTCGGGGCATCTCTGGACTTGCCTGAAGGAAGTCGAGCCACCGGTCGTGTTGAATGGGGAACGGGGAATGGCTCTGGAGTCAATGCAGGGGAATCGGGCCTCATCTCGAGTTGATTTGGGGCACATGGAGCTGCTTTGCGTTGCTGGGGTGACCTCAGGGTCCGTCTAGACTGGTGACAGTGTTCTTGGGGACTGTCTCGAGATCCATTAAGCAAGTCGAAGCTCCTGACTTGTTTGAATGGGATCACGGAATAGCTCTGCATGCACTGCAGGGGAATGGGGCCTCATCTCGCCTCTAGGGGGAAGTCTCATGGTTTTTCTCGAGTTGCGGCGGGGACCTGGGGCATGTTCTCGACTTACGGCGGGGATGGCCCTTCAAAACACGAGTTTCTTCAGTGACGTCAGGACTCCTGTCTAGTAACGAGGGACACCTCAGGAATCTCTTCGAGGCTTGGCAGGGCCAAAGGGACGCTTCTCGAGGTGAGGCAGGGCACCCAAGGACCCTTTCCCGTACCCACAGGGATTTTGGGATTCCTATCAGTATTCAAGAGGAGTCAGGCATCGTCACCTTTTGAAGCAATGAACTCCGCGTGCCTCTCGAGGTGTCAGCGGGATGTGAGGCATTCCGTCAAAATGAGGCAGGGACCTAGGGCTTTCTCTAAGGTCTCCACAGGGGATTCAGACATCCCTTCATGTTGTGAGATGAAAGACGAGCCTGTATTCAAGCCACTGCAAGGAAATCCGGCCTCCTTTCAAGTTAGGGCTTCTCGCTGTATATTCCCCTTGAGGCAGCAAACTCGGGGTCCCTCCCACATACCTATTGCTGAGAGAAGCCTCCTCCTGAGGTGCTTCTGGGAAGTTGGCATATGTCTTGAGCCTAAGCCAGGGAATCAGCTCGCATCTCGAGACGACTTGGGGTACACGGAGCATTCCTCGAGTTGCTGTGCTGAAGTTGGTGTTCCTCTAGACTTGGGACAATGTTCTCGGGGCATCTCTGGAGTTGCCTGAAGGAAGTCGAGCCACCGGTCGTGTTGAATGGGGAACGGGGAATGGCTCTGGAGTCAATGCAGGGGAATCGGGCCTCATCTCGAGCTGATTTGGCGCACATGGAGCTCCTTTGCGTTGCCGGGGTGACCTCAGGGTCCGTCTAGACTGGTGACAGTGTTCTTGGGGACTGTCTCGAGATCCATTAAGCAAGTCGAAGCTCCTGACTTGTTTGAATGGGGTCACGGAATAGCTCTGCATGCACTGCAGGGGAATGGGGCCTCATCTCGCCTCTAGGGGGAAGTCTCATGGTTTTTCTGGAGTTGCGGCGGGGACCTGGGGTATGTTCTCGACTTACGGCGGGGATGGCCCTTCAAAACACGAGTTTCTTCAGTGACGTCAGGACTCCTGTCTAGTAACGAGGGACACCTCAGGAATCTCTTCGAGGCTTGGCAGGGCCAAAGGGACGCTTCTCGAGGTGAGGCAGGGCACCCAAGGACCCTTTCCCGTAGCCACAGGGATTTTGGGATTCCTATCAATATTCAAGAGGAGTCAGGCATCGTCACCTTTTGAAGCAATGAACTCCGCGTGCCTCTCGAGGTGTCAGCGGGATGTGAGGCATTCCGTCAAAATGAGGCAGGGACCTAGGGCTTTCTCTAAGGTCTCCACAGGGGATTCAGACATCCCTTCATGTTGTGAGATGAAAGACGAGCCTGTATTCAAGCCACTGCAAGGAAATCCGGCCTCCTTTCAAGTTAGGGCTTCTCGCTGTATATTCCCCTTGAGGCAGCAAACTCGGGGTCCCTCCCACATACCTATTGCTGAGAGAAGCCTCCTCCTGAGGTGCTTCTGGGAAGTTGGCATACGTCTTGAGCCTAAGCCAGGGAATCAGCTCGCATCTCGAGACGACTTGGGGTACACGGAGCATTCCTCGAGTTGCTGTGCTGAAGTTGGTGTTCCTCTAGACTTGGGACAGTGTTCTCGGGGCATCTCTGGACTTGCGTGAAGGAAGTCGAGCCACCGGTCGTGTTGAATGGGGAACGGGGAATGGCTCTGGAGTCAATGCAGGGGAATCGGGCCTCATCTCGAGTTGATTTGGGGCACATGGAGCTGCTTTGCGTTGCTGGGGTGACCTCAGGGTCCGTCTAGACTGGTGACAGTGTTCTTGGGGACTGTCTCGAGATCCATTAAGCAAGTCGAAGCTCCTGACTTGTTTGAATGGGATCACGGAATAGCTCTGCATGCACTGCAGGGGAATGGGGCCTCATCTCGCCTCTAGGGGGAAGTCTCATGGTTTTTCTCGAGTTGCGGCGGGGACCTGGGGCATGTTCTCGACTTACGGCGGGGATGGCCCTTCAAAACACGAGTTTCTTCAGTGACGTCAGGACTCCTGTCTAGTAACGAGGGACACCTCAGGAATCTCTTCGAGGCTTGGCAGGGCCAAAGGGACGCTTCTCGAGGTGAGGCAGGGCACCCAAGGACCCTTTCCCGTAGCCACAGGGATTTTGGGATTCCTATCAGTATTCAAGAGGAGTCAGGCATCGTCACCTTTTGAAGCAATGAACTCCGCGTGCCTCTCGAGGTGTCAGCGGGATGTGAGGCATTCCGTCAAAATGAGGCAGGGACCTAGGGCTTTCTCTAAGGTCTCCACAGGGGATTCAGACATCCCTTCATGTTGTGAGATGAAAGACGAGCCTGTATTCAAGCCACTGCAAGGAAATCCGGCCTCCTTTCAAGTTAGGGCTTCTCGCTGTATATTCCCCTTGAGGCAGCAAACTCGGGGTCCCTCCCACATACCTATTGCTGAGAGAAGCCTCCTCCTGAGGTGCTTCTGGGAAGTTGGCATATGTCTTGAGCCTAAGCCAGGGAATCAGCTCGCATCTCGAGACGACTTGGGGTACACGGAGCATTCCTCGAGTTGCTGTGCTGAAGTTGGTGTTCCTCTAGACTTGGGACAATGTTCTCGGGGCATCTCTGGAGTTGCCTGAAGGAAGTCGAGCCACCGGTCGTGTTGAATGGGGAACGGGGAATGGCTCTGGAGTCAATGCAGGGGAATCGGGCCTCATCTCGAGCTGATTTGGCGCACATGGAGCTCCTTTGCGTTGCCGGGGTGACCTCAGGGTCCGTCTAGACTGGTGACAGTGTTCTTGGGGACTGTCTCGAGATCCATTAAGCAAGTCGAAGCTCCTGACTTGTTTGAATGGGGTCACGGAATAGCTCTGCATGCACTGCAGGGGAATGGGGCCTCATCTCGCCTCTAGGGGGAAGTCTCATGGTTTTTCTCGAGTTGCGGCGGGGACCTGGGGTATGTTCTCGACTTACGGCGGGGATGGCCCTTCAAAACACGAGTTTCTTCAGTGACGTCAGGACTCCTGTCTCGTAACGAGGGACACCTCAGGAATCTCTTCGAGGCTTGGCAGGGCCAAAGGGACGCTTCTCGAGGTGAGGCAGGGCACCCAAGGACCCTTTCCCGTAGCCACAGGGATTTTAGGATTCCTATCAGTATTCAAGAGGAGTCAGGCATCGTCACCTTTAGAAGCAATGAACTCCGCGTGCCTCTCGAGGTGTCAGCGGGATGTGAGGCATTCCGTCAAAATGAGGCAGGGACCTAGGGCTTTCTCTAAGGTCTCCACAGGGGATTCAGACATCCCTTCATGTTGTGAGATGAAAGACGAGCCTGTATTCAAGCCACTGCAAGGAAATCCGGCCTCCTTTCAAGTTAGGGCTTCTCGCTGTATATTCCCCTTGAGGCAGCAAACTCGGGGTCCCTCCCACATACCTATTGCTGAGAGAAGCCTCCTCCTGAGGTGCTTCTGGGAAGTTGGCATACGTCTTGAGCCTAAGCCAGGGAATCAGCTCGCATCTCGAGACGACTTGGGGTACACGGAGCATTCCTCGAGTTGCTGTGCTGAAGTTGGTGTTCCTCTAGACTTGGGACAGTGTTCTCGGGGCATCTCTCGAGTTGCCTGAAGGAAGTCGAGCCACCGGTCGTGTTGAATGGGGAACGGGGAATGGCTCTGGAGTCAATGCAGGGGAATCGGGCCTCATCTCGAGCTGATTTGGCGCACATGGAGCTCCTTTGCGTTGCCGGGGTGACCTCAGGGTCCGTCTAGACTGGTGACAGTGTTCTTGGGGACTGTCTCGAGATCCATTAAGCAAGTCGAAGCTCCTGACTTGTTTGAATGGGGTCACGGAATAGCTCTGCATGCACTGCAGGGGAATGGGGCCTCATCTCGCCTCTAGGGGGAAGTCTCATGGTTTTTCTCGAGTTGCGGCGGGGACCTGGGGTATGTTCTCGACTTACGGCGGGGATGGCCCTTCAAAACACGAGTTTCTTCAGTGACGTCAGGACTCCTGTCTAGTAACGAGGGACACCTCAGGAATCTCTTCGAGGCTTGGCAGGGCAAAAGGGACGCTTCTCGAGGTGAGGCAGGGCACCCAAGGACCCTTTCCAGTAGCCACAGGGATTTTGGGATTCCTATCAGTATTCAAGAGGAGTCAGGCATCGTCACCTTTTGAAGCAATGAACTCCGCGTGCCTCTCGAGGTGTCAGCGGGATGTGAGGCATTCCGTCAAAATGAGGCAGGGACCTAGGGCTTTCTCTAAGGTCTCCACAGGGGATTCAGACATCCCTTCATGTTTTGAGATGAAAGACGAGCCTGTATTCAAGCCACTGCAAGGAAATCCGGCCTCCTTTCAAGTTAGGGCTTCTCGCTGTATATTCCCCTTGAGGCAGCAAACTCGGGGTCCCTCCCACATACCTATTGCTGAGGGAAGCCTCCTCCTGAGGTGCTTCTGGGAAGTTGGCATACGTCTTGAGCCTAAGCCAGGGAATCAGCTCGCATCTCGAGACGACTTGGGGTACACGGAGCATTCCTCGAGTTGCTGTGCTGAAGTTGGTGTTCCTCTAGACTTGGGACAGTGTTCTCGGGGCATCTCTGGAGTTGCCTGAAGGAAGTCGAGCCACCGGTCGTGTTGAATGGGGAACGGGGAATGGCTCTGGAGTCAATGCAGGGGAATCGGGCCTCATCTCGAGTTGATTTGGGGCACATGGAGCTGCTTTGCGTTGCTGGGGTGACCTCAGGGTCCGTCTAGACTGGTGACAGTGTTCTTGGGGACTGTCTCGAGATCCATTAAGCAAGTCGAAGCTCCTGACTTGTTTGAATGGGGTCACGGAATAGCTCTGCATGCACTGCAGGGGAATGGGGCCTCATCTCGCCTCTAGGGGGAAGTCTCATGGTTTTTCTCGAGTTGCGGCGGGGACCTGGGGTATGTTCTCGACTTACGGCGGGGATGGCCCTTCAAAACACGAGTTTCTTCAGTGACGTCAGGACTCCTGTCTCGTAATGAGGGACACCTCAGGAATCTCTTCGAGGCTTGGCAGGGCAAAAGGGACGCTTCTCGAGGTGAGGCAGGGCACCCAAGGACCCTTTCCAGTAGCCACAGGGATTTTGGGATTCCTATCAGTATTCAAGAGGAGTCAGGCATCGTCACCTTTTGAAGCAATGAACTCCGCGTGCCTCTCGAGGTGTCAGCGGGATGTGAGGCATTCCGTCAAAATGAGGCAGGGACCTAGGGCTTTCTCTAAGGTCTCCACAGGGGATTCAGACATCCCTTCATGTTGTGAGATGAAAGACGAGCCTGTATTCAAGCCACTGCAAGGAAATCCGGCCTCCTTTCAAGTTAGGGCTTCTCGCTGTATATTCCCCTTGAGGCAGCAAACTCGGGGTCCCTCCCACATACCTATTGCTGAGAGAAGCCTCCTCCTGAGGTGCTTCTGGGAAGTTGGCATACGTCTTGAGCCTAAGCCAGGGAATCAGCTCGCATCTCGAGACGACTTGGGGTACACGGAGCATTCCTCGAGTTGCTGTGCTGAAGTTGGTGTTCCTCTAGACTTGGGACAGTGTTCTCGGGGCATCTCTGGAGTTGCCTGAAGGAAGTCGAGCCACCGGTCGTGTTGAATGGGGAACGGGGAATGGCTCTGGAGTCAATGCAGGGGAATCGGGCCTCATCTCGAGTTGATTTGGGGCACATGGAGCTGCTTTGCGTTGCTGGGGTGACCTCAGGGTCCGTCTAGACTGGTGACAGTGTTCTTGGGGACTGTCTCGAGATCCATTAAGCAAGTCGAAGCTCCTGACTTGTTTGAATGGGATCACGGAATAGCTCTGCATGCACTGCAGGGGAATGGGGCCTCATCTCGCCTCTAGGGGGAAGTCTCATGGTTTTTCTGGAGTTGCGGCGGGGACCTGGGGTATGTTCTCGACTTACGGCGGGGATGGCCCTTCAAAACACGAGTTTCTTCAGTGACGTCAGGACTCCTGTCTAGTAACGAGGGACACCTCAGGAATCTCTTCGAGGCTTGGCAGGGCCAAAGGGACGCTTCTCGAGGTGAGGCAGGGCACCCAAGGACCCTTTCCCGTAGCCACAGGGATTTTGGGATTCCTATCAGTATTCAAGAGGAGTCAGGCATCGTCACCTTTTGAAGCAATGAACTCCGCGTGCCTCTCGAGGTGTCAGCGGGATGTGAGGCATTCCGTCAAAATGAGGCAGGGACCTAGGGCTTTCTCTAAGGTCTCCACAGGGGATTCAGACATCCCTTCATGTTGTGAGATGAAAGACGAGCCTGTATTCAAGCCACTGCAAGGAAATCCGGCCTCCTTTCAAGTTAGGGCTTCTCGCTGTATATTCCCCTTGAGGCAGCAAACTCGGGGTCCCTCCCACATACCTATTGCTGAGAGAAGCCTCCTCCTGAGGTGCTTCTGGGAAGTTGGCATACGTCTTGAGCCTAAGCCAGGGAATCAGCTCGCATCTCGAGACGACTTGGGGTACACGGAGCATTCCTCGAGTTGCTGTGCTGAAGTTGGTGTTCCTCTAGACTTGGGACAGTGTTCTCGGGGCATCTCTGGACTTGCCTGAAGGAAGTCGAGCCACCGGTCGTGTTGAATGGGGAACGGGGAATGGCTCTGGAGTCAATGCAGGGGAATCGGGCCTCATCTCGAGTTGATTTGGGGCACATGGAGCTGCTTTGCGTTGCTGGGGTGACCTCAGGGTCCGTCTAGACTGGTGACAGTGTTCTTGGGGACTGTCTCGAGATCCATTAAGCAAGTCGAAGCTCCTGACTTGTTTGAATGGGATCACGGAATAGCTCTGCATGCACTGCAGGGGAATGGGGCCTCATCTCGCCTCTAGGGGGAAGTCTCATGGTTTTTCTCGAGTTGCGGCGGGGACCTGGGGCATGTTCTCGACTTACGGCGGGGATGGCCCTTCAAAACACGAGTTTCTTCAGTGACGTCAGGACTCCTGTCTAGTAACGAGGGACACCTCAGGAATCTCTTCGAGGCTTGGCAGGGCCAAAGGGACGCTTCTCGAGGTGAGGCAGGGCACCCAAGGACCCTTTCCCGTAGCCACAGGGATTTTGGGATTCCTATCAGTATTCAAGAGGAGTCAGGCATCGTCACCTTTTGAAGCAATGAACTCCGCGTGCCTCTCGAGGTGTCAGCGGGATGTGAGGCATTCCGTCAAAATGAGGCAGGGACCTAGGGCTTTCTCTAAGGTCTCCACAGGGGATTCAGACATCCCTTCATGTTGTGAGATGAAAGACGAGCCTGTATTCAAGCCACTGCAAGGAAATCCGGCCTCCTTTCAAGTTAGGGCTTCTCGCTGTATATTCCCCTTGAGGCAGCAAACTCGGGGTCCCTCCCACATACCTATTGCTGAGAGAAGCCTCCTCCTGAGGTGCTTCTGGGAAGTTGGCATACGTCTTGAGCCTAAGCCAGGGAATCAGCTCGCATCTCGAGACGACTTGGGGTACACGGAGCATTCCTCGAGTTGCTGTGCTGAAGTTGGTGTTCCTCTAGACTTGGGGCAGTGTTCTCGGGGCATCTCTGGAGTTGCCTGAAGGAAGTCGAGCCACCGGTCGTGTTGAATGGGGAACGGGGAATGGCTCTGGAGTCAATGCAGGGGAATCGGGCCTCATCTCGAGCTGATTTGGCGCACATGGAGCTCCTTTGCGTTGCCGGGGTGACCTCAGGGTCCGTCTAGACTGGTGACAGTGTTCTTGGGGACTGTCTCGAGATCCATTAAGCAAGTCGAAGCTCCTGACTTGTTTGAATGGGGTCACGGAATAGCTCTGCATGCACTGCAGGGGAATGGGGCCTCATCTCGCCTCTAGGGGGAAGTCTCATGGTTTTTCTCGAGTTGCGGCGGGGACCTGGGGTATGTTCTCGACTTACGGCGGGGATGGCCCTTCAAAACACGAGTTTCTTCAGTGACGTCAGGACTCCTGTCTAGTAACGAGGGACACCTCAGGAATCTCTTCGAGGCTTGGCAGGGCAAAAGGGACGCTTCTCGAGGTGAGGCAGGGCACCCAAGGACCCTTTCCAGTAGCCACAGGGATTTTGGGATTCCTATCAGTATTCAAGAGGAGTCAGGCATCGTCACCTTTTGAAGCAATGAACTCCGCGTGCCTCTCGAGGTGTCAGCGGGATGTGAGGCATTCCGTCAAAATGAGGCAGGGACCTAGGGCTTTCTCTAAGGTCTCCACAGGGGATTCAGACATCCCTTCATGTTGTGAGATGAAAGACGAGCCTGTATTCAAGCCACTGCAAGGAAATCCGGCCTCCTTTCAAGTTAGGGCTTCTCGCTGTATATTCCCCTTGAGGCAGCAAACTCGGGGTCCCTCCCACATACCTATTGCTGAGAGAAGCCTCCTCCTGAGGTGCTTCTGGGAAGTTGGCATATGTCTTGAGCCTAAGCCAGGGAATCAGCTCGCATCTCGAGACGACTTGGGGTACACGGAGCATTCCTCGAGTTGCTGTGCTGAAGTTGGTGTACCTCTAGACTTGGGACAGTGTTCTCGGGGCATCTCTGGAGTTGCCTGAAGGAAGTCGAGCCACCGGTCGTGTTGAATGGGGAACGGGGAATGGCTCTGGAGTCAATGCAGGGGAATCGGGCCTCATCTCGAGCTGATTTGGCGCACATGGAGCTCCTTTGCGTTGCCGGGGTGACCTCAGGGTCCGTCTAGACTGGTGACAGTGTTCTTGGGGACTGTCTCGAGATCCATTAAGCAAGTCGAAGCTCCTGACTTGTTTGAATGGGGTCACGGAATAGCTCTGCATGCACTGCAGGGGAATGGGGCCTCATCTCGCCTCTAGGGGGAAGTCTCATGGTTTTTCTCGAGTTGCGGCGGGGACCTGGGGTATGTTCTCGACTTACGGCGGGGATGGCCCTTCAAAACACGAGTTTCTTCAGTGACGTCAGGACTCCTGTCTAGTAACGAGGGACACCTCAGGAATCTCTTCGAGGCTTGGCAGGGCCAAAGGGACGCTTCTCGAGGTGAGGCAGGGCACCCAAGGACCCTTTCCAGTAGCCACAGGGATTTTGGGATTCCTATCAGTATTCAAGAGGAGTCAGGCATCGTCACCTTTTGAAGCAATGAACTCCGCGTGCCTCTCGAGGTGTCAGCGGGATGTGAGGCATTCCGTCAAAATGAGGCAGGGACCTAGGGCTTTCTCTAAGGTCTCCACAGGGGATTCAGACATCCCTTCATGTTGTGAGATGAAAGACGAGCCTGTATTCAAGCCACTGCAAGGAAATCCGGCCTCCTTTCAAGTTAGGGCTTCTCGTTGTATATTCCCCTTGAGGCAGCAAACTCGGGGTCCCTCCCACATACCTATTGCTGAGAGAAGCCTCCTCCTGAGGTGCTTCTGGGAAGTTGGCATACGTCTTGAGCCTAAGCCAGGGAATCAGCTCGCATCTCGAGATGATTTGGGGTACACGGAGCATTCCTCGAGTTGCTGTGCTGAAGTTGGTGTTCCTCTAGACTTGGGACAGTGTTCTCGGGGCATCTCTGGAGTTGCCTGAAGGAAGTCGAGCCACCGGTCGTGTTGAATGGGGAACGGGGAATGGCTCTGGAGTCAATGCAGGGGAATCGGGCCTCATCTCGAGTTGATTTGGGGCACATGGAGCTGCTTTGCGTTGCTGGGGTGACCTCAGGGTCCGTCTAGACTGGTGACAGTGTTCTTGGGGACTGTCTCGAGATCCATTAAGCAAGTCGAAGCTCCTGACTTGTTTGAATGGGATCACGGAATAGCTCTGCATGCACTGCAGGGGAATGGGGCCTCATCTCGCCTCTAGGGGGAAGTCTCATGGTTTTTCTGGAGTTGCGGCGGGGACCTGGGGTATGTTCTCGACTTACGGCGGGGATGGTCCTTCAAAACACGAGTTTCTTCAGTGACGTCAGGACTCCTGTCTAGTAACGAGGGACACCTCAGGAATCTCTTCGAGGCTTGGCAGGGCCAAAGGGACGCTTCTCGAGGTGAGGCAGGGCACCCAAGGACCCTTTCCCGTAGCCACAGGGATTTTGGGATTCCTATCAGTATTCAAGAGGAGTCAGGCATCGTCACCTTTTGAAGCAATGAACTCCGCGTGCCTCTCGAGGTGTCAGCGGGATGTGAGGCATTCCGTCAAAATGAGGCAGGGACCTAGGGCTTTCTCTAAGGTCTCCACAGGGGATTCAGACATCCCTTCATGTTGTGAGATGAAAGACGAGCCTGTATTCAAGCCACTGCAAGGAAATCCGGCCTCCTTTCAAGTTAGGGCTTCTCGCTGTATATTCCCCTTGAGGCAGCAAACTCGGGGTCCCTCCCACATACCTATTGCTGAGAGAAGCCTCCTCCTGAGGTGCTTCTGGGAAGTTGGCATACGTCTTGAGCCTAAGCCAGGGAATCAGCTCGCATCTCGAGACGACTTGGGGTACACGGAGCATTCCTCGAGTTGCTGTGCTGAAGTTGGTGTTCCTCTAGACTTGGGACAGTGTTCTCGGGGCATCTCTGGACTTGCCTGAAGGAAGTCGAGCCACCGGTCGTGTTGAATGGGGAACGGGGAATGGCTCTGGAGTCAATGCAGGGGAATCGGGCCTCATCTCGAGTTGATTTGGGGCACATGGAGCTGCTTTGCGTTGCTGGGGTGACCTCAGGGTCCGTCTAGACTGGTGACAGTGTTCTTGGGGACTGTCTCGAGATCCATTAAGCAAGTCGAAGCTCCTGACTTGTTTGAATGGGATCACGGAATAGCTCTGCATGCACTGCAGGGGAATGGGGCCTCATCTCGCCTCTAGGGGGAAGTCTCATGGTTTTTCTCGAGTTGCGGCGGGGACCTGGGGCATGTTCTCGACTTACGGCGGGGATGGCCCTTCAAAACACGAGTTTCTTCAGTGACGTCAGGACTCCTGTCTAGTAACGAGGGACACCTCAGGAATCTCTTCGAGGCTTGGCAGGGCCAAAGGGACGCTTCTCGAGGTGAGGCAGGGCACCCAAGGACCCTTTCCCGTAGCCACAGGGATTTTGGGATTCCTATCAGTATTCAAGAGGAGTCAGGCATCGTCACCTTTTGAAGCAATGAACTCCGCGTGCCTCTCGAGGTGTCAGCGGGATGTGAGGCATTCCGTCAAAATGAGGCAGGGACCTAGGGCTTTCTCTAAGGTCTCCACAGGGGATTCAGACATCCCTTCATGTTGTGAGATGAAAGACGAGCCTGTATTCACGCCACTGCAAGGAAATCCGGCCTCCTTTCAAGTTAGGGCTTCTCGCTGTATATTCCCCTTGAGGCAGCAAACTCGGGGTCCCTCCCACATACCTATTGCTGAGAGAAGCCTCCTCCTGAGGTGCTTCTGGGAAGTTGGCATACGTCTTGAGCCTAAGCCAGGGAATCAGCTCGCATCTCGAGACGACTTGGGGTACACGGAGCATTCCTCGAGTTGCTGTGCTGAAGTTGGTGTTCCTCTAGACTTGGGGCAGTGTTCTCGGGGCATCTCTGGAGTTGCCTGAAGGAAGTCGAGCCACCGGTCGTGTTGAATGGGGAACGGGGAATGGCTCTGGAGTCAATGCAGGGGAATCGGGCCTCATCTCGAGCTGATTTGGCGCACATGGAGCTCCTTTGCGTTGCCGGGGTGACCTCAGGGTCCGTCTAGACTGGTGACAGTGTTCTTGGGGACTGTCTCGAGATCCATTAAGCAAGTCGAAGCTCCTGACTTGTTTGAATGGGGTCACGGAATAGCTCTGCATGCACTGCAGGGGAATGGGGCCTCATCTCGCCTCTAGGGGGAAGTCTCATGGTTTTTCTCAAGTTGCGGCGGGGACCTGGGGTATGTTCTCGACTTACGGCGGGGATGGCCCTTCAAAACACGAGTTTCTTCAGTGACGTCAGGACTCCTGTCTAGTAACGAGGGACACCTCAGGAATCTCTTCGAGGCTTGGCAGGGCCAAAGGGACGCTTCTCGAGGTGAGGCAGGGCACCCAAGGACCCTTTCCCGTAGCCACAGGGATTTTAGGATTCCTATCAGTATTCAAGAGGAGTCAGGCATCGTCACCTTTAGAAGCAATGAACTCCGCGTGCCTCTCGAGGTGTCAGCGGGATGTGAGGCATTCCGTCAAAATGAGGCTGGGACCTAGGGCTTTCTCTAAGGTCTCCACAGGGGATTCAGACATCCCTTCATGTTGTGAGATGAAAGACGAGCCTGTATTCAAGCCACTGCAAGGAAATCCGGCCTCCTTTCAAGTTAGGGCTTCTCGCTGTATATTCCCCTTGAGGCAGCAAACTCGGGGTCCCTCCCACATACCTATTGCTGAGAGAAGCCTCCTCCTGAGGTGCTTCTGGGAAGTTGGCATACGTCTTGAGCCTAAGCCAGGGAATCAGCTCGCATCTCGAGACGACTTGGGGTACACGGAGCATTCCTCGAGTTGCTGTGCTGAAGTTGGTGTTCCTCTAGACTTGGGACAGTGTTCTCGGGGCATCTCTGGAGTTGCCTGAAGGAAGTCGAGCCACCGGTCGTGTTGAATGGGGAACGGGGAATGGCTCTGGAGTCAATGCAGGGGAATCGGGCCTCATCTCGAGCTGATTTGGCGCACATGGAGCTCCTTTGCGTTGCCGGGGTGACCTCAGGGTCCGTCTAGACTGGTGACAGTGTTCTTGGGGACTGTCTCGAGATCCATTAAGCAAGTCGAAGCTCCTGACTTGTTTGAATGGGGTCACGGAATAGCTCTGCATGCACTGCAGGGGAATGGGGCCTCATCTCGCCTCTAGGGGGAAGTCTCATGGTTTTTCTCGAGTTGCGGCGGGGACCTGGGGTATGTTCTCGACTTACGGCGGGGATGGCCCTTCAAAACACGAGTTTCTTCAGTGACGTCAGGACTCCTGTCTAGTAACGAGGGACACCTCAGGAATCTCTTCGAGGCTTGGCAGGGCCAAAGGGACGCTTCTCGAGGTGAGGCAGGGCACCCAAGGACCCTTTCCAGTAGCCACAGGGATTTTGGGATTCCTATCAGTATTCAAGAGGAGTCAGGCATCGTCACCTTTTGAAGCAATGAACTCCGCGTGCCTCTCGAGGTGTCAGCGGGATGTGAGGCATTCCGTCAAAATGAGGCAGGGACCTAGGGCTTTCTCTAAGGTCTCCACAGGGGATTCAGACATCCCTTCATGTTGTGAGATGAAAGACGAGCCTGTATTCAAGCCACTGCAAGGAAATCCGGCCTCCTTTCAAGTTTGGGCTTCTCGTTGTATATTCCCCTTGAGGCAGCAAACTCGGGGTCCCTCCCACATACCTATTGCTGAGAGAAGCCTCCTCCTGAGGTGCTTCTGGGAAGTTGGCATACGTCTTGAGCCTAAGCCAGGGAATCAGCTCGCATCTCGAGATGATTTGGGGTACACGGAGCATTCCTCGAGTTGCTGTGCTGAAGTTGGTGTTCCTCTAGACTTGGGACAGTGTTCTCGGGGCATCTCTGGAGTTGCCTGAAGGAAGTCGAGCCACCGGTCGTGTTGAATGGGGAACGGGGAATGGCTCTGGAGTCAATGCAGGGGAATCGGGCCTCATCTCGAGTTGATTTGGGGCACATGGAGCTGCTTTGCGTTGCTGGGGTGACCTCAGGGTCCGTCTAGACTGGTGACAGTGTTCTTGGGGACTGTCTCGAGATCCATTAAGGAAGTCGAAGCTCCTGACTTGTTTGAATGGGGTCACGGAATAGCTCTGCATGCACTGCAGGGGAATGGGGCCTCATCTCGCCTCTAGGGGGAAGTCTCATGGTTTTTCTCGAGTTGCGGCGGGGACCTGGGGTATGTTCTCGACTTACGGCGGGGATGGCCCTTCAAAACACGAGTTTCTTCAGTGATGTCAGGACTCCTGTCTAGTAACGAGGGACACCTCAGGAATCTCTTCGAGGCTTGGCAGGGCCAAAGGGACGCTTCTCGAGGTGAGGCAGGGCACCCAAGGACCCTTTCCAGTAGCCACAGGGATTTTGGGATTCCTATCAGTATTCAAGAGGAGTCAGGCATCGTCACCTTTTGAAGCAATGAACTCCGCGTGCCTCTCGAGGTGTCAGCGGGATGTGAGGCATTCCGTCAAAATGAGGCAGGGACCTAGGGCTTTCTCTAAGGTCTCCACAGGGGATTCAGACATCCCTTCATGTTGTGAGATGAAAGACGAGCCTGTATTCAAGCCACTGCAAGGAAATCCGGCCTCCTTTCAAGTTAGGGCTTCTCGCTGTATATTCCCCTTGAGGCAGCAAACTCGGGGTCCCTCCCACATACCTATTGCTGAGAGAAGCCTCCTCCTGAGGTGCTTCTGGGAAGTTGGCATACGTCTTGAGCCTAAGCCAGGGAATCAGCTCGCATCTCGAGACGACTTGGGGTACACGGAGCATTCCTCGAGTTGCTGTGCTGAAGTTGGTGTTCCTCTAGACTTGGGACAGTGTTCTCGGGGCATCACTGGACTTGCCTGAAGGAAGTCGAGCCACCGGTCGTGTTGAATGGGGAACGGGGAATGGCTCTGGAGTCAATGCAGGGGAATCGGGCCTCATCTCGAGTTGATTTGGGGCACATGGAGCTGCTTTGCGTTGCTGGGGTGACCTCAGGGTCCGTCTAGACTGGTGACAGTGTTCTTGGGGACTGTCTCGAGATCCATTAAGCAAGTCGAAGCTCCTGACTTGTTTGAATGGGGTCACGGAATAGCTCTGCATGCACTGCAGGGGAATGGGGCCTCATCTCGCCTCTAGGGGGAAGTCTCATGGTTTTTCTCGAGTTGCGGCGGGGACCTGGGGTATGTTCTCGACTTACGGCGGGGATGGCCCTTCAAAACACGAGTTTCTTCAGTGACGTCAGGACTCCTGTCTAGTAACGAGGGACACCTCAGGAATCTCTTCGAGGCTTGGCAGGGCCAAAGGGACGCTTCTCGAGGTGAGGCAGGGCACCCAAGGACCCTTTCCAGTAGCCACAGGGATTTTGGGATTCCTATCAGTATTCAAGAGGAGTCAGGCATCGTCACCTTTTGAAGCAATGAACTCCGCGTGCCTCTCGAGGTGTCAGCGGGATGTGAGGCATTCCGTCAAAATGAGGCAGGGACCTAGGGCTTTCTCTAAGGTCTCCACAGGGGATTCAGACATCCCTTCATGTTGTGAGATGAAAGACGAGCCTGTATTCAAGCCACTGCAAGGAAATCCGGCCTCCTTTCAAGTTAGGGCTTCTCGCTGTATATTCCCCTTGAGGCAGCAAACTCGGGGTCCCTCCCACATACCTATTGCTGAGAGAAGCCTCCTCCTGAGGTGCTTCTGGGAAGTTGGCATACGTCTTGAGCCTAAGCCAGGGAATCAGCTCGCATCTCGAGACGACTTGGGGTACACGGAGCATTCCTCGAGTTGCTGTGCTGAAGTTGGTGTTCCTCTAGACTTGGGACAGTGTTCTCGGGGCATCTCTGGAGTTGCCTGAAGGAAGTCGAGCCACCGGTCGTGTTGAATGGGGAACGGGGAATGGCTCTGGAGTCAATTCAGGGGAATCGGGCCTCATCTCGAGTTGATTTGGGGCACATGGAGCTGCTTTGCGTTGCTGGGGTGACCTCAGGGTCCGTCTAGACTGGTGACAGTGTTCTTGGGGACTGTCTCGAGATCCATTAAGCAAGTCGAAGCTCCTGACTTGTTTGAATGGGGTCACGGAATAGCTCTGCATGCACTGCAGGGGAATGGGGCCTCATCTCGCCTCTAGGGGGAAGTCTCATGGTTTTTCTCGAGTTGCGGCGGGGACCTGGGGTATGTTCTCGAATTACGGCGGGGATGGCCCTTCAAAACACGAGTTTCTTCAGTGACGTCAGGACTCCTGTCTAGTAACGAGGGACACCTCAGGAATCTCTTCGAGGCTTGGCAGGGCCAAAGGGACGCTTCTCAAGGTGAGGCAGGGCACCCAAGGACCCTTTCCAGTAGCCACAGGGATTTTGGGATTCCTATCAGTATTCAAGAGGAGTCAGGCATCGTCACCTTTTGAAGCAATGAACTCCGCGTGCCTCTCGAGGTGTCAGCGGGATGTGAGGCATTCCGTCAAAATGAGGTAGGGACCTAGGGCTTTCTCTAAGGTCTCCACAGGGGATTCAGACATCCCTTCATGTTGTGAGATGAAAGACGAGCCTGTATTCAAGCCACTGCAAGAAAATCCGGCCTCCTTTCAAGTTAGGGCTTCTCGCTGTATATTCCCCTTGAGGCAGCAAACTCGGGGTCCCTCCCACATACCTATTGCTGAGAGAAGCCTCCTCCTGAGGTGCTTCTGGGAAGTTGGCATACGTCTTGAGCCTAAGCCAGGGAATCAGCTCGCATCTCGAGACGACTTGGGGTACACGGAGCATTCCTCGAGTTGCTGTGCTGAAGTTGGTGTTCCTCTAGACTTGGGACAGTGTTCTCGGGGCATCTCTGGAGTTGCCTGAAGGAAGTCGAGCCACCGGTCGTGTTGAATGGGGAACGGGGAATGGCTCTGGAGTCAATGCAGGGGAATCGGGCCTCATCTCGAGTTGATTTGGGGCACATGGAGCTGCTTTGCGTTGCTGGGGTGACCTCAGGGTCCGTCTAGACTGGTGACAGTGTTCTTGGGGACTGTCTCGAGATCCATTAAGCAAGTCGAAGCTCCTGACTTGTTTGAATGGGGTCATGGAATAGCTCTGCATGCACTGCAGGGGAATGGGGCCTCATCTCGCCTCTAGGGGGAAGTCTCATGGTTTTTCTCGAGTTGCGGCGGGGACCTGGGGTATGTTCTCGACTTACGGCGGGGATGGCCCTTCAAAACACGAGTTTCTTCAGTGACGTCAGGACTCCTGTCTAGTAACGAGGGACACCTCAGGAATCTCTTCGAGGCTTGGCAGGGCAAAAGGGACGCTTCTCGAGGTGAGGCAGGGCACCCAAGGACCCTTTCCAGTAGCCACAGGGATTTTGGGATTCCTATCAGTATTCAAGAGGAGTCAGGCATCGTCACCTTTTGAAGCAATGAACTCCGCGTGCCTCTCGAGGTGTCAGCGGGATGTGAGGCATTCCGTCAAAATGAGGCAGGGACCTAGGGCTTTCTCTAAGGTCTCCACAGGGGATTCAGACATCCCTTCATGTTGTGAGATGAAAGACGAGCCTGTATTCAAGCCACTGCAAGGAAATCCGGCCTCCTTTCAAGTTAGGGCTTCTCGCTGTATATTCCCCTTGAGGCAGCAAACTCGGGGTCCCTCCCACATACCTATTGCTGAGAGAAGCCTCCTCCTGAGGTGCTTCTGGGAAGTTGGCATACGTCTTGAGCCTAAGCCAGGGAATCAGCTCGCATCTCGAGACGACTTGGGGTACACGGAGCATTCCTCGAGTTGCTGTGCTGAAGTTGGTGTTCCTCTAGACTTGGGACAGTGTTCTCGGGGCATCTCTGGAGTTGCCTGAAGGAAGTCGAGCCACCGGTCGTGTTGAATGGGGAACGGGGAATGGCTCTGGAGTCAATGCAGGGGAATCGGGCCTCATCTCGAGCTGATTTGGCGCACATGGAGCTCCTTTGCGTTGCCGGGGTGACCTCAGGGTCCGTCTAGACTGGTGACAGTGTTCTTGGGGACTGTCTCGAGATCCATTAAGCAAGTCGAAGCTCCTGACTTGTTTGAATGGGGTCACGGAATAGCTCTGCATGCACTGCAGGGGAATGGGGCCTCATCTCGCCTCTAGGGGGAAGTCTCATGGTTTTTCTCGAGTTGCGGCGGGGACCTGGGGTATGTTCTCGACTTACGGCGGGGATGGCCCTTCAAAACACGAGTTTCTTCAGTGACGTCAGGACTCCTGTCTAGTAACGAGGGACACCTCAGGAATCTCTTCGAGGCTTGGCAGGGCCAAAGGGACGCTTCTCGAGGTGAGGCAGGGCACCCAAGGACCCTTTCCCGTACCCACAGGGATTTTGGGATTCCTATCAGTATTCAAGAGGAGTCAGGCATCGTCACCTTTTGAAGCAATGAACTCCGCGTGCCTCTCGAGGTGTCAGCGGGATGTGAGGCATTCCGTCAAAATGAGGCAGGGACCTAGGGCTTTCTCTAAGGTCTCCACAGGGGATTCAGACATCCCTTCATGTTGTGAGATGAAAGACGAGCCTGTATTCAAGCCACTGCAAGGAAATCCGGCCTCCTTTCAAGTTAGGGCTTCTCGTTGTATATTCCCCTTGAGGCAGCAAACTCGGGGTCCCTCCCACATACCTATTGCTGAGAGAAGCCTCCTCCTGAGGTGCTTCTGGGAAGTTGGCATACGTCTTGAGCCTAAGCCAGGGAATCAGCTCGCATCTCGAGACGACTTGGGGTACACGGAGCATTCCTCGAGTTGCTGTGCTGAAGTTGGTGTTCCTCTAGACTTGGGACAGTGTTCTCGGGGCATCTCTGGAGTTGCCTGAAGGAAGTAGAGCCACCGGTCGTGTTGAATGGGGAACGGGGAATGGCTCTGGAGTCAATGCAGGGGAATCGGGCCTCATCTCGAGCTGATTTGGCGCACATGGAGCTCCTTGGCGTTGCCGGGGTGACCTCAGGGTCCGTCTAGACTGGTGACAGTGTTCTTGGGGACTGTCTCGAGATCCATTAAGCAAGTCGAAGCTCCTGACTTGTTTGAATGGGGTCACGGAATAGCTCTGCATGCACTGCAGGGGAATGGGGCCTCATCTCGCCTCTAGGGGGAAGTCTCATGGTTTTTCTCGAGTTGCGGCGGGGACCTGGGGTATGTTCTCGACTTACGGCGGGGATGGCCCTTCAAAACACGAGTTTCTTCAGTGACGTCAGGACTCCTGTCTAGTAACGAGGGACACCTCAGGAATCTCTTCGAGGCTTGGCAGGGCCAAAGGGACGCTTCTCGAGGTGAGGCAGGGCACCCAAGTACCCTTTCCCGTAGCCACAGGGATTTTGGGATTCCTATCAGTATTCAAGAGGAGTCAGGCATCGTCACCTTTTGAAGCAATGAACTGCGCGTGCCTCTCGAGGTGTCAGCGGGATGTGAGGCATTCCGTCAAAATGAGGCAGGGACCTAGGGCTTTCTCTAAGGTCTCCACAGGGGATTCAGACATCCCTTCATGTTGTGAGATGAAAGACGAGCCTGTATTCAAGCCACTGCAAGGAAATCCGGCCTCCTTTCAAGTTAGGGCTTCTCGCTGTATATTCCCCTTGAGGCAGCAAACTCGGGGTCCCTCCCACATACCTATTGCTGAGAGAAGCCTCCTCCTGAGGTGCTTCTGGGAAGTTGGCATACGTCTTGAGCCTAAGCCAGGGAATCAGCTCGCATCTCGAGACGACTTGGGGTACACGGAGCATTCCTCGAGTTGCTGTGCTGAAGTTGGTGTTCCTCTAGACTTGGGACAGTGTTCTCGGGGCATCTCTGGAGTTGCCTGAAGGAAGTCGAGCCACCGGTCGTGTTGAATGGGGAACGGGGAATGGCTCTGGGGTCAATGCAGGGGAATCGGGCCTCATCTCGAGTTGATTTGGGGCACATGGAGCTGCTTTGCGTTGCTGGGGTGACCTCAGGGTCCGTCTAGACTGGTGACAGTGTTCTTGGGGACTGTCTCGAGATCCATTAAGCAAGTCGAAGCTCCTGACTTGTTTGAATGGGGTCACGGAATAGCTCTGCATGCACTGCAGGGGAATGGGGCCTCATCTCGCCTCTAGGGGGAAGTCTCATGGTTTTTCTCGAGTTGCGGCGGGGACCTGGGGTATGTTCTCAACTTACGGCGGGGATGGCCCTTCAAAACACGAGTTTCTTCAGTGACGTCAGGACTCCTGTCTCGTAACGAGGGACACCTCAGGAATCTCTTCGAGGCTTGGCAGGGCCAAAGGGACGCTTCTCGAGGTGAGGCAGGGCACCCAAGGACCCTTTCCAGTAGCCACAGGGATTTTGGGATTCCTATCAGTATTCAAGAGGAGTCAGGCATCGTCACCTTTTGAAGCAATGAACTCCGCGTGCCTCTCGAGGTGTCAGCGGGATGTGAGGCATTCCGTCAAAATGAGGCAGGGACCTAGGGCTTTCTCTAAGGTCTCCACAGGGGATTCAGACATCCCTTCATGTTGTGAGATGAAAGACGAGCCTGTATTCAAGCCACTGCAAGGAAATCCGGCCTCCTTTCAAGTTAGGGCTTCTCGCTGTATATTCCCCTTGAGGCAGCAAACTCGGGGTCCCTCCCACATACCTATTGCTGAGAGAAGCCTCCTCCTGAGGTGCTTCTGGGAAGTTGGCATACGTCTTGAGCCTAAGCCAGGGAATCAGCTCGCATCTCGAGACGACTTGGGGTACACGGAGCATTCCTCGAGTTGCTGTGCTGAAGTTGGTGTTCCTCTAGACTTGGGGCAGTGTTCTCGGGGCATCTCTGGAGTTGCCTGAAGGAAGTCGAGCCACCGGTCGTGTTGAATGGGGAACGGGGAATGGCTCTGGAGTCAATGCAGGGGAATCGGGCCTCATCTCGAGCTGATTTGGGGCACATGGAGCTGCTTTGCGTTGCCGGCGTGACCTCAGGGTCCGTCTAGACTGGTGACAGTGTTCTTGGGGACTGTCTCGAGATCCATTAAGCAAGTCGAAGCTCCTGACTTGTTTGAATGGGGTCACGGAATAGCTCTGCATGCACTGCAGGGGAATGGGGCCTCATCTCGCCTCTAGGGGGAAGTCTCATGGTTTTTCTCGAGTTGCGGCGGGGACCTGGGGTATGTTCTCGACTTACGGCGGGGATGGCCCTTCAAAACACGAGTTTCTTCAGTGACGTCAGGACTCCTGTCTAGTAACGAGGGACACCTCAGGAATCTCTTCGAGGCTTGGCAGGGCAAAAGGGACGCTTCTCGAGGTGAGGCAGGGCACCCAAGGACCCTTTCCAGTAGCCACAGGGATTTTGGGATTCCTATCAGTATTCAAGAGGAGTCAGGCATCGTCACCTTTTGAAGCAATGAACTCCGCGTGCCTCTCGAGGTGTCAGCGGGATGTGAGGCATTCCGTCAAAATGAGGCAGGGACCTAGGGCTTTCTCTAAGGTCTCCACAGGGGATTCAGACATCCCTTCATGTTGTGAGATGAAAGACGAGCCTGTATTCAAGCCACTGCAAGGAAATCCGGCCTCCTTTCAAGTTAGGGCTTCTCGCTGTATATTCCCCTTGAGGCAGCAAACTCGGGGTCCCTCCCACATACCTATTGCTGAGAGAAGCCTCCTCCTGAGGTGCTTCTGGGAAGTTGGCATACGTCTTGAGCCTAAGCCAGGGAATCAGCTCGCATCTCGAGACGACTTGGGGTACACGGAGCATTCCTCGAGTTGCTGTGCTGAAGGTGGTGTTCCTCTAGACTTGGGACAGTGTTCTCGGGGCATCTCTGGACTTGCCTGAAGGAAGTCGAGCCACCGGTCGTGTTGAATGGGGAACGGGGAATGGCTCTGGAGTCAATGCAGGGGAATCGGGCCTCATCTCGAGTTGATTTGGGGCACATGGAGCTGCTTTGCGTTGCTGGGGTGACCTCAGGGTCCGTCTAGACTGGTGACAGTGTTCTTGGGGACTGTCTCGAGATCCATTAAGCAAGTCGAAGCTCCTGACTTGTTTGAATGGGGTCACGGAATAGCTCTGCATGCACTGCAGGGGAATGGGGCCTCATCTCGCCTCTAGGGGGAAGTCTCATGGTTTTTCTCGAGTTGCGGCGGGGACCTGGGGTATGTTCTCGACTTACGGCGGGGATGGCCCTTCAAAACACGAGTTTCTTCAGTGACGTCAGGACTCCTGTCTAGTAACGAGGGACACCTCAGGAATCTCTTCGAGGCTTGGCAGGGCAAAAGGGACGCTTCTCGAGGTGAGGCAGGGCACCCAAGGACCCTTTCCCGTAGCCACAGGGATTTTGGGATTCCTATCAGTATTCAAGAGGAGTCAGGCATCGTCACCTTTTGAAGCAATGAACTCCGCGTGCCTCTCGAGGTGTCAGCGGGATGTGAGGCATTCCGTCAAAATGAGGCAGGGACCTAGGGCTTTCTCTAAGGTCTCCACAGGGGATTCAGACATCCCTTCATGTTGTGAGATGAAAGACGAGCCTGTATTCAAGCCACTGCAAGGAAATCCGGCCTCCTTTCAAGTTAGGGCTTCTCGCTGTATATTCCCCTTGAGGCAGCAAACTCGGGGTCCCTCCCACATACCTATTGCTGAGAGAAGCCTCCTCCTGAGGTGCTTCTGGGAAGTTGGCATACGTCTTGAGCCTAAGCCAGGGAATCAGCTCGCATCTCGAGACGACTTGGGGTACACGGAGCATTCCTCGAGTTGCTGTGCTGAAGTTGGTGTTCCTCTAGACTTGGGACAGTGTTCTCGGGGCATCTCTGGAGTTGCCTGAAGGAAGTCGAGCCACCGGTCGTGTTGAATGGGGAACGGGGAATGGCTCTGGAGTCAATGCAGGGGAATCGGGCCTCATCTCGAGTTGATTTGGGGCACATGGAGCTGCTTTGCGTTGCTGGGGTGACCTCAGGGTCCGTCTAGACTGGTGACAGTGTTCTTGGGGACTGTCTCGAGATCCATTAAGCAAGTCGAAGCTCCTGACTTGTTTGAATGGGATCACGGAATAGCTCTGCATGCACTGCAGGGGAATGGGGCCTCATCTCGCCTCTAGGGGGAAGTCTCATGGTTTTTCTCGAGTTGCGGCGGGGACCTGGGGTATGTTCTCGACTTACGGCGGGGATGGCCCTTCAAAACACGAGTTTCTTCAGTGACGTCAGGACTCCTGTCTAGTAACGAGGGACACCTCAGGAATCTCTTCGAGGCTTGGCAGGGCAAAAGGGACGCTTCTCGAGGTGAGGCAGGGCACCCAAGGACCCTTTCCAGTAGCCACAGGGATTTTGGGATTCCTATCAGTATTCAAGAGGAGTCAGGCATCGTCACCTTTTGAAGCAATGAACTCCGCGTGCCTCTCGAGGTGTCAGCGGGATGTGAGGCATTCCGTCAAAATGAGGCAGGGACCTAGGGCTTTCTCTAAGGTCTCCACAGGGGATTCAGACATCCCTTCATGTTGTGAGATGAAAGACGAGCCTGTATTCAAGCCACTGCAAGGAAATCCGGCCTCCTTTCAAGTTAGGGCTTCTCGCTGTATATTCCCCTTGAGGCAGCAAACTCGGGGTCCCTCCCACATACCTATTGCTGAGAGAAGCCTCCTCCTGAGGTGCTTCTGGGAAGTTGGCATACGTCTTGAGCCTAAGCCAGGGAATCAGCTCGCATCTCGAGACGACTTGGGGTACACGGAGCATTCCTCGAGTTGCTGTGCTGAAGTTGGTGTTCCTCTAGACTTGGGACAGTGTTCTCGGGGCATCTCTGGAGTTGCCTGAAGGAAGTCGAGCCACCGGTCGTGTTGAATGGGGAACGGGGAATGGCTCTGGAGTCAATGCAGGGGAATCGGGCCTCATCTCGAGTTGATTTGGGGCACATGGAGCTGCTTTGCGTTGCTGGGGTGACCTCAGGGTCCGTCTAGACTGGTGACAGTGTTCTTGGGGACTGTCTCGAGATCCATTAAGCAAGTCGAAGCTCCTGACTTGTTTGAATGGGATCACGGAATAGCTCTGCATGCACTGCAGGGGAATGGGGCCTCATCTCGCCTCTAGGGGGAAGTCTCATGGTTTTTCTGGAGTTGCGGCGGGGACCTGGGGTATGTTCTCGACTTACGGCGGGGATGGCCCTTCAAAACACGAGTTTCTTCAGTGACGTCAGGACTCCTGTCTAGTAACGAGGGACACCTCAGGAATCTCTTCGAGGCTTGGCAGGGCCAAAGGGACGCTTCTCGAGGTGAGGCAGGGCACCCAAGGACCCTTTCCCGTAGCCACAGGGATTTTGGGATTCCTATCAATATTCAAGAGGAGTCAGGCATCGTCACCTTTTGAAGCAATGAACTCCGCGTGCCTCTCGAGGTGTCAGCGGGATGTGAGGCATTCCGTCAAAATGAGGCAGGGACCTAGGGCTTTCTCTAAGGTCTCCACAGGGGATTCAGACATCCCTTCATGTTGTGAGATGAAAGACGAGCCTGTATTCAAGCCACTGCAAGGAAATCCGGCCTCCTTTCAAGTTAGGGCTTCTCGCTGTATATTCCCCTTGAGGCAGCAAACTCGGGGTCCCTCCCACATACCTATTGCTGAGAGAAGCCTCCTCCTGAGGTGCTTCTGGGAAGTTGGCATACGTCTTGAGCCTAAGCCAGGGAATCAGCTCGCATCTCGAGACGACTTGGGGTACACGGAGCATTCCTCGAGTTGCTGTGCTGAAGTTGGTGTTCCTCTAGACTTGGGACAGTGTTCTCGGGGCATCTCTGGACTTGCCTGAAGGAAGTCGAGCCACCGGTCGTGTTGAATGGGGAACGGGGAATGGCTCTGGAGTCAATGCAGGGGAATCGGGCCTCATCTCGAGTTGATTTGGGGCACATGGAGCTGCTTTGCGTTGCTGGGGTGACCTCAGGGTCCGTCTAGACTGGTGACAGTGTTCTTGGGGACTGTCTCGAGATCCATTAAGCAAGTCGAAGCTCCTGACTTGTTTGAATGGGATCACGGAATAGCTCTGCATGCACTGCAGGGGAATGGGGCCTCATCTCGCCTCTAGGGGGAAGTCTCATGGTTTTTCTCGAGTTGCGGCGGGGACCTGGGGCATGTTCTCGACTTACGGCGGGGATGGCCCTTCAAAACACGAGTTTCTTCAGTGACGTCAGGACTCCTGTCTAGTAACGAGGGACACCTCAGGAATCTCTTCGAGGCTTGGCAGGGCCAAAGGGACGCTTCTCGAGGTGAGGCAGGGCACCCAAGGACCCTTTCCCGTACCCACAGGGATTTTGGGATTCCTATCAGTATTCAAGAGGAGTCAGGCATCGTCACCTTTTGAAGCAATGAACTCCGCGTGCCTCTCGAGGTGTCAGCGGGATGTGAGGCATTCCGTCAAAATGAGGCAGGGACCTAGGGCTTTCTCTAAGGTCTCCACAGGGGATTCAGACATCCCTTCATGTTGTGAGATGAAAGACGAGCCTGTATTCAAGCCACTGCAAGGAAATCCGGCCTCCTTTCAAGTTAGGGCTTCTCGCTGTATATTCCCCTTGAGGCAGCAAACTCGGGGTCCCTCCCACATACCTATTGCTGAGAGAAGCCTCCTCCTGAGGTGCTTCTGGGAAGTTGGCATATGTCTTGAGCCTAAGCCAGGGAATCAGCTCGCATCTCGAGACGACTTGGGGTACACGGAGCATTCCTCGAGTTGCTGTGCTGAAGTTGGTGTTCCTCTAGACTTGGGACAATGTTCTCGGGGCATCTCTGGAGTTGCCTGAAGGAAGTCGAGCCACCGGTCGTGTTGAATGGGGAACGGGGAATGGCTCTGGAGTCAATGCAGGGGAATCGGGCCTCATCTCGAGCTGATTTGGCGCACATGGAGCTCCTTTGCGTTGCCGGGGTGACCTCAGGGTCCGTCTAGACTGGTGACAGTGTTCTTGGGGACTGTCTCGAGATCCATTAAGCAAGTCGAAGCTCCTGACTTGTTTGAATGGGGTCACGGAATAGCTCTGCATGCACTGCAGGGGAATGGGGCCTCATCTCGCCTCTAGGGGGAAGTCTCATGGTTTTTCTGGAGTTGCGGCGGGGACCTGGGGTATGTTCTCGACTTACGGCGGGGATGGCCCTTCAAAACACGAGTTTCTTCAGTGACGTCAGGACTCCTGTCTAGTAACGAGGGACACCTCAGGAATCTCTTCGAGGCTTGGCAGGGCCAAAGGGACGCTTCTCGAGGTGAGGCAGGGCACCCAAGGACCCTTTCCCGTAGCCACAGGGATTTTGGGATTCCTATCAATATTCAAGAGGAGTCAGGCATCGTCACCTTTTGAAGCAATGAACTCCGCGTGCCTCTCGAGGTGTCAGCGGGATGTGAGGCATTCCGTCAAAATGAGGCAGGGACCTAGGGCTTTCTCTAAGGTCTCCACAGGGGATTCAGACATCCCTTCATGTTGTGAGATGAAAGACGAGCCTGTATTCAAGCCACTGCAAGGAAATCCGGCCTCCTTTCAAGTTAGGGCTTCTCGCTGTATATTCCCCTTGAGGCAGCAAACTCGGGGTCCCTCCCACATACCTATTGCTGAGAGAAGCCTCCTCCTGAGGTGCTTCTGGGAAGTTGGCATACGTCTTGAGCCTAAGCCAGGGAATCAGCTCGCATCTCGAGACGACTTGGGGTACACGGAGCATTCCTCGAGTTGCTGTGCTGAAGTTGGTGTTCCTCTAGACTTGGGACAGTGTTCTCGGGGCATCTCTGGACTTGCGTGAAGGAAGTCGAGCCACCGGTCGTGTTGAATGGGGAACGGGGAATGGCTCTGGAGTCAATGCAGGGGAATCGGGCCTCATCTCGAGTTGATTTGGGGCACATGGAGCTGCTTTGCGTTGCTGGGGTGACCTCAGGGTCCGTCTAGACTGGTGACAGTGTTCTTGGGGACTGTCTCGAGATCCATTAAGCAAGTCGAAGCTCCTGACTTGTTTGAATGGGATCACGGAATAGCTCTGCATGCACTGCAGGGGAATGGGGCCTCATCTCGCCTCTAGGGGGAAGTCTCATGGTTTTTCTCGAGTTGCGGCGGGGACCTGGGGCATGTTCTCGACTTACGGCGGGGATGGCCCTTCAAAACACGAGTTTCTTCAGTGACGTCAGGACTCCTGTCTAGTAACGAGGGACACCTCAGGAATCTCTTCGAGGCTTGGCAGGGCCAAAGGGACGCTTCTCGAGGTGAGGCAGGGCACCCAAGGACCCTTTCCCGTAGCCACAGGGATTTTGGGATTCCTATCAGTATTCAAGAGGAGTCAGGCATCGTCACCTTTTGAAGCAATGAACTCCGCGTGCCTCTCGAGGTGTCAGCGGGATGTGAGGCATTCCGTCAAAATGAGGCAGGGACCTAGGGCTTTCTCTAAGGTCTCCACAGGGGATTCAGACATCCCTTCATGTTGTGAGATGAAAGACGAGCCTGTATTCAAGCCACTGCAAGGAAATCCGGCCTCCTTTCAAGTTAGGGCTTCTCGCTGTATATTCCCCTTGAGGCAGCAAACTCGGGGTCCCTCCCACATACCTATTGCTGAGAGAAGCCTCCTCCTGAGGTGCTTCTGGGAAGTTGGCATATGTCTTGAGCCTAAGCCAGGGAATCAGCTCGCATCTCGAGACGACTTGGGGTACACGGAGCATTCCTCGAGTTGCTGTGCTGAAGTTGGTGTTCCTCTAGACTTGGGACAATGTTCTCGGGGCATCTCTGGAGTTGCCTGAAGGAAGTCGAGCCACCGGTCGTGTTGAATGGGGAACGGGGAATGGCTCTGGAGTCAATGCAGGGGAATCGGGCCTCATCTCGAGCTGATTTGGCGCACATGGAGCTCCTTTGCGTTGCCGGGGTGACCTCAGGGTCCGTCTAGACTGGTGACAGTGTTCTTGGGGACTGTCTCGAGATCCATTAAGCAAGTCGAAGCTCCTGACTTGTTTGAATGGGGTCACGGAATAGCTCTGCATGCACTGCAGGGGAATGGGGCCTCATCTCGCCTCTAGGGGGAAGTCTCATGGTTTTTCTCGAGTTGCGGCGGGGACCTGGGGTATGTTCTCGACTTACGGCGGGGATGGCCCTTCAAAACACGAGTTTCTTCAGTGACGTCAGGACTCCTGTCTCGTAACGAGGGACACCTCAGGAATCTCTTCGAGGCTTGGCAGGGCCAAAGGGACGCTTCTCGAGGTGAGGCAGGGCACCCAAGGACCCTTTCCCGTAGCCACAGGGATTTTAGGATTCCTATCAGTATTCAAGAGGAGTCAGGCATCGTCACCTTTAGAAGCAATGAACTCCGCGTGCCTCTCGAGGTGTCAGCGGGATGTGAGGCATTCCGTCAAAATGAGGCAGGGACCTAGGGCTTTCTCTAAGGTCTCCACAGGGGATTCAGACATCCCTTCATGTTGTGAGATGAAAGACGAGCCTGTATTCAAGCCACTGCAAGGAAATCCGGCCTCCTTTCAAGTTAGGGCTTCTCGCTGTATATTCCCCTTGAGGCAGCAAACTCGGGGTCCCTCCCACATACCTATTGCTGAGAGAAGCCTCCTCCTGAGGTGCTTCTGGGAAGTTGGCATACGTCTTGAGCCTAAGCCAGGGAATCAGCTCGCATCTCGAGACGACTTGGGGTACACGGAGCATTCCTCGAGTTGCTGTGCTGAAGTTGGTGTTCCTCTAGACTTGGGACAGTGTTCTCGGGGCATCTCTCGAGTTGCCTGAAGGAAGTCGAGCCACCGGTCGTGTTGAATGGGGAACGGGGAATGGCTCTGGAGTCAATGCAGGGGAATCGGGCCTCATCTCGAGCTGATTTGGCGCACATGGAGCTCCTTTGCGTTGCCGGGGTGACCTCAGGGTCCGTCTAGACTGGTGACAGTGTTCTTGGGGACTGTCTCGAGATCCATTAAGCAAGTCGAAGCTCCTGACTTGTTTGAATGGGGTCACGGAATAGCTCTGCATGCACTGCAGGGGAATGGGGCCTCATCTCGCCTCTAGGGGGAAGTCTCATGGTTTTTCTCGAGTTGCGGCGGGGACCTGGGGTATGTTCTCGACTTACGGCGGGGATGGCCCTTCAAAACACGAGTTTCTTCAGTGACGTCAGGACTCCTGTCTAGTAACGAGGGACACCTCAGGAATCTCTTCGAGGCTTGGCAGGGCAAAAGGGACGCTTCTCGAGGTGAGGCAGGGCACCCAAGGACCCTTTCCAGTAGCCACAGGGATTTTGGGATTCCTATCAGTATTCAAGAGGAGTCAGGCATCGTCACCTTTTGAAGCAATGAACTCCGCGTGCCTCTCGAGGTGTCAGCGGGATGTGAGGCATTCCGTCAAAATGAGGCAGGGACCTAGGGCTTTCTCTAAGGTCTCCACAGGGGATTCAGACATCCCTTCATGTTTTGAGATGAAAGACGAGCCTGTATTCAAGCCACTGCAAGGAAATCCGGCCTCCTTTCAAGTTAGGGCTTCTCGCTGTATATTCCCCTTGAGGCAGCAAACTCGGGGTCCCTCCCACATACCTATTGCTGAGGGAAGCCTCCTCCTGAGGTGCTTCTGGGAAGTTGGCATACGTCTTGAGCCTAAGCCAGGGAATCAGCTCGCATCTCGAGACGACTTGGGGTACACGGAGCATTCCTCGAGTTGCTGTGCTGAAGTTGGTGTTCCTCTAGACTTGGGACAGTGTTCTCGGGGCATCTCTGGAGTTGCCTGAAGGAAGTCGAGCCACCGGTCGTGTTGAATGGGGAACGGGGAATGGCTCTGGAGTCAATGCAGGGGAATCGGGCCTCATCTCGAGTTGATTTGGGGCACATGGAGCTGCTTTGCGTTGCTGGGGTGACCTCAGGGTCCGTCTAGACTGGTGACAGTGTTCTTGGGGACTGTCTCGAGATCCATTAAGCAAGTCGAAGCTCCTGACTTGTTTGAATGGGGTCACGGAATAGCTCTGCATGCACTGCAGGGGAATGGGGCCTCATCTCGCCTCTAGGGGGAAGTCTCATGGTTTTTCTCGAGTTGCGGCGGGGACCTGGGGTATGTTCTCGACTTACGGCGGGGATGGCCCTTCAAAACACGAATTTCTTCAGTGACGTCAGGACTCCTGTCTCGTAATGAGGGACACCTCAGGAATCTCTTCGAGGCTTGGCAGGGCAAAAGGGACGCTTCTCGAGGTGAGGCAGGGCACCCAAGGACCCTTTCCAGTAGCCACAGGGATTTTGGGATTCCTATCAGTATTCAAGAGGAGTCAGGCATCGTCACCTTTTGAAGCAATGAACTCCGCGTGCCTCTCGAGGTGTCAGCGGGATGTGAGGCATTCCGTCAAAATGAGGCAGGGACCTAGGGCTTTCTCTAAGGTCTCCACAGGGGATTCAGACATCCCTTCATGTTGTGAGATGAAAGACGAGCCTGTATTCAAGCCACTGCAAGGAAATCCGGCCTCCTTTCAAGTTAGGGCTTCTCGCTGTATATTCCCCTTGAGGCAGCAAACTCGGGGTCCCTCCCACATACCTATTGCTGAGAGAAGCCTCCTCCTGAGGTGCTTCTGGGAAGTTGGCATACGTCTTGAGCCTAAGCCAGGGAATCAGCTCGCATCTCGAGACGACTTGGGGTACACGGAGCATTCCTCGAGTTGCTGTGCTGAAGTTGGTGTTCCTCTAGACTTGGGACAGTGTTCTCGGGGCATCTCTGGACTTGCCTGAAGGAAGTCGAGCCACCGGTCGTGTTGAATGGGGAACGGGGAATGGCTCTGGAGTCAATGCAGGGGAATCGGGCCTCATCTCGAGTTGATTTGGGGCACATGGAGCTGCTTTGCGTTGCTGGGGTGACCTCAGGGTCCGTCTAGACTGGTGACAGTGTTCTTGGGGACTGTCTCGAGATCCATTAAGCAAGTCGAAGCTCCTGACTTGTTTGAATGGGATCACGGAATAGCTCTGCATGCACTGCAGGGGAATGGGGCCTCATCTCGCCTCTAGGGGGAAGTCTCATGGTTTTTCTCGAGTTGCGGCGGGGACCTGGGGCATGTTCTCGACTTACGGCGGGGATGGCCCTTCAAAACACGAGTTTCTTCAGTGACGTCAGGACTCCTGTCTAGTAACGAGGGACACCTCAGGAATCTCTTCGAGGCTTGGCAGGGCCAAAGGGACGCTTCTCGAGGTGAGGCAGGGCACCCAAGGACCCTTTCCAGTACCCACAGGGATTTTGGGATTCCTATCAGTATTCAAGAGGAGTCAGGCATCGTCACCTTTTGAAGCAATGAACTCCGCGTGCCTCTCGAGGTGTCAGCGGGATGTGAGGCATTCCGTCAAAATGAGGCAGGGACCTAGGGCTTTCTCTAAGGTCTCCACAGGGGATTCAGACATCCCTTCATGTTGTGAGATGAAAGACGAGCCTGTATTCAAGCCACTGCAAGGAAATCCGGCCTCCTTTCAAGTTAGGGCTTCTCGCTGTATATTCCCCTTGAGGCAGCAAACTCGGGGTCCCTCCCACATACCTATTGCTGAGAGAAGCCTCCTCCTGAGGTGCTTCTGGGAAGTTGGCATATGTCTTGAGCCTAAGCCAGGGAATCAGCTCGCATCTCGAGACGACTTGGGGTACACGGAGCATTCCTCGAGTTGCTGTGCTGAAGTTGGTGTTCCTCTAGACTTGGGACAATGTTCTCGGGGCATCTCTGGAGTTGCCTGAAGGAAGTCGAGCCACCGGTCGTGTTGAATGGGGAACGGGGAATGGCTCTGGAGTCAATGCAGGGGAATCGGGCCTCATCTCGAGCTGATTTGGCGCACATGGAGCTCCTTTGCGTTGCCGGGGTGACCTCAGGGTCCGTCTAGACTGGTGACAGTGTTCTTGGGGACTGTCTCGAGATCCATTAAGCAAGTCGAAGCTCCTGACTTGTTTGAATGGGGTCACGGAATAGCTCTGCATGCACTGCAGGGGAATGGGGCCTCATCTCGCCTCTAGGGGGAAGTCTCATGGTTTTTCTCGAGTTGCGGCGGGGACCTGGGGTATGTTCTCGACTTACGGCGGGGATGGCCCTTCAAAACACGAGTTTCTTCAGTGACGTCAGGACTCCTGTCTAGTAACGAGGGACACCTCAGGAATCTCTTCGAGGCTTGGCAGGGCCAAAGGGACGCTTCTCGAGGTGAGGCAGGGCACCCAAGGACCCTTTCCCGTAGCCACAGGGATTTTGGGATTCCTATCAATATTCAAGAGGAGTCAGGCATCGTCACCTTTTGAAGCAATGAACTCCGCGTGCCTCTCGAGGTGTCAGCGGGATGTGAGGCATTCCGTCAAAATGAGGCAGGGACCTAGGGCTTTCTCTAAGGTCTCCACAGGGGATTCAGACATCCCTTCATGTTGTGAGATGAAAGACGAGCCTGTATTCAAGCCACTGCAAGGAAATCCGGCCTCCTTTCAAGTTAGGGCTTCTCGCTGTATATTCCCCTTGAGGCAGCAAACTCGGGGTCCCTCCCACATACCTATTGCTGAGAGAAGCCTCCTCCTGAGGTGCTTCTGGGAAGTTGGCATACGTCTTGAGCCTAAGCCAGGGAATCAGCTCGCATCTCGAGACGACTTGGGGTACACGGAGCATTCCTCGAGTTGCTGTGCTGAAGTTGGTGTTCCTCTAGACTTGGGACAGTGTTCTCGGGGCATCTCTGGACTTGCGTGAAGGAAGTCGAGCCACCGGTCGTGTTGAATGGGGAACGGGGAATGGCTCTGGAGTCAATGCAGGGGAATCGGGCCTCATCTCGAGTTGATTTGGGGCACATGGAGCTGCTTTGCGTTGCTGGGGTGACCTCAGGGTCCGTCTAGACTGGTGACAGTGTTCTTGGGGACTGTCTCGAGATCCATTAAGCAAGTCGAAGCTCCTGACTTGTTTGAATGGGATCACGGAATAGCTCTGCATGCACTGCAGGGGAATGGGGCCTCATCTCGCCTCTAGGGGGAAGTCTCATGGTTTTTCTCGAGTTGCGGCGGGGACCTGGGGCATGTTCTCGACTTACGGCGGGGATGGCCCTTCAAAACACGAGTTTCTTCAGTGACGTCAGGACTCCTGTCTAGTAACGAGGGACACCTCAGGAATCTCTTCGAGGCTTGGCAGGGCCAAAGGGACGCTTCTCGAGGTGAGGCAGGGCACCCAAGGACCCTTTCCCGTAGCCACAGGGATTTTGGGATTCCTATCAGTATTCAAGAGGAGTCAGGCATCGTCACCTTTTGAAGCAATGAACTCCGCGTGCCTCTCGAGGTGTCAGCGGGATGTGAGGCATTCCGTCAAAATGAGGCAGGGACCTAGGGCTTTCTCTAAGGTCTCCACAGGGGATTCAGACATCCCTTCATGTTGTGAGATGAAAGACGAGCCTGTATTCAAGCCACTGCAAGGAAATCCGGCCTCCTTTCAAGTTAGGGCTTCTCGCTGTATATTCCCCTTGAGGCAGCAAACTCGGGGTCCCTCCCACATACCTATTGCTGAGAGAAGCCTCCTCCTGAGGTGCTTCTGGGAAGTTGGCATATGTCTTGAGCCTAAGCCAGGGAATCAGCTCGCATCTCGAGACGACTTGGGGTACACGGAGCATTCCTCGAGTTGCTGTGCTGAAGTTGGTGTTCCTCTAGACTTGGGACAATGTTCTCGGGGCATCTCTGGAGTTGCCTGAAGGAAGTCGAGCCACCGGTCGTGTTGAATGGGGAACGGGGAATGGCTCTGGAGTCAATGCAGGGGAATCGGGCCTCATCTCGAGCTGATTTGGCGCACATGGAGCTCCTTTGCGTTGCCGGGGTGACCTCAGGGTCCGTCTAGACTGGTGACAGTGTTCTTGGGGACTGTCTCGAGATCCATTAAGCAAGTCGAAGCTCCTGACTTGTTTGAATGGGGTCACGGAATAGCTCTGCATGCACTGCAGGGGAATGGGGCCTCATCTCGCCTCTAGGGGGAAGTCTCATGGTTTTTCTCGAGTTGCGGCGGGGACCTGGGGTATGTTCTCGACTTACGGCGGGGATGGCCCTTCAAAACACGAGTTTCTTCAGTGACGTCAGGACTCCTGTCTCGTAACGAGGGACACCTCAGGAATCTCTTCGAGGCTTGGCAGGGCCAAAGGGACGCTTCTCGAGGTGAGGCAGGGCACCCAAGGACCCTTTCCCGTAGCCACAGGGATTTTAGGATTCCTATCAGTATTCAAGAGGAGTCAGGCATCGTCACCTTTAGAAGCAATGAACTCCGCGTGCCTCTCGAGGTGTCAGCGGGATGTGAGGCATTCCGTCAAAATGAGGCAGGGACCTAGGGCTTTCTCTAAGGTCTCCACAGGGGATTCAGACATCCCTTCATGTTGTGAGATGAAAGACGAGCCTGTATTCAAGCCACTGCAAGGAAATCCGGCCTCCTTTCAAGTTAGGGCTTCTCGCTGTATATTCCCCTTGAGGCAGCAAACTCGGGGTCCCTCCCACATACCTATTGCTGAGAGAAGCCTCCTCCTGAGGTGCTTCTGGGAAGTTGGCATACGTCTTGAGCCTAAGCCAGGGAATCAGCTCGCATCTCGAGACGACTTGGGGTACACGGAGCATTCCTCGAGTTGCTGTGCTGAAGTTGGTGTTCCTCTAGACTTGGGACAGTGTTCTCGGGGCATCTCTCGAGTTGCCTGAAGGAAGTCGAGCCACCGGTCGTGTTGAATGGGGAACGGGGAATGGCTCTGGAGTCAATGCAGGGGAATCGGGCCTCATCTCGAGCTGATTTGGCGCACATGGAGCTCCTTTGCGTTGCCGGGGTGACCTCAGGGTCCGTCTAGACTGGTGACAGTGTTCTTGGGGACTGTCTCGAGATCCATTAAGCAAGTCGAAGCTCCTGACTTGTTTGAATGGGGTCACGGAATAGCTCTGCATGCACTGCAGGGGAATGGGGCCTCATCTCGCCTCTAGGGGGAAGTCTCATGGTTTTTCTCGAGTTGCGGCGGGGACCTGGGGTATGTTCTCGACTTACGGCGGGGATGGCCCTTCAAAACACGAGTTTCTTCAGTGACGTCAGGACTCCTGTCTAGTAACGAGGGACACCTCAGGAATCTCTTCGAGGCTTGGCAGGGCAAAAGGGACGCTTCTCGAGGTGAGGCAGGGCACCCAAGGACCCTTTCCAGTAGCCACAGGGATTTTGGGATTCCTATCAGTATTCAAGAGGAGTCAGGCATCGTCACCTTTTGAAGCAATGAACTCCGCGTGCCTCTCGAGGTGTCAGCGGGATGTGAGGCATTCCGTCAAAATGAGGCAGGGACCTAGGGCTTTCTCTAAGGTCTCCACAGGGGATTCAGACATCCCTTCATGTTTTGAGATGAAAGACGAGCCTGTATTCAAGCCACTGCAAGGAAATCCGGCCTCCTTTCAAGTTAGGGCTTCTCGCTGTATATTCCCCTTGAGGCAGCAAACTCGGGGTCCCTCCCACATACCTATTGCTGAGGGAAGCCTCCTCCTGAGGTGCTTCTGGGAAGTTGGCATACGTCTTGAGCCTAAGCCAGGGAATCAGCTCGCATCTCGAGACGACTTGGGGTACACGGAGCATTCCTCGAGTTGCTGTGCTGAAGTTGGTGTTCCTCTAGACTTGGGACAGTGTTCTCGGGGCATCTCTGGAGTTGCCTGAAGGAAGTCGAGCCACCGGTCGTGTTGAATGGGGAACGGGGAATGGCTCTGGAGTCAATGCAGGGGAATCGGGCCTCATCTCGAGTTGATTTGGGGCACATGGAGCTGCTTTGCGTTGCTGGGGTGACCTCAGGGTCCGTCTAGACTGGTGACAGTGTTCTTGGGGACTGTCTCGAGATCCATTAAGCAAGTCGAAGCTCCTGACTTGTTTGAATGGGGTCACGGAATAGCTCTGCATGCACTGCAGGGGAATGGGGCCTCATCTCGCCTCTAGGGGGAAGTCTCATGGTTTTTCTCGAGTTGCGGCGGGGACCTGGGGTATGTTCTCGACTTACGGCGGGGATGGCCCTTCAAAACACGAGTTTCTTCAGTGACGTCAGGACTCCTGTCTCGTAATGAGGGACACCTCAGGAATCTCTTCGAGGCTTGGCAGGGCAAAAGGGACGCTTCTCGAGGTGAGGCAGGGCACCCAAGGACCCTTTCCAGTAGCCACAGGGATTTTGGGATTCCTATCAGTATTCAAGAGGAGTCAGGCATCGTCACCTTTTGAAGCAATGAACTCCGCGTGCCTCTCGAGGTGTCAGCGGGATGTGAGGCATTCCGTCAAAATGAGGCAGGGACCTAGGGCTTTCTCTAAGGTCTCCACAGGGGATTCAGACATCCCTTCATGTTGTGAGATGAAAGACGAGCCTGTATTCAAGCCACTGCAAGGAAATCCGGCCTCCTTTCAAGTTAGGGCTTCTCGCTGTATATTCCCCTTGAGGCAGCAAACTCGGGGTCCCTCCCACATACCTATTGCTGAGAGAAGCCTCCTCCTGAGGTGCTTCTGGGAAGTTGGCATACGTCTTGAGCCTAAGCCAGGGAATCAGCTCGCATCTCGAGACGACTTGGGGTACACGGAGCATTCCTCGAGTTGCTGTGCTGAAGTTGGTGTTCCTCTAGACTTGGGACAGTGTTCTCGGGGCATCTCTGGAGTTGCCTGAAGGAAGTCGAGCCACCGGTCGTGTTGAATGGGGAACGGGGAATGGCTCTGGAGTCAATGCAGGGGAATCGGGCCTCATCTCGAGTTGATTTGGGGCACATGGAGCTGCTTTGCGTTGCTGGGGTGACCTCAGGGTCCGTCTAGACTGGTGACAGTGTTCTTGGGGACTGTCTCGAGATCCATTAAGCAAGTCGAAGCTCCTGACTTGTTTGAATGGGATCACGGAATAGCTCTGCATGCACTGCAGGGGAATGGGGCCTCATCTCGCCTCTAGGGGGAAGTCTCATGGTTTTTCTGGAGTTGCGGCGGGGACCTGGGGTATGTTCTCGACTTACGGCGGGGATGGCCCTTCAAAACACGAGTTTCTTCAGTGACGTCAGGACTCCTGTCTAGTAACGAGGGACACCTCAGGAATCTCTTCGAGGCTTGGCAGGGCCAAAGGGACGCTTCTCGAGGTGAGGCAGGGCACCCAAGGACCCTTTCCCGTAGCCACAGGGATTTTGGGATTCCTATCAGTATTCAAGAGGAGTCAGGCATCGTCACCTTTTGAAGCAATGAACTCCGCGTGCCTCTCGAGGTGTCAGCGGGATGTGAGGCATTCCGTCAAAATGAGGCAGGGACCTAGGGCTTTCTCTAAGGTCTCCACAGGGGATTCAGACATCCCTTCATGTTGTGAGATGAAAGACGAGCCTGTATTCAAGCCACTGCAAGGAAATCCGGCCTCCTTTCAAGTTAGGGCTTCTCGCTGTATATTCCCCTTGAGGCAGCAAACTCGGGGTCCCTCCCACATACCTATTGCTGAGAGAAGCCTCCTCCTGAGGTGCTTCTGGGAAGTTGGCATACGTCTTGAGCCTAAGCCAGGGAATCAGCTCGCATCTCGAGACGACTTGGGGTACACGGAGCATTCCTCGAGTTGCTGTGCTGAAGTTGGTGTTCCTCTAGACTTGGGACAGTGTTCTCGGGGCATCTCTGGACTTGCCTGAAGGAAGTCGAGCCACCGGTCGTGTTGAATGGGGAACGGGGAATGGCTCTGGAGTCAATGCAGGGGAATCGGGCCTCATCTCGAGTTGATTTGGGGCACATGGAGCTGCTTTGCGTTGCTGGGGTGACCTCAGGGTCCGTCTAGACTGGTGACAGTGTTCTTGGGGACTGTCTCGAGATCCATTAAGCAAGTCGAAGCTCCTGACTTGTTTGAATGGGATCACGGAATAGCTCTGCATGCACTGCAGGGGAATGGGGCCTCATCTCGCCTCTAGGGGGAAGTCTCATGGTTTTTCTCGAGTTGCGGCGGGGACCTGGGGCATGTTCTCGACTTACGGCGGGGATGGCCCTTCAAAACACGAGTTTCTTCAGTGACGTCAGGACTCCTGTCTAGTAACGAGGGACACCTCAGGAATCTCTTCGAGGCTTGGCAGGGCCAAAGGGACGCTTCTCGAGGTGAGGCAGGGCACCCAAGGACCCTTTCCCGTAGCCACAGGGATTTTGGGATTCCTATCAGTATTCAAGAGGAGTCAGGCATCGTCACCTTTTGAAGCAATGAACTCCGCGTGCCTCTCGAGGTGTCAGCGGGATGTGAGGCATTCCGTCAAAATGAGGCAGGGACCTAGGGCTTTCTCTAAGGTCTCCACAGGGGATTCAGACATCCCTTCATGTTGTGAGATGAAAGACGAGCCTGTATTCAAGCCACTGCAAGGAAATCCGGCCTCCTTTCAAGTTAGGGCTTCTCGCTGTATATTCCCCTTGAGGCAGCAAACTCGGGGTCCCTCCCACATACCTATTGCTGAGAGAAGCCTCCTCCTGAGGTGCTTCTGGGAAGTTGGCATACGTCTTGAGCCTAAGCCAGGGAATCAGCTCGCATCTCGAGACGACTTGGGGTACACGGAGCATTCCTCGAGTTGCTGTGCTGAAGTTGGTGTTCCTCTAGACTTGGGGCAGTGTTCTCGGGGCATCTCTGGAGTTGCCTGAAGGAAGTCGAGCCACCGGTCGTGTTGAATGGGGAACGGGGAATGGCTCTGGAGTCAATGCAGGGGAATCGGGCCTCATCTCGAGCTGATTTGGCGCACATGGAGCTCCTTTGCGTTGCCGGGGTGACCTCAGGGTCCGTCTAGACTGGTGACAGTGTTCTTGGGGACTGTCTCGAGATCCATTAAGCAAGTCGAAGCTCCTGACTTGTTTGAATGGGGTCACGGAATAGCTCTGCATGCACTGCAGGGGAATGGGGCCTCATCTCGCCTCTAGGGGGAAGTCTCATGGTTTTTCTCGAGTTGCGGCGGGGACCTGGGGTATGTTCTCGACTTACGGCGGGGATGGCCCTTCAAAACACGAGTTTCTTCAGTGACGTCAGGACTCCTGTCTAGTAACGAGGGACACCTCAGGAATCTCTTCGAGGCTTGGCAGGGCAAAAGGGACGCTTCTCGAGGTGAGGCAGGGCACCCAAGGACCCTTTCCAGTAGCCACAGGGATTTTGGGATTCCTATCAGTATTCAAGAGGAGTCAGGCATCGTCACCTTTTGAAGCAATGAACTCCGCGTGCCTCTCGAGGTGTCAGCGGGATGTGAGGCATTCCGTCAAAATGAGGCAGGGACCTAGGGCTTTCTCTAAGGTCTCCACAGGGGATTCAGACATCCCTTCATGTTGTGAGATGAAAGACGAGCCTGTATTCAAGCCACTGCAAGGAAATCCGGCCTCCTTTCAAGTTAGGGCTTCTCGCTGTATATTCCCCTTGAGGCAGCAAACTCGGGGTCCCTCCCACATACCTATTGCTGAGAGAAGCCTCCTCCTGAGGTGCTTCTGGGAAGTTGGCATATGTCTTGAGCCTAAGCCAGGGAATCAGCTCGCATCTCGAGACGACTTGGGGTACACGGAGCATTCCTCGAGTTGCTGTGCTGAAGTTGGTGTACCTCTAGACTTGGGACAGTGTTCTCGGGGCATCTCTGGAGTTGCCTGAAGGAAGTCGAGCCACCGGTCGTGTTGAATGGGGAACGGGGAATGGCTCTGGAGTCAATGCAGGGGAATCGGGCCTCATCTCGAGCTGATTTGGCGCACATGGAGCTCCTTTGCGTTGCCGGGGTGACCTCAGGGTCCGTCTAGACTGGTGACAGTGTTCTTGGGGACTGTCTCGAGATCCATTAAGCAAGTCGAAGCTCCTGACTTGTTTGAATGGGGTCACGGAATAGCTCTGCATGCACTGCAGGGGAATGGGGCCTCATCTCGCCTCTAGGGGGAAGTCTCATGGTTTTTCTCGAGTTGCGGCGGGGACCTGGGGTATGTTCTCGACTTACGGCGGGGATGGCCCTTCAAAACACGAGTTTCTTCAGTGACGTCAGGACTCCTGTCTAGTAACGAGGGACACCTCAGGAATCTCTTCGAGGCTTGGCAGGGCCAAAGGGACGCTTCTCGAGGTGAGGCAGGGCACCCAAGGACCCTTTCCAGTAGCCACAGGGATTTTGGGATTCCTATCAGTATTCAAGAGGAGTCAGGCATCGTCACCTTTTGAAGCAATGAACTCCGCGTGCCTCTCGAGGTGTCAGCGGGATGTGAGGCATTCCGTCAAAATGAGGCAGGGACCTAGGGCTTTCTCTAAGGTCTCCACAGGGGATTCAGACATCCCTTCATGTTGTGAGATGAAAGACGAGCCTGTATTCAAGCCACTGCAAGGAAATCCGGCCTCCTTTCAAGTTAGGGCTTCTCGTTGTATATTCCCCTTGAGGCAGCAAACTCGGGGTCCCTCCCACATACCTATTGCTGAGAGAAGCCTCCTCCTGAGGTGCTTCTGGGAAGTTGGCATACGTCTTGAGCCTAAGCCAGGGAATCAGCTCGCATCTCGAGATGATTTGGGGTACACGGAGCATTCCTCGAGTTGCTGTGCTGAAGTTGGTGTTCCTCTAGACTTGGGACAGTGTTCTCGGGGCATCTCTGGAGTTGCCTGAAGGAAGTCGAGCCACCGGTCGTGTTGAATGGGGAACGGGGAATGGCTCTGGAGTCAATGCAGGGGAATCGGGCCTCATCTCGAGTTGATTTGGGGCACATGGAGCTGCTTTGCGTTGCTGGGGTGACCTCAGGGTCCGTCTAGACTGGTGACAGTGTTCTTGGGGACTGTCTCGAGATCCATTAAGCAAGTCGAAGCTCCTGACTTGTTTGAATGGGATCACGGAATAGCTCTGCATGCACTGCAGGGGAATGGGGCCTCATCTCGCCTCTAGGGGGAAGTCTCATGGTTTTTCTGGAGTTGCGGCGGGGACCTGGGGTATGTTCTCGACTTACGGCGGGGATGGTCCTTCAAAACACGAGTTTCTTCAGTGACGTCAGGACTCCTGTCTAGTAACGAGGGACACCTCAGGAATCTCTTCGAGGCTTGGCAGGGCCAAAGGGACGCTTCTCGAGGTGAGGCAGGGCACCCAAGGACCCTTTCCCGTAGCCACAGGGATTTTGGGATTCCTATCAGTATTCAAGAGGAGTCAGGCATCGTCACCTTTTGAAGCAATGAACTCCGCGTGCCTCTCGAGGTGTCAGCGGGATGTGAGGCATTCCGTCAAAATGAGGCAGGGACCTAGGGCTTTCTCTAAGGTCTCCACAGGGGATTCAGACATCCCTTCATGTTGTGAGATGAAAGACGAGCCTGTATTCAAGCCACTGCAAGGAAATCCGGCCTCCTTTCAAGTTAGGGCTTCTCGCTGTATATTCCCCTTGAGGCAGCAAACTCGGGGTCCCTCCCACATACCTATTGCTGAGAGAAGCCTCCTCCTGAGGTGCTTCTGGGAAGTTGGCATACGTCTTGAGCCTAAGCCAGGGAATCAGCTCGCATCTCGAGACGACTTGGGGTACACGGAGCATTCCTCGAGTTGCTGTGCTGAAGTTGGTGTTCCTCTAGACTTGGGACAGTGTTCTCGGGGCATCTCTGGACTTGCGTGAAGGAAGTCGAGCCACCGGTCGTGTTGAATGGGGAACGGGGAATGGCTCTGGAGTCAATGCAGGGGAATCGGGCCTCATCTCGAGTTGATTTGGGGCACATGGAGCTGCTTTGCGTTGCTGGGGTGACCTCAGGGTCCGTCTAGACTGGTGACAGTGTTCTTGGGGACTGTCTCGAGATCCATTAAGCAAGTCGAAGCTCCTGACTTGTTTGAATGGGATCACGGAATAGCTCTGCATGCACTGCAGGGGAATGGGGCCTCATCTCGCCTCTAGGGGGAAGTCTCATGGTTTTTCTCGAGTTGCGGCGGGGACCTGGGGCATGTTCTCGACTTACGGCGGGGATGGCCCTTCAAAACACGAGTTTCTTCAGTGACGTCAGGACTCCTGTCTAGTAACGAGGGACACCTCAGGAATCTCTTCGAGGCTTGGCAGGGCCAAAGGGACGCTTCTCGAGGTGAGGCAGGGCACCCAAGGACCCTTTCCCGTAGCCACAGGGATTTTGGGATTCCTATCAGTATTCAAGAGGAGTCAGGCATCGTCACCTTTTGAAGCAATGAACTCCGCGTGCCTCTCGAGGTGTCAGCGGGATGTGAGGCATTCCGTCAAAATGAGGCAGGGACCTAGGGCTTTCTCTAAGGTCTCCACAGGGGATTCAGACATCCCTTCATGTTGTGAGATGAAAGACGAGCCTGTATTCACGCCACTGCAAGGAAATCCGGCCTCCTTTCAAGTTAGGGCTTCTCGCTGTATATTCCCCTTGAGGCAGCAAACTCGGGGTCCCTCCCACATACCTATTGCTGAGAGAAGCCTCCTCCTGAGGTGCTTCTGGGAAGTTGGCATACGTCTTGAGCCTAAGCCAGGGAATCAGCTCGCATCTCGAGACGACTTGGGGTACACGGAGCATTCCTCGAGTTGCTGTGCTGAAGTTGGTGTTCCTCTAGACTTGGGGCAGTGTTCTCGGGGCATCTCTGGAGTTGCCTGAAGGAAGTCGAGCCACCGGTCGTGTTGAATGGGGAACGGGGAATGGCTCTGGAGTCAATGCAGGGGAATCGGGCCTCATCTCGAGCTGATTTGGCGCACATGGAGCTCCTTTGCGTTGCCGGGGTGACCTCAGGGTCCGTCTAGACTGGTGACAGTGTTCTTGGGGACTGTCTCGAGATCCATTAAGCAAGTCGAAGCTCCTGACTTGTTTGAATGGGGTCACGGAATAGCTCTGCATGCACTGCAGGGGAATGGGGCCTCATCTCGCCTCTAGGGGGAAGTCTCATGGTTTTTCTCAAGTTGCGGCGGGGACCTGGGGTATGTTCTCGACTTACGGCGGGGATGGCCCTTCAAAACACGAGTTTCTTCAGTGACGTCAGGACTCCTGTCTAGTAACGAGGGACACCTCAGGAATCTCTTCGAGGCTTGGCAGGGCCAAAGGGACGCTTCTCGAGGTGAGGCAGGGCACCCAAGGACCCTTTCCCGTAGCCACAGGGATTTTAGGATTCCTATCAGTATTCAAGAGGAGTCAGGCATCGTCACCTTTAGAAGCAATGAACTCCGCGTGCCTCTCGAGGTGTCAGCGGGATGTGAGGCATTCCGTCAAAATGAGGCTGGGACCTAGGGCTTTCTCTAAGGTCTCCACAGGGGATTCAGACATCCCTTCATGTTGTGAGATGAAAGACGAGCCTGTATTCAAGCCACTGCAAGGAAATCCGGCCTCCTTTCAAGTTAGGGCTTCTCGCTGTATATTCCCCTTGAGGCAGCAAACTCGGGGTCCCTCCCACATACCTATTGCTGAGAGAAGCCTCCTCCTGAGGTGCTTCTGGGAAGTTGGCATACGTCTTGAGCCTAAGCCAGGGAATCAGCTCGCATCTCGAGACGACTTGGGGTACACGGAGCATTCCTCGAGTTGCTGTGCTGAAGTTGGTGTTCCTCTAGACTTGGGACAGTGTTCTCGGGGCATCTCTGGAGTTGCCTGAAGGAAGTCGAGCCACCGGTCGTGTTGAATGGGGAACGGGGAATGGCTCTGGAGTCAATGCAGGGGAATCGGGCCTCATCTCGAGCTGATTTGGCGCACATGGAGCTCCTTTGCGTTGCCGGGGTGACCTCAGGGTCCGTCTAGACTGGTGACAGTGTTCTTGGGGACTGTCTCGAGATCCATTAAGCAAGTCGAAGCTCCTGACTTGTTTGAATGGGGTCACGGAATAGCTCTGCATGCACTGCAGGGGAATGGGGCCTCATCTCGCCTCTAGGGGGAAGTCTCATGGTTTTTCTCGAGTTGCGGCGGGGACCTGGGGTATGTTCTCGACTTACGGCGGGGATGGCCCTTCAAAACACGAGTTTCTTCAGTGACGTCAGGACTCCTGTCTAGTAACGAGGGACACCTCAGGAATCTCTTCGAGGCTTGGCAGGGCAAAAGGGACGCTTCTCGAGGTGAGGCAGGGCACCCAAGGACCCTTTCCAGTAGCCACAGTGATTTTGGGATTCCTATCAGTATTCAAGAGGAGTCAGGCATCGTCACCTTTTGAAGCAATGAACTCCGCGTGCCTCTCGAGGTGTCAGCGGGATGTGAGGCATTCCGTCAAAATGAGGCAGGGACCTAGGGCTTTCTCTAAGGTCTCCACAGGGGATTCAGACATCCCTTCATGTTGTGAGATGAAAGACGAGCCTGTATTCAAGCCACTGCAAGGAAATCCGGCCTCCTTTCAAGTTAGGGCTTCTCGCTGTATATTCCCCTTGAGGCAGCAAACTCGGGGTCCCTCCCACATACCTATTGCTGAGAGAAGCCTCCTCCTGAGGTGCTTCTGGGAAGTTGGCATACGTCTTGAGCCTAAGCCAGGGAATCAGCTCGCATCTCGAGACGACTTGGGGTACACGGAGCATTCCTCGAGTTGCTGTGCTGAAGTTGGTGTTCCTCTAGACTTGGGACAGTGTTCTCGGGGCATCTCTGGAGTTGCCTGAAGGAAGTCGAGCCACCGGTCGTGTTGAATGGGGAACGGGGAATGGCTCTGGAGTCAATGCAGGGGAATCGGGCCTCATCTCGAGCTGATTTGGCGCACATGGAGCTCCTTTGCGTTGCCGGGGTGACCTCAGGGTCCGTCTAGACTGGTGACAGTGTTCTTGGGGACTGTCTCGAGATCCATTAAGGAAGTCGAAGCTCCTGACTTGTTTGAATGGGGTCACGGAATAGCTCTGCATGCACTGCAGGGGAATGGGGCCTCATCTCGCCTCTAGGGGGAAGTCTCATGGTTTTTCTCGAGTTGCGGCGGGGACCTGGGGTATGTTCTCGACTTACGGCGGGGATGGCCCTTCAAAACACGAGTTTCTTCAGTGACGTCAGGACTCCTGTCTAGTAACGAGGGACACCTCAGGAATCTCTTCGAGGCTTGGCAGGGCCAAAGGGACGCTTCTCGAGGTGAGGCAGGGCACCCAAGGACCCTTTCCAGTAGCCACAGGGATTTTGGGATTCCTATCAGTATTCAAGAGGAGTCAGGCATCGTCACCTTTTGAAGCAATGAACTCCGCGTGCCTCTCGAGGTGTCAGCGGGATGTGAGGCATTCCGTCAAAATGAGGCAGGGACCTAGGGCTTTCTCTAAGGTCTCCACAGGGGATTCAGACATCCCTTCATGTTGTGAGATGAAAGACGAGCCTGTATTCAAGCCACTGCAAGGAAATCCGGCCTCCTTTCAAGTTAGGGCTTCTCGCTGTATATTCCCCTTGAGGCAGCAAACTCGGGGTCCCTCCCACATACCTATTGCTGAGAGAAGCCTCCTCCTGAGGTGCTTCTGGGAAGTTGGCATACGTCTTGAGCCTAAGCCAGGGAATCAGCTCGCATCTCGAGACGACTTGGGGTACACGGAGCATTCCTCGAGTTGCTGTGCTGAAGTTGGTGTTCCTCTAGACTTGGGACAGTGTTCTCGGGGCATCTCTGGAGTTGCCTGAAGGAAGTCGAGCCACCGGTCGTGTTGAATGGGGAACGGGGAATGGCTCTGGAGTCAATTCAGGGGAATCGGGCCTCATCTCGAGTTGATTTGGGGCACATGGAGCTGCTTTGCGTTGCTGGGGTGACCTCAGGGTCCGTCTAGACTGGTGACAGTGTTCTTGGGGACTGTCTCGAGATCCATTAAGCAAGTCGAAGCTCCTGACTTGTTTGAATGGGGTCACGGAATAGCTCTGCATGCACTGCAGGGGAATGGGGCCTCATCTCGCCTCTAGGGGGAAGTCTCATGGTTTTTCTCGAGTTGCGGCGGGGACCTGGGGTATGTTCTCGAATTACGGCGGGGATGGCCCTTCAAAACACGAGTTTCTTCAGTGACGTCAGGACTCCTGTCTAGTAACGAGGGACACCTCAGGAATCTCTTCGAGGCTTGGCAGGGCCAAAGGGACGCTTCTCAAGGTGAGGCAGGGCACCCAAGGACCCTTTCCAGTAGCCACAGGGATTTTGGGATTCCTATCAGTATTCAAGAGGAGTCAGGCATCGTCACCTTTTGAAGCAATGAACTCCGCGTGCCTCTCGAGGTGTCAGCGGGATGTGAGGCATTCCGTCAAAATGAGGTAGGGACCTAGGGCTTTCTCTAAGGTCTCCACAGGGGATTCAGACATCCCTTCATGTTGTGAGATGAAAGACGAGCCTGTATTCAAGCCACTGCAAGAAAATCCGGCCTCCTTTCAAGTTAGGGCTTCTCGCTGTATATTCCCCTTGAGGCAGCAAACTCGGGGTCCCTCCCACATACCTATTGCTGAGAGAAGCCTCCTCCTGAGGTGCTTCTGGGAAGTTGGCATACGTCTTGAGCCTAAGCCAGGGAATCAGCTCGCATCTCGAGACGACTTGGGGTACACGGAGCATTCCTCGAGTTGCTGTGCTGAAGTTGGTGTTCCTCTAGACTTGGGACAGTGTTCTCGGGGCATCTCTGGAGTTGCCTGAAGGAAGTCGAGCCACCGGTCGTGTTGAATGGGGAACGGGGAATGGCTCTGGAGTCAATGCAGGGGAATCGGGCCTCATCTCGAGTTGATTTGGGGCACATGGAGCTGCTTTGCGTTGCTGGGGTGACCTCAGGGTCCGTCTAGACTGGTGACAGTGTTCTTGGGGACTGTCTCGAGATCCATTAAGCAAGTCGAAGCTCCTGACTTGTTTGAATGGGGTCATGGTATAGCTCTGCATGCACTGCAGGGGAATGGGGCCTCATCTCGCCTCTAGGGGGAAGTCTCATGGTTTTTCTCGAGTTGCGGCGGGGACCTGGGGTATGTTCTCGACTTACGGCGGGGATGGCCCTTCAAAACACGAGTTTCTTCAGTGACGTCAGGACTCCTGTCTAGTAACGAGGGACACCTCAGGAATCTCTTCGAGGCTTGGCAGGGCAAAAGGGACGCTTCTCGAGGTGAGGCAGGGCACCCAAGGACCCTTTCCAGTAGCCACAGGGATTTTGGGATTCCTATCAGTATTCAAGAGGAGTCAGGCATCGTCACCTTTTGAAGCAATGAACTCCGCGTGCCTCTCGAGGTGTCAGCGGGATGTGAGGCATTCCGTCAAAATGAGGCAGGGACCTAGGGCTTTCTCTAAGGTCTCCACAGGGGATTCAGACATCCCTTCATGTTGTGAGATGAAAGACGAGCCTGTATTCAAGCCACTGCAAGGAAATCCGGCCTCCTTTCAAGTTAGGGCTTCTCGCTGTATATTCCCCTTGAGGCAGCAAACTCGGGGTCCCTCCCACATACCTATTGCTGAGAGAAGCCTCCTCCTGAGGTGCTTCTGGGAAGTTGGCATACGTCTTGAGCCTAAGCCAGGGAATCAGCTCGCATCTCGAGACGACTTGGGGTACACGGAGCATTCCTCGAGTTGCTGTGCTGAAGTTGGTGTTCCTCTAGACTTGGGACAGTGTTCTCGGGGCATCTCTGGAGTTGCCTGAAGGAAGTCGAGCCACCGGTCGTGTTGAATGGGGAACGGGGAATGGCTCTGGAGTCAATGCAGGGGAATCGGGCCTCATCTCGAGCTGATTTGGCGCACATGGAGCTCCTTTGCGTTGCCGGGGTGACCTCAGGGTCCGTCTAGACTGGTGACAGTGTTCTTGGGGACTGTCTCGAGATCCATTAAGCAAGTCGAAGCTCCTGACTTGTTTGAATGGGGTCACGGAATAGCTCTGCATGCACTGCAGGGGAATGGGGCCTCATCTCGCCTCTAGGGGGAAGTCTCATGGTTTTTCTCGAGTTGCGGCGGGGACCTGGGGTATGTTCTCGACTTACGGCGGGGATGGCCCTTCAAAACACGAGTTTCTTCAGTGACGTCAGGACTCCTGTCTAGTAACGAGGGACACCTCAGGAATCTCTTCGAGGCTTGGCAGGGCCAAAGGGACGCTTCTCGAGGTGAGGCAGGGCACCCAAGGACCCTTTCCCGTACCCACAGGGATTTTGGGATTCCTATCAGTATTCAAGAGGAGTCAGGCATCGTCACCTTTTGAAGCAATGAACTCCGCGTGCCTCTCGAGGTGTCAGCGGGATGTGAGGCATTCCGTCAAAATGAGGCAGGGACCTAGGGCTTTCTCTAAGGTCTCCACAGGGGATTCAGACATCCCTTCATGTTGTGAGATGAAAGACGAGCCTGTATTCAAGCCACTGCAAGGAAATCCGGCCTCCTTTCAAGTTAGGGCTTCTCGTTGTATATTCCCCTTGAGGCAGCAAACTCGGGGTCCCTCCCACATACCTATTGCTGAGAGAAGCCTCCTCCTGAGGTGCTTCTGGGAAGTTGGCATACGTCTTGAGCCTAAGCCAGGGAATCAGCTCGCATCTCGAGATGATTTGGGGTACACGGAGCATTCCTCGAGTTGCTGTGCTGAAGTTGGTGTTCCTCTAGACTTGGGACAGTGTTCTCGGGGCATCTCTGGAGTTGCCTGAAGGAAGTCGAGCCACCGGTCGTGTTGAATGGGGAACGGGGAATGGCTCTGGAGTCAATGCAGGGGAATCGGGCCTCATCTCGAGTTGATTTGGGGCACATGGAGCTGCTTTGCGTTGCTGGGGTGACCTCAGGGTCCGTCTAGACTGGTGACAGTGTTCTTGGGGACTGTCTCGAGATCCATTAAGGAAGTCGAAGCTCCTGACTTGTTTGAATGGGGTCACGGAATAGCTCTGCATGCACTGCAGGGGAATGGGGCCTCATCTCGCCTCTAGGGGGAAGTCTCATGGTTTTTCTCGAGTTGCGGCGGGGACCTGGGGTATGTTCTCGACTTACGGCGGGGATGGCCCTTCAAAACACGAGTTTCTTCAGTGACGTCAGGACTCCTGTCTAGTAACGAGGGACACCTCAGGAATCTCTTCGAGGCTTGGCAGGGCCAAAGGGACGCTTCTCGAGGTGAGGCAGGGCACCCAAGGACCCTTTCCAGTAGCCACAGGGATTTTGGGATTCCTATCAGTATTCAAGAGGAGTCAGGCATCGTCACCTTTTGAAGCAATGAACTCCGCGTGCCTCTCGAGGTGTCAGCGGGATGTGAGGCATTCCGTCAAAATGAGGCAGGGACCTAGGGCTTTCTCTAAGGTCTCCACAGGGGATTCAGACATCCCTTCATGTTGTGAGATGAAAGACGAGCCTGTATTCAAGCCACTGCAAGGAAATCCGGCCTCCTTTCAAGTTAGGGCTTCTCGCTGTATATTCCCCTTGAGGCAGCAAACTCGGGGTCCCTCCCACATACCTATTGCTGAGAGAAGCCTCCTCCTGAGGTGCTTCTGGGAAGTTGGCATACGTCTTGAGCCTAAGCCAGGGAATCAGCTCGCATCTCGAGACGACTTGGGGTACACGGAGCATTCCTCGAGTTGCTGTGCTGAAGTTGGTGTTCCTCTAGACTTGGGACAGTGTTCTCGGGGCATCTCTGGAGTTGCCTGAAGGAAGTCGAGCCACCGGTCGTGTTGAATGGGGAACGGGGAATGGCTCTGGAGTCAATTCAGGGGAATCGGGCCTCATCTCGAGTTGATTTGGGGCACATGGAGCTGCTTTGCGTTGCTGGGGTGACCTCAGGGTCCGTCTAGACTGGTGACAGTGTTCTTGGGGACTGTCTCGAGATCCATTAAGCAAGTCGAAGCTCCTGACTTGTTTGAATGGGGTCACGGAATAGCTCTGCATGCACTGCAGGGGAATGGGGCCTCATCTCGCCTCTAGGGGGAAGTCTCATGGTTTTTCTCGAGTTGCGGCGGGGACCTGGGGTATGTTCTCGAATTACGGCGGGGATGGCCCTTCAAAACACGAGTTTCTTCAGTGACGTCAGGACTCCTGTCTAGTAACGAGGGACACCTCAGGAATCTCTTCGAGGCTTGGCAGGGCCAAAGGGACGCTTCTCGAGGTGAGGCAGGGCACCCAAGGACCCTTTCCAGTAGCCACAGGGATTTTGGGATTCCTATCAGTATTCAAGAGGTGTCAGGCATCGTCACCTTTTGAAGCAATGAACTCCGCGTGCCTCTCGAGGTGTCAGCGGGATGTGAGGCATTCCGTCAAAATGAGGCAGGGACCTAGGGCTTTCTCTAAGGTCTCCACAGGGGATTCAGACATCCCTTCATGTTGTGAGATGAAAGACGAGCCTGTATTCAAGCCACTGCAAGAAAATCCGGCCTCCTTTCAAGTTAGGGCTTCTCGCTGTATATTCCCCTTGAGGCAGCAAACTCGGGGTCCCTCCCACATACCTATTGCTGAGAGAAGCCTCCTCCTGAGGTGCTTCTGGGAAGTTGGCATACGTCTTGAGCCTAAGCCAGGGAATCAGCTCGCATCTCGAGACGACTTGGGGTACACGGAGCATTCCTCGAGTTGCTGTGCTGAAGTTGGTGTTCCTCTAGACTTGGGACAGTGTTCTCGGGGCATCTCTGGAGTTGCCTGAAGGAAGTCGAGCCACCGGTCGTGTTGAATGGGGAACGGGGAATGGCTCTGGAGTCAATGCAGGGGAATCGGGCCTCATCTCGAGTTGATTTGGGGCACATGGAGCTGCTTTGCGTTGCTGGGGTGACCTCAGGGTCCGTCTAGACTGGTGACAGTGTTCTTGGGGACTGTCTCGAGATCCATTAAGCAAGTCGAAGCTCCTGACTTGTTTGAATGGGGTCACGGAATAGCTCTGCATGCACTGCAGGGGAATGGGGCCTCATCTCGCCTCTAGGGGGAAGTCTCATGGTTTTTCTCGAGTTGCGGCGGGGACCTGGGGTATGTTCTCGACTTACGGCGGGGATGGCCCTTCAAAACACGAGTTTCTTCAGTGACGTCAGGACTCCTGTCTAGTAACGAGGGACACCTCAGGAATCTCTTCGAGGCTTGGCAGGGCCAAAGGGACGCTTCTCGAGGTGAGGCAGGGCACCCAAGGACCCTTTCCAGTAGCCACAGGGATTTTGGGATTCCTATCAGTATTCAAGAGGAGTCAGGCATCGTCACCTTTTGAAGCAATGAACTCCGCGTGCCTCTCGAGGTGTCAGCGGGATGTGAGGCATTCCGTCAAAATGAGGCAGGGACCTAGGGCTTTCTCTAAGGTCTCCACAGGGGATTCAGACATCCCTTCATGTTGTGAGATGAAAGACGAGCCTGTATTCAAGCCACTGCAAGGAAATCCGGCCTCCTTTCAAGTTAGGGCTTCTCGCTGTATATTCCCCTTGAGGCAGCAAACTCGGGGTCCCTCCCACATACCTATTGCTGAGAGAAGCCTCCTCCTGAGGTGCTTCTGGGAAGTTGGCATACGTCTTGAGCCTAAGCCAGGGAATCAGCTCGCATCTCGAGACGACTTGGGGTACACGGAGCATTCCTCGAGTTGCTGTGCTGAAGTTGGTGTTCCTCTAGACTTGGGACAGTGTTCTCGGGGCATCTCTGGAGTTGCCTGAAGGAAGTCGAGCCACCGGTCGTGTTGAATGGGGAACGGGGAATGGCTCTGGAGTCAATGCAGGGGAATCGGGCCTCATCTCGAGCTGATTTGGGGCACATGGAGCTGCTTTGCGTTGCTGGGGTGACCTCAGGGTCCGTCTAGACTGGTGACAGTGTTCTTGGGGACTGTCTCGAGATCCATTAAGCAAGTCGAAGCTCCTGACTTGTTTGAATGGGGTCACGGAATAGCTCTGCATGCACTGCAGGGGAATGGGGCCTCATCTCGCCTCTAGGGGGAAGTCTCATGGTTTTTCTCGAGTTGCGGCGGGGACCTGGGGTATGTTCTCGACTTACGGCGGGGATGGCCCTTCAAAACACGAGTTTCTTCAGTGACGTCAGGACTCCTGTCTAGTAACGAGGGACACCTCAGGAATCTCTTCGAGGCTTGGCAGGGCCAAAGGGACGCTTCTCGAGGTGAGGCAGGGCACCCAAGGACCCTTTCCAGTAGCCACAGGGATTTTGGGATTCCTATCAGTATTCAAGAGGAGTCAGGCATCGTCACCTTTTGAAGCAATGAACTCCGCGTGCCTCTCGAGGTGTCAGCGGGATGTGAGGCATTCCGTCAAAATGAGGCAGGGACCTAGGGCTTTCTCTAAGGTCTCCACAGGGGATTCAGACATCCCTTCATGTTGTGAGATGAAAGACGAGCCTGTATTCAAGCCACTGCAAGGAAATCCGGCCTCCTTTCAAGTTAGGGCTTCTCGCTGTATATTCCCCTTGAGGCAGCAAACTCGGGGTCCCTCCCACATACCTATTGCTGAGAGAAGCCTCCTCCTGAGGTGCTTCTGGGAAGTTGGCATACGTCTTGAGCCTAAGCCAGGGAATCAGCTCGCATCTCGAGACGACTTGGGGTACACGGAGCATTCCTCGAGTTGCTGTGCTGAAGTTGGTGTTCCTCTAGACTTGGGACAGTGTTCTCGGGGCATCTCTGGAGTTGCCTGAAGGAAGTCGAGCCACCGGTCGTGTTGAATGGGGAACGGGGAATGGCTCTGGAGTCAATGCAGGGGAATCGGGCCTCATCTCGAGTTGATTTGGGGCACATGGAGCTGCTTTGCGTTGCTGGGGTGACCTCAGGGTCCGTCTAGACTGGTGACAGTGTTCTTGGGGACTGTCTCGAGATCCATTAAGCAAGTCGAAGCTCCTGACTTGTTTGAATGGGGTCACGGAATAGCTCTGCATGCACTGCAGGGGAATGGGGCCTCATCTCGCCTCTAGGGGGAAGTCTCATGGTTTTTCTCGAGTTGCGGCGGGGACCTGGGGTATGTTCTCGACTTACGGCGGGGATGGCCCTTCAAAACACGAGTTTCTTCAGTGACGTCAGGACTCCTGTCTAGTAAAGAGGGACACCTCAGGAATCTCTTCGAGGCTTGGCAGGGCAAAAGGGACGCTTCTCGAGGTGAGGCAGGGCACCCAAGGACCCTTTCCAGTAGCCACAGGGATTTTGGGATTCCTTTCAGTATTCAAGAGGAGTCAGGCATCGTCACCTTTTGAAGCAATGAACTCCGCGTGCCTCTCGAGGTGTCAGCGGGATGTGAGGCATTCCGTCAAAATGAGGCAGGGACCTAGGGCTTTCTCTAAGGTCTCCACAGGGGATTCAGACATCCCTTCATGTTGTGAGATGAAAGACGAGCCTGTATTCAAGCCACTGCAAGGAAATCCGGCCTCCTTTCAAGTTAGGGCTTCTCGCTGTATATTCCCCTTGAGGCAGCAAATTCGGGGTCCCTCCCACATACCTATTGCTGAGAGAAGCCTCCTCCTGAGGTGCTTCTGGGAAGTTGGCATACGTCTTGAGCCTAAGCCAGGGAATCAGCTCGCATCTCGAGACGACTTGGGGTACACGGAGCATTCCTCGAGTTGCTGTGCTGAAGTTGGTGTTCCTCTAGACTTGGGACAGTGTTCTCGGGGCATCTCTGGAGTTGCCTGAAGGAAGTCGAGCCACCGGTCGTGTTGAATGGGGAACGGGGAATGGCTCTGGAGTCAATGCAGGGGAATCGGGCCTCATCTCGAGCTGATTTGGGGCACATGGAGCTGCTTTGCGTTGCGGGGGTGACCTCAGGGTCCGTCTAGACTGGTGACAGTGTTCTTGGGGAATGTCTCGAGATCCATTAAGCAAGTCGAAGCTCCTGACTTGTTTGAATGGGGTCACGGAATAGCTCTGCATGCACTGCAGGGGAATGGGGCCTCATCTCGCCTCTAGGGGGAAGTCTCATGGTTTTTCTCGAGTTGCGGCGGGGACCTGGGGTATGTTCTCGACTTACGGCGGGGATGGCCCTTCAAAACACGAGTTTCTTCAGTGACGTCAGGACTCCTGTCTAGTAACGAGGGACACCTCAGGAATCTCTTCGAGGCTTGGCAGGGCCAAAGGGACGCTTCTCGAGGTGAGGCAGGGCACCCAAGGACCCTTTCCAGTAGCCACAGGGATTTTGGGATTCCTATCAGTATTCAAGAGGAGTCAGGCATCGTCACCTTTTGAAGCAATGAACTCCGCGTGCCTCTCGAGGTGTCAGCGGGATGTGAGGCATTCCGTCAAAATGAGGCAGGGACCTAGGGCTTTCTCTAAGGTCTCCACAGGGGATTCAGACATCCCTTCATGTTGTGAGATGAAAGACGAGCCTGTATTCAAGCCACTGCAAGAAAATCCGGCCTCCTTTCAAGTTAGGGCTTCTCGCTGTATATTCCCCTTGAGGCAGCAAACTCGGGGTCCCTCCCACATACCTATTGCTGAGAGAAGCCTCCTCCTGAGGTGCTTCTGGGAAGTTGGCATACGTCTTGAGCCTAAGCCAGGGAATCAGCTCGCATCTCGAGACGACTTGGGGTACACGGAGCATTCCTCGAGTTGCTGTGCTGAAGTTGGTGTTCCTCTAGACTTGGGACAGTGTTCTCGGGGCATCTCTGGAGTTGCCTGAAGGAAGTCGAGCCACCGGTCGTGTTGAATGGGGAACGGGGAATGGCTCTGGAGTCAATGCAGGGGAATCGGGCCTCATCTCGAGTTGATTTGGGGCACATGGAGCTGCTTTGCGTTGCTGGGGTGACCTCAGGGTCCGTCTAGACTGGTGACAGTGTTCTTGGGGACTGTCTCGAGATCCATTAAGCAAGTCGAAGCTCCTGACTTGTTTGAATGGGGTCACGGAATAGCTCTGCATGCACTGCAGGGGAATGGGGCCTCATCTCGCCTCTAGGGGGAAGTCTCATGGTTTTTCTCGAGTTGCGGCGGGGACCTGGGGTATGTTCTCGACTTACGGCGGGGATGGCCCTTCAAAACACGAGTTTCTTCAGTGACGTCAGGACTCCTGTCTAGTAACGAGGGACACCTCAGGAATCTCTTCGAGGCTTGGCAGGGCAAAAGGGACGCTTCTCGAGGTGAGGCAGGGCACCCAAGGACCCTTTCCAGTAGCCACAGGGATTTTGGGATTCCTTTCAGTATTCAAGAGGAGTCAGGCATCATCACCTTTTGAAGCAATGAACTCCGCGTGCCTCTCGAGGTGTCAGCGGGATGTGAGGCATTCCGTCAAAATGAGGCAGGGACCTAGGGCTTTCTCTAAGGTCTCCACAGGGGATTCAGACATCCCTTCATGTTGTGAGATGAAAGACGAGCCTGTATTCAAGCCACTGCAAGGAAATCCGGCCTCCTTTCAAGTTAGGGCTGCTCGCTGTATATTCCCCTTGAGGCAGCAAACTCGGGGTCCCTCCCACATACCTATTGCTGAGAGAAGCCTCCTCCTGAGGTGCTTCTGGGAAGTTGGCATACGTCTTGAGCCTAAGCCAGGGAATCAGCTCGCATCTCGAGACGACTTGGGGTACACGGAGCATTCCTCGAGTTGCTGTGCTGAAGTTGGTGTTCCTCTAGACTTGGGACAGTGTTCTCGGGGCATCTCTGGAGTTGCCTGAAGGAAGTCGAGCCACCGGTCGTGTTGAATGGGGAACGGGGAATGGCTCTGGAGTCAATGCAGGGGAATCGGGCCTCATCTCGAGCTGATTTGGGGCACATGGAGCTGCTTTGCGTTGCTGGGGTGACCTCAGGGTCCGTCTAGACTGGTGACAGTGTTCTTGGGGACTGTCTCGAGATCCATTAAGCAAGTCGAAGCTCCTGACTTGTTTGAATGGGGTCACGGAATAGCTCTGCATGCACTGCAGGGGAATGGGGCCTCATCTCGCCTCTAGGGGGAAGTCTCATGGTTTTTCTCGAGTTGCGGCGGGGACCTGGGGTATGTTCTCGACTTACGGCGGGGATGGCCCTTCAAAACACGAGTTTCTTCAGTGACGTCAGGACTCCTGTCTAGTAACGAGGGACACCTCAGGAATCTCTTCGAGGCTTGGCAGGGCCAAAGGGACGCTTCTCGAGGTGAGGCAGGGCACCCAAGGACCCTTTCCAGTAGCCACAGGGATTTTGGGATTCCTATCAGTATTCAAGAGGAGTCAGGCATCGTCACCTTTTGAAGCAATGAACTCCGCGTGCCTCTCGAGGTGTCAGCGGGATGTGAGGCATTCCGTCAAAATGAGGCAGGGACCTAGGGCTTTCTCTAAGGTCTCCACAGGGGATTCAGACATCCCTTCATGTTGTGAGATGAAAGACGAGCCTGTATTCAAGCCACTGCAAGGAAATCCGGCCTCCTTTCAAGTTAGGGCTTCTCGCTGTATATTCCCCTTGAGGCAGCAAACTCGGGGTCCCTCCCACATACCTATTGCTGAGAGAAGCCTCCTCCTGAGGTGCTTCTGGGAAGTTGGCATACGTCTTGAGCCTAAGCCAGGGAATCAGCTCGCATCTCGAGACGACTTGGGGTACACGGAGCATTCCTCGAGTTGCTGTGCTGAAGTTGGTGTTCCTCTAGACTTGGGACAGTGTTCTCGGGGCATCTCTGGAGTTGCCTGAAGGAAGTCGAGCCACCGGTCGTGTTGAATGGGGAACGGGGAATGGCTCTGGAGTCAATGCAGGGGAATCGGGCCTCATCTCGAGTTGATTTGGGGCACATGGAGCTGCTTTGCGTTGCTGGGGTGACCTCAGGGTCCGTCTAGACTGGTGACAGTGTTCTTGGGGACTGTCTCGAGATCCATTAAGCAAGTCGAAGCTCCTGACTTGTTTGAATGGGGTCACGGAATAGCTCTGCATGCACTGCAGGGGAATGGGGCCTCATCTCGCCTCTAGGGGGAAGTCTCATGGTTTTTCTCGAGTTGCGGCGGGGACCTGGGGTATGTTCTCGACTTACGGCGGGGATGGCCCTTCAAAACACGAGTTTCTTCAGTGACGTCAGGACTCCTGTCTAGTAAAGAGGGACACCTCAGGAATCTCTTCGAGGCTTGGCAGGGCAAAAGGGACGCTTCTCGAGGTGAGGCAGGGCACCCAAGGACCCTTTCCAGTAGCCACAGGGATTTTGGGATTCCTTTCAGTATTCAAGAGGAGTCAGGCATCATCACCTTTTGAAGCAATGAACTCCGCGTGCCTCTCGAGGTGTCAGCGGGATGTGAGGCATTCCGTCAAAATGAGGCAGGGACCTAGGGCTTTCTCTAAGGTCTCCACAGGGGATTCAGACATCCCTTCATGTTGTGAGATGAAAGACGAGCCTGTATTCAAGCCACTGCAAGGAAATCCGGCCTCCTTTCAAGTTAGGGCTTCTCGCTGTATATTCCCCTTGAGGCAGCAAATTCGGGGTCCCTCCCACATACCTATTGCTGAGAGAAGCCTCCTCCTGAGGTGCTTCTGGGAAGTTGGCATACGTCTTGAGCCTAAGCCAGGGAATCAGCTCGCATCTCGAGACGACTTGGGGTACACGGAGCATTCCTCGAGTTGCTGTGCTGAAGTTGGTGTTCCTCTAGACTTGGGACAGTGTTCTCGGGGCATCTCTGGAGTTGCCTGAAGGAAGTCGAGCCACCGGTCGTGTTGAATGGGGAACGGGGAATGGCTCTGGAGTCAATGCAGGGGAATCGGGCCTCATCTCGAGCTGATTTGGGGCACATGGAGCTGCTTTGCGTTGCTGGGGTGACCTCAGGGTCCGTCTAGACTGGTGACAGTGTTCTTGGGGACTATCTCGAGATCCATTAAGCAAGTCGAAGCTCCTGACTTGTTTGAATGGGGTCACGGAATAGCTCTGCATGCACTGCAGGGGAATGGGGCCTCATCTCGCCTCTAGGGGGAAGTCTCATGGTTTTTCTCGAGTTGCGGCGGGGACCTGGGGTATGTTCTCGACTTACGGCGGGGATGGCCCTTCAAAACACGAGTTTCTTCAGTGACGTCAGGACTCCTGTCTAGTAACGAGGGACACCTCAGGAATCTCTTCGAGGCTTGGCAGGGCCAAAGGGACGCTTCTCGAGGTGAGGCAGGGCACCCAAGGACCCTTTCCAGTAGCCACAGGGATTTTGGGATTCCTATCAGTATTCAAGAGGAGTCAGGCATCGTCACCTTTTGAAGCAATGAACTCCGCGTGCCTCTCGAGGTGTCAGCGGGATGTGAGGCATTCCGTCAAAATGAGGCAGGGACCTAGGGCTTTCTCTAAGGTCTCCACAGGGGATTCAGACATCCCTTCATGTTGTGAGATGAAAGACGAGCCTGTATTCAAGCCACTGCAAGAAAATCCGGCCTCCTTTCAAGTTAGGGCTTCTCGCTGTATATTCCCCTTGAGGCAGCAAACTCGGGGTCCCTCCCACATACCTATTGCTGAGAGAAGCCTCCTCCTAGGTGCTTCTGGGAAGTTGGCATACGTCTTGAGCCTAAGCCAGGGAATCAGCTCGCATCTCGAGACGACTTGGGGTACACGGAGCATTCCTCGAGTTGCTGTGCTGAAGTTGGTGTTCCTCTAGACTTGGGACAGTGTTCTCGGGGCATCTCTGGAGTTGCCTGAAGGAAGTCGAGCCACCGGTCGTGTTGAATGGGGAACGGGGAATGGCTCTGGAGTCAATGCAGGGGAATCGGGCCTCATCTCGAGTTGATTTGGGGCACATGGAGCTGCTTTGCGTTGCTGGGGTGACCTCAGGGTCCGTCTAGACTGGTGACAGTGTTCTTGGGGACTGTCTCGAGATCCATTAAGCAAGTCGAAGCTCTTGACTTGTTTGAATGGGGTCACGGAATAGCTCTGCATGCACTGCAGGGGAATGGGGCCTCATCTCGCCTCTAGGGGGAAGTCTCATGGTTTTTCTCGAGTTGCGGCGGGGACCTGGGGTATGTTCTCGACTTACGGCGGGGATGGCCCTTCAAAACACGAGTTTCTTCAGTGACGTCAGGACTCCTGTCTAGTAACGAGGGACACCTCAGGAATCTCTTCGAGGCTTGGCAGGGCCAAAGGGACGCTTCTCGAGGTGAGGCAGGGCACCCAAGGACCCTTTCCAGTAGCCACAGGGATTTTGGGATTCCTATCAGTATTCAAGAGGAGTCAGGCATCGTCACCTTTTGAAGCAATGAACTCCGCGTGCCTCTCGAGGTGTCAGCGGGATGTGAGGCATTCCGTCAAAACGAGGCAGGGACCTAGGGCTTTCTCTAAGGTCTCCACAGGGGATTCAGACATCCCTTCATGTTGTGAGATGAAAGACGAGCCTGTATTCAAGCCACTGCAAGGAAATCCGGCCTCCTTTCAAGTTAGGGCTTCTCGCTGTATATTCCCCTTGAGGCAGCACACTCGGGGTCCCTCCCACATACCTATTGCTGAGAGAAGCCTCCTCCTGAGGTGCTTCTGGGAAGTTGGCATACGTCTTGAGCCTAAGCCAGGGAATCAGCTCGCATCTCGAGACGACTTGGGGTACACGGAGCATTCCTCGAGTTGCTGTGCTGAAGTTGGTGTTCCTCTAGACTTGGGACAGTGTTCTCGGGGCATCTCTGGAGTTGCCTGAAGGAAGTCGAGCCACCGGTCGTGTTGAATGGGGAACGGGGAATGGCTCTGGAGTCAATGCAGGGGAATCGGGCCTCATCTCGAGTTGATTTGGGGCACATGGAGCTGCTTTGCGTTGCTGGGGTGACCTCAGGGTCCATCTAGACTGGTGACAGTGTTCTTGGGGACTGTCTCGAGATCCATTAAGCAAGTCGAAGCTCCTGACTTGTTTGAATGGGGTCACGGAATAGCTCTGCATGCACTGCAGGGGAATGGGGCCTCATCTCGCCTCTAGGGGGAAGTCTCATGGTTTTTCTCGAGTTGCGGCGGGGACCTGGGGTATGTTCTCGACTTACGGCGGGGATGGCCCTTCAAAACACGAGTTTCTTCAGTGACGTCAGGACTCCTGTCTAGTAACGAGGGACACCTCAGGAATCTCTTCGAGGCTTGGCAGGGCAAAAGGGACGCTTCTCGAGGTGAGGCAGGGCACCCAAGGACCCTTTCCAGTAGCCACAGGGATTTTGGGATTCCTATCAGTATTCAAGAGGAGTCAGGCATCGTCACCTTTTGAAGCAATGAATTCCGCGTGCCTCTCGAGGTGTCAGCGGGATGTGAGGCATTCCGTCAAAATGAGGCAGGGACCTAGGGCTTTCTCTAAGGTCTCCACAGGGGATTCAGACATCCCTTCATGTTGTGAGATGAAAGACGAGCCTGTATTCAAGCCACTGCAAGGAAATCCGGCCTCCTTTCAAGTTAGGGCTTCTCGCTGTATATTCCCCTTGAGGCAGCAAACTCGGGGTCCCTCCCACATACCTATTGCTGAGAGAAGCCTCCTCCTGAGGTGCTTCTGGGAAGTTGGCATACGTCTTGAGCCTAAGCCAGGGAATCAGATCGCATCTCGAGACGACTTGGGGTACACGGAGCATTCCTCGAGTTGCTGTGCTGAAGTTGGTGTTCCTCTAGACTTGGGACAGTGTTCTCGGGGCATCTCTGGAGTTGCCTGAAGGAAGTCGAGCCACCGGTCGTGTTGAATGGGGAACGGGGAATGGCTCTGGAGTCAATGCAGGGGAATCGGGCCTCATCTCGAGCTGATTTGGGGCACATCGAGCTGCTTTGCGTTGCCGGGGTGACCTCAGGGTCCGTCTAGACTGGTGACAGTGTTCTTGGGGACTGTCTCGAGATCCATTAAGCAAGTCGAAGCTCCTGACTTGTTTGAATGGGGTCACGGAATAGCTCTGCATGCACTGCAGGGGAATGGGGCCTCATCTCGCCTCTAGGGGGAAGTCTCATGGTTTTTCTCGAGTTGCGGCGGGGACCTGGGGTATGTTCTCGACTTACGGCGGGGATGGCCCTTCAAAACACGAGTTTCTTCAGTGACGTCAGGACTCCTGTCTAGTAACGAGGGACACCTCAGGAATCTCTTCGAGGCTTGGCAGGGCAAAAGGGACGCTTCTCGAGGTGAGGCAGGGCACCCAAGGACCCTTTCCAGTAGCCACAGGGATTTTGGGATTCCTATCAGTATTCAAGAGGAGTCAGGCATCGTCACCTTTTGAAGCAATGAACTCCGCGTGCCTCTCGAGGTGTCAGCGGGATGTGAGGCATTCCGTCAAAATGAGGCAGGGACCTAGGGCTTTCTCTAAGGTCTCCACAGGGGATTCAGACATCCCTTCATGTTGTGAGATGAAAGACGAGCCTGTATTCAAGCCACTGCAAGGAAATCCGGCCTCCTTTCAAGTTAGGGCTGCTCGCTGTATATTCCCCTTGAGGCAGCAAACTCGGGGTCCCTCCCACATAACTATTGCTGAGAGAAGCCTCCTCCTGAGGTGCTTCTGGGAAGTTGGCATACGTCTTGAGCCTAAGCCAGGGAATCAGCTCGCATCTCGAGACGACTTGGGGTAGACGGAGCATTCCTCGAGTTGCTGTGCTGAAGTTGGTGTTCCTCTAGACTTGGGACAGTGTTCTCGGGGCATCTCTGGAGTTGCCTGAAGGAAGTCGAGCCACCGGTCGTGTTGAATGGGGAACGGGGAATGGCTCTGGAGTCAATGCAGGGGAATCGGGCCTCATCTCGAGTTGATTTGGGGCACATGGAGCTGCTTTGCGTTGCTGGGGTGACCTCAGGGTCCGTCTAGACTGGTGACAGTGTTCTTGGGGACTGTCTCGAGATCCATTAAGCAAGTCGAAGCTCCTGACTTGTTTGAATGGGGTCACGGAATAGCTCTGCATGCACTGCAGGGGAATGGGGCCTCATCTCGCCTCTAGGGGGAAGTCTCATGGTTTTTCTCGAGTTGCGGCGGGGACCTGGGGTATGTTCTCGACTTACGGCGGGGATGGCCCTTCAAAACACGAGTTTCTTCAGTGACGTCAGGACTCCTGTCTAGTAACGAGGGACACCTCAGGAATCTCTTCGAGGCTTGGCAGGGCCAAAGGGACGCTTCTCGAGGTGAGGCAGGGCACCCAAGGACCCTTTCCAGTAGCCACAGGGATTTTGGGATTCCTATCAGTATTCAAGAGGAGTCAGGCATCGTCACCTTTTGAAGCAATGAACTCCGCGTGCCTCTCGAGGTGTCAGCGGGATGTGAGGCATTCCGTCAAAATGAGGCAGGGACCTAGGGCTTTCTCTAAGGTCTCCACAGGGGATTCAGACATCCCTTCATGTTGTGAGATGAAAGACGAGCCTGTATTCAAGCCACTGCAAGGAAATCCGGCCTCCTTTCAAGTTAGGGCTTCTCGCTGTATATTCCCCTTGAGGCAGCAAACTCGGGGTCCCTCCCACATACCTATTGCTGAGAGAAGCCTCCTCCTGAGGTGCTTCTGGGAAGTTGGCATACGTCTTGAGCCTAAGCCAGGGAATCAGCTCGCATCTCGAGACGACTTGGGGTACACGGAGCATTCTTCGAGTTGCTGTGCTGAAGTTGGTGTTCCTCTAGACTTGGGACAGTGTTCTCGGGGCATCTCTGGAGTTGCCTGAAGGAAGTCGAGCCACCGGTCGTGTTGAATGGGGAACGGGGAATGGCTCTGGAGTCAATGCAGGGGAATCGGGCCTCATCTCGAGCTGATTTGGGGCACATGGAGCTGCTTTGCGTTGCCGGGGTGACCTCAGGGTCCGTCTAGACTGGTGACAGTGTTCTTGGGGACTGTCTCGAGATCCATTAAGCAAGTCGAAGCTCCTGACTTGTTTGAATGGGGTCACGGAATAGCTCTGCATGCACTGCAGGGGAATGGGGCCTCATCTCGCCTCTAGGGGGAAGTCTCATGGTTTTTCTCGAGTTGCGGCGGGGACCTGGGGTATGTTCTCGACTTACGGCGGGGATGGCCCTTCAAAACACGAGTTTCTTCAGTGACGTCAGGACTCCTGTCTAGTAACGAGGGACACCTCAGGAATCTCTTCGAGGCTTGGCAGGGCAAAAGGGACGCTTCTCGAGGTGAGGCAGGGCACCCAAGGACCCTTTCCAGTAGCCACAGGGATTTTGGGATTCCTATCAGTATTCAAGAGGAGTCAGGCATCGTCACCTTTTGAAGCAATGAACTCCGCGTGCCTCTCGAGGTGTCAGCGGGATGTGAGGCATTCCGTCAAAATGAGGCAGGGACCTAGGGCTTTCTCTAAGGTCTCCACAGGGGATTCAGACATCCCTTCATGTTGTGAGATGAAAGACGAGCCTGTATTCAAGACACTGCAAGGAAATCCGGCCTCCTTTCAAGTTAGGGCTTCTCGCTGTATATTCCCCTTGAGGCAGCAAACTCGGGGTCCCTCCCACATACCTATTGCTGAGAGAAGCCTCCTCCTGAGGTGCTTCTGGGAAGTTGGCATACGTCTTGAGCCTAAGCCAGGGAATCAGCTCGCATCTCGAGACGACTTGGGGTACACGGAGCATTCCTCGAGTTGCTGTGCTGAAGTTGGTGTTCCTCTAGACTTGGGACAGTGTTCTCGGGGCATCTCTGGAGTTGCCTGAAGGAAGTCGAGCCACCGGTCGTGTTGAATGGGGAACGGGGAATGGCTCTGGAGTCAATGCAGGGGAATCGGGCCTCATCTCGAGTTGATTTGGGGCACATGGAGCTGCTTTGCGTTGCTGGGGTGACCTCAGGGTCCATCTAGACTGGTGACAGTGTTCTTGGGGACTGTCTCGAGATCCATTAAGCAAGTCGAAGCTCCTGACTTGTTTGAATGGGGTCACGGAATAGCTCTGCATGCACTGCAGGGGAATGGGGCCTCATCTCGCCTCTAGGGGGAAGTCTCATGGTTTTTCTCGAGTTGCGGCGGGGACCTGGGGTATGTTCTCGACTTACGGCGGGGATGGCCCTTCAAAACACGAGTTTCTTCAGTGACGTCAGGACTCCTGTCTAGTAACGAGGGACACCTCAGGAATCTCTTCGAGGCTTGGCAGGGCAAAAGGGACGCTTCTCGAGGTGAGGCAGGGCACCCAAGGACCCTTTCCAGTAGCCACAGGGATTTTGGGATTCCTTTCAGTATTCAAGAGGAGTCAGGCATCATCACCTTTTGAAGCAATGAACTCCGCGTGCCTCTCGAGGTGTCAGCGGGATGTGAGGCATTCCGTCAAAATGAGGCAGGGACCTAGGGCTTTCTCTAAGGTCTCCACAGGGGATTCAGACATCCCTTCATGTTGTGAGATGAAAGACGAGCCTGTATTCAAGCCACTGCAAGGAAATCCGGCCTCCTTTCAAGTTAGGGCTTCTCGCTGTATATTCCCCTTGAGGCAGCAAACTCGGGGTCCCTCCCACATACCTATTGCTGAGAGAAGCCTCCTCCTGAGGTGCTTCTGGGAAGTTGGCATACGTCTTGAGCCTAAGCCAGGGAATCAGCTCGCATCTCGAGACGACTTGGGGTACACGGAGCATTCCTCGAGTTGCTGTGCTGAAGTTGGTGTTCCTCTAGACTTGGGACAGTGTTCTCGGGGCATCTCTGGAGTTGCCTGAAGGAAGTCGAGCCACCGGTCGTGTTGAATGGGGAACGGGGAATGGCTCTGGAGTCAATGCAGGGGAATCGGGCCTCATCTCGAGCTGATTTGGGGCACATGGAGCTGCTTTGCGTTGCTGGGGTGACCTCAGGGTCCGTCTAGACTGGTGACAGTGTTCTTGGGGACTGTCTCGAGATCCATTAAGCAAGTCGAAGCTCCTGACTTGTTTGAATGGGGTCACGGAATAGCTCTGCATGCACTGCAGGGGAATGGGGCCTCATCTCGCCTCTAGGGGGAAGTCTCATGGTTTTTCTCGAGTTGCGGCGGGGACCTGGGGTATGTTCTCGACTTACGGCGGGGATGGCCCTTCAAAACACGAGTTTCTTCAGTGACGTCAGGACTCCTGTCTAGTAACGAGGGACACCTCAGGAATCTCTTCGAGGCTTGGCAGGGCCAAAGGGACGCTTCTCGAGGTGAGGCAGGGCACCCAAGGACCCTTTCCAGTAGCCACAGGGATTTTGGGATTCCTATCAGTATTCAAGAGGAGTCAGGCATCGTCACCTTTTGAAGCAATGAACTCCGCGTGCCTCTCGAGGTGTCAGCGGGATGTGAGGCATTCCGTCAAAATGAGGCAGGGACCTAGGGCTTTCTCTAAGGTCTCCACAGGGGATTCAGACATCCCTTCATGTTGTGAGATGAAAGACGAGCCTGTATTCAAGCCACTGCAAGGAAATCCGGCCTCCTTTCAAGTTAGGGCTTCTCGCTGTATATTCCCCTTGAGGCAGCAAACTCGGGGTCCCTCCCATATACCTATTGCTGAGAGAAGCCTCCTCCTGAGGTGCTTCTGGGAAGTTGGCATACGTCTTGAGCCTAAGCCAGGGAATCAGCTCGCATCTCGAGACGACTTGGGGTACACGGAGCATTCCTCGAGTTGCTGTGCTGAAGTTGGTGTTCCTCTAGACTTGGGACAGTGTTCTCGGGGCATCTCTGGAGTTGCCTGAAGGAAGTCGAGCCACCGGTCGTGTTGAATGGGGAACGGGGAATGGCTCTGGAGTCAATGCAGGGGAATCGGGCCTCATCTCGAGTTGATTTGGGGCACATGGAGCTGCTTTGCGTTGCTGGGGTGACCTCAGGGTCCGTCTAGACTGGTGACAGTGTTCTTGGGGACTGTCTCGAGATCCATTAAGCAAGTCGAAGCTCCTGACTTGTTTGAATGGGGTCACGGAATAGCTCTGCATGCACTGCAGCTGAATGGGGCCTCATCTCGCCTCTAGGGGGAAGTCTCATGGTTTTTCTCGAGTTGCGGCGGGGACCTGGGGTATGTTCTCGACTTACGGCGGGGATGGCCCTTCAAAACACGAGTTTCTTCAGTGACGTCAGGACTCCTGTCTAGTAAAGAGGGACACCTCAGGAATCTCTTCGAGGCTTGGCAGGGCAAAAGGGACGCTTCTCGAGGTGAGGCAGGGCACCCAAGGACCCTTTCCAGTAGCCACAGGGATTTTGGGATTCCTTTCAGTATTCAAGAGGAGTCAGGCATCATCACCTTTTGAAGCAATGAACTCCGCGTGCCTCTCGAGGTGTCAGCGGGATGTGAGGCATTCCGTCAAAATGAGGCAGGGACCTAGGGCTTTCTCTAAGGTCTCCACAGGGGATTCAGACATCCCTTCATGTTGTGAGATGAAAGACGAGCCTGTATTCAAGCCACTGCAAGGAAATCCGGCCTCCTTTCAAGTTAGGGCTTCTCGCTGTATATTCCCCTTGAGGCAGCAAATTCGGGGTCCCTCCCACATACCTATTGCTGAGAGAAGCCTCCTCCTGAGGTGCTTCTGGGAAGTTGGCATACGTCTTGAGCCTAAGCCAGGGAATCAGCTCGCATCTCGAGACGACTTGGGGTACACGGAGCATTCCTCGAGTTGCTGTGCTGAAGTTGGTGTTCCTCTAGACTTGGGACAGTGTTCTCGGGGCATCTCTGGAGTTGCCTGAAGGAAGTCGAGCCACCGGTCGTGTTGAATGGGGAACGGGGAATGGCTCTGGAGTCAATGCAGGGGAATCGGGCCTCATCTCGAGCTGATTTGGGGCACATGGAGCTGCTTTGCGTTGCTGGGGTGACCTCAGGGTCCGTCTAGACTGGTGACAGTGTTCTTGGGGACTGTCTCGAGATCCATTAAGCAAGTCGAAGCTCCTGACTTGTTTGAATGGGGTCACGGAATAGCTCTGCATGCACTGCAGGGGAATGGGGCCTCATCTCGCCTCTAGGGGGAAGTCTCATGGTTTTTCTCGAGTTGCGGCGGGGACCTGGGGTATGTTCTCGACTTACGGCGGGGATGGCCCTTCAAAACACGAGTTTCTTCAGTGACGTCAGGACTCCTGTCTAGTAACGAGGGACACCTCAGGAATCTCTTCGAGGCTTGGCAGGGCCAAAGGGACGCTTCTCGAGGTGAGGCAGGGCACCCAAGGACCCTTTCCAGTAGCCACAGGGATTTTGGGATTCCTATCAGTATTCAAGAGGAGTCAGGCATCGTCACCTTTTGAAGCAATGAACTCCGCGTGCCTCTCGAGGTGTCAGCGGGATGTGAGGCATTCCGTCAAAATGAGGCAGGGACCTAGGGCTTTCTCTAAGGTCTCCACAGGGGATTCAGACATCCCTTCATGTTGTGAGATGAAAGACGAGCCTGTATTCAAGCCACTGCAAGAAAATCCGGCCTCCTTTCAAGTTAGGGCTTCTCGCTGTATATTCCCCTTGAGGCAGCAAACTCGGGGTCACTCCCACATACCTATTGCTGAGAGAAGCCTCCTCCTGAGGTGCTTCTGGGAAGTTGGCATACGTCTTGAGCCTAAGCCAGGGAATCAGCTCGCATCTCGAGACGACTTGGGGTACACGGAGCATTACTCGAGTTGCTGTGCTGAAGTTGGTGTTCCTCTAGACTTGGGACAGTGTTCTCGGGGCATCTCTGGAGTTGCCTGAAGGAAGTCGAGCCACCGGTCGTGTTGAATGGGGAACGGGGAATGGCTCTGGAGTCAATGCAGGGGAATCGGGCCTCATCTCGAGTTGATTTGGGGCACATGGAGCTGCTTTGCGTTGCTGGGGTGACCTCAGGGTCCGTCTAGACTGGTGACAGTGTTCTTGGGGACTGTCTCGAGATCCATTAAGCAAGTCGAAGCTCCTGACTTGTTTGAATGGGGTCACGGAATAGCTCTGCATGCACTGCAGGGGAATGGGGCCTCATCTCGCCTCTAGGGGGAAGTCTCATGGTTTTTCTCGAGTTGCGGCGGGGACCTGGGGTATGTTCTCGACTTACGGCGGGGATGGCCCTTCAAAACACGAGTTTCTTCAGTGACGTCAGGACTCCTGTCTAGTAACGAGGGACACCTCAGGAATCTCTTCGAGGCTTGGCAGGGCCAAAGGGACGCTTCTCGAGGTGAGGCAGGGCACCCAAGGACCCTTTCCAGTAGCCACAGGGATTTTGGGATTCCTATCAGTATTCAAGAGGAGTCAGGCATCGTCACCTTTTGAAGCAATGAACTCCGCGTGCCTCTCGAGGTGTCAGCGGGATGTGAGGCATTCCGTCAAAACGAGGCAGGGACCTAGGGCTTTCTCTAAGGTCTCCACAGGGGATTCAGACATCCCTTCATGTTGTGAGATGAAAGACGAGCCTGTATTCAAGCCACTGCAAGGAAATCCGGCCTCCTTTCAAGTTAAGGCTTCTCGCTGTATATTCCCCTTGAGGCAGCAAACTCGGGGTCCCTCCCACATACCTATTGCTGAGAGAAGCCTCCTCCTGAGGTGCTTCTGGGAAGTTGGCATACGTCTTGAGCCTAAGCCAGGGAATCAGCTCGCATCTCGAGACGACTTGGGGTACACGGAGCATTCCTCGAGTTGCTGTGCTGAAGTTGGTGTTCCTCTAGACTTGGGACAGTGTTCTCGGGGCATCTCTGGAGTTGCCTGAAGGAAGTCGAGCCACCGGTCGTGTTGAATGGGGAACGGGGAATGGCTCTGGAGTCAATGCAGGGGAATCGGGCCTCATCTCGAGTTGATTTGGGGCACATGGAGCTGCTTTGCGTTGCTGGGGTGACCTCAGGGTCCATCTAGACTGGTGACAGTGTTCTTGGGGACTGTCTCGAGATCCATTAAGCAAGTCGAAGCTCCTGACTTGTTTGAATGGGGTCACGGAATAGCTCTGCATGCACTGCAGGGGAATGGGGCCTCATCTCGCCTCTAGGGGGAAGTCTCATGGTTTTTCTCGAGTTGCGGCGGGGACCTGGGGTATGTTCTCGACTTACGGCGGGGATGGCCCTTCAAAACACGAGTTTCTTCAGTGACGTCAGGACTCCTGTCTAGTAACGAGGGACACCTCAGGAATCTCTTCGAGGCTTGGCAGGGCAAAAGGGACGCTTCTCGAGGTGAGGCAGGGCACCCAAGGACCCTTTCCAGTAGCCACAGGGATTTTGGGATTCCTATCAGTATTCAAGAGGAGTCAGGCATCGTCACCTTTTGAAGCAATGAATTCCGCGTGCCTCTCGAGGTGTCAGCGGGATGTGAGGCATTCCGTCAAAATGAGGCAGGGACCTAGGGCTTTCTCTAAGGTCTCCACAGGGGATTCAGACATCCCTTCATGTTGTGAGATGAAAGACGAGCCTGTATTCAAGCCACTGCAAGGAAATCCGGCCTCCTTTCAAGTTAGGGCTTCTCGCTGTATATTCCCCTTGAGGCAGCAAACTCGGGGTCCCTCCCACATACCTATTGCTGAGAGAAGCCTCCTCCTGAGGTGCTTCTGGGAAGTTGGCATACGTCTTGAGCCTAAGCCAGGGAATCAGATCGCATCTCGAGACGACTTGGGGTACACGGAGCATTCCTCGAGTTGCTGCGCTGAAGTTGGTGTTCCTCTAGACTTGGGACAGTGTTCTCGGGGCATCTCTGGAGTTGCCTGAAGGAAGTCGAGCCACCGGTCGTGTTGAATGGGGAACGGGGAATGGCTCTGGAGTCAATGCAGGGGAATCGGGCCTCATCTCGAGCTGATTTGGGGCACATCGAGCTGCTTTGCGTTGCCGGGGTGACCTCAGGGTCCATCTAGACTGGTGACAGTGTTCTTGGGGACTGTCTCGAGATCCATTAAGCAAGTCGAAGCTCCTGACTTGTTTGAATGGGGTCACGGAATAGCTCTGCATGCACTGCAGGGGAATGGGGCCTCATCTCGCCTCTAGGGGGAAGTCTCATGGTTTTTCTCGAGTTGCGGCGGGGACCTGGGGTATGTTCTCGACTTACGGCGCGGATGGCCCTTCAAAACACGAGTTTCTTCAGTGACGTCAGGACTCCTGTCTAGTAACGAGGGACACCTCAGGAATCTCTTCGAGGCTTGGCAGGGCAAAAGGGACGCTTCTCGAGGTGAGGCAGGGCACCCAAGGACCCTTTCCAGTAGCCACAGGGATTTTGGGATTCCTATCAGTATTCAAGAGGAGTCAGGCATCGTCACCTTTTGAAGCAATGAACTCCGCGTGCCTCTCGAGGTGTCAGCGGGATGTGAGGCATTCCGTCAAAATGAGGCAGGGACCTAGGGCTTTCTCTAAGGTCTCCACAGGGGATTCAGACATCCCTTCATGTTGTGAGATGAAAGACGAGCCTGTATTCAAGCCACTGCAAGGAAATCCGGCCTCCTTTCAAGTTAGGGCTGCTCGCTGTATATTCCCCTTGAGGCAGCAAACTCGGGGTCCCTCCCACATAACTATTGCTGAGAGAAGCCTCCTCCTGAGGTGCTTCTGGGAAGTTGGCATACGTCTTGAGCCTAAGCCAGGGAATCAGCTCGCATCTCGAGACGACTTGGGGTAGACGGAGCATTCCTCGAGTTGCTGTGCTGAAGTTGGTGTTCCTCTAGACTTGGGACAGTGTTCTCGGGGCATCTCTGGAGTTGCCTGAAGGAAGTCGAGCCACCGGTCGTGTTGAATGGGGAACGGGGAATGGCTCTGGAGTCAATGCAGGGGAATCGGGCCTCATCTCGAGTTGATTTGGGGCACATGGAGCTGCTTTGCGTTGCTGGGGTGACCTCAGGGTCCGTCTAGACTGGTGACAGTGTTCTTGGGGACTGTCTCGAGATCCATTAAGCAAGTCGAAGCTCCTGACTTGTTTGAATGGGGTCACGGAATAGCTCTGCATGCACTGCAGGGGAATGGGGCCTCATCTCGCCTCTAGGGGGAAGTCTCATGGTTTTTCTCGAGTTGCGGCGGGGACCTGGGGTATGTTCTCGACTTACGGCGGGGATGGCCCTTCAAAACACGAGTTTCTTCAGTGACGTCAGGACTCCTGTCTAGTAACGAGGGACACCTCAGGAATCTCTTCGAGGCTTGGCAGGGCCAAAGGGACGCTTCTCGAGGTGAGGCAGGGCACCCAAGGACCCTTTCCAGTAGCCACAGGGATTTTGGGATTCCTATCAGTATTCAAGAGGAGTCAGGCATCGTCACCTTTTGAAGCAATGAACTCCGCGTGCCTCTCGAGGTGTCAGCGGGATGTGAGGCATTCCGTCAAAATGAGGCAGGGACCTAGGGCTTTCTCTAAGGTCTCCACAGGGGATTCAGACATCCCTTCATGTTGTGAGATGAAAGACGAGCCTGTATTCAAGCCACTGCAAGGAAATCCGGCCTCCTTTCAAGTTAGGGCTTCTCGCTGTATATTCCCCTTGAGGCAGCAAACTCGGGGTCCCTCCCACATACCTATTGCTGAGAGAAGCCTCCTCCTGAGGTGCTTCTGGGAAGTTGGCATACGTCTTGAGCCTAAGCCAGGGAATCAGCTCGCATCTCGAGACGACTTGGGGTACACGGAGCATTCTTCGAGTTGCTGTGCTGAAGTTGGTGTTCCTCTAGACTTGGGACAGTGTTCTCGGGGCATCTCTGGAGTTGCCTGAAGGAAGTCGAGCCACCGGTCGTGTTGAATGGGGAACGGGGAATGGCTCTGGAGTCAATGCAGGGGAATCGGGCCTCATCTCGAGCTGATTTGGGGCACATGGAGCTGCTTTGCGTTGCCGGGGTGACCTCAGGGTCCGTCTAGACTGGTGACAGTGTTCTTGGGGACTGTCTCGAGATCCATTAAGCAAGTCGAAGCTCCTGACTTGTTTGAATGGGGTCACGGAATAGCTCTGCATGCACTGCAGGGGAATGGGGCCTCATCTCGCCTCTAGGGGGAAGTCTCATGGTTTTTCTCGAGTTGCGGCGGGGACCTGGGGTATGTTCTCGACTTACGGCGGGGATGGCCCTTCAAAACACGAGTTTCTTCAGTGACGTCAGGACTCCTGTCTAGTAACGAGGGACACCTCAGGAATCTCTTCGAGGCTTGGCAGGGCAAAAGGGACGCTTCTCGAGGTGAGGCAGGGCACCCAAGGACCCTTTCCAGTAGCCACAGGGATTTTGGGATTCCTATCAGTATTCAAGAGGAGTCAGGCATCGTCACCTTTTGAAGCAATGAACTCCGCGTGCCTCTCGAGGTGTCAGCGGGATGTGAGGCATTCCGTCAAAATGAGGCAGGGACCTAGGGCTTTCTCTAAGGTCTCCACAGGGGATTCAGACATCCCTTCATGTTGTGAGATGAAAGACGAGCCTGTATTCAAGACACTGCAAGGAAATCCGGCCTCCTTTCAAGTTAGGGCTTCTCGCTGTATATTCCCCTTGAGGCAGCAAACTCGGGGTCCCTCCCACATACCTATTGCTGAGAGAAGCCTCCTCCTGAGGTGCTTCTGGGAAGTTGGCATACGTCTTGAGCCTAAGCCAGGGAATAGGCTCGCATCTCGAGACGACTTGGGGTACACGGAGCATTCCTCGAGTTGCTGTGCTGAAGTTGGTGTTCCTCTAGACTTGGGACAGTGTTCTCGGGGCATCTCTGGAGTTGCCTGAAGGAAGTCGAGCCACCTGTCGTGTTGAATGGGGAACGGGGAATGGCTCTGGAGTCAATGCAGGGGAATCGGGCCTCATCTCGAGTTGATTTGGGGCACATGGAGCTGCTTTGCGTTGCTGGGGTGACCTCAGGGTCCATCTAGACTGGTGACAGTGTTCTTGGGGACTGTCTCGAGATCCATTAAGCAAGTCGAAGCTCCTGACTTGTTTGAATGGGGTCACGGAATAGCTCTGCATGCACTGCAGGGGAATGGGGCCTCATCTCGCCTCTAGGGGGAAGTCTCATGGTTTTTCTCGAGTTGCGGCGGGGACCTGGGGTATGTTCTCGACTTACGGCGGGGATGGCCCTTCAAAACACGAGTTTCTTCAGTGACGTCAGGACTCCTGTCTAGTAACGAGGGACACCTCAGGAATCTCTTCGAGGCTTGGCAGGGCCAAAGGGACGCTTCTCGAGGTGAGGCAGGGCACCCAAGGACCCTTTCCAGTAGCCACAGGGATTTTGGGATTCCTATCAGTATTCAAGAGGAGTCAGGCATCGTCACCTTTTGAAGCAATGAACTTCGCGTGCCTCTCGAGGTGTCAGCGGGATGTGAGGCATTCCGTCAAAATGAGGCAGGGACCTAGGGCTTTCTGTAAGGTCTCCACAGGGGATTCAGACATCCCTTCATGTTGTGAGATGAAAGACGAGCCTGTATTCAAGCCACTGCAAGGAAATCCGGCCTCCTTTCAAGTTAGGGCTTCTCGCTGTATATTCCCCTTGAGGCAGCAAACTCGGGGTCCCTCCCACATACCTATTGCTGAGAGAAGCCTCCTCCTGAGGTGCTTCTGGGAAGTTGGCATACGTCTTGAGCCTAAGCCAGGGAATCAGCTCGCATCTCGAGACGACTTGGGGTACACGGAGCATTCCTCGAGTTGCTGTGCTGAAGTTGGTGTTCCTCTAGACTTGGGACAGTGTTCTCGGGGCATCTCTGGAGTTGCCTGAAGGAAGTCGAGCCACCGGTCGTGTTGAATGGGGAACGGGGAATGGCTCTGGAGTCAATGCAGGGGAATCGGGCCTCATCTCGAGCTGATTTGGGGCACATGGAGCTGCTTTGCGTTGCCGGGGTGACCTCAGGGTCCGTCTAGACTGGTGACAGTGTTCTTGGGGACTGTCTCGAGATCCATTAAGCAAGTCGAAGCTCCTGACTTGTTTGAATGGGGTCACGGAATAGCTCTGCATGCACTGCAGGGGAATGGGGCCTCATCTCGCCTCTAGGGGGAAGTCTCATGGTTTTTCTCGAGTTGCGGCGGGGACCTGGGGTATGTTCTCGACTTACGGCGGGGATGGCCCTTCAAAACACGAGTTTCTTCAGTGACGTCAGGACTCCTGTCTAGTAACGAGGGACACCTCAGGAATCTCTTCGAGGCTTGGCAGGGCAAAAGGGACGCTTCTCGAGGTGAGGCAGGGCACCCAAGGACCCTTTCCAGTAGCCACAGGGATTTTGGGATTCCTATCAGTATTCAAGAGGAGTCAGGCATCGTCACCTTTTGAAGCAATGAACTCCGCGTGCCTCTCGAGGTGTCAGCGGGATGTGAGGGATTCCGTCAAAATGAGGCAGGGACCTAGCGCTTTCTCTAAGGTCTCCACAGGGGATTCAGACATCCCTTCATGTTGTGAGATGAAAGACGAGCCTGTATTCAAGCCACTGCAAGGAAATCCGGCCTCCTTTCAAGTTAGGGCTTCTCGCTGTATATTCCCCTTGAGGCAGCAAACTCGGGGTCCCTCCCACATACCTATTGCTGAGAGAAGCCTCCTCCTGAGGTGCTTCTGGGAAGTTGGCATACGTCTTGAGCCTAAGCCAGGGAATCAGCTCGCATCTCGAGATGACTTGGGGTACACGGAGCATTCCTCGAGTTGCTGTGCTGAAGTTGGTGTTCCTCTAGACTTGGGACAGTGTTCTCGGGGCATCTCTGGAGTTGCCTGAAGGATGTCGAGCCACCGGTCGTGTTGAATGGGGAACGGGGAATGGCTCTGGAGTCAATGCAGGGGAATCGGGCCTCATCTCGAGCTGATTTGGCGCACATGGAGCTCCTTTGCGCTGCCGGGGTGACCTCAGGGTCCGTCTAGACTGGTGACAGTGTTCTTGGGGACTGTCTCGAGATCCATTAAGCAAGTCGAAGCTCCTGACTTGTTTGAATGGGGTCACGGAATAGCTCTGCATGCACTGCAGGGGAATGGGGCCTCATCTCGCCTCTAGGGGGAAGTCTCATGGTTTTTCTCGAGTTGCGGCGGGGACCTGGGGTATGTTCTCGACTTACGGCGGGGATGGCCCTTCAAAACACGAGTTTCTTCAGTGACGTCAGGACTCCTGTCTAGTAACGAGGGACACCTCAGGAATCTCTTCGAGGCTTGGCAGGGCCAAAGGGACGCTTCTCGAGGTGAGGCAGGGCACCCAAGGACCCTTTACCATAGCCACAGGGATTTTGGGATTCCTATCAGTATTCAAGAGGAGTCAGGCATCGTCACCTTTTGAAGCAATGAACTCCGCGTGCCTCTCGAGGTGTCAGCGGGATGTGAGGCATTCCGTCAAAATGAGGCAGGGACCTAGGGCTTTCTCTAAGGTCTCCACAGGGGATTCAGACATCCCTTCATGTTGTGAGATGAAAGACGAGCCTGTATTCAAGCCACTGCAAGGAAATCCGGCCTCCTTTCAAGTTAGGGCTTCTCGCTGTATATTCCCCTTGAGGCAGCAAACTCGGGGTCCCTCCCACATACCTATTGCTGAGAGAAGCCTCCTCCTGAGGTGCTTCTGGGAAGTTGGCATACGTCTTGAGCCTAAGCCAGGGAATCAGCTCGCATCTCGAGACGACTTGGGGTACACGGAGCATTCCTCGAGTTGCTGTGCTGAAGTTGGTGTTCCTCTAGACTTGGGACAGTGTTCTCGGGGCATCTCTGGACTTGCCTGAAGGAAGTCGAGCCACCGGTCGTGTTGAATGGGGAACGGGGAATGGCTCTGGAGTCAATGCAGGGGAATCGGGCCTCATCTCGAGTTGATTTGGGGCACATGGAGCTGCTTTGCGTTGCTGGGGTGACCTCAGGGTCCGTCTAGACTGGTGACAGTGTTCTTGGGGACTGTCTCGAGATCCATTAAGCAAGTCGAAGCTCCTGACTTGTTTGAATGGGATCACGGAATAGCTCTGCATGCACTGCAGGGGAATGGGGCCTCATCTCGCCTCTAGGGGGAAGTCTCATGGTTTTTCTCGAGTTGCGGCGGGGACCTGGGGCATGTTCTCGACTTACGGCGGGGATGGCCCTTCAAAACACGAGTTTCTTCAGTGACGTCAGGACTCCTGTCTAGTAACGAGGGACACCTCAGGAATCTCTTCGAGGCTTGGCAGGGCCAAAGGGACGCTTCTCGAGGTGAGGCAGGGCACCCAAGGACCCTTTCCCGTAGCCACAGGGATTTTGGGATTCCTATCAGTATTCAAGAGGAGTCAGGCATCGTCACCTTTTGAAGCAATGAACTCCGCGTGCCTCTCGAGGTGTCAGCGGGATGTGAGGCATTCCGTCAAAATGAGGCAGGGACCTAGGGCTTTCTCTAAGGTCTCCACAGGGGATTCAGACATCCCTTCATGTTGTGAGATGAAAGACGAGCCTGTATTCAAGCCACTGCAAGGAAATCCGGCCTCCTTTCAAGTTAGGGCTTCTCGCTGTATATTCCCCTTGAGGCAGCAAACTCGGGGTCCCTCCCACATACCTATTGCTGAGAGAAGCCTCCTCCTGAGGTGCTTCTGGGAAGTTGGCATACGTCTTGAGCCTAAGCCAGGGAATCAGCTCGCATCTCGAGACGACTTGGGGTACACGGAGCATTCCTCGAGTTGCTGTGCTGAAGTTGGTGTTCCTCTAGACTTGGGGCAGTGTTCTCGGGGCATCTCTGGAGTTGCCTGAAGGAAGTCGAGCCACCGGTCGTGTTGAATGGGGAACGGGGAATGGCTCTGGAGTCAATGCAGGGGAATCGGGCCTCATCTCGAGCTGATTTGGCGCACATGGAGCTCCTTTGCGTTGCCGGGGTGACCTCAGGGTCCGTCTAGACTGGTGACAGTGTTCTTGGGGACTGTCTCGAGATCCATTAAGCAAGTCGAAGCTCCTGACTTGTTTGAATGGGGTCACGGAATAGCTCTGCATGCACTGCAGGGGAATGGGGCCTCATCTCGCCTCTAGGGGGAAGTCTCATGGTTTTTCTCAAGTTGCGGCGGGGACCTGGGGTATGTTCTCGACTTACGGCGGGGATGGCCCTTCAAAACACGAGTTTCTTCAGTGACGTCAGGACTCCTGTCTAGTAACGAGGGACACCTCAGGAATCTCTTCGAGGCTTGGCAGGGCCAAAGGGACGCTTCTCGAGGTGAGGCAGGGCACCCAAGGACCCTTTCCCGTAGCCACAGGGATTTTGGGATTCCTATCAGTATTCAAGAGGAGTCAGGCATCGTCACCTTTAGAAGCAATGAACTCCGCGTGCCTCTCGAGGTGTCAGCGGGATGTGAGGCATTCCGTCAAAATGAGGCAGGGACCTAGGGCTTTCTCTAAGGTCTCCACAGGGGATTCAGACATCCCTTCATGTTGTGAGATGAAAGACGAGCCTGTATTCAAGCCACTGCAAGGAAATCCGGCCTCCTTTCAAGTTAGGGCTTCTCGCTGTATATTCCCCTTGAGGCAGCAAACTCGGGGTCCCTCCCACATACCTATTGCTGAGAGAAGCCTCCTCCTGAGGTGCTTCTGGGAAGTTGGCATACGTCTTGAGCCTAAGCCAGGGAATCAGCTCGCATCTCGAGACGACTTGGGGTACACGGAGCATTCCTCGAGTTGCTGTGCTGAAGTTGGTGTTCCTCTAGACTTGGGACAGTGTTCTCGGGGCATCTCTGGAGTTGCCTGAAGGAAGTCGAGCCACCGGTCGTGTTGAATGGGGAACGGGGAATGGCTCTGGAGTCAATGCAGGGGAATCGGGCCTCATCTCGAGCTGATTTGGCGCACATGGAGCTCCTTTGCGTTGCCGGGGTGACCTCAGGGTCCGTCTAGACTGGTGACAGTGTTCTTGGGGACTGTCTCGAGATCCATTAAGCAAGTCGAAGCTCCTGACTTGTTTGAATGGGGTCACGGAATAGCTCTGCATGCACTGCAGGGGAATGGGGCCTCATCTCGCCTCTAGGGGGAAGTCTCATGGTTTTTCTCGAGTTGCGGCGGGGACCTGGGGTATGTTCTCGACTTACGGCGGGGATGGCCCTTCAAAACACGAGTTTCTTCAGTGACGTCAGGACTCCTGTCTAGTAACGAGGGACACCTCAGGAATCTCTTCGAGGCTTGGCAGGGCCAAAGGGACGCTTCTCGAGTTGAGGCAGGGCACCCAAGGACCCTTTCCCGTAGCCACAGGGATTTTGGGATTCCTATCAGTATTCAAGAGGAGTCAGGCATCGTCACCTTTAGAAGCAATGAACTCCGCGTGCCTCTCGAGGTGTCAGCGGGATGTGAGGCATTCCGTCAAAATGAGGCAGGGACCTAGGGCTTTCTCTAAGGTCTCCACAGGGGATTCAGACATCCCTTCATGTTGTGAGATGAAAGACGAGCCTGTATTCAAGCCACTGCAAGGAAATCCGGCCTCCTTTCAAGTTAGGGCTTCTCGCTGTATATTCCCCTTGAGGCAGCAAACTCGGGGTCCCTCCCACATACCTATTGCTGAGAGAAGCCTCCTCCTGAGGTGCTTCTGGGAAGTTGGCATACGTCTTGAGCCTAAGCCAGGGAATCAGCTCTCATCTCGAGACGACTTGGGGTACACGGAGCATTCCTCGAGTTGCTGTGCTGAAGTTGGTGTTCCTCTAGACTTGGGACAGTGTTCTCGGGGCATCTCTGGAGTTGCCTGAAGGAAGTCGAGCCACCGGTCGTGTTGAATGGGGAACGGGGAATGGCTCTGGAGTCAATGCAGGGGAATCGGGCCTCATCTCGAGCTGATTTGGCGCACATGGAGCTCCTTTGCGTTGCCGGGGTGACCTCAGGGTCCGTCTAGACTGGTGACAGTGTTCTTGGGGACTGTCTCGAGATCCATTAAGCAAGTCGAAGCTCCTGACTTGTTTGAATGGGGTCACGGAATAGCTCTGCATGCACTGCAGGGGAATGGGGCCTCATCTCGCCTCTAGGGGGAAGTCTCATGGTTTTTCTCGAGTTGCGGCGGGGACCTGGGGTATGTTCTCGACTTACGGCGGGGATGGCCCTTCAAAACACGAGTTTCTTCAGTGACGTCAGGACTCCTGTCTAGTAACGAGGGACACCTCAGGAATCTCTTCGAGGCTTGGCAGGGGCAAAGGGACGCTTCTCGAGGTGAGGCAGGGCACCCAAGGACCCTTTCCAGTAGCCACAGGGATTTTGGGATTCCTATCAGTATTCAAGAGGAGTCAGGCATCGTCACCTTTTGAAGCAATGAACTCCGCGTTCCTCTCGAGGTGTCAGCGGGATGTGAGGCATTCCATCAAAATGAGGCAGGGACCTAGGGCTTTCTCTAAGGTCTCCACAGGGGATTCAGACATCCCTTCATGTTGTGAGATGAAAGACGAGCCTGTATTCAAGCCACTGCAAGGAAATCCGGCCTCCTTTCAAGTTAGGGCTTCTCGCTGTATATTCCCCTTGAGGCAGCAAACTCGGGGTCCCTCCCACATACCTATTGCTGAGAGAAGCCTCCTCCTGAGGTGCTTCTGGGAAGTTGGCATACGTCTTGAGCCTAAGCCAGGGAATCAGCTCGCATCTCGAGACGACTTGGGGTACACGGAGCATTCCTCGAGTTGCTGTGCTGAAGTTGGTGTTCCTCTAGACTTGGGACAGTGTTCTCGGGGCATCTCTGGAGTTGCCTGAAGGAAGTCGAGCCACCGGTCGTGTTGAATTTGGAACGGGGAATGGCTCTGGAGTCAATGCAGGGGAATCGGGCCTCATCTCGAGTTGATTTGGGGCACATGGAGCTGCTTTGCGTTGCTGGGGTGACCTCAGGGTCCGTCTAGACTGGTGACAGTGTTCTTGGGGACTGTCTCGAGATCCATTAAGCAAGTCGAAGCTCCTGACTTGTTTGAATGGGGTCATGGAATAGCTCTGCATGCACTGCAGGGGAATGGGGCCTCATCTCGCCTCTAGGGGGAAGTCTCATGGTTTTTCTCGAGTTGCGGCGGGGACCTGGGGTATGTTCTCGACTTACGGCGGGGATGGCCCTTCAAAACACGAGTTTCTTCAGTGACGTCAGGACTCCTGTCTAGTAACGAGGGACACCTCAGGAATCTCTTCGAGGCTTGGCAGGGCCAAAGGGACGCTTCTCGAGGTGAGGCAGGGCACCCAAGGACCCTTTCCAGTAGCCACAGGGATTTTGGGATTCCTATCAGTATTCAAGAGGAGTCAGGCATCGTCACCTTTTGAAGCAATGAACTCCGCGTGCCTCTCGAGGTGTCAGCGGGATGTGAGGCATTCCGTCAAAATGAGGCAGGGACCTAGGGCTTTCTCTAAGGTCTCCACAGGGGATTCAGACATCCCTTCATGTTGTGAGATGAAAGACGAGCCTGTATTCAAGCCACTGCAAGGAAATCCGGCCTCCTTTCAAGTTAGGGCTTCTCGCTGTATATTCCCCTTGAGGCAGCAAACTCGGGGTCCCTCCCACATACCTATTGCTGAGAGAAGCCTCCTCCTGAGGTGCTTCTGGGAAGTTGGCATACGTCTTGAGCCTAAGCCAGGGAATCAGCTCGCATCTCGAGACGACTTGAGGTACACGGAGCATTCCTCGAGTTGCTGTGCTGAAGTTGGTGTTCCTCTAGACTTGGGACAGTGTTCTCGGGGCATCTCTGGAGTTGCCTGAAGGAAGTCGAGCCACCGGTCGTGTTGAATGGGGAACGGGTAATGGCTCTGGAGTCAATGCAGGGGAATCGGGCCTCATCTCGAGTTGATTTGGGGCACATGGAGCTGCTTTGCGTTGCTGGGGTGACCTCAGGGTCCGTCTAGACTGGTGACAGTGTTCTTGGGGACTGTCTCGAGATCCATTAAGCAAGTCGTAGCTCCTGACTTGTTTGAATGGGGTCATGGAATAGCTCTGCATGCACTGCAGGGGAATGGGGCCTCATCTCGCCTCTAGGGGGAAGTCTCATGGTTTTTCTCGAGTTGCGGCGGGGACCTGGGGTATGTTCTCGACTTACGGCGGGGATGGCCCTTCAAAACACGAGTTTCTTCAGTGACGTCAGGACTCCTGTCTAGTAACGAGGGACACCTCAGGAATCTCTTCGAGGCTTGGCAGGGCAAAAGGGACGCTTCTCGAGGTGAGGCAGGGCACCCAAGGACCCTTTCCAGTAGCCACAGGGATTTTGGGATTCCTATCAGTATTCAAGAGGAGTCAGGCATCGTCACCTTTTGAAGCAATGAACTCCGCGTGCCTCTCGAGGTGTCAGCGGGATGTGAGGCATTCCGTCAAAATGAGGCAGGGACCTAGGGCTTTCTCTAAGGTCTCCACAGGGGATTCAGACATCCCTTCATGTTGTGAGATGAAAGACGAGCCTGTATTCAAGACACTGCAAGGAAATCCGGCCTCCTTTCAAGTTAGGGCTTCTCGCTGTATATTCCCCTTGAGGCAGCAAACTCGGGGTCCCTCCCACATACCTATTGCTGAGAGAAGCCTCCTCCTGAGGTGCTTCTGGGAAGTTGGCATACGTCTTGAGCCTAAGCCAGGGAATAGGCTCGCATCTCGAGACGACTTGGGGTACACGGAGCATTCCTCGAGTTGCTGTGCTGAAGTTGGTGTTCCTCTAGACTTGGGACAGTGTTCTCGGGGCATCTCTGGAGTTGCCTGAAGGAAGTCGAGCCACCTGTCGTGTTGAATGGGGAACGGGGAATGGCTCTGGAGTCAATGCAGGGGAATCGGGCCTCATCTCGAGTTGATTTGGGGCACATGGAGCTGCTTTGCGTTGCTGGGGTGACCTCAGGGTCCATCTAGACTGGTGACAGTGTTCTTGGGGACTGTCTCGAGATCCATTAAGCAAGTCGAAGCTCCTGACTTGTTTGAATGGGGTCACGGAATAGCTCTGCATGCACTGCAGGGGAATGGGGCCTCATCTCGCCTCTAGGGGGAAGTCTCATGGTTTTTCTCGAGTTGCGGCGGGGACCTGGGGTATGTTCTCGACTTACGGCGGGGATGGCCCTTCAAAACACGAGTTTCTTCAGTGACGTCAGGACTCCTGTCTAGTAACGAGGGACACCTCAGGAATCTCTTCGAGGCTTGGCAGGGCCAAAGGGACGCTTCTCGAGGTGAGGCAGGGCACCCAAGGACCCTTTCCAGTAGCCACAGGGATTTTGGGATTCCTATCAGTATTCAAGAGGAGTCAGGCATCGTCACCTTTTGAAGCAATGAACTTCGCGTGCCTCTCGAGGTGTCAGCGGGATGTGAGGCATTCCGTCAAAATGAGGCAGGGACCTAGGGCTTTCTGTAAGGTCTCCACAGGGGATTCAGACATCCCTTCATGTTGTGAGATGAAAGACGAGCCTGTATTCAAGCCACTGCAAGGAAATCCGGCCTCCTTTCAAGTTAGGGCTTCTCGCTGTATATTCCCCTTGAGGCAGCAAACTCGGGGTCCCTCCCACATACCTATTGCTGAGAGAAGCCTCCTCCTGAGGTGCTTCTGGGAAGTTGGCATACGTCTTGAGCCTAAGCCAGGGAATCAGCTCGCATCTCGAGACGACTTGGGGTACACGGAGCATTCCTCGAGTTGCTGTGCTGAAGTTGGTGTTCCTCTAGACTTGGGACAGTGTTCTCGGGGCATCTCTGGAGTTGCCTGAAGGAAGTCGAGCCACCGGTCGTGTTGAATGGGGAACGGGGAATGGCTCTGGAGTCAATGCAGGGGAATCGGGCCTCATCTCGAGTTGATTTGGGGCACATGGAGCTGCTTTGCGTTGCCGGGGTGACCTCAGGGTCCGTCTAGACTGGTGACAGTGTTCTTGGGGACTGTCTCGAGATCCATTAAGCAAGTCGAAGCTCCTGACTTGTTTGAATGGGGTCACGGAATAGCTCTGCATGCACTGCAGGGGAATGGGGCCTCATCTCGCCTCTAGGGGGAAGTCTCATGGTTTTTCTCGAGTTGCGGCGGGGACCTGGGGTATGTTCTCGACTTACGGCGGGGATGGCCCTTCAAAACACGAGTTTCTTCAGTGACGTCAGGAATCCTGTCTAGTAACGAGGGACACCTCAGGAATCTCTTCGAGGCTTGGCAGGGCAAAAGGGACGCTTCTCGAGGTGAGGCAGGGCACCCAAGGACCCTTTCCAGTAGCCACAGGGATTTTGGGATTCCTATCAGTATTCAAGAGGAGTCAGGCATCGTCACCTTTTGAAGCAATGAACTCCGCGTGCCTCTCGAGGTGTCAGCGGGATGTGAGGGATTCCGTCAAAATGAGGCAGGGACCTAGCGCTTTCTCTAAGGTCTCCACAGGGGATTCAGACATCCCTTCATGTTGTGAGATGAAAGACGAGCCTGTATTCAAGCCACTGCAAGGAAATCCGGCCTCCTTTCAAGTTAGGGCTTCTCGCTGTATATTCCCCTTGAGGCAGCAAACTCGGGGTCCCTCCCACATACCTATTGCTGAGAGAAGCCTCCTCCTGAGGTGCTTCTGGGAAGTTGGCATACGTCTTGAGCCTAAGCCAGGGAATCAGCTCGCATCTCGAGATGACTTGGGGTACACGGAGCATTCCTCGAGTTGCTGTGCTGAAGTTGGTGTTCCTCTAGACTTGGGACAGTGTTCTCGGGGCATCTCTGGAGTTGCCTGAAGGATGTCGAGCCACCGGTCGTGTTGAATGGGGAACGGGGAATGGCTCTGGAGTCAATGCAGGGGAATCGGGCCTCATCTCGAGCTGATTTGGCGCACATGGAGCTCCTTTGCGCTGCCGGGGTGACCTCAGGGTCCGTCTAGACTGGTGACAGTGTTCTTGGGGACTGTCTCGAGATCCATTAAGCAAGTCGAAGCTCCTGACTTGTTTGAATGGGGTCACGGAATAGCTCTGCATGCACTGCAGGGGAATGGGGCCTCATCTCGCCTCTAGGGGGAAGTCTCATGGTTTTTCTCGAGTTGCGGCGGGGACCTGGGGTATGTTCTCGACTTACGGCGGGGATGGCCCTTCAAAACACGAGTTTCTTCAGTGACGTCAGGACTCCTGTCTAGTAACGAGGGACACCTCAGGAATCTCTTCGAGGCTTGGCAGGGCCAAAGGGACGCTTCTCGAGGTGAGGCAGGGCACCCAAGGACCCTTTACCATAGCCACAGGGATTTTGGGATTCCTATCAGTATTCAAGAGGAGTCAGGCATCGTCACCTTTTGAAGCAATGAACTCCGCGTGCCTCTCGAGGTGTCAGCGGGATGTGAGGCATTCCGTCAAAATGAGGCAGGGACCTAGGGCTTTCTCTAAGGTCTCCACAGGGGATTCAGACATCCCTTCATGTTGTGAGATGAAAGACGAGCCTGTATTCAAGCCACTGCAAGGAAATCCGGCCTCCTTTCAAGTTAGGGCTTCTCGCTGTATATTCCCCTTGAGGCAGCAAACTCGGGGTCCCTCCCACATACCTATTGCTGAGAGAAGCCTCCTCCTGAGGTGCTTCTGGGAAGTTGGCATACGTCTTGAGCCTAAGCCAGGGAATCAGCTCGCATCTCGAGACGACTTGGGGTACACGGAGCATTCCTCGAGTTGCTGTGCTGAAGTTGGTGTTCCTCTAGACTTGGGACAGTGTTCTCGGGGCATCTCTGGACTTGCCTGAAGGAAGTCGAGCCACCGGTCGTGTTGAATGGGGAACGGGGAATGGCTCTGGAGTCAATGCAGGGGAATCGGGCCTCATCTCGAGTTGATTTGGGGCACATGGAGCTGCTTTGCGTTGCTGGGGTGACCTCAGGGTCCGTCTAGACTGGTGACAGTGTTCTTGGGGACTGTCTCGAGATCCATTAAGCAAGTCGAAGCTCCTGACTTGTTTGAATGGGATCACGGAATAGCTCTGCATGCACTGCAGGGGAATGGGGCCTCATCTCGCCTCTAGGGGGAAGTCTCATGGTTTTTCTCGAGTTGCGGCGGGGACCTGGGGCATGTTCTCGACTTACGGCGGGGATGGCCCTTCAAAACACGAGTTTCTTCAGTGACGTCAGGACTCCTGTCTAGTAACGAGGGACACCTCAGGAATCTCTTCGAGGCTTGGCAGGGCCAAAGGGACGCTTCTCGAGGTGAGGCAGGGCACCCAAGGACCCTTTCCCGTAGCCACAGGGATTTTGGGATTCCTATCAGTATTCAAGAGGAGTCAGGCATCGTCACCTTTTGAAGCAATGAACTCCGCGTGCCTCTCGAGGTGTCAGCGGGATGTGAGGCATTCCGTCAAAATGAGGCAGGGACCTAGGGCTTTCTCTAAGGTCTCCACAGGGGATTCAGACATCCCTTCATGTTGTGAGATGAAAGACGAGCCTGTATTCAAGCCACTGCAAGGAAATCCGGCCTCCTTTCAAGTTAGGGCTTCTCGCTGTATATTCCCCTTGAGGCAGCAAACTCGGGGTCCCTCCCACATACCTATTGCTGAGAGAAGCCTCCTCCTGAGGTGCTTCTGGGAAGTTGGCATACGTCTTGAGCCTAAGCCAGGGAATCAGCTCGCATCTCGAGACGACTTGGGGTACACGGAGCATTCCTCGAGTTGCTGTGCTGAAGTTGGTGTTCCTCTAGACTTGGGGCAGTGTTCTCGGGGCATCTCTGGAGTTGCCTGAAGGAAGTCGAGCCACCGGTCGTGTTGAATGGGGAACGGGGAATGGCTCTGGAGTCAATGCAGGGGAATCGGGCCTCATCTCGAGCTGATTTGGCGCACATGGAGCTCCTTTGCGTTGCCGGGGTGACCTCAGGGTCCGTCTAGACTGGTGACAGTGTTCTTGGGGACTGTCTCGAGATCCATTAAGCAAGTCGAAGCTCCTGACTTGTTTGAATGGGGTCACGGAATAGCTCTGCATGCACTGCAGGGGAATGGGGCCTCATCTCGCCTCTAGGGGGAAGTCTCATGGTTTTTCTCAAGTTGCGGCGGGGACCTGGGGTATGTTCTCGACTTACGGCGGGGATGGCCCTTCAAAACACGAGTTTCTTCAGTGACGTCAGGACTCCTGTCTAGTAACGAGGGACACCTCAGGAATCTCTTCGAGGCTTGGCAGGGCCAAAGGGACGCTTCTCGAGGTGAGGCAGGGCACCCAAGGACCCTTTCCCGTAGCCACAGGGATTTTGGGATTCCTATCAGTATTCAAGAGGAGTCAGGCATCGTCACCTTTAGAAGCAATGAACTCCGCGTGCCTCTCGAGGTGTCAGCGGGATGTGAGGCATTCCGTCAAAATGAGGCAGGGACCTAGGGCTTTCTCTAAGGTCTCCACAGGGGATTCAGACATCCCTTCATGTTGTGAGATGAAAGACGAGCCTGTATTCAAGCCACTGCAAGGAAATCCGGCCTCCTTTCAAGTTAGGGCTTCTCGCTGTATATTCCCCTTGAGGCAGCAAACTCGGGGTCCCTCCCACATACCTATTGCTGAGAGAAGCCTCCTCCTGAGGTGCTTCTGGGAAGTTGGCATACGTCTTGAGCCTAAGCCAGGGAATCAGCTCGCATCTCGAGACGACTTGGGGTACACGGAGCATTCCTCGAGTTGCTGTGCTGAAGTTGGTGTTCCTCTAGACTTGGGACAGTGTTCTCGGGGCATCTCTGGAGTTGCCTGAAGGAAGTCGAGCCACCGGTCGTGTTGAATGGGGAACGGGGAATGGCTCTGGAGTCAATGCAGGGGAATCGGGCCTCATCTCGAGCTGATTTGGCGCACATGGAGCTCCTTTGCGTTGCCGGGGTGACCTCAGGGTCCGTCTAGACTGGTGACAGTGTTCTTGGGGACTGTCTCGAGATCCATTAAGCAAGTCGAAGCTCCTGACTTGTTTGAATGGGGTCACGGAATAGCTCTGCATGCACTGCAGGGGAATGGGGCCTCATCTCGCCTCTAGGGGGAAGTCTCATGGTTTTTCTCGAGTTGCGGCGGGGACCTGGTGTATGTTCTCGACTTACGGCGGGGATGGCCCTTCAAAACACGAGTTTCTTCAGTGACGTCAGGACTCCTGTCTAGTAACGAGGGACACCTCAGGAATCTCTTCGAGGCTTGGCAGGGGCAAAGGGACGCTTCTCGAGGTGAGGCAGGGCACCCAAGGACCCTTTCCAGTAGCCACAGGGATTTTGGGATTCCTATCAGTATTCAAGAGGAGTCAGGCATCGTCACCTTTTGAAGCAATGAACTCCGCGTTCCTCTCGAGGTGTCAGCGGGATGTGAGGCATTCCATCAAAATGAGGCAGGGACCTAGGGCTTTCTCTAAGGTCTCCACAGGGGATTCAGACATCCCTTCATGTTGTGAGATGAAAGACGAGCCTGTATTCAAGCCACTGCAAGGAAATCCGGCCTCCTTTCAAGTTAGGGCTTCTCGCTGTATATTCCCCTTGAGGCAGCAAACTCGGGGTCCCTCCCACATACCTATTGCTGAGAGAAGCCTCCTCCTGAGGTGCTTCTGGGAAGTTGGCATACGTCTTGAGCCTAAGCCAGGGAATCAGCTCGCATCTCGAGACGACTTGGGGTACACGGAGCATTCCTCGAGTTGCTGTGCTGAAGTTGGTGTTCCTCTAGACTTGGGACAGTGTTCTCGGGGCATCTCTGGAGTTGCCTGAAGGAAGTCGAGCCACCGGTCGTGTTGAATTTGGAACGGGGAATGGCTCTGGAGTCAATGCAGGGGAATCGGGCCTCATCTCGAGTTGATTTGGGGCACATGGAGCTGCTTTGCGTTGCTGGGGTGACCTCAGGGTCCGTCTAGACTGGTGACAGTGTTCTTGGGGACTGTCTCGAGATCCATTAAGCAAGTCGAAGCTCCTGACTTGTTTGAATGGGGTCATGGAATAGCTCTGCATGCACTGCAGGGGAATGGGGCCTCATCTCGCCTCTAGGGGGAAGTCTCATGGTTTTTCTCGAGTTGCGGCGGGGACCTGGGGTATGTTCTCGACTTACGGCGGGGATGGCCCTTCAAAACACGAGTTTCTTCAGTGACGTCAGGACTCCTGTCTAGTAACGAGGGACACCTCAGGAATCTCTTCGAGGCTTGGCAGGGCCAAAGGGACGCTTCTCGAGGTGAGGCAGGGCACCCAAGGACCCTTTCCAGTAGCCACAGGGATTTTGGGATTCCTATCAGTATTCAAGAGGAGTCAGGCATCGTCACCTTTTGAAGCAATGAACTCCGCGTGCCTCTCGAGGTGTCAGCGGGATGTGAGGCATTCCGTCAAAATGAGGCAGGGACCTAGGGCTTTCTCTAAGGTCTCCACAGGGGATTCAGACATCCCTTCATGTTGTGAGATGAAAGACGAGCCTGTATTCAAGCCACTGCAAGGAAATCCGGCCTCCTTTCAAGTTAGGGCTTCTCGTTGTATATTCCCCTTGAGGCAGCAAACTCGGGGTCCCTCCCACATACCTATTGCTGAGAGAAGCCTCCTCCTGAGGTGCTTCTGGGAAGTTGGCATACGTCTTGAGCCTAAGCCAGGGAATCAGCTCGCATCTCGAGACGATTTGGGGTACACGGAGCATTCCTCGAGTTGCTGTGCTGAAGTTGGTGTTCCTCTAGACTTGGGACAGTGTTCTCGGGGCATCTCTGGAGTTGCCTGAAGGAAGTCGAGCCACCGGTCGTGTTGAATGGGGAACGGGGAATGGCTCTGGAGTCAATGCAGGGGAATCGGGCCTCATCTCGAGTTGATTTGGGGCACATGGAGCTGCTTTGCGTTGCTGGGGTGACCTCAGGGTCCGTCTAGACTGGTGACAGTGTTCTTGGGGACTGTCTCGAGATCCATTAAGGAAGTCGAAGCTCCTGACTTGTTTGAATGGGGTCACGGAATAGCTCTGCATGCACTGCAGGGGAATGGGGCCTCATCTCGCCTCTAAGGGGAAGTCTCATGGTTTTTCTCGAGTTGCGGCGGGGACCTGGGGTATGTTCTCGACTTACGGCGGGGATGGCCCTTCAAAACACGAGTTTCTTCAGTGATGTCAGGACTCCTGTCTAGTAACGAGGGACACCTCAGGAATCTCTTCGAGGCTTGGCAGGGCAAAAGGGACGCTTCTCGAGGTGAGGCAGGGCACCCAAGGACCCTTTCCAGTAGCCACAGGGATTTTGGGATTCCTATCAGTATTCAAGAGGAGTCAGGCATCGTCACCTTTTGAAGCAATGAACTCCGCGTGCCTCTCGAGGTGTCAGCGGGATGTGAGGCATTCCGTCAAAATGAGGCAGGGACCTAGGGCTTTCTCTAAGGTCTCCACAGGGGATTCAGACATCCCTTCATGTTGTGAGATGAAAGACGAGCCTGTATTCAAGCCACTGCAAGGAAATCCGGCCTCCTTTCAAGTTAGGGCTTCTCGCTGTATATTCCCCTTGAGGCAGCAAACTCGGGGTCCCTCCCACATACCTATTGCTGAGAGAAGCCTCCTCCTGAGGTGCTTCTGGGAAGTTGGCATACGTCTTGAGCCTAAGCCAGGGAATCAGCTCGCATCTCGAGACGACTTGGGGTACACGGAGCATTCCTCGAGTTGCTGTGCTGAAGTTGGTGTTCCTCTAGACTTGGGACAGTGTTCTCGGGGCATCTCTGGAGTTGCCTGAAGGAAGTCGAGCCACCGGTCGTGTTGAATGGGGAACGGGGAATGGCTCTGGAGTCAATGCAGGGGAATCGGGCCTCATCTCGAGTTGATTTGGGGCACATGGAGCTGCTTTGCGTTGCTGGGGTGACCTCAGGGTCCGTCTAGACTGGTGACAGTGTTCTTGGGGACTGTCTCGAGATCCATTAAGCAAGTCGAAGCTCCTGACTTGTTTGAATGGGGTCACGGAATAGCTCTGCATGCACTGCAGGGGAATGGGGCCTCATCTCGCCTCTAGGGGGAAGTCTCATGGTTTTTCTCGAGTTGCGGCGGGGACCTGGGGTATGTTCTCGAATTACGGCGGGGATGGCCCTTCAAAACACGAGTTTCTTCAGTGACGTCAGGACTCCTGTCTAGTAACGAGGGACACCTCAGGAATCTCTTCGAGGCTTGGCAGGGCCAAAGGGACGCTTCTCGAGGTGAGGCAGGGCACCCAAGGACCCTTTCCAGTAGCCACAGGGATTTTGGGATTCCTATCAGTATTCAAGAGGAGTCAGGCATCGTCACCTTTTGAAGCAATGAACTCCGCGTGCCTCTCGAGGTGTCAGCGGGATGTGAGGCATTCCGTCAAAATGAGGCAGGGACCTAGGGCTTTCTCTAAGGTCTCCACAGGGGATTCAGACATCCCTTCATGTTGTGAGATGAAAGACGAGCCTGTATTCAAGCCACTGCAAGAAAATCCGGCCTCCTTTCAAGTTAGGGCTTCTCGCTGTATATTCCCCTTGAGGCAGCAAACTCGGGGTCCCTCCCACATACCTATTGCTGAGAGAAGCCTCCTCCTGAGGTGCTTCTGGGAAGTTGGCATACGTCTTGAGCCTAAGCCAGGGAATCAGCTCGCATCTCGAGACGACTTGGGGTACACGGAGCATTCCTCGAGTTGCTGTGCTGAAGTTGGTGTTCCTCTAGACTTGGGACAGTGTTCTCGGGGCATCTCTGGAGTTGCCTGAAGGAAGTCGAGCCACCGGTCGTGTTGAATGGGGAACGGGGAATGGCTCTGGAGTCAATGCAGGGGAATCGGGCCTCATCTCGAGTTGATTTGGGGCACATGGAGCTGCTTTGCGTTGCTGGGGTGACCTCAGGGTCCGTCTAGACTGGTGACAGTGTTCTTGGGGACTGTCTCGAGATCCATTAAGCAAGTCGAAGCTCCTGACTTGTTTGAATGGGGTCACGGAATAGCTCTGCATGCACTGCAGGGGAATGGGGCCTCATCTCGCCTCTAGGGGGAAGTCTCATGGTTTTTCTCGAGTTGCGGCGGGGACCTGGGGTATGTTCTCGACTTACGGCGGGGATGGCCCTTCAAAACACGAGTTTCTTCAGTGACGTCAGGACTCCTGTCTAGTAACGAGGGACACCTCAGGAATCTCTTCGAGGCTTGGCAGGGCCAAAGGGACGCTTCTCGAGGTGAGGCAGGGCACCCAAGGACCCTTTCCAGTAGCCACAGGGATTTTGGGATTCCTATCAGTATTCAAGAGGAGTCAGGCATCGTCACCTTTTGAAGCAATGAACTCCGCGTGCCTCTCGAGGTGTCAGCGGGATGTGAGGCATTCCGTCAAAATGAGGCAGGGACCTAGGGCTTTCTCTAAGGTCTCCACAGGGGATTCAGACATCCCTTCATGTTGTGAGATGAAAGACGAGCCTGTATTCAAGCCACTGCAAGGAAATCCGGCCTCCTTTCAAGTTAGGGCTTCTCGCTGTATATTCCCCTTGAGGCAGCAAACTCGGGGTCCCTCCCACATACCTATTGCTGAGAGAAGCCTCCTCCTGAGGTGCTTCTGGGAAGTTGGCATACGTCTTGAGCCTAAGCCAGGGAATCAGCTCGCATCTCGAGACGACTTGAGGTACACGGAGCATTCCTCGAGTTGCTGTGCTGAAGTTGGTGTTCCTCTAGACTTGGGACAGTGTTCTCGGGGCATCTCTGGAGTTGCCTGAAGGAAGTCGAGCCACCGGTCGTGTTGAATGGGGAACGGGTAATGGCTCTGGAGTCAATGCAGGGGAATCGGGCCTCATCTCGAGTTGATTTGGGGCACATGGAGCTGCTTTGCGTTGCTGGGGTGACCTCAGGGTCCGTCTAGACTGGTGACAGTGTTCTTGGGGACTGTCTCGAGATCCATTAAGCAAGTCGAAGCTCCTGACTTGTTTGAATGGGGTCATGGAATAGCTCTGCATGCACTGCAGGGGAATGGGGCCTCATCTCGCCTCTAGGGGGAAGTCTCATGGTTTTTCTCGAGTTGCGGCGGGGACCTGGGGTATGTTCTCGACTTACGGCGGGGATGGCCCTTCAAAACACGAGTTTCTTCAGTGACGTCAGGACTCCTGTCTAGTAACGAGGGACACCTCAGGAATCTCTTCGAGGCTTGGCAGGGCCAAAGGGACGCTTCTCGAGGTGAGGCAGGGCACCCAAGGACCCTTTCCAGTAGCCACAGGGATTTTGGGATTCCTATCAGTATTCAAGAGGAGTCAGGCATCGTCACCTTTTGAAACAATGAACTCCGCGTGCCTCTCGAGGTGTCAGCGGGATGTGAGGCATTCCGTCAAAATGAGGCAGGGACCTAGGGCTTTCTCTAAGGTCTCCACAGGGGATTCAGACATCCCTTCATGTTGTGAGATGAAAGACGAGCCTGTATTCAAGCCACTGCAAGGAAATCCGGCCTCCTTTCAAGTTAGGGCTTCTCGTTGTATATTCCCCTTGAGGCAGCAAACTCGGGGTCCCTCCCACATACCTATTGCTGAGAGAAGCCTCCTCCTGAGGTGCTTCTGGGAAGTTGGCATACGTCTTGAGCCTAAGCCAGGGAATCAGCTCGCATCTCGAGACGATTTGGGGGACACGGAGCATTCCTCGAGTTGCTGTGCTGAAGTTGGTGTTCCTCTAGACTTGGGACAGTGTTCTCGGGGCATCTCTGGAGTTGCCTGAAGGAAGTCGAGCCACCGGTCGTGTTGAATGGGGAACGGGGAATGGCTCTGGAGTCAATGCAGGGGAATCGGGCCTCGTCTCGAGTTGATTTGGGGCACATGGAGCTGCTTTGCGTTGCTGGGGTGACCTCAGGGTCCGTCTAGACTGGTGACAGTGTTCTTGGGGACTGTCTCGAGATCCATTAAGGAAGTCGAAGCTCCTGACTTGTTTGAATGGGGTCACGGAATAGCTCTGCATGCACTGCAGGGGAATGGGGCCTCATCTCGCCTCTAGGGGGAAGTCTCATGGTTTTTCTCGAGTTGCGGCGGGGACCTGGGGTATGTTCTCGACTTACGGCGGGGATGGCCCTTCAAAACACGAGTTTCTTCAGTGATGTCAGGACTCCTGTCTAGTAACGAGGGACACCTCAGGAATCTCTTCGAGGCTTGGCAGGGCAAAAGGGACGCTTCTCGAGGTGAGGCAGGGCACCCAAGGACCCTTTCCAGTAGCCACAGGGATTTTGGGATTCCTATCAGTATTCAAGAGGAGTCAGGCATCGTCACCTTTTGAAGCAATGAACTCCGCGTGCCTCTCGAGGTGTCAGCGGGATGTGAGGCATTCCGTCAAAATGAGGCAGGGACCTAGGGCTTTCTCTAAGGTCTCCACAGGGGATTCAGACATCCCTTCATGTTGTGAGATGAAAGACGAGCCTGTATTCAAGCCACTGCAAGGAAATCCGGCCTCCTTTCAAGTTAGGGCTTCTCGCTGTATATTCCCCTTGAGGCAGCAAACTCGGGGTCCCTCCCACATACCTATTGCTGAGAGAAGCCTCCTCCTGAGGTGCTTCTGGGAAGTTGGCATACGTCTTGAGCCTAAGCCAGGGAATCAGCTCGCATCTCGAGACGACTTGGGGTACACGGAGCATTCCTCGAGTTGCTGTGCTGAAGTTGGTGTTCCTCTAGACTTGGGACAGTGTTCTCGGGGCATCTCTGGAGTTGCCTGAAGGAAGTCGAGCCACCGGTCGTGTTGAATGGGGAACTGGGAATGGCTCTGGAGTCAATGCAGGGGAATCGGGCCTCATCTCGAGTTGATTTGGGGCACATGGAGCTGCTTTGCGTTGCTGGGGTGACCTCAGGGTCCGTCTAGACTGGTGACAGTGTTCTTGGGGACTGTCTCGAGATCCATTAAGCAAGTCGAAGCTCCTGACTTGTTTGAATGGGGTCACGGAATAGCTCTGCATGCACTGCAGGGGAATGGGGCCTCATCTCGCCTCTAGGGGGAAGTCTCATGTTTTTTCTCGAGTTGCGGCGGGGACCTGGGGTATGTTCTCGACTTACGGCGGGGATGGCCCTTCAAAACACGAGTTTCTTCAGTGACGTCAGGACTCCTGTCTAGTAACGAGGGACACCTCAGGAATCTCTTCGAGGCTTGGCAGGGCCAAAGGGACGCTTCTCGAGGTGAGGCAGGGCACCCAAGGACCCTTTCCAGTAGCCACAGGGATTTTGGGATTCCTATCAGTATTCAAGAGGAGTCAGGCATCGTCACCTTTTGAAGCAATGAACTCCGCGTGCCTCTCGAGGTGTCAGCGGGATGTGAGGCATTCCGTCAAAATGAGGCAGGGACCTAGGGCTTTCTCTAAGGTCTCCACAGGGGATTCAGACATCCCTTCATGTTGTGAGATGAAAGACGAGCCTGTATTCAAGCCACTGCAAGGAAATCCGGCCTCCTTTCAAGTTAGGGCTTCTCGCTGTATATTCCCCTTGAGGCAGCAAACTCGGGGTCCCTCCCACATACCTATTGCTGAGAGAAGCCTCCTCCTGAGGTGCTTCTGGGAAGTTGGCATACGTCTTGAGCCTAAGCCAGGGAATCAGCTCGCATTTCGAGACGACTTGGGGTACACGGAGCATTCCTCGAGTTGCTGTGCTGAAGTTGGTGTTCCTCTAGACTTGGGACAGTGTTCTCGGGGCATCTCTGGAGTTGCCTGAAGGAAGTCGAGCCACCGGTCGTGTTGAATGGGGAACGGGGAATGGCTCTGGAGTCAATGCAGGGGAATCGGGCCTCATCTCGAGCTGATTTGGGGCACATGGAGCTGCTTTGCGTTGCTGGGGTGACCTCAGGGTCCGTCTAGACTGGTGACAGTGTTCTTGGGGACTGTCTCGAGATCCATTAAGCAAGTCGAAGCTCCTGACTTGTTTGAATGGGGTCACGGAATAGCTCTGCATGCACTGCAGGGGAATGGGGCCTCATCTCGCCTCTAGGGGGAAGTCTCATGGTTTTTCTCGAGTTGCGGCGGGGACCTGGGGTATGTTCTCGACTTACGGCGGGGATGGCCCTTCAAAACACGAGTTTCTTCAGTGACGTCAGGACTCCTGTCTAGTAACGAGGGACACCTCAGGAATCTCTTCGAGGCTTGGCAGGGCAAAAGGGACGCTTCTCGAGGTGAGGCAGGGCACCCAAGGACCCTTTCCAGTAGCCACAGGGATTTTGGGATTCCTATCAGTATTCAAGAGGAGTCAGGCATCGTCACCTTTTGAAGCAATGAACTCCGCGTGCCTCTCGAGGTGTCAGCGGGATGTGAGGCATTCCGTCAAAATGAGGCAGGGACCTAGGGCTTTCTCTAAGGTCTCCACAGGGGATTCAGACATCCCTTCATGTTGTGAGATGAAAGACGAGCCTGTATTCAAGCCACTGCAAGGAAATCCAGCCTCCTTTCAAGTTAGGGCTTCTCGCTGTATATTCCCCTTGAGGCAGCAAACTCGGGGTCCCTCCCACATACCTATTGCTGAGAGAAGCCTCCTCCTGAGGTGCTTCTGGGAAGTTGGCATACGTCTTGAGCCTAAGCCAGGGAATCAGCTCGCATCTCGAGACGACTTGGGGTACACGGAGCATTCCTCGAGTTGCTGTGCTGAAGTTGGTGTTCCTCTAGACTTGGGACAGTGTTCTCGGGGCATCTCTGGAGTTGCCTGAAGGAAGTCGAGCCACCGGTCGTGTTGAATGGGGAACGGGGAATGGCTCTGGAGTCAATGCAGGGGAATCGGGCCTCATCTCGAGTTGATTTGGGGCACATGGAGCTGCTTTGCGTTGCTGGGGTGACCTCAGGGTCCGTCTAGACTGGTGACAGTGTTCTTGGGGACTGTCTCGAGATCCATTAAGCAAGTCGAAGCTCCTGACTTGTTTGAATGGGGTCACGGAATAGCTCTGCATGCACTGCAGGGGAATGGGGCCTCATCTCGCCTCTAGGGGGAAGTCTCATGGTTTTTCTCGAGTTGCGGCGGGGACCTGGGGTATGTTCTCGACTTACGGCGGGGATGGCCCTTCAAAACACGAGTTTCTTCAGTGACGTCAGGACTCCTGTCTAGTAACGAGGGACACCTCAGGAATCTCTTCGAGGCTTGGCAGGGCAAAAGGGACGCTTCTCGAGGTGAGGCAGGGCACCCAAGGACCCTTTCCAGTAGCCACAGGGATTTTGGGATTCCTTTCAGTATTCAAGAGGAGTCAGGCATCATCACCTTTTGAAGCAATGAACTCCGCGTGCCTCTCGAGGTGTCAGCGGGATGTGAGGCATTCCGTCAAAATGAGGCAGGGACCTAGGGCTTTCTCTAAGGTCTCCACAGGGGATTCAGACATCCCTTCATGTTGTGAGATGAAAGACGAGCCTGTATTCAAGCCACTGCAAGGAAATCCGGCCTCCTTTCAAGTTAGGGCTTCTCGCTGTATATTCCCCTTGAGGCAGCAAACTCGGGGTCCCTCCCACATACCTATTGCTGAGAGAAGCCTCCTCCTGAGGTGCTTCTGGGAAGTTGGCATACGTCTTGAGCCTAAGCCAGGGAATCAGCTCGCATCTCGAGACGACTTGGGGTACACGGAGCATTCCTCGAGTTGCTGTGCTGAAGTTGGTGTTCCTCTAGACTTGGGACAGTGTTCTCGGGGCATCTCTGGAGTTGCCTGAAGGAAGTCGAGCCACCGGTCGTGTTGAATGGGGAACGGGGAATGGCTCTGGAGTCAATGCAGGGGAATCGGGCCTCATCTCGAGCTGATTTGGGGCACATGGAGCTGCTTTGCGTTGCTGGGGTGACCTCAGGGTCCGTCTAGACTGGTGACAGTGTTCTTGGGGACTGTCTCGAGATCCATTAAGCAAGTCGAAGCTCCTGACTTGTTTGAATGGGGTCACGGAATAGCTCTGCATGCACTGCAGGGGAATGGGGCCTCATCTCGCCTCTAGGGGGAAGTCTCATGGTTTTTCTCGAGTTGCGGCGGGGACGTGGGGTATGTTCTCGACTTACGGCGGGGATGGCCCTTCAAAACACGAGTTTCTTCAGTGACGTCAGGACTCCTGTCTAGTAACGAGGGACACCTCAGGAATCTCTTCGAGGCTTGGCAGGGCCAAAGGGACGCTTCTCGAGGTGAGGCAGGGCACCCAAGGACCCTTTCCAGTAGCCACAGGGATTTTGGGATTCCTATCAGTATTCAAGAGGAGTCAGGCATCGTCACCTTTTGAAGCAATGAACTCCGCGTGCCTCTCGAGGTGTCAGCGGGATGTGAGGCATTCCGTCAAAACGAGGCAGGGACCTAGGGCTTTCTCTAAGGTCTCCACAGGGGATTCAGACATCCCTTCATGTTGTGAGATGAAAGACGAGCCTGTATTCAAGCCACTGCAAGGAAATCCGGCCTCCTTTCAAGTTAGGGCTTCTCGCTGTATATTCCCCTTGAGGCAGCAAACTCGGGGTCCCTCCCACATACCTATTGCTGAGAGAAGCCTCCTCCTGAGGTGCTTCTGGGAAGTTGGCATACGTCTTGAGCCTAAGCCAGGGAATCAGCTCGCATCTCGAGACGACTTGGGGTACACGGAGCATTCCTCGAGTTGCTGTGCTGAAGTTGGTGTTCCTCTAGACTTGGGACAGTGTTCTCGGGGCATCTCTGGAGTTGCCTGAAGGAAGTCGAGCCACCGGTCGTGTTGAATGGGGAACGGGGAATGGCTCTGGAGTCAATGCAGGGGAATCGGGCCTCATCTCGAGCTGATTTGGGGCACATGGAGCTGCTTTGCGTTGCCGGGGTGACCTCAGGGTCCGTCTAGACTGGTGACAGTGTTCTTGGGGACTGTCTCGAGATCCATTAAGCAAGTCGAAGCTCCTGACTTGTTTGAATGGGGTCACGGAATAGCTCTGCATGCACTGCAGGGGAATGGGGCCTCATCTCGCCTCTAGGGGGAAGTCTCATGGTTTTTCTCGAGTTGCGGCGGGGACCTGGGGTATGTTCTCGACTTACGGCGGGGATGGCCCTTCAAAACACGAGTTTCTTCAGTGACGTCAGGACTCCTGTCTAGTAACGAGGGACACCTCAGGAATCTCTTCGAGGCTTGGCAGGGCCAAAGGGACGCTTCTCGAGGTGAGGCAGGGCACCCAAGGACCCTTTCCAGTAGCCACAGGGATTTTGGGATTCCTATCAGTATTCAAGAGGAGTCAGGCATCGTCACCTTTTGAAGCAATGAACTCCGCGTGCCTCTCGAGGTGTCAGCGGGATGTGAGGCATTCCGTCAAAATGAGGCAGGGACCTAGGGCTTTCTCTAAGGTCTCCACAGGGGATTCAGACATCCCTTCATGTTGTGAGATGAAAGACGAGCCTGTATTCAAGCCACTGCAAGGAAATCCGGCCTCCTTTCAAGTTAGGGCTTCTCGCTGTATATTCCCCTTGAGGCAGCAAACTCGGGGTCCCTCCCACATACCTATTGCTGAGAGAAGCCTCCTCCTGAGGTGCTTCTGGGAAGTTGGCATACGTCTTGAGCCTAAGCCAGGGAATCAGCTCGCATCTCGAGACGACTTGGGGTACACGGAGCATTCCTCGAGTTGCTGTGCTGAAGTTGGTGTTCCTCTAGACTTGGGACAGTGTTCTCGGGGCATCTCTGGAGTTGCCTGAAGGAAGTCGAGCCACCGGTCGTGTTGAATGGGGAACGGGGAATGGCTCTGGAGTCAATGCAGGGGAATCGGGCCTCATCTCGAGCTGATTTGGGGCACATGGAGCTGCTTTGCGTTGCCGGGGTGACCTCAGGGTCCGTCTAGACTGGTGACAGTGTTCTTGGGGACTGTCTCGAGATCCATTAAGCAAGTCGAAGCTCCTGACTTGTTTGAATGGGGTCACGGAATAGCTCTGCATGCACTGCAGGGGAATGGGGCCTCATCTCGCCTCTAGGGGGAAGTCTCATGGTTTTTCTCGAGTTGCGGCGGGGACCTGGGGTATGTTCTCGACTTACGGCGGGGATGGCCCTTCAAAACACGAGTTTCTTCAGTGACGTCAGGACTCCTGTCTAGTAACGAGGGACACCTCAGGAATCTCTTCGAGGCTTGGCAGGGCCAAAGGGACGCTTCTCGAGGTGAGGCAGGGCACCCAAGGACCCTTTCCAGTAGCCACAGGGATTTTGGGATTCCTATCAGTATTCAAGAGGAGTCAGGCATCGTCACCTTTTGAAGCAATGAACTCCGCGTGCCTCTCGAGGTGTCAGCGGGATGTGAGGCATTCCGTCAAAATGAGGCAGGGACCTAGGGCTTTCTCTAAGGTCTCCACAGGGGATTCAGACATCCCTTCATGTTGTGAGATGAAAGACGAGCCTGTATTCAAGCCACTGCAAGGAAATCCGGCCTCCTTTCAAGTAAGGGCTTCTCGCTGTATATTCCCCTTGAGGCAGCAAACTCGGGGTCCCTCCCACATACCTATTGCTGAGAGAAGCCTCCTCCTGAGGTGCTTCTGGGAAGTTGGCATACGTCTTGAGCCTAAGCCAGGGAATCAGCTCGCATCTCGAGACGACTTGGGGTACACGGAGCATTCCTCGAGTTGCTGTGCTGAAGTTGGTGTTCCTCTAGACTTGGGACAGTGTTCTCGGGGCATCTCTGGAGTTGCCTGAAGGAAGTCGAGCCACCGGTCGTGTTGAATGGGGAACGGGGAATGGCTCTGGAGTCAATGCAGGGGAATCGGGCCTCATCTCGAGTTGATTTGGGGCACATGGAGCTGCTTTGCGTTGCTGGGGTGACCTCAGGGTCCGTCTAGACTGGTGACAGTGTTCTTGGGGACTGTCTCGAGATCCATTAAGCAAGTCGAAGCTCCTGACTTGTTTGAATGGGGTCACGGAATAGCTCTGCATGCACTGCAGGGGAATGGGGCCTCATCTCGCCTCTAGGGGGAAGTCTCATGGTTTTTCTCGAGTTGCGGCGGGGACCTGGGGTATGTTCTCGACTTACGGCGGGGATGGCCCTTCAAAACACGAGTTTCTTCAGTGACGTCAGGACTCCTGTCTAGTAACGAGGGACACCTCAGGAATCTCTTCGAGGCTTGGCAGGGCCAAAGGGACGCTTCTCGAGGTGAGGCAGGGCACCCAAGGACCCTTTCCAGTAGCCACAGGGATTTTGGGATTCCTTTCAGTATTCAAGAGGAGTCAGGCATCATCACCTTTTGAAGCAATGAACTCCGCGTGCCTCTCGAGGTGTCAGCGGGATGTGAGGCATTCCGTCAAAATGAGGCAGGGACCTAGGGCTTTCTCTAAGGTCTCCACAGGGGATTCAGACATCCCTTCATGTTGTGAGATGAAAGACGAGCCTGTATTCAAGCCACTGCAAGGAAATCCGGCCTCCTTTCAAGTTAGGGCTTCTCGCTGTATATTCCCCTTGAGGCAGCAAACTCGGGGTCCCTCCCACATACCTATTGCTGAGAGAAGCCTCCTCCTGAGGTGCTTCTGGGAAGTTGGCATACGTCTTGAGCCTAAGCCAGGGAATCAGCTCGCATCTCGAGACGACTTGGGGTACACGGAGCATTCCTCGAGTTGCTGTGCTGAAGTTGGTGTTCCTCTAGACTTGGGACAGTGTTCTCGGGGCATCTCTGGAGTTGCCTGAAGGAAGTCGAGCCACCGGTCGTGTTGAATGGGGAACGGGGAATGGCTCTGGAGTCAATGCAGGGGAATCGGGCCTCATCTCGAGCTGATTTGGGGCACATGGAGCTGCTTTGCGTTGCTGGGGTGACCTCAGGGTCCGTCTAGACTGGTGACAGTGTTCTTGGGGACTGTCTCGAGATCCATTAAGCAAGTCGAAGCTCCTGACTTGTTTGAATGGGGTCACGGAATAGCTCTGCATGCACTGCAGGGGAATGGGGCCTCATCTCGCCTCTAGGGGGAAGTCTCATGGTTTTTCTCGAGTTGCGGCGGGGACGTGGGGTATGTTCTCGACTTACGGCGGGGATGGCCCTTCAAAACACGAGTTTCTTCAGTGACGTCAGGACTCCTGTCTAGTAACGAGGGACACCTCAGGAATCTCTTCGAGGCTTGGCAGGGCCAAAGGGACGCTTCTCGAGGTGAGGCAGGGCACCCAAGGACCCTTTCCAGTAGCCACAGGGATTTTGGGATTCCTATCAGTATTCAAGAGGAGTCAGGCATCGTCACCTTTTGAAGCAATGAACTCCGCGTGCCTCTCGAGGTGTCAGCGGGATGTGAGGCATTCCGTCAAAACGAGGCAGGGACCTAGGGCTTTCTCTAAGGTCTCCACAGGGGATTCAGACATCCCTTCATGTTGTGAGATGAAAGACGAGCCTGTATTCAAGCCACTGCAAGGAAATCCGGCCTCCTTTCAAGTTAGGGCTTCTCGCTGTATATTCCCCTTGAGGCAGCAAACTCGGGGTCCCTCCCACATACCTATTGCTGAGAGAAGCCTCCTCCTGAGGTGCTTCTGGGAAGTTGGCATACGTCTTGAGCCTAAGCCAGGGAATCAGCTCGCATCTCGAGACGACTTGGGGTACACGGAGCATTCCTCGAGTTGCTGTGCTGAAGTTGGTGTTCCTCTAGACTTGGGACAGTGTTCTCGGGGCATCTCTGGAGTTGCCTGAAGGAAGTCGAGCCACCGGTCGTGTTGAATGGGGAACGGGGAATGGCTCTGGAGTCAATGCAGGGGAATCGGGCCTCATCTCGAGCTGATTTGGGGCACATGGAGCTGCTTTGCGTTGCCGGGGTGACCTCAGGGTCCGTCTAGACTGGTGACAGTGTTCTTGGGGACTGTCTCGAGATCCATTAAGCAAGTCGAAGCTCCTGACTTGTTTGAATGGGGTCACGGAATAGCTCTGCATGCACTGCAGGGGAATGGGGCCTCATCTCGCCTCTAGGGGGAAGTCTCATGGTTTTTCTCGAGTTGCGGCGGGGACCTGGGGTATGTTCTCGACTTACGGCGGGGATGGCCCTTCAAAACACGAGTTTCTTCAGTGACGTCAGGACTCCTGTCTAGTAACGAGGGACACCTCAGGAATCTCTTCGAGGCTTGGCAGGGCCAAAGGGACGCTTCTCGAGGTGAGGCAGGGCACCCAAGGACCCTTTCCAGTAGCCACAGGGATTTTGGGATTCCTATCAGTATTCAAGAGGAGTCAGGCATCGTCACCTTTTGAAGCAATGAACTCCGCGTGCCTCTCGAGGTGTCAGCGGGATGTGAGGCATTCCGTCAAAATGAGGCAGGGACCTAGGGCTTTCTCTAAGGTCTCCACAGGGGATTCAGACATCCCTTCATGTTGTGAGATGAAAGACGAGCCTGTATTCAAGCCACTGCAAGGAAATCCGGCCTCCTTTCAAGTTAGGGCTTCTCGCTGTATATTCCCCTTGAGGCAGCAAACTCGGGGTCCCTCCCACATACCTATTGCTGAGAGAAGCCTCCTCCTGAGGTGCTTCTGGGAAGTTGGCATACGTCTTGAGCCTAAGCCAGGGAATCAGCTCGCATCTCGAGACGACTTGGGGTACACGGAGCATTCCTCGAGTTGCTGTGCTGAAGTTGGTGTTCCTCTAGACTTGGGACAGTGTTCTCGGGGCATCTCTGGAGTTGCCTGAAGGAAGTCGAGCCACCGGTCGTGTTGAATGGGGAACGGGGAATGGCTCTGGAGTCAATGCAGGGGAATCGGGCCTCATCTCGAGCTGATTTGGGGCACATGGAGCTGCTTTGCGTTGCCGGGGTGACCTCAGGGTCCGTCTAGACTGGTGACAGTGTTCTTGGGGACTGTCTCGAGATCCATTAAGCAAGTCGAAGCTCCTGACTTGTTTGAATGGGGTCACGGAATAGCTCTGCATGCACTGCAGGGGAATGGGGCCTCATCTCGCCTCTAGGGGGAAGTCTCATGGTTTTTCTCGAGTTGCGGCGGGGACCTGGGGTATGTTCTCGACTTACGGCGGGGATGGCCCTTCAAAACACGAGTTTCTTCAGTGACGTCAGGACTCCTGTCTAGTAACGAGGGACACCTCAGGAATCTCTTCGAGGCTTGGCAGGGCCAAAGGGACGCTTCTCGAGGTGAGGCAGGGCACCCAAGGACCCTTTCCAGTAGCCACAGGGATTTTGGGATTCCTATCAGTATTCAAGAGGAGTCAGGCATCGTCACCTTTTGAAGCAATGAACTCCGCGTGCCTCTCGAGGTGTCAGCGGGATGTGAGGCATTCCGTCAAAATGAGGCAGGGACCTAGGGCTTTCTCTAAGGTCTCCACAGGGGATTCAGACATCCCTTCATGTTGTGAGATGAAAGACGAGCCTGTATTCAAGCCACTGCAAGGAAATCCGGCCTCCTTTCAAGTTAGGGCTTCTCGCTGTATATTCCCCTTGAGGCAGCAAACTCGGGGTCCCTCCCACATACCTATTGCTGAGAGAAGCCTCCTCCTGAGGTGCCTCTGGGAAGTTGGCATACGTCTTGAGCCTAAGCCAGGGAATCAGCTCGCATCTCGAGACGACTTGGGGTACACGGAGCATTCCTCGAGTTGCTGTGCTGAAGTTGGTGTTCCTCTAGACTTGGGACAGTGTTCTCGGGGCATCTCTGGAGTTGCCTGAAGGAAGTCGAGCCACCGGTCGTGTTGAATGGGGAACGGGGAATGGCTCTGGAGTCAATGCAGGGGAATCGGGCCTCATCTCGAGCTGATTTGGGGCACATGGAGCTGCTTTGCGTTGCCGGGGTGACCTCAGGGTCCGTCTAGACTGGTGACAGTGTTCTTGGGGACTGTCTCGAGATCCATTAAGCAAGTCGAAGCTCCTGACTTGTTTGAATGGGGTCACGGAATAGCTCTGCATGCACTGCAGGGGAATGGGGCCTCATCTCGCCTCTAGGGGGAAGTCTCATGGTTTTTCTCGAGTTGCGGCGGGGACCTGGGGTATGTTCTCGACTTACGGCGGGGATGGCCCTTCAAAACACGAGTTTCTTCAGTGACGTCAGGACTCCTGTCTAGTAACGAGGGACACCTCAGGAATCTCTTCGAGGCTTGGCAGGGCAAAAGGGACGCTTCTCGAGGTGAGGCAGGGCACCCAAGGACCCTTTCCAGTAGCCACAGGGATTTTGGGATTCCTATCAGTATTCAAGAGGAGTCAGGCATCGTCACCTTTTGAAGCAATGAACTCCGCGTGCCTCTCGAGGTGTCAGCGGGATGTGAGGCATTCCGTCAAAATGAGGCAGGGACCTAGGGCTTTCTCTAAGGTCTCCACAGGGGATTCAGACATCCCTTCATGTTGTGAGATGAAAGACGAGCCTGTATTCAAGCCACTGCAAGGAAATCCAGCCTCCTTTCAAGTTAGGGCTTCTCGCTGTATATTCCCCTTGAGGCAGCAAACTCGGGGTCCCTCCCACATACCTATTGCTGAGAGAAGCCTCCTCCTGAGGTGCTTCTGGGAAGTTGGCATACGTCTTGAGCCTAAGCCAGGGAATCAGCTCGCATCTCGAGACGACTTGGGGTACACGGAGCATTCCTCGAGTTGCTGTGCTGAAGTTGGTGTTCCTCTAGACTTGGGACAGTGTTCTCGGGGCATCTCTGGAGTTGCCTGAAGGAAGTCGAGCCACCGGTCGTGTTGAATGGGGAACGGGGAATGGCTCTGGAGTCAATGCAGGGGAATCGGGCCTCATCTCGAGTTGATTTGGGGCACATGGAGCTGCTTTGCGTTGCTGGGGTGACCTCAGGGTCCGTCTAGACTGGTGACAGTGTTCTTGGGGACTGTCTCGAGATCCATTAAGCAAGTCGAAGCTCCTGACTTGTTTGAATGGGGTCACGGAATAGCTCTGCATGCACTGCAGGGGAATGGGGCCTCATCTCGCCTCTAGGGGGAAGTCTCATGGTTTTTCTCGAGTTGCGGCGGGGACATGGGGTATGTTCTCGACTTACGGCGGGGATGGCCCTTCAAAACACGAGTTTCTTCAGTGACGTCAGGACTCCTGTCTAGTAACGAGGGACACCTCAGGAATCTCTTCGAGGCTTGGCAGGGCAAAAGGGACGCTTCTCGAGGTGAGGCAGGGCACCCAAGGACCCTTTCCAGTAGCCACAGGGATTTTGGGATTCCTTTCAGTATTCAAGAGGAGTCAGGCATCATCACCTTTTGAAGCAATGAACTCCGCGTGCCTCTCGAGGTGTCAGCGGGATGTGAGGCATTCCGTCAAAATGAGGCAGGGACCTAGGGCTTTCTCTAAGGTCTCCACAGGGGATTCAGACATCCCTTCATGTTGTGAGATGAAAGACGAGCCTGTATTCAAGCCACTGCAAGGAAATCCGGCCTCCTTTCAAGTTAGGGCTTCTCGCTGTATATTCCCCTTGAGGCAGCAAACTCGGGGTCCCTCCCACATACCTATTGCTGAGAGAAGCCTCCTCCTGAGGTGCTTCTGGGAAGTTGGCATACGTCTTGAGCCTAAGCCAGGGAATCAGCTCGCATCTCGAGACGACTTGGGGTACACGGAGCATTCCTCGAGTTGCTGTGCTGAAGTTGGTGTTCCTCTAGACTTGGGACAGTGTTCTCGGGGCATCTCTGGAGTTGCCTGAAGGAAGTCGAGCCACCGGTCGTGTTGAATGGGGAACGGGGAATGGCTCTGGAGTCAATGCAGGGGAATCGGGCCTCATCTCGAGCTGATTTGGGGCACATGGAGCTGCTTTGCGTTGCTGGGGTGACCTCAGGGTCCGTCTAGACTGGTGACAGTGTTCTTGGGGACTGTCTCGAGATCCATTAAGCAAGTCGAAGCTCCTGACTTGTTTGAATGGGGTCACGGAATAGCTCTGCATGCACTGCAGGGGAATGGGGCCTCATCTCGCCTCTAGGGGGAAGTCTCATGGTTTTTCTCGAGTTGCGGCGGGGACCTGGGGTATGTTCTCGACTTACGGCGGGGATGGCCCTTCAAAACACGAGTTTCTTCAGTGACGTCAGGACTCCTGTCTAGTAACGAGGGACACCTCAGGAATCTCTTCGAGGCTTGGCAGGGCCAAAGGGACGCTTCTCGAGGTGAGGCAGGGCACCCAAGGACCCTTTCCAGTAGCCACAGGGATTTTGGGATTCCTATCAGTATTCAAGAGGAGTCAGGCATCGTCACCTTTTGAAGCAATGAACTCCGCGTGCCTCTCGAGGTGTCAGCGGGATGTGAGGCATTCCGTCAAAACGAGGCAGGGACCTAGGGCTTTCTCTAAGGTCTCCACAGGGGATTCAGACATCCCTTCATGTTGTGAGATGAAAGACGAGCCTGTATTCAAGCCACTGCAAGGAAATCCGGCCTCCTTTCAAGTTAGGGCTTCTCGCTGTATATTCCCCTTGAGGCAGCAAACTCGGGGTCCCTCCCACATACCTATTGCTGAGAGAAGCCTCCTCCTGAGGTGCTTCTGGGAAGTTGGCATACGTCTTGAGCCTAAGCCAGGGAATCAGCTCGCATCTCGAGACGACTTGGGGTACACGGAGCATTCCTCGAGTTGCTGTGCTGAAGTTGGTGTTCCTCTAGACTTGGGACAGTGTTCTCGGGGCATCTCTGGAGTTGCCTGAAGGAAGTCGAGCCACCGGTCGTGTTGAATGGGGAACGGGGAATGGCTCTGGAGTCAATGCAGGGGAATCGGGCCTCATCTCGAGCTGATTTGGGGCACATGGAGCTGCTTTGCGTTGCCGGGGTGACCTCAGGGTCCGTCTAGACTGGTGACAGTGTTCTTGGGGACTGTCTCGAGATCCATTAAGCAAGTCGAAGCTCCTGACTTGTTTGAATGGGGTCACGGAATAGCTCTGCATGCACTGCAGGGGAATGGGGCCTCATCTCGCCTCTAGGGGGAAGTCTCATGGTTTTTCTCGAGTTGCGGCGGGGACCTGGGGTATGTTCTCGACTTACGGCGGGGATGGCCCTTCAAAACACGAGTTTCTTCAGTGACGTCAGGACTCCTGTCTAGTAACGAGGGACACCTCAGGAATCTCTTCGAGGCTTGGCAGGGCCAAAGGGACGCTTCTCGAGGTGAGGCAGGGCACCCAAGGACCCTTTCCAGTAGCCACAGGGATTTTGGGATTCCTATCAGTATTCAAGAGGAGTCAGGCATCGTCACCTTTTGAAGCAATGAACTCCGCGTGCCTCTCGAGGTGTCAGCGGGATGTGAGGCATTCCGTCAAAATGAGGCAGGGACCTAGGGCTTTCTCTAAGGTCTCCACAGGGGATTCAGACATCCCTTCATGTTGTGAGATGAAAGACGAGCCTGTATTCAAGCCACTGCAAGGAAATCCGGCCTCCTTTCAAGTTAGGGCTTCTCGCTGTATATTCCCCTTGAGGCAGCAAACTCGGGGTCCCTCCCACATAACTATTGCTGAGAGAAGCCTCCTCCTGAGGTGCTTCTGGGAAGTTGGCATACGTCTTGAGCCTAAGCCAGGGAATCAGCTCGCATCTCGAGACGACTTGGGGTACACGGAGCATTCCTCGAGTTGCTGTGCTGAAGTTGGTGTTCCTCTAGACTTGGGACAGTGTTCTCGGGGCATCTCTGGAGTTGCCTGAAGGAAGTCGAGCCACCGGTCGTGTTGAATGGGGAACGGGGAATGGCTCTGGAGTCAATGCAGGGGAATCGGGCCTCATCTCGAGCTGATTTGGGGCACATGGAGCTGCTTTGCGTTGCCGGGGTGACCTCAGGGTCCGTCTAGACTGGTGACAGTGTTCTTGGGGACTGTCTCGAGATCCATTAAGCAAGTCGAAGCTCCTGACTTGTTTGAATGGGGTCACGGAATAGCTCTGCATGCACTGCAGGGGAATGGGGCCTCATCTCGCCTCTAGGGGGAAGTCTCATGGTTTTTCTCGAGTTGCGGCGGGGACCTGGGGTATGTTCTCGACTTACGGCGGGGATGGCCCTTCAAAACACGAGTTTCTTCAGTGACGTCAGGACTCCTGTCTAGTAACGAGGGACACCTCAGGAATCTCTTCGAGGCTTGGCAGGGCCAAAGGGACGCTTCTCGAGGTGAGGCAGGGCACCCAAGGACCCTTTCCAGTAGCCACAGGGATTTTGGGATTCCTATCAGTATTCAAGAGGAGTCAGGCATCGTCACCTTTTGAAGCAATGAACTCCGCGTGCCTCTCGAGGTGTCAGCGGGATGTGAGGCATTCCGTCAAAATGAGGCAGGGACCTAGGGCTTTCTCTAAGGTCTCCACAGGGGATTCAGACATCCCTTCATGTTGTGAGATGAAAGACGAGCCTGTATTCAAGCCACTGCAAGGAAATCCGGCCTCCTTTCAAGTTAGGGCTTCTCGCTGTATATTCCCCTTGAGCTAGCAAACTCGGGGTCCCTCCCACATACCTATTGCTGAGAGAAGCCTCCTCCTGAGGTGCTTCTGGGAAGTTGGCATACGTCTTGAGCCTAAGCCAGGGAATCAGCTCGCATCTCGAGACGACTTGGGGTACACGGAGCATTCCTCGAGTTGCTGTGCTGAAGTTGGTGTTCCTCTAGACTTGGGACAGTGTTCTCGGGGCATCTCTGGAGTTGCCTGAAGGAAGTCGAGCCACCGGTCGTGTTGAATGGGGAACGGGGAATGGCTCTGGAGTCAATGCAGGGGAATCGGGCCTCATCTCGAGCTGATTTGGGGCACATGGAGCTGCTTTGCGTTGCTGGGGTGACCTCAGGGTCCGTCTAGACTGGTGACAGTGTTCTTGGGGACTGTCTCGAGATCCATTAAGCAAGTCGAAGCTCCTGACTTGTTTGAATGGGGTCACGGAATAGCTCTGCATGCACTGCAGGGGAATGGGGCCTCATCTCGCCTCTAGGGGGAAGTCTCATGGTTTTTCTCGAGTTGCGGCGGGGACGTGGGGTATGTTCTCGACTTACGACGGGGATGGCCCTTCAAAACACGAGTTTCTTCAGTGACGTCAGGACTCCTGTCTAGTAACGAGGGACACCTCAGGAATCTCTTCGAGGCTTGGCAGGGCCAAAGGGACGCTTCTCGAGGTGAGGCAGGGCACCCAAGGACCCTTTCCAGTAGCCACAGGGATTTTGGGATTCCTATCAGTATTCAAGAGGAGTCAGGCATCGTCACCTTTTGAAGCAATGAACTCCGCGTGCCTCTCGAGGTGTCAGCGGGATGTGAGGCATTCCGTCAAAACGAGGCAGGGACCTAGGGCTTTCTCTAAGGTCTCCACAGGGGATTCAGACATCCCTTCATGTTGTGAGATGAAAGACGAGCCTGTATTCAAGCCACTGCAAGGAAATCCGGCCTCCTTTCAAGTTAGGGCTTCTCGCTGTATATTCCCCTTGAGGCAGCAAACTCGGGGTCCCTCCCACATACCTATTGCTGAGAGAAGCCTCCTCCTGAGGTGCTTCTGGGAAGTTGGCATATGTCTTGAGCCTAAGCCAGGGAATCAGCTCGCATCTCGAGACGAATTGGGGTACACGGAGCATTCTTCGAGTTGCTGTGCTGAAGTTGGTGTTCCTCTAGACTTGGGACAGTGTTCTCGGGGCATCTCTGGAGTTGCCTGAAGGAAGTCGAGCCACCGGTCGTGTTGAATGGGGAACGGGGAATGGCTCTGGAGTCAATGCAGGGGAATCGGGCCTCATCTCGAGCTGATTTGGGGCACATGGAGCTGCTTTGCGTTGCCGGGGTGACCTCAGGGTCCGTCTAGACTGGTGACAGTGTTCTTGGGGACTGTCTCGAGATCCATTAAGCAAGTCGAAGCTCCTGACTTGTTTGAATGGGGTCACGGAATAGCTCTGCATGCACTGCAGGGGAATGGGGCCTCATCTCGCCTCTAGGGGGAAGTCTCATGGTTTTTCTCGAGTTGCGGCGGGGACCTGGGGTATGTTCTCGACTTACGGCGGGGATGGCCCTTCAAAACACGAGTTTCTTCAGTGACGTCAGGACTCCTGTCTAGTAACGAGGGACACCTCAGGAATCTCTTCGAGGCTTGGCAGGGCAAAAGGGACGCTTCTCGAGGTGAGGCAGGGCACCCAAGGACCCTTTCCAGTAGCCACAGGGATTTTGGGATTCCTATCAGTATTCAAGAGGAGTCAGGCATCGTCACCTTTTGAAGCAATGAACTCCGCGTGCCTCTCGAGGTGTCAGCGGGATGTGAGGCATTCCGTCAAAATGAGGCAGGGACCTAGGGCTTTCTCTAAGGTCTCCACAGGGGATTCAGACATCCCTTCATGTTGTGAGATGAAAGACGAGCCTGTATTCAAGCCACTGCAAGGAAATCCGGCCTCCTTTCAAGTTAGGGCTTCTCGCTGTATATTCCCCTTGAGGCAGCAAACTCGGGGTCCCTCCCACATACCTATTGCTGAGAGAAGCCTCCTCCTGAGGTGCTTCTGGGAAGTTGGCATACGTCTTGAGCCTAAGCCAGGGAATCAGCTCGCATCTCGAGACGACTTGGGGTACACGGAGCATTCCTCGAGTTGCTGTGCTGAAGTTGGTGTTCCTCTAGACTTGGGACAGTGTTCTCGGGGCATCTCTGGAGTTGCCTGAAGGAAGTCGAGCCACCGGTCGTGTTGAATGGGGAACGGGGAATGGCTCTGGAGTCAATGCAGGGGAATCGGGCCTCATCTCGAGTTGATTTGGGGCACATGGAGCTGCTTTGCGTTGCTGGGGTGACCTCAGGGTCCATCTAGACTGGTGACAGTGTTCTTGGGGACTGTCTCGAGATCCATTAAGCAAGTCGAAGCTCCTGACTTGTTTGAATGGGGTCACGGAATAGCTCTGCATGCACTGCAGGGGAATGGGGCCTCATCTCGCCTCTAGGGGGAAGTCTCATGGTTTTTCTCGAGTTGCGGCGGGGACCTGGGGTATGTTCTCGACTTACGGCGGGGATGGCCCTTCAAAACACGAGTTTCTTCAGTGACGTCAGGACTCCTGTCTAGTAACGAGGGACACCTCAGGAATCTCTTCGAGGCTTGGCAGGGCCAAAGGGACGCTTCTCGAGGTGAGGCAGGGCACCCAAGGACCCTTTCCAGTAGCCACAGGGATTTTGGGATTCCTATCAGTATTCAAGAGGAGTCAGGCATCGTCACCTTTTGAAGCAATGAACTTCGCGTGCCTCTCGAGGTGTCAGCGGGATGTGAGGCATTCCGTCAAAATGAGGCAGGGACCTAGGGCTTTCTCTAAGGTCTCCACAGGGGATTCAGACATCCCTTCATGTTGTGAGATGAAAGACGAGCCTGTATTCAAGCCACTGCAAGGAAATCCGGCCTCCTTTCAAGTTAGGGCTTCTCGCTGTATATTCCCCTTGAGGCAGCAAACTCGGGGTCCCTCCCACATACCTATTGCTGAGAGAAGCCTCCTCCTGAGGTGCTTCTGGGAAGTTGGCATACGTCTTGAGCCTAAGCCAGGGAATCAGCTCGCATCTCGAGACGACTTGGGGTACACGGAGCATTCCTCGAGTTGCTGTGCTGAAGTTGGTGTTCCTCTAGACTTGGGACAGTGTTCTCGGGGCATCTCTGGAGTTGCCTGAAGGAAGTCGAGCCACCGGTCGTGTTGAATGGGGAACGGGGAATGGCTCTGGAGTCAATGCAGGGGAATCGGGCCTCATCTCGAGCTGATTTGGCGCACATGGAGCTCCTTTGCGTTGCCGGGGTGACCTCAGGGTCCGTCTAGACTGGTGACAGTGTTCTTGGGGACTGTCTCGAGATCCATTAAGCAAGTCGAAGCTCCTGACTTGTTTGAATGGGGTCACGGAATAGCTCTGCATGCACTGCAGGGGAATGGGGCCTCATCTCGCCTCTAGGGGGAAGTCTCATGGTTTTTCTCGAGTTGCGGCGGGGACCTGGGGTATGTTCTCGACTTACGGCGGGGATGGCCCTTCAAAACACGAGTTTCTTCAGTGACGTCAGGACTCCTGTCTAGTAACGAGGGACACCTCAGGAATCTCTTCGAGGCTTGGCAGGGCAAAAGGGACGCTTCTCGAGGTGAGGCAGGGCACCCAAGGACCCTTTCCAGTAGCCACAGGGATTTTGGGATTCCTATCAGTATTCAAGAGGAGTCAGGCATCGTCACCTTTTGAAGCAATGAACTCCGCGTGCCTCTCGAGGTGTCAGCGGGATGTGAGGCATTCCGTCAAAATGAGGCAGGGACCTAGGGCTTTCTCTAAGGTCTCCACAGGGGATTCAGACATCCCTTCATGTTGTGAGATGAAAGACGAGCCTGTATTCAAGCCACTGCAAGGAAATCCGGCCTCCTTTCAAGTTAGGGCTTCTCGCTGTATATTCCCCTTGAGGCAGCAAACTCGGGGTCCCTCCCACATACCTATTGCTGAGAGAAGCCTCCTCCTGAGGTGCTTCTGGGAAGTTGGCATACGTCTTGAGCCTAAGCCAGGGAATCAGCTCGCATCTCGAGACGACTTGAGGTACACGGAGCATTCCTCGAGTTGCTGTGCTGAAGTTGGTGTTCCTCTAGACTTGGGACAGTGTTCTCGGGGCATCTCTGGAGTTGCCTGAAGGAAGTCGAGCCACCTGTCGTGTTGAATGGGGAACGGGTAATGGCTCTGGAGTCAATGCAGGGGAATCGGGCCTCATCTCGAGTTGATTTGGGGCACATGGAGCTGCTTTGCGTTGCTGGGGTGACCTCAGGGTCCGTCTAGACTGGTGACAGTGTTCTTGGGGACTGTCTCGAGATCCATTAAGCAAGTCGAAGCTCCTGACTTGTTTGAATGGGGTCATGGAATAGCTCTGCATGCACTGCAGGGGAATGGGGCCTCATCTCGCCTCTAGGGGGAAGTCTCATGGTTTTTCTCGAGTTGCGGCGGGGACCTGGGGTATGTTCTCGACTTACGGCGGGGATGGCCCTTCAAAACACGAGTTTCTTCAGTGACGTCAGGACTCCTGTCTAGTAACGAGGGACACCTCAGGAATCTCTTCGAGGCTTGGCAGGGCCAAAGGGACGCTTCTCGAGGTGAGGCAGGGCACCCAAGGACCCTTTCCAGTAGCCACAGGGATTTTGGGATTCCTATCAGTATTCAAGAGGAGTCAGGCATCGTCACCTTTTGAAGCAATGAACTCCGCGTGCCTCTCGAGGTGTCAGCGGGATGTGAGGCATTCCGTCAAAATGAGGCAGGGACCTAGGGCTTTCTCTAAGGTCTCCACAGGGGATTCAGACATCCCTTCATGTTGTGAGATGAAAGACGAGCCTGTATTCAAGCCACTGCAAGGAAATCCGGCCTCCTTTCAAGTTAGGGCTTCTCGTTGTATATTCCCCTTGAGGCAGCAAACTCGGGGTCCCTCCCACATACCTATTGCTGAGAGAAGCCTCCTCCTGAGGTGCTTCTGGGAAGTTGGCATACGTCTTGAGCCTAAGCCAGGGAATCAGCTCGCATCTCGAGACGATTTGGGGTACACGGAGCATTCCTCGAGTTGCTGTGCTGAAGTTGGTGTTCCTCTAGACTTGGGACAGTGTTCTCGGGGCATCTCTGGAGTTGCCTGAAGGAAGTCGAGCCACCGGTCGTGTTGAATGGGGAACGGGGAATGGCTCTGGAGTCAATGCAGGGGAATCGGGCCTCATCTCGAGTTGATTTGGGGCACATGGAGCTGCTTTGCGTTGCTGGGGTGACCTCAGGGTCCGTCTAGACTGGTGACAGTGTTCTTGGGGACTGTCTCGAGATCCATTAAGGAAGTCGAAGCTCCTGACTTGTTTGAATGGGGTCACGGAATAGCTCTGCATGCACTGCAGGGGAATGGGGCCTCATCTCGCCTCTAGGGGGAAGTCTCATGGTTTTTCTCGAGTTGCGGCGGGGACCTGGGGTATGTTCTCGACTTACGGCGGGGATGGCCCTTCAAAACACGAGTTTCTTCAGTGATGTCAGGACTCCTGTCTAGTAACGAGGGACACCTCAGGAATCTCTTCGAGGCTTGGCAGGGCAAAAGGGACGCTTCTCGAGGTGAGGCAGGGCACCCAAGGACCCTTTCCAGTAGCCACAGGGATTTTGGGATTCCTATCAGTATTCAAGAGGAGTCAGGCATCGTCACCTTTTGAAGCAATGAACTCCGCGTGCCTCTCGAGGTGTCAGCGGGATGTGAGGCATTCCGTCAAAATGAGGCAGGGACCTAGGGCTTTCTCTAAGGTCTCCACAGGGGATTCAGACATCCCTTCATGTTGTGAGATGAAAGACGAGCCTGTATTCAAGCCACTGCAAGGAAATCCGGCCTCCTTTCAAGTTAGGGCTTCTCGCTGTATATTCCCCTTGAGGCAGCAAACTCGGGGTCCCTCCCACATACCTATTGCTGAGAGAAGCCTCCTCCTGAGGTGCTTCTGGGAAGTTGGCATACGTCTTGAGCCTAAGCCAGGGAATCAGCTCGCATCTCGAGACGACTTGGGGTACACGGAGCATTCCTCGAGTTGCTGTGCTGAAGTTGGTGTTCCTCTAGACTTGGGACAGTGTTCTCGGGGCATCTCTGGAGTTGCCTGAAGGAAGTCGAGCCACCGGTCGTGTTGAATGGGGAACGGGGAATGGCTCTGGAGTCAATGCAGGGGAATCGGGCCTCATCTCGAGTTGATTTGGGGCACATGGAGCTGCTTTGCGTTGCTGGGGTGACCTCAGGGTCCGTCTAGACTGGTGACAGTGTTCTTGGGGACTGTCTCGAGATCCATTAAGCAAGTCGAAGCTCCTGACTTGTTTGAATGGGGTCACGGAATAGCTCTGCATGCACTGCAGGGGAATGGGGCCTCATCTCGCCTCTAGGGGGAAGTCTCATGTTTTTTCTCGAGTTGCGGCGGGGACCTGGGGTATGTTCTCGACTTACGGCGGGGATGGCCCTTCAAAACACGAGTTTCTTCAGTGACGTCAGGACTCCTGTCTAGTAACGAGGGACACCTCAGGAATCTCTTCGAGGCTTGGCAGGGCCAAAGGGACGCTTCTCGAGGTGAGGCAGGGCACCCAAGGACCCTTTCCAGTAGCCACAGGGATTTTGGGATTCCTATCAGTATTCAAGAGGAGTCAGGCATCGTCACCTTTTGAAGCAATGAACTCCGCGTGCCTCTCGAGGTGTCAGCGGGATGTGAGGCATTCCGTCAAAATGAGGCAGGGACCTAGGGCTTTCTCTAAGGTCTCCACAGGGGATTCAGACATCCCTTCATGTTGTGAGATGAAAGACGAGCCTGTATTCAAGCCACTGCAAGGAAATCCGGCCTCCTTTCAAGTTAGGGCTTCTCGCTGTATATTCCCCTTGAGGCAGCAAACTCGGGGTCCCTCCCACATACCTATTGCTGAGAGAAGCCTCCTCCTGAGGTGCTTCTGGGAAGTTGGCATACGTCTTGAGCCTAAGCCAGGGAATCAGCTCGCATCTCGAGACGACTTGGGGTACACGGAGCATTCCTCGAGTTGCTGTGCTGAAGTTGGTGTTCCTCTAGACTTGGGACAGTGTTCTCGGGGCATCTCTGGAGTTGCCTGAAGGAAGTCGAGCCACCGGTCGTGTTGAATGGGGAACGGGGAATGGCTCTGGAGTCAATGCAGGGGAATCGGGCCTCATCTCGAGCTGATTTGGGGCACATGGAGCTGCTTTGCGTTGCTGGGGTGACCTCAGGGTCCGTCTAGACTGGTGACAGTGTTCTTGGGGACTGTCTCGAGATCCATTAAGCAAGTCGAAGCTCCTGACTTGTTTGAATGGGGTCACGGAATAGCTCTGCATGCACTGCAGGGGAATGGGGCCTCATCTCGCCTCTAGGGGGAAGTCTCATGGTTTTTCTCGAGTTGCGGCGGGGACCTGGGGTATGTTCTCGACTTACGGCGGGGATGGCCCTTCAAAACACGAGTTTCTTCAGTGACGTCAGGACTCCTGTCTAGTAACGAGGGACACCTCAGGAATCTCTTCGAGGCTTGGCAGGGCAAAAGGGACGCTTCTCGAGGTGAGGCAGGGCACCCAAGGACCCTTTCCAGTAGCCACACGGATTTTGGGATTCCTTTCAGTATTCAAGAGGAGTCAGGCATCATCACCTTTTGAAGCAATGAACTCCGCGTGCCTCTCGAGGTGTCAGCGGGATGTGAGGCATTCCGTCAAAATGAGGCAGGGACCTAGGGCTTTCTCTAAGGTCTCCACAGGGGATTCAGACATCCCTTCATGTTGTGAGATGAAAGACGAGCCTGTATTCAAGCCACTGCAAGGAAATCCGGCCTCCTTTCAAGTTAGGGCTTCTCGCTGTATATTCCCCTTGAGGCAGCAAACTCGGGGTCCCTCCCACATACCTATTGCTGAGAGAAGCCTCCTCCTGAGGTGCTTCTGGGAAGTTGGCATACGTCTTGAGCCTAAGCCAGGGAATCAGCTCGCATCTCGAGACGACTTGGGGTACACGGAGCATTCCTCGAGTTGCTGTGCTGAAGTTGGTGTTCCTCTAGACTTGGGACAGTGTTCTCGGGGCATCTCTGGAGTTGCCTGAAGGAAGTCGAGCCACCGGTCGTGTTGAATGGGGAACGGGGAATGGCTCTGGAGTCAATGCAGGGGAATCGGGCCTCATCTCGAGCTGATTTGGGGCACATGGAGCTGCTTTGCGTTGCTGGGGTGACCTCAGGGTCCGTCTAGACTGGTGACAGTGTTCTTGGGGACTGTCTCGAGATCCATTAAGCAAGTCGAAGCTCCTGACTTGTTTGAATGGGGTCACGGAATAGCTCTGCATGCACTGCAGGGGAATGGGGCCTCATCTCGCCTCTAGGGGGAAGTCTCATGGTTTTTCTCGAGTTGCGGCGGGGACGTGGGGTATGTTCTCGACTTACGGCGGGGATGGCCCTTCAAAACACGAGTTTCTTCAGTGACGTCAGGACTCCTGTCTAGTAACGAGGGACACCTCAGGAATCTCTTCGAGGCTTGGCAGGGCCAAAGGGACGCTTCTCGAGGTGAGGCAGGGCACCCAAGGACCCTTTCCAGTAGCCACAGGGATTTTGGGATTCCTATCAGTATTCAAGAGGAGTCAGGCATCGTCACCTTTTGAAGCAATGAACTCCGCGTGCCTCTCGAGGTGTCAGCGGGATGTGAGGCATTCCGTCAAAACGAGGCAGGGACCTAGGGCTTTCTCTAAGGTCTCCACAGGGGATTCAGACATCCCTTCATGTTGTGAGATGAAAGACGAGCCTGTATTCAAGCCACTGCAAGGAAATCCGGCCTCCTTTCAAGTTAGGGCTTCTCGCTGTATATTCCCCTTGAGGCAGCAAACTCGGGGTCCCTCCCACATACCTATTGCTGAGAGAAGCCTCCTCCTGAGGTGCTTCTGGGAAGTTGGCATACGTCTTGAGCCTAAGCCAGGGAATCAGCTCGCATCTCGAGACGACTTGGGGTACACGGAGCATTCCTCGAGTTGCTGTGCTGAAGTTGGTGTTCCTCTAGACTTGGGACAGTGTTCTCGGGGCATCTCTGGAGTTGCCTGAAGGAAGTCGAGCCACCGGTCGTGTTGAATGGGGAACGGGGAATGGCTCTGGAGTCAATGCAGGGGAATCGGGCCTCATCTCGAGCTGATTTGGGGCACATGGAGCTGCTTTGCGTTGCCGGGGTGACCTCAGGGTCCGTCTAGACTGGTGACAGTGTTCTTGGGGACTGTCTCGAGATCCATTAAGCAAGTCGAAGCTCCTGACTTGTTTGAATGGGGTCACGGAATAGCTCTGCATGCACTGCAGGGGAATGGGGCCTCATCTCGCCTCTAGGGGGAAGTCTCATGGTTTTTCTCGAGTTGCGGCGGGGACCTGGGGTATGTTCTCGACTTACGGCGGGGATGGCCCTTCAAAACACGAGTTTCTTCAGTGACGTCAGGACTCCTGTCTAGTAACGAGGGACACCTCAGGAATCTCTTCGAGGCTTGGCAGGGCCAAAGGGACGCTTCTCGAGGTGAGGCAGGGCACCCAAGGACCCTTTCCAGTAGCCACAGGGATTTTGGGATTCCTATCAGTATTCAAGAGGAGTCAGGCATCGTCACCTTTTGAAGCAATGAACTCCGCGTGCCTCTCGAGGTGTCAGCGGGATGTGAGGCATTCCGTCAAAATGAGGCAGGGACCTAGGGCTTTCTCTAAGGTCTCCACAGGGGATTCAGACATCCCTTCATGTTGTGAGATGAAAGACGAGCCTGTATTCAAGCCACTGCAAGGAAATCCGGCCTCCTTTCAAGTTAGGGCTTCTCGCTGTATATTCCCCTTGAGGCAGCAAACTCGGGGTCCCTCCCACATACCTATTGCTGAGAGAAGCCTCCTCCTGAGGTGCTTCTGGGAAGTTGGCATACGTCTTGAGCCTAAGCCAGGGAATCAGCTCGCATCTCGAGACGACTTGGGGTACACGGAGCATTCCTCGAGTTGCTGTGCTGAAGTTGGTGTTCCTCTAGACTTGGGACAGTGTTCTCGGGGCATCTCTGGAGTTGCCTGAAGGAAGTCGAGCCACCGGTCGTGTTGAATGGGGAACGGGGAATGGCTCTGGAGTCAATGCAGGGGAATCGGGCCTCATCTCGAGCTGATTTGGGGCACATGGAGCTGCTTTGCGTTGCCGGGGTGACCTCAGGGTCCGTCTAGACTGGTGACAGTGTTCTTGGGGACTGTCTCGAGATCCATTAAGCAAGTCGAAGCTCCTGACTTGTTTGAATGGGGTCACGGAATAGCTCTGCATGCACTGCAGGGGAATGGGGCCTCATCTCGCCTCTAGGGGGAAGTCTCATGGTTTTTCTCGAGTTGCGGCGGGGACCTGGGGTATGTTCTCGACTTACGGCGGGGATGGCCCTTCAAAACACGAGTTTCTTCAGTGACGTCAGGACTCCTGTCTAGTAACGAGGGACACCTCAGGAATCTCTTCGAGGCTTGGCAGGGCCAAAGGGACGCTTCTCGAGGTGAGGCAGGGCACCCAAGGACCCTTTCCAGTAGCCACAGGGATTTTGGGATTCCTATCAGTATTCAAGAGGAGTCAGGCATCGTCACCTTTTGAAGCAATGAACTCCGCGTGCCTCTCGAGGTGTCAGCGGGATGTGAGGCATTCCGTCAAAATGACGCAGGGACCTAGGGCTTTCTCTAAGGTCTCCACAGGGGATTCAGACATCCCTTCATGTTGTGAGATGAAAGACGAGCCTGTATTCAAGCCACTGCAAGGAAATCCGGCCTCCTTTCAAGTTAGGGCTTCTCGCTGTATATTCCCCTTGAGGCAGCAAACTCGGGGTCCCTCCCACATACCTATTGCTGAGAGAAGCCTCCTCCTGAGGTGCTTCTGGGAAGTTGGCATACGTCTTGAGCCTAAGCCAGGGAATCAGCTCGCATCTCGAGACGACTTGGGGTACACGGAGCATTCCTCGAGTTGCTGTGCTGAAGTTGGTGTTCCTCTAGACTTGGGACAGTGTTCTCGGGGCATCTCTGGAGTTGCCTGAAGGAAGTCGAGCCACCAGTCGTGTTGAATGGGGAACGGGGAATGGCTCTGGAGTCAATGCAGGGGAATCGGGCCTCATCTCGAGCTGATTTGGGGCACATGGAGCTGCTTTGCGTTGCCGGGGTGACCTCAGGGTCCGTCTAGACTGGTGACAGTGTTCTTGGGGACTGTCTCGAGATCCATTAAGCAAGTCGAAGCTCCTGACTTGTTTGAATGGGGTCACGGAATAGCTCTGCATGCACTGCAGGGGAATGGGGCCTCATCTCGCCTCTAGGGGGAAGTCTCATGGTTTTTCTCGAGTTGCGGCGGGGACCTGGGGTATGTTCTCGACTTACGGCGGGGATGGCCCTTCAAAACACGAGTTTCTTCAGTGACGTCAGGACTCCTGTCTAGTAACGAGGGACACCTCAGGAATCTCTTCGAGGCTTGGCAGGGCCAAAGGGACGCTTCTCGAGGTGAGGCAGGGCACCCAAGGACCCTTTCCAGTAGCCACAGGGATTTTGGGATTCCTATCAGTATTCAAGAGGAGTCAGGCATCGTCACCTTTTGAAGCAATGAACTCCGCGTGCCTCTCGAGGTGTCAGCGGGATGTGAGGCATTCCGTCAAAATGAGGCAGGGACCTAGGGCTTTCTCTAAGGTCTCCACAGGGGATTCAGACATCCCTTCATGTTGTGAGATGAAAGACGAGCCTGTATTCAAGCCACTGCAAGGAAATCCGGCCTCCTTTCAAGTTAGGGCTTCTCGCTGTATATTCCCCTTGAGGCAGCAAACTCGGGGTCCCTCCCACATACCTATTGCTGAGAGAAGCCTCCTCCTGAGGTGCTTCTTGGAAGTTGGCATACGTCTTGAGCCTAAGCCAGGGAATCAGCTCGCATCTCGAGACGACTTGGGGTACACGGAGCATTCCTCGAGTTGCTGTGCTGAAGTTGGTGTTCCTCTAGACTTGGGACAGTGTTCTCGGGGCATCTCTGGAGTTGCCTGAAGGAAGTCGAGCCACCGGTCGTGTTGAATGGGGAACGGGGAATGGCTCTGGAGTCAATGCAGGGGAATCGGGCCTCATCTCGAGCTGATTTGGGGCACATGGAGCTGCTTTGCGTTGCTGGGGTGACCTCAGGGTCCGTCTAGACTGGTGACAGTGTTCTTGGGGACTGTCTCGAGATCCATTAAGCAAGTCGAAGCTCCTGACTTGTTTGAATGGGGTCACGGAATAGCTCTGCATGCACTGCAGGGGAATGGGGCCTCATCTCGCCTCTAGGGGGAAGTCTCATGGTTTTTCTCGAGTTGCGGCGGGGACGTGGGGTATGTTCTCGACTTACGGCGGGGATGGCCCTTCAAAACACGAGTTTCTTCAGTGACGTCAGGACTCCTGTCTAGTAACGAGGGACACCTCAGGAATCTCTTCGAGGTTTGGCAGGGCCAAAGGGACGCTTCTCGAGGTGAGGCAGGGCACCCAAGGACCCTTTCCAGTAGCCACAGGGATTTTGGGATTCCTATCAGTATTCAAGAGGAGTCAGGCATCGTCACCTTTTGAAGCAATGAACTCCGCGTGCCTCTCGAGGTGTCAGCGGGATGTGAGGCATTCCGTCAAAACGAGGCAGGGACCTAGGGCTTTCTCTAAGGTCTCCACAGGGGATTCAGACATCCCTTCATGTTGTGAGATGAAAGACGAGCCTGTATTCAAGCCACTGCAAGGAAATCCGGCCTCCTTTCAAGTTAGGGCTTCTCGCTGTATATTCCCCTTGAGGCAGCAAACTCGGGGTCCCTCCCACATACCTATTGCTGAGAGAAGCCTCCTCCTGAGGTGCTTCTGGGAAGTTGGCATACGTCTTGAGCCTAAGCCAGGGAATCAGCTCGCATCTCGAGACGACTTGGGGTACACGGAGCATTCTTCGAGTTGCTGTGCTGAAGTTGGTGTTCCTCTAGACTTGGGACAGTGTTCTCGGGGCATCTCTGGAGTTGCCTGAAGGAAGTCGAGCCACCGGTCGTGTTGAATGGGGAACGGGGAATGGCTCTGGAGTCAATGCAGGGGAATCGGGCCTCATCTCGAGCTGATTTGGGGCACATGGAGCTGCTTTGCGTTGCCGGGGTGACCTCAGGGTCCGTCTAGACTGGTGACAGTGTTCTTGGGGACTGTCTCGAGATCCATTAAGCAAGTCGAAGCTCCTGACTTGTTTGAATGGGGTCACGGAATAGCTCTGCATGCACTGCAGGGGAATGGGGCCTCATCTCGCCTCTAGGGGGAAGTCTCATGGTTTTTCTCGAGTTGCGGCGGGGACCTGGGGTATGTTCTCGACTTACGGCGGGGATGGCCCTTCAAAACACGAGTTTCTTCAGTGACGTCAGGACTCCTGTCTAGTAACGAGGGACACCTCAGGAATCTCTTCGAGGCTTGGCAGGGCAAAAGGGACGCTTCTCGAGGTGAGGCAGGGCACCCAAGGACCCTTTCCAGTAGCCACAGGGATTTTGGGATTCCTATCAGTATTCAAGAGGAGTCAGGCATCGTCACCTTTTGAAGCAATGAACTCCGCGTGCCTCTCGAGGTGTCAGCGGGATGTGAGGCATTCCGTCAAAATGAGGCAGGGACCTAGGGCTTTCTCTAAGGTCTCCACAGGGGATTCAGACATCCCTTCATGTTGTGAGATGAAAGACGAGCCTGTATTCAAGCCACTGCAAGGAAATCCGGCCTCCTTTCAAGTTAGGGCTTCTCGCTGTATATTCCCCTTGAGGCAGCAAACTCGGGGTCCCTCCCACATACCTATTGCTGAGAGAAGCCTCCTCCTGAGGTGCTTCTGGGAAGTTGGCATACGTCTTGAGCCTAAGCCAGGGAATCAGCTCGCATCTCGAGACGACTTGGGGTACACGGAGCATTCCTCGAGTTGCTGTGCTGAAGTTGGTGTTCCTCTAGACTTGGGACAGTGTTCTCGGGGCATCTCTGGAGTTGCCTGAAGGAAGTCGAGCCACCGGTCGTGTTGAATGGGGAACGGGGAATGGCTCTGGAGTCAATGCAGGGGAATCGGGCCTCATCTCGAGTTGATTTGGGGCACATGGAGCTGCTTTGCGTTGCTGGGGTGACCTCAGGGTCCATCTAGACTGGTGACAGTGTTCTTGGGGACTGTCTCGAGATCCATTAAGCAAGTCGAAGCTCCTGACTTGTTTGAATGGGGTCACGGAATAGCTCTGCATGCACTGCAGGGGAATGGGGCCTCATCTCGCCTCTAGGGGGAAGTCTCATGGTTTTTCTCGAGTTGCGGCGGGGACCTGGGGTATGTTCTCGACTTACGGCGGGGATGGCCCTTCAAAACACGAGTTTCTTCAGTGACGTCAGGACTCCTGTCTAGTAACGAGGGACACCTCAGGAATCTCTTCGAGGCTTGGCAGGGCCAAAGGGACGCTTCTCGAGGTGAGGCAGGGCACCCAAGGACCCTTTCCAGTAGCCACAGGGATTTTGGGATTCCTATCAGTATTCAAGAGGAGTCAGGCATCGTCACCTTTTGAAGCAATGAACTTCGCGTGCCTCTCGAGGTGTCAGCGGGATGTGAGGCATTCCGTCAAAATGAGGCAGGGACCTAGGGCTTTCTCTAAGGTCTCCACAGGGGATTCAGACATCCCTTCATGTTGTGAGATGAAAGACGAGCCTGTATTCAAGCCACTGCAAGGAAATCCGGCCTCCTTTCAAGTTAGGGCTTCTCGCTGTATATTCCCCTTGAGGCAGCCAACTCGGGGTCCCTCCCACATACCTATTGCTGAGAGAAGCCTCCTCCTGAGGTGCTTCTGGGAAGTTGGCATACGTCTTGAGCCTAAGCCAGGGAATCAGCTCGCATCTCGAGACGACTTGGGGTACACGGAGCATTCCTCGAGTTGCTGTGCTGAAGTTGGTGTTCCTCTAGACTTGGGACAGTGTTCTCGGGGCATCTCTGGAGTTGCCTGAAGGAAGTCGAGCCACCGGTCGTGTTGAATGGGGAACGGGGAATGGCTCTGGAGTCAATGCAGGGGAATCGGGCCTCATCTCGAGCTGATTTGGGGCACATGGAGCTGCTTTGCGTTGCTGGGGTGACCTCAGGGTCCGTCTAGACTGGTGACAGTGTTCTTGGGGACTGTCTCGAGATCCATTAAGCAAGTCGAAGCTCCTGACTTGTTTGAATGGGGTCACGGAATAGCTCTGCATGCACTGCAGGGGAATGGGGCCTCATCTCGCCTCTAGGGGGAAGTCTCATGGTTTTTCTCGAGTTGCAGCGGGGACCTGTTGTATGTTCTCGACTTACGGCGGGGATGGCCCTTCAAAACACGAGTTTCTTCAGTGACGTCAGGACTCCTGTCTCGTAACGAGGGACACCTCAGGAATCTCTTCGAGGCTTGGCAGGGCAAAAGGGACGCTTCTCGAGGTAAGGCAGGGCACCCAAGGACCCTTTCCAGTAGCCACAGGGATTTTGGGATTCCTATCATTATTCAAGAGGAGTCAGGCATCGTCACCTTTTGAAGCAATGAACTCCGCGTGCCTCTCGAGGTGTCAGCGGGATGTGAGGCATTCCGTCAAAATGAGGCAGGGACCTAGGGCTTTCTCTAAGGTCTCCACAGGGGATTCAGACATCCCTTCATGTTGTGAGATCAAAGACGAGCCTGTATTCAAGCCACTGCAAGGAAATCCGGCCTCCTTTCAAGTTAGGGCTTCTCGCTGTATATTCCCCTTGAGGCAGCAAACTCGGGGTCCCTCCCACATACCTATTGCTGAGAGAAGCCTCCTCCTGAGGTGCTTCTGGGAAGTTGGCATACGTCTTGAGCCTAAGCCAGGGAATCAGCTCGCATCTCGAGACGACTTGGGGTACACGGAGCATTCCTCGAGTTGCTGTGCTGAAGTTGGTGTTCCTCTAGACTTGGGACAGTGTTCTCGGGGCATCTCTGGAGTTGCCTGAAGGAAGTCGAGCCACCGGTCGTGTTGAATGGGGAACGGGGAATGGCTCTGGAGTCAATGCAGGGGAATCGGGCCTCATCTCGAGTTGATTTGGGGCACATGGAGCTGCTTTGCGTTGCTGGGGTGACCTCAGGGTCCGTCTAGACTGGTGACAGTGTTCTTGGGGACTGTCTCGAGATCCATTAAGCAAGTCGAAGCTCCTGACTTGTTTGAATGGGGTCACGGAATAGCTCTGCATGCACTGCAGGGGAATGGGGCCTCATCTCGCCTCTAGGGGGAAGTCTCATGGTTTTTCTCGAGTTGCGGCTGGGACCTGGGGTATGTTCTCGACTTACGGCGGGGATGGCCCTTCAAAACACGAGTTTCTTCAGTGACGTCAGGAATCCTGTCTAGTAACGAGGGACACCTCAGGAATCTCTTCGAGGCTTGGCAGGGCAAAAGGGACGCTTCTCGAGGTGAGGCAGGGCACCCAAGGACCCTTTCCAGTAGCCACAGGGATTTTGGGATTCCTATCAGTATTCAAGAGGAGTCAGGCATCGTCACCTTTTGAAGCAATGAACTCCGCGTGCCTCTCGAGGTGTCAGCGGGATGTGAGGCATTCCGTCAAAATGAGGCAGGGACCTAGGGCTTTCTCTAAGGTCTCCACAGGGGATTCAGACATCCCTTCATGTTGTGAGATGAAAGACGAGCCTGTATTCAAGCCACTGCAAGGAAATCCGGCCTCCTTTCAAGTTAGGGCTTCTCGCTGTATATTCCCCTTGAGGCAGCAAACTCGGGGTCCCTCCCACATACCTATTGCTGAGAGAAGCCTCCTCCTGAGGTGCTTCTGGGAAGTTGGCATACGTCTTGAGCCTAAGCCAGGGAATCCGCTCGCATCTCGAGACGACTTGGGGTACACGGAGCATTCCTCGAGTTGCTGTGCTGAAGTTGGTGTTCCTCTAGACTTGGGACAGTGTTCTCGGGGCATCTCTGGAGTTGCCTGAAGGAAGTCGAGCCACCGGTCGTGTTGAATGGGGAACGGGGAATGGCTGTGGAGTCAATGCAGGGGAATCGGGCCTCATCTCGAGCTGATTTGGGGCACATGGAGCTGCTTTGCGTTGCCGGGGTGACCTCAGGGTCCGTCTAGACTGGTGACAGTGTTCTTGGGGACTGTCTCGAGATCCATTAAGCAAGTCGAAGCTCCTGACTTGTTTGAATGGGGTCACGGAATAGCTCTGCATGCACTGCAGGGGAATGGGGCCTCATCTCGCCTCTAGGGGGAAGTCTCATGGTTTTTCTCGAGTTGCGGCGGGGACCTGGGGTATGTTCTCGACTTACGGCGGGGATGGCCCTTCAAAACACGAGTTTCTTCAGTGACGTCAGGAATCCTGTCTAGTAACGAGGGACACCTCAGGAATCTCTTCGAGGCTTGGCAGGGCAAAAGGGACGCTTCTCGAGGTGAGGCAGGGCACCCAAGGACCCTTTCCAGTAGCCACAGGGATTTTGGGATTCCTATCAGTATTCAAGAGGAGTCAGGCATCGTCACCTTTTGAAGCAATGAACTCCGCGTGCCTCTCGAGGTGTCAGCGGGATGTGAGGGATTCCGTCAAAATGAGGCAGGGACCTAGCGCTTTCTCTAAGGTCTCCACAGGTTATTCAGACATCCCTTCATGTTGTGAGATGAAAGACGAGCCTGTATTCAAGCCACTGCAAGGAAATCCGGCCTCCTTTCAAGTTAGGGCTTCTCGCTGTATATTCCCCTTGAGGCAGCAAACTCGGGGTCCCTCCCACATACCTATTGCTGAGAGAAGCCTCCTCCTGAGGTGCTTCTGGGAAGTTGGCATACGTCTTGAGCCTAAGCCAGGGAATCAGCACGCATCTCGAGATGACTTGGGGTACACGGAGCATTCCTCGAGTTGCTGTGCTGAAGTTGGTGTTCCTCTAGACTTGGGACAGTGTTCTCGGGGCATCTCTGGAGTTGCCTGAAGGAAGTCGAGCCACCGGTCGTGTTGAATGGGGAACGGGGAATGGCTCTGGAGTCAATGCAGGGGAATCGGGCCTCATCTCGAGCTGATTTGGCGCACATGGAGCTCCTTTGCGCTGCCGGGGTGACCTCAGGGTCCGTCTAGACTGGTGACAGTGTTCTTGGGGAATGTCTCGAGATCCATTAAGCAAGTCGAAGCTCCTGACTTGTTTGAATGGGGTCACGGAATAGCTCTGCATGCACTGCAGGGGAATGGGGCCTCATCTCGCCTCTAGGGGGAAGTCTCATGGTTTTTCTCGAGTTGCGGCGGGGACCTGGGGTATGTTCTCGACTTACAGCGGGGATGGCCCTTCAAAACACGAGTTTCTTCAGTGACGTCAGGACTCCTGTCTAGTAACGAGGGACACCTCAGGAATCTCTTCGAGGCTTGGCAGGGCCAAAGGGACGCTTCTCGAGGTGAGGCAGGGCACCCAAGGACCCTTTCCAGTAGCCACAGGGTTTTTGGGATTCCTATCAGTATTCAAGAGGAGTCAGGCATCGTCACCTTTTGAAGCAATGAACTCCGCGTGCCTCTCGAGGTGTCAGCGGGATGTGAGGCATTCCGTCAAAATGAGGCAGGGACCTAGGGCTTTCTCTAAGGTCTCCACAGGGGATTCAGACATCCCTTCATGTTGTGAGATGAAAGACGAGCCTGTATTCAAGCCACTGCAAGGAAATCCGGCCTCCTTTCAAGTTAGGGCTTCTCGCTGTATATTCCCCTTGAGGCAGCAAACTCGGGGTCCCTCCCACATACCTATTGCTGAGAGAAGCCTCCTCCTGAGGTGCTTCTGGGAAGTTGGCATACGTCTTGAGCCTAAGCCAGGGAATCAGCTCGCATCTCGAGATGACTTGGGGTACACGGAGCATTCGTCGAGTTGCTGTGCTGAAGTTGGTGTTCCTCTAGACTTGGGACAGTGTTCTCGGGGCATCTCTGGAGTTGCCTGAAGGAAGTCGAGCCACCGGTCGTGTTGAATGGGGAACGGGGAATGGCTCTGGAGTCAATGCAGGGGAATCGGGCCTCATCTCGAGCTGATTTGGCGTACATGGAGCTCCTTTGCGCTGCCGGGGTGACCTCAGGGTCCGTCTAGACTGGTGACAGTGTTCTTGGGGACTGTCTCGAGATCCATTAAGCAAGTCGAAGCTCCTGACTTGTTTGAATGGGGTCACGGAATAGCTCTGCATGCACTGCAGGGGAATGGGGCCTCATCTCGCCTCTAGGGGGAAGTCTCATGGTTTTTCTCGAGTTGCGGCGGGGACCTGGGGTATGTTCTCGACTTACAGCGGGGATGGCCCTTCAAAACACGAGTTTCTTCAGTGACGTCAGGACTCCTGTCTAGTAACGAGGGACACCTCAGGAATCTCTTCGAGGCTTGGCAGGGCCAAAGGGACGCTTCTCGAGGTGAGGCAGGGCACCCAAGGACCCTTTCCAGTAGCCACAGGGTTTTTGGGATTCCTATCAGTATTCAAGAGGAGTCAGGCATCGTCACCTTTTGAAGCAATGAACTCCGCGTGCCTCTCGAGGTGTCAGCGGGATGTGAGGCATTCCGTCAAAATGAGGCAGGGACCTAGGGCTTTCTCTAAGGTCTCCACAGGGGATTCAGACATCCCTTCATGTTGTGAGATGAAAGACGAGCCTGTATTCAAGCCACTGCAAGGAAATCCGGCCTCCTTTCAAGTTAGGGCTTCTCGCTGTATATTCCCCTTGAGGCAGCAAACTCGGGGTCCCTCCCACATACCTATTGCTGAGAGAAGCCTCCTCCTGAGGTGCTTCTGGGAAGTTGGCATACGTCTTGAGCCTAAGCCAGGGAATCAGCTCGCATCTCGAGATGACTTGGGGTACAAAGAGCATTCCTCGAGTTGCTGTGCTGAAGTTGGTGTTCCTCTAGACTTGGGACAGTGTTCTCGGGGCATCTCTGGAGTTGCCTGAAGGAAGTCGAGCCACCGGTCGTGTTGAATGGGGAACGGGGAATGGCTCTGGAGTCAATGCAGGGGAATCGGGCCTCATCTCGAGTTGATTTGGCGCACATGGAGCTCCTTTGCGCTGCCGGGGTGACCTCAGGGTCCGTCTAGACTGGTGACAGTGTTCTTGGGGACTGTCTCGAGATCCATTAAGCAAGTCGAAGCTCCTGACTTGTTTGAATGGGGTCACGGAATAGCTCTGCATGCACTGCAGGGGAATGGGGCCTCATCTCGCCTCTAGGGGGAAGTCTCATGGTTTTTCTCGAGTTGCGGCGGGGTCCTGGGGTATGTTCTCGACTTACAGCGGGGATGGCCCTTCAAAACATGAGTTTCTTCAGTGACGTCAGGACTCCTGTCTAGTAACGAGGGACACCTCAGGAATCTCTTCGAGGCTTGGCAGGGCCAAAGGGACGCTTCTCGAGGTGAGGCAGGGCACCCAAGGACCCTTTCCAGTAGCCACAGGGTTTTTGGGATTCCTATCAGTATTCAAGAGGAGTCAGGCATCGTCACCTTTTGAAGCAATGAACTCCGCGTGCCTCTCGAGGTGTCAGCGGGATGTGAGGCATTCCGTCAAAATGAGGCAGGGACCTAGGGCTTTCTCTAAGTTCTCCACAGGGGATTCAGACATCCCTTCATGTTGTGAGATGAAAGACGAGCCTGTATTCAAGCCACTGCAAGGAAATCCGGCCTCCTTTCAAGTTAGGGCTTCTCGCTGTATATTCCCCTTGAGGCAGCAAACTCGGGGTCCCTCCCACATACCTATTGCTGAGAGAAGCCTCCTCCTGAGGTGCTTCTGGGAAGTTGGCATACGTCTTGAGCCTAAGCCAGGGAATCAGCTCGCATCTCGAGACGACTTGGGGTACACGGAGCATTCCTCGAGTTGCTGTGCTGAAGTTGGTGTTCCTCTAGACTTGGGACAGTGTTCTCGGGGCATCTCTGGAGTTGCCTGAAGGAAGTCGAGCCACCGGTCGTGTTGAATGGGGAACGGGGAATGGCTCTGGAGTCAATGCAGGGGAATCGGGCCTCATCTCGAGTTGATTTGGGGCACATGGAGCTGCTTTGCGTTGCTGGGGTGACCTCAGGGTCCGTCTAGACTGGTGACAGTGTTCTTGGGGACTGTCTCGAGATCCATTAAGCAAGTCGAAGCTCCTGACTTGTTTGAATGGGGTCACGGAATAGCTCTGCATGCACTGCAGGGGAATGGGGCCTTATCTCGCCTCTAGGGGGAAGTCTCATGGTTTTTCTCGAGTTGCGGCGGGGACCTGGGGTATGTTCTCGACTTACGGCGGGGATGGCCCTTCAAAACACGAGTTTCTTCAGTGACGTCAGGACTCCTGTCTAGTAACGAGGGACACCTCAGGAATCTCTTCGAGGCTTGGCAGGGCAAAAGGGACGCTTCTCGAGGTGAGGCAGGGCACCCAAGGACCCTTTCCAGTAGCCACAGGGATTTTGGGATTCCTATCAGTATTCAAGAGGAGTCAGGCATCGTCACCTTTTGAAGCAATGAACTCCGCGTGCCTCTCGAGGTGTCAGCGGGATGTGAGGCATTCCGTCAAAATGAGGCAGGGACCTAGGGCTTTCTCTAAGGTCTCCACAGGGGATTCAGACATCCCTTCATGTTGTGAGATGAAAGACGAGCCTGTATTCAAGCCACTGCAAGGAAATCCAGCCTCCTTTCAAGTTAGGGCTTCTCGCTGTATATTCCCCTTGAGGCAGCAAACTCGGGGTCCCTCCCACATACCTATTGCTGAGAGAAGCCTCCTCCTGAGGTGCTTCTGGGAAGTTGGCATACGTCTTGAGCCTAAGCCAGGGAATCAGCTCGCATCTCGAGACGACTTGGGGTACACGGAGCATTCCTCGAGTTGCTGTGCTGAAGTTGGTGTTCCTCTAGACTTGGGACAGTGTTCTCGGGGCATCTCTGGAGTTGCCTGAAGGAAGTCGAGCCACCGGTCGTGTTGAATGGGGAACGGGGAATGGCTCTGGAGTCAATGCAGGGGAATCGGGCCTCATCTCGAGTTGATTTGGCGCACATGGAGCTCCTTTGCGCTGCCGGGGTGACCTCAGGGTCCGTCTAGACTGGTGACAGTGTTCTTGGGGACTGTCTCGAGATCCATTAAGCAAGTCGAAGCTCCTGACTTGTTTGAATGGGGTCACGGAATAGCTCTGCATGCACTGCAGGGGAATGGGGCCTCATCTCGCCTCTAGGGGGAAGTCTCATGGTTTTTCTCGAGTTGCGGCGGGGTCCTGGGGTATGTTCTCGACTTACAGCGGGGATGGCCCTTCAAAACATGAGTTTCTTCAGTGACGTCAGGACTCCTGTCTAGTAACGAGGGACACCTCAGGAATCTCTTCGAGGCTTGGCAGGGCCAAAGGGACGCTTCTCGAGGTGAGGCAGGGCACCCAAGGACCCTTTCCAGTAGCCACAGGGTTTTTGGGATTCCTATCAGTATTCAAGAGGAGTCAGGCATCGTCACCTTTTGAAGCAATGAACTCCGCGTGCCTCTCGAGGTGTCAGCGGGATGTGAGGCATTCCGTCAAAATGAGGCAGGGACCTAGGGCTTTCTCTAAGTTCTCCACAGGGGATTCAGACATCCCTTCATGTTGTGAGATGAAAGACGAGCCTGTATTCAAGCCACTGCAAGGAAATCCGGCCTCCTTTCAAGTTAGGGCTTCTCGCTGTATATTCCCCTTGAGGCAGCAAACTCGGGGTCCCTCCCACATACCTATTGCTGAGAGAAGCCTCCTCCTGAGGTGCTTCTGGGAAGTTGGCATACGTCTTGAGCCTAAGCCAGGGAATCAGCTCGCATCTCGAGACGACTTGGGGTACACGGAGCATTCCTCGAGTTGCTGTGCTGAAGTTGGTGTTCCTCTAGACTTGGGACAGTGTTCTCGGGGCATCTCTGGAGTTGCCTGAAGGAAGTCGAGCCACCGGTCGTGTTGAATGGGGAACGGGGAATGGCTCTGGAGTCAATGCAGGGGAATCGGGCCTCATCTCGAGTTGATTTGGGGCACATGGAGCTGCTTTGCGTTGCTGGGGTGACCTCAGGGTCCGTCTAGACTGGTGACAGTGTTCTTGGGGACTGTCTCGAGATCCATTAAGCAAGTCGAAGCTCCTGACTTGTTTGAATGGGGTCACGGAATAGCTCTGCATGCACTGCAGGGGAATGGGGCCTTATCTCGCCTCTAGGGGGAAGTCTCATGGTTTTTCTCGAGTTGCGGCGGGGACCTGGGGTATGTTCTCGACTTACGGCGGGGATGGCCCTTCAAAACACGAGTTTCTTCAGTGACGTCAGGACTCCTGTCTAGTAACGAGGGACACCTCAGGAATCTCTTCGAGGCTTGGCAGGGCAAAAGGGACGCTTCTCGAGGTGAGGCAGGGCACCCAAGGACCCTTTCCAGTAGCCACAGGGATTTTGGGATTCCTATCAGTATTCAAGAGGAGTCAGGCATCGTCACCTTTTGAAGCAATGAACTCCGCGTGCCTCTCGAGGTGTCAGCGGGATGTGAGGCATTCCGTCAAAATGAGGCAGGGACCTAGGGCTTTCTCTAAGGTCTCCACAGGGGATTCAGACATCCCTTCATGTTGTGAGATGAAAGACGAGCCTGTATTCAAGCCACTGCAAGGAAATCCAGCCTCCTTTCAAGTTAGGGCTTCTCGCTGTATATTCCCCTTGAGGCAGCAAACTCGGGGTCCCTCCCACATACCTATTGCTGAGAGAAGCCTCCTCCTGAGGTGCTTCTGGGAAGTTGGCATACGTCTTGAGCCTAAGCCAGGGAATCAGCTCGCATCTCGAGACGACTTGGGGTACACGGAGCATTCCTCGAGTTGCTGTGCTGAAGTTGGTGTTCCTCTAGACTTGGGACAGTGTTCTCGGGGCATCTCTGGAGTTGCCTGAAGGAAGTCGAGCCACCGGTCGTGTTGAATGGGGAACGGGGAATGGCTCTGGAGTCAATGCAGGGGAATCGGGCCTCATCTCGAGTTGATTTGGGGCACATGGAGCTGCTTTGCGTTGCTGGGGTGACCTCAGGGTCCGTCTAGACTGGTGACAGTGTTCTTGGGGACTGTCTCGAGATCCATTAAGCAAGTCGAAGCTCCTGACTTGTTTGAATGGGGTCACGGAATAGCTCTGCATGCACTGCAAGGGAATGGGGCCTCATCTCGCCTCTAGGGGGAAGTCTCATGGTTTTTCTCGAGTTGCGGCGGGGACCTGGGGTATGTTCTCGACTTACGGCGGGGATGGCCCTTCAAAACACGAGTTTCTTCAGTGACGTCAGGACTCCTGTCTAGTAACGAGGGACACCTCAGGAATCTCTTCGAGGCTTGGCAGGGCAAAAGGGACGCTTCTCGAGGTGAGGCAGGGCACCCAAGGACCCTTTCCAGTAGCCACAGGGATTTTGGGATTCCTTTCAGTATTCAAGAGGAGTCAGGCATCATCACCTTTTGAAGCAATGAACTCCGCGTGCCTCTCGAGGTGTCAGCGGGATGTGAGGCATTCCGTCAAAATGAGGCAGGGACCTAGGGCTTTCTCTAAGGTCTCCACAGGGGATTCAGACATCCCTTCATGTTGTGAGATGAAAGACGAGCCTGTATTCAAGCCACTGCAAGGAAATCCGGCCTCCTTTCAAGTTAGGGCTTCTCGCTGTATATTCCCCTTGAGGCAGCAAATTCGGGGTCCCTCCCACATACCTATTGCTGAGAGAAGCCTCCTCCTGAGGTGCTTCTAGGAAGTTGGCATACGTCTTGAGCCTAAGCCAGGGAATCAGCTCGCATCTCGAGACGACTTGGGGTACACGGAGCATTCCTCGAGTTGCTGTGCTGAAGTTGGTGTTCCTCTAGACTTGGGACAGTGTTCTCGGGGCATCTCTGGAGTTGCCTGAAGGAAGTCGAGCCACCGGTCGTGTTGAATGGGGAACGGGGAATGGCTCTGGAGTCAATGCAGGGGAATCGGGCCTCATCTCGAGCTGATTTGGGGCACATGGAGCTGCTTTGCGTTGCTGGGGTGACCTCAGGGTCCGTCTAGACTGGTGACAGTGTTCTTGGGGACTGTCTCGAGATCCATTAAGCAAGTCGAAGCTCCTGACTTGTTTGAATGGGGTCACGGAATAGCTCTGCATGCACTGCAGGGGAATGGGGCCTCATCTCGCCTCTAGGGGGAAGTCTCATGGTTTTTCTCGAGTTGCGGCGGGGACCTGGGGTATGTTCTCGACTTACGGCGGGGATGGCCCTTCAAAACACGAGTTTCTTCAGTGACGTCAGGACTCCTGTCTAGTAACGAGGGACACCTCAGGAATCTCTTCGAGGCTTGGCAGGGACAAAGGGACGCTTCTCGAGGTGAGGCAGGGCACCCAAGGACCCTTTCCAGTAGCCACAGGGATTTTGGGATTCCTATCAGTATTCAAGAGGAGTCAGGCATCGTCACCTTTTGAAGCAATGAACTCCGCGTGCCTCTCGAGGTGTCAGCGGGATGTGAGGCATTCCGTCAAAATGAGGCAGGGACCTAGGGCTTTCTCTAAGGTCTCCACAGGGGATTCAGACATCCCTTCATGTTGTGAGATGAAAGACGAGCCTGTATTCAAGCCACTGCAAGGAAATCCGGCCTCCTTTCAAGTTAGGGCTGCTCGCTGTATATTCCCCTTGAGGCAGCAAACTCGGGGTCCCTCCCACATAACTATTGCTGAGAGAAGCCTCCTCCTGAGGTGCTTCTGGGAAGTTGGCATACGTCTTGAGCCTAAGCCAGGGAATCAGCTCGCATCTCGAGACGACTTGGGGTACACGGAGCATTCCTCGAGTTGCTGTGCTGAAGTTGGTGTTCCTCTAGACTTGGGACAGTGTTCTCGGGGCATCTCTGGAGTTGCCTGAAGGAAGTCGAGCCACCGGTCGTGTTGAATGGGGAACGGGGAATGGCTCTGGAGTCAATGCAGGGGAGTCGGGCCTCATCTCGAGTTGATTTGGGGCACATGGAGCTGCTTTGCGTTGCTGGGGTGACCTCAGGGTCCGTCTAGACTGGTGACAGTGTTCTTGGGGACTGTCTCGAGATCCATTAAGCAAGTCGAAGCTCCTGACTTGTTTGAATGGGGTCACGGAATAGCTCTGCATGCACTGCAGGGGAATGGGGCCTCATCTCGCCTCTAGGGGGAAGTCTCATGGTTTTTCTCGAGTTGCGGCGGGGACCTGGGGTATGTTCTCGACTTACGGCGGGGATGGCCCTTCAAAACACGAGTTTCTTCAGTGACGTCAGGACTCCTGTCTAGTAACGAGGGACACCTCAGGAATCTCTTCGAGGCTTGGCAGGGCCAAAGGGACGCTTCTCGAGGTGAGGCAGGGCACCCAAGGACCCTTTCCAGTAGCCACAGGGATTTTGGGATTCCTATCAGTATTCAAGAGGAGTCAGGCATCGTCACCTTTTGAAGCAATGAACTCCGCGTGCCTCTCGAGGTGTCAGCGGGATGTGAGGCATTCCGTCAAAATGAGGCAGGGACCTAGGGCTTTCTCTAAGGTCTCCACAGGGGATTCAGACATCCCTTCATGTTGTGAGATGAAAGACGAGCCTGTATTCAAGCCACTGCAAGGAAATCCGGCCTCCTTTCAAGTTAGGGCTTCTCGCTGTATATTCCCCTTGAGGCAGCAAACTCGGGGTCCCTCCCACATACCTATTGCTGAGAGAAGCCTCCTCCTGAGGTGCTTCTGGGAAGTTGGCATACGTCTTGAGCCTAAGCCAGGGAATCAGCTCGCATCTCGAGACGACTTGGGGTACACGGAGCATTCTTCGAGTTGCTGTGCTGAAGTTGGTGTTCCTCTAGACTTGGGACAGTGTTCTCGGGGCATCTCTGGAGTTGCCTGAAGGAAGTCGAGCCACCGGTCGTGTTGAATGGGGAACGGGGAATGGCTCTGGAGTCAATGCAGGGGAATCGGGCCTCATCTCGAGCTGATTTGGGGCACATGGAGCTGCTTTGCGTTGCCGGGGTGACCTCAGGGTCCGTCTAGACTGGTGACAGTGTTCTTGGGGACTGTCTCGAGATCCATTAAGCAAGTCGAAGCTCCTGACTTGTTTGAATGGGGTCACGGAATAGCTCTGCATGCACTGCAGGGGAATGGGGCCTCATCTCGCCTCTAGGGGGAAGTCTCATGGTTTTTCTCGAGTTGCGGCGGGGACCTGGGGTATGTTCTCGACTTACGGCGGGGATGGCCCTTCAAAACACGAGTTTCTTCAGTGACGTCAGGACTCCTGTCTAGTAACGAGGGACACCTCAGGAATCTCTTCGAGGCTTGGCAGGGCAAAAGGGACGCTTCTCGAGGTGAGGCAGGGCACCCAAGGACCCTTTCCAGTAGCCACAGGGATTTTGGGATTCCTATCAGTATTCAAGAGGAGTCAGGCATCGTCACCTTTTGAAGCAATGAACTCCGCGTGCCTCTCGAGGTGTCAGCGGGATGTGAGGCATTCCGTCAAAATGAGGCAGGGACCTAGGGCTTTCTCTAAGGTCTCCACAGGGGATTCAGACATCCCTTCATGTTGTGAGATGAAAGACGAGCCTGTATTCAAGACACTGCAAGGAAATCCGGCCTCCTTTCAAGTTAGGGCTTCTCGCTGTATATTCCCCTTGAGGCAGCAAACTCGGGGTCCCTCCCACATACCTATGGCTGAGAGAAGCCTCCTCCTGAGGTGCTTCTGGGAAGTTGGCATACGTCTTGAGCCTAAGCCAGGGAATCAGCTCGCATCTCGAGACGACTTGGGGTACACGGAGCATTCCTCGAGTTGCTGTGCTGAAGTTGGTGTTCCTCTAGACTTGGGACAGTGTTCTCGGGGCATCTCTGGAGTTGCCTGAAGGAAGTCGAGCCACCGGTCGTGTTGAATGGGGAACGGGGAATGGCTCTGGAGTCAATGCAGGGGAATCGGGCCTCATCTCGAGTTGATTTGGGGCACATGGAGCTGCTTTGCGTTGCTGGGGTGACCTCAGGGTCCCTCTAGACTGGTGACAGTGTTCTTGGGGACTGTCTCGAGATCCATTAAGCAAGTCGAAGCTCCTGACTTGTTTGAATGGGGTCACGGAATAGCTCTGCATGCACTGCAGGGGAATGGGGCCTCATCTCGCCTCTAGGGGGAAGTCTCATGGTTTTTCTCGAGTTGCGGCGGGGACCTGGGGTATGTTCTCGACTTACGGCGGGGATGGCCCTTCAAAACACGAGTTTCTTCAGTGACGTCAGGACTCCTGTCTAGTAACAAGGGACACCTCAGGAATCTCTTCGAGGCTTGGCAGGGCCAAAGGGACGCTTCTCGAGGTGAGGCAGGGCACCCAAGGACCCTTTCCAGTAGCCACAGGGATTTTGGGATTCCTATCAGTATTCAAGAGGAGTCAGGCATCGTCACCTTTTGAAGCAATGAACTTCGCGTGCCTCTCGAGGTGTCAGCGGGATGTGAGGCATTCCGTCAAAATGAGGCAGGGACCTAGGGCTTTCTCTAAGGTCTCCACAGGGGATTCAGACATCCCTTCATGTTGTGAGATGAAAGACGAGCCTGTATTCAAGCCACTGCAAGGAAATCCGGCCTCCTTTCAAGTTAGGGCTTCTCGCTGTATATTCCCCTTGAGGCAGCAAACTCGGGGTCCCTCCCACATACCTATTGCTGAGAGAAGCCTCCTCCTGAGGTGCTTCTGGGAAGTTGGCATACGTCTTGAGCCTAAGCCAGGGAATCAGCTCGCATCTCGAGACGACTTGGGGTACACGGAGCATTCCTCGAGTTGCTGTGCTGAAGTTGGTGTTCCTCTAGACTTGGGACAGTGTTCTCGGGGCATCTCTGGAGTTGCCTGAAGGAAGTCGAGCCACCGGTCGTGTTGAATGGGGAACGGGGAATGGCTCTGGAGTCAATGCAGGGGAATCGGGCCTCATCTCGAGTTGATTTGGGGCACATGGAGCTGCTTTGCGTTGCTGGGGTGACCTCAGGGTCCGTCTAGACTGGTGACAGTGTTCTTGGGGACTGTCTCGAGATCCATTAAGCAAGTCGAAGCTCCTGACTTGTTTGAATGGGGTCACGGAATAGCTCTGCATGCACTGCAGGGGAATGGGGCCTCATCTCGCCTCTAGGGGGAAGTCTCATGGTTTTTCTCGAGTTGCGGCGGGGACCTGGGGTATGTTCTCGACTTACGGCGGGGATGGCCCTTCAAAACACGAGTTTCTTCAGTGACGTCAGGACTCCTGTCTAGTAACGAGGGACACCTCAGGAATCTCTTCGAGGCTTGGCAGGGCAAAAGGGACGCTTCTCGAGGTGAGGCAGGGCACCCAAGGACCCTTTCCAGTAGCCACAGGGATTTTGGGATTCCTATCAGTATTCAAGAGGAGTCAGGCATCGTCACCTTTTGAAGCAATGAACTCCGCGTGCCTCTCGAGGTGTCAGCGGGATGTGAGGCATTCCGTCAAAATGAGGCAGGGACCTAGGGCTTTCTCTAAGGTCTCCACAGGGGATTCAGACATCCCTTCATGTTGTGAGATGAAAGACGAGCCTGTATTCAAGCCACTGCAAGGAAATCCGGCCTCCTTTCAAGTTAGGGCTGCTCGCTGTATATTCCCCTTGAGGCAGCAAACTCGGGGTCCCTCCCACATACCTATTGCTGAGAGAAGCCTCCTCCTGAGGTGCTTCTGGGAAGTTGGCATACGTCTTGAGCCTAAGCCAGGGAATCAGCTCGCATCTCGAGACGACTTGGGGTACACGGAGCATTCTTCGAGTTGCTGTGCTGAAGTTGGTGTTCCTCTAGACTTGGGACAGTGTTCTCGGGGCATCTCTGGAGTTGCCTGAAGGAAGTCGAGCCACCGGTCGTGTTGAATGGGGAACGGGGAATGGCTCTGGAGTCAATGCAGGGGAATCGGGCCTCATCTCGAGCTGATTTGGGGCACATGGAGCTGCTTTGCGTTGCCGGGGTGACCTCAGGGTCCGTCTAGACTGGTGACAGTGTTCTTGGGGACTGTCTCGAGATCCATTAAGCAAGTCGAAGCTCCTGACTTGTTTGAATGGGGTCACGGAATAGCTCTGCATGCACTGCAGGGGAATGGGGCCTCATCTCGCCTCTAGGGGGAAGTCTCATGGTTTTTCTCGAGTTGCGGCGGGGACCTGGGGTATGTTCTCGACTTACGGCGGGGATGGCCCTTCAAAACACGAGTTTCTTCAGTGACGTCAGGACTCCTGTCTAGTAACGAGGGACACCTCAGGAATCTCTTCGAGGCTTGGCAGGGCCAAAGGGACGCTTCTCGAGGTGAGGCAGGGCACCCAAGGACCCTTTCCAGTAGCCACAGGGATTTTGGGATTCCTATCAGTATTCAAGAGGAGTCAGGCATCGTCACCTTTTGAAGCAATGAACTCCGCGTGCCTCTCGAGGTGTCAGCGGGATGTGAGGCATTCCGTCAAAATGAGGCAGGGACCTAGGGCTTTCTCTAAGGTCTCCACAGGGGATTCAGACATCCCTTCATGTTGTGAGATGAAAGACGAGCCTGTATTCAAGCCACTGCAAGGAAATCCAGCCTCCTTTCAAGTTAGGGCTTCTCGCTGTATATTCCCCTTGAGGCAGCAAACTCGGGGTCCCTCCCACATACCTATTGCTGAGAGAAGCCTCCTCCTGAGGTGCTTCTGGGAAGTTGGCATACGTCTTGAGCCTAAGCCAGGGAATCAGCTCGCATCTCGAGACGACTTGGGGTACACGGAGCATTCCTCGAGTTGCTGTGCTGAAGTTGGTGTTCCTCTAGACTTGGGACAGTGTTCTCGGGGCATCTCTGGAGTTGCCTGAAGGAAGTCGAGCCACCGGTCGTGTTGAATGGGGAACGGGGAATGGCTCTGGAGTCAATGCAGGGGAATCGGGCCTCATCTCGAGTTGATTTGGGGCACATGGAGCTGCTTTGCGTTGCTGGGGTGACCTCAGGGTCCGTCTAGACTGGTGACAGTGTTCTTGGGGACTGTCTCGAGATCCATTAAGCAAGTCGAAGCTCCTGACTTGTTTGAATGGGGTCACGGAATAGCTCTGCATGCACTGCAAGGGAATGGGGCCTCATCTCGCCTCTAGGGGGAAGTCTCATGGTTTTTCTCGAGTTGCGGCGGGGACCTGGGGTATGTTCTCGACTTACGGCGGGGATGGCCCTTCAAAACACGAGTTTCTTCAGTGACGTCAGGACTCCTGTCTAGTAACGAGGGACACCTCAGGAATCTCTTCGAGGCTTGGCAGGGCAAAAGGGACGCTTCTCGAGGTGAGGCAGGGCACCCAAGGACCCTTTCCAGTAGCCACAGGGATTTTGGGATTCCTTTCAGTATTCAAGAGGAGTCAGGCATCATCACCTTTTGAAGCAATGAACTCCGCGTGCCTCTCGAGGTGTCAGCGGGATGTGAGGCATTCCGTCAAAATGAGGCAGGGACCTAGGGCTTTCTCTAAGGTCTCCACAGGGGATTCAGACATCCCTTCATGTTGTGAGATGAAAGACGAGCCTGTATTCAAGCCACTGCAAGGAAATCCGGCCTCCTTTCAAGTTAGGGCTTCTCGCTGTATATTCCCCTTGAGGCAGCAAATTCGGGGTCCCTCCCACATACCTATTGCTGAGAGAAGCCTCCTCCTGAGGTGCTTCTAGGAAGTTGGCATACGTCTTGAGCCTAAGCCAGGGAATCAGCTCGCATCTCGAGACGACTTGGGGTACACGGAGCATTCCTCGAGTTGCTGTGCTGAAGTTGGTGTTCCTCTAGACTTGGGACAGTGTTCTCGGGGCATCTCTGGAGTTGCCTGAAGGAAGTCGAGCCACCGGTCGTGTTGAATGGGGAACGGGGAATGGCTCTGGAGTCAATGCAGGGGAATCGGGCCTCATCTCGAGCTGATTTGGGGCACATGGAGCTGCTTTGCGTTGCTGGGGTGACCTCAGGGTCCGTCTAGACTGGTGACAGTGTTCTTGGGGACTGTCTCGAGATCCATTAAGCAAGTCGAAGCTCCTGACTTGTTTGAATGGGGTCACGGAATAGCTCTGCATGCACTGCAGGGGAATGGGGCCTCATCTCGCCTCTAGGGGGAAGTCTCATGGTTTTTCTCGAGTTGCGGCGGGGACCTGGGGTATGTTCTCGACTTACGGCGGGGATGGCCCTTCAAAACACGAGTTTCTTCAGTGACGTCAGGACTCCTGTCTAGTAACGAGGGACACCTCAGGAATCTCTTCGAGGCTTGGCAGGGACAAAGGGACGCTTCTCGAGGTGAGGCAGGGCACCCAAGGACCCTTTCCAGTAGCCACAGGGATTTTGGGATTCCTATCAGTATTCAAGAGGAGTCAGGCATCGTCACCTTTTGAAGCAATGAACTCCGCGTGCCTCTCGAGGTGTCAGCGGGATGTGAGGCATTCCGTCAAAATGAGGCAGGGACCTAGGGCTTTCTCTAAGGTCTCCACAGGGGATTCAGACATCCCTTCATGTTGTGAGATGAAAGACGAGCCTGTATTCAAGCCACTGCAAGAAAATCCGGCCTCCTTTCAAGTTAGGGCTTCTCGCTGTATATTCCCCTTGAGGCAGCAAACTCGGGGTCCCTCCCACATACCTATTGCTGAGAGAAGCCTCCTCCTGAGGTGCTTCTGGGAAGTTGGCATACGTCTTGAGCCTAAGCCAGGGAATCAGCTCGCATCTCGAGACGACTTGGGGTACACGGAGCATTCCTCGAGTTGCTGTGCTGAAGTTGGTGTTCCTCTAGACTTGGGACAGTGTTCTCGGGGCATCTCTGGAGTTGCCTGAAGGAAGTCGAGCCACCGGTCGTGTTGAATGGGGAACGGGGAATGGCTCTGGAGTCAATGCAGGGGAATCGGGCCTCATCTCGAGTTGATTTGGGGCACATGGAGCTGCTTTGCGTTGCTGGGGTGACCTCAGGGTCCGTCTAGACTGGTGACAGTGTTCTTGGGGACTGTCTCGAGATCCATTAAGCAAGTCGAAGCTCCTGACTTGTTTGAATGGGGTCACGGAATAGCTCTGCATGCACTGCAGGGGAATGGGGCCTCATCTCGCCTCTAGGGGGAAGTCTCATGGTTTTTCTCGAGTTGCGGCGGGGACCTGGGGTATGTTCTCGACTTACGGCGGGGATGGCCCTTCAAAACACGAGTTTCTTCAGTGACGTCAGGACTCCTGTCTAGTAACGAGGGACACCTCAGGAATCTCTTCGAGGCTTGGCAGGGCAAAAGGGACGCTTCTCGAGGTGAGGCAGGGCACCCAAGGACCCTTTCCAGTAGCCACAGGGATTTTGGGATTCCTATCAGTATTCAAGAGGAGTCAGGCATCGTCACCTTTTGAAGCAATGAACTCCGCGTGCCTCTCGAGGTGTCAGCGGGATGTGAGGCATTCCGTCAAAATGAGGCAGGGACCTAGGGCTTTCTCTAAGGTCTCCACAGGGGATTCAGACATCCCTTCATGTTGTGAGATGAAAGACGAGCCTGTATTCAAGCCACTGCAAGGAAATCCGGCCTCCTTTCAAGTTAGGGCTGCTCGCTGTATATTCCCCTTGAGGCAGCAAACTCGGGGTCCCTCCCACATAACTATTGCTGAGAGAAGCCTCCTCCTGAGGTGCTTCTGGGAAGTTGGCATACGTCTTGAGCCTAAGCCAGGGAATCAGCTCGCATCTCGAGACGACTTGGGGTACACGGAGCATTCCTCGAGTTGCTGTGCTGAAGTTGGTGTTCCTCTAGACTTGGGACAGTGTTCTCGGGGCATCTCTGGAGTTGCCTGAAGGAAGTCGAGCCACCGGTCGTGTTGAATGGGGAACGGGGAATGGCTCTGGAGTCAATGCAGGGGAGTCGGGCCTCATCTCGAGTTGATTTGGGGCACATGGAGCTGCTTTGCGTTGCTGGGGTGACCTCAGGGTCCGTCTAGACTGGTGACAGTGTTCTTGGGGACTGTCTCGAGATCCATTAAGCAAGTCGAAGCTCCTGACTTGTTTGAATGGGGTCACGGAATAGCTCTGCATGCACTGCAGGGGAATGGGGCCTCATCTCGCCTCTAGGGGGAAGTCTCATGGTTTTTCTCGAGTTGCGGCGGGGACCTGGGGTATGTTCTCGACTTACGGCGGGGATGGCCCTTCAAAACACGAGTTTCTTCAGTGACGTCAGGACTCCTGTCTAGTAACGAGGGACACCTCAGGAATCTCTTCGAGGCTTGGCAGGGCCAAAGGGACGCTTCTCGAGGTGAGGCAGGGCACCCAAGGACCCTTTCCAGTAGCCACAGGGATTTTGGGATTCCTATCAGTATTCAAGAGGAGTCAGGCATCGTCACCTTTTGAAGCAATGAACTCCGCGTGCCTCTCGAGGTGTCAGCGGGATGTGAGGCATTCCGTCAAAATGAGGCAGGGACCTAGGGCTTTCTCTAAGGTCTCCACAGGGGATTCAGACATCCCTTCATGTTGTGAGATGAAAGACGAGCCTGTATTCAAGCCACTGCAAGGAAATCCGGCCTCCTTTCAAGTTAGGGCTTCTCGCTGTATATTCCCCTTGAGGCAGCAAACTCGGGGTCCCTCCCACATACCTATTGCTGAGAGAAGCCTCCTCCTGAGGTGCTTCTGGGAAGTTGGCATACGTCTTGAGCCTAAGCCAGGGAATCAGCTCGCATCTCGAGACGACTTGGGGTACACGGAGCATTCTTCGAGTTGCTGTGCTGAAGTTGGTGTTCCTCTAGACTTGGGACAGTGTTCTCGGGGCATCTCTGGAGTTGCCTGAAGGAAGTCGAGCCACCGGTCGTGTTGAATGGGGAACGGGGAATGGCTCTGGAGTCAATGCAGGGGAATCGGGCCTCATCTCGAGCTGATTTGGGGCACATGGAGCTGCTTTGCGTTGCCGGGGTGACCTCAGGGTCCGTCTAGACTGGTGACAGTGTTCTTGGGGACTGTCTCGAGATCCATTAAGCAAGTCGAAGCTCCTGACTTGTTTGAATGGGGTCACGGAATAGCTCTGCATGCACTGCAGGGGAATGGGGCCTCATCTCGCCTCTAGGGGGAAGTCTCATGGTTTTTCTCGAGTTGCGGCGGGGACCTGGGGTATGTTCTCGACTTACGGCGGGGATGGCCCTTCAAAACACGAGTTTCTTCAGTGACGTCAGGACTCCTGTCTAGTAACGAGGGACACCTCAGGAATCTCTTCGAGGCTTGGCAGGGCAAAAGGGACGCTTCTCGAGGTGAGGCAGGGCACCCAAGGACCCTTTCCAGTAGCCACAGGGATTTTGGGATTCCTATCAGTATTCAAGAGGAGTCAGGCATCGTCACCTTTTGAAGCAATGAACTCCGCGTGCCTCTCGAGGTGTCAGCGGGATGTGAGGCATTCCGTCAAAATGAGGCAGGGACCTAGGGCTTTCTCTAAGGTCTCCACAGGGGATTCAGACATCCCTTCATGTTGTGAGATGAAAGACGAGCCTGTATTCAAGACACTGCAAGGAAATCCGGCCTCCTTTCAAGTTAGGGCTTCTCGCTGTATATTCCCCTTGAGGCAGCAAACTCGGGGTCCCTCCCACATACCTATGGCTGAGAGAAGCCTCCTCCTGAGGTGCTTCTGGGAAGTTGGCATACGTCTTGAGCCTAAGCCAGGGAATCAGCTCGCATCTCGAGACGACTTGGGGTACACGGAGCATTCCTCGAGTTGCTGTGCTGAAGTTGGTGTTCCTCTAGACTTGGGACAGTGTTCTCGGGGCATCTCTGGAGTTGCCTGAAGGAAGTCGAGCCACCGGTCGTGTTGAATGGGGAACGGGGAATGGCTCTGGAGTCAATGCAGGGGAATCGGGCCTCATCTCGAGTTGATTTGGGGCACATGGAGCTGCTTTGCGTTGCTGGGGTGACCTCAGGGTCCATCTAGACTGGTGACAGTGTTCTTGGGGACTGTCTCGAGATCCATTAAGCAAGTCGAAGCTCCTGACTTGTTTGAATGGGGTCACGGAATAGCTCTGCATGCACTGCAGGGGAATGGGGCCTCATCTCGCCTCTAGGGGGAAGTCTCATGGTTTTTCTCGAGTTGCGGCGGGGACCTGGGGTATGTTCTCGACTTACGGCGGGGATGGCCCTTCAAAACACGAGTTTCTTCAGTGACGTCAGGACTCCTGTCTAGTAACAAGGGACACCTCAGGAATCTCTTCGAGGCTTGGCAGGGCAAAAGGGACGCTTCTCGAGGTGAGGCAGGGCACCCAAGGACCCTTTCCAGTAGCCACAGGGATTTTGGGATTCCTATCAGTATTCAAGAGGAGTCAGGCATCGTCACCTTTTGAAGCAATGAACTTCGCGTGCCTCTCGAGGTGTCAGCGGGATGTGAGGCATTCCGTCAAAATGAGGCAGGGACCTAGGGCTTTCTCTAAGGTCTCCACAGGGGATTCAGACATCCCTTCATGTTGTGAGATGAAAGACGAGCCTGTATTCAAGCCACTGCAAGGAAATCCGGCCTCCTTTCAAGTTAGGGCTTCTCGCTGTATATTCCCCTTGAGGCAGCAAACTCGGGGTCCCTCCCACATACCTATTGCTGAGAGAAGCCTCCTCCTGAGGTGCTTCTGGGAAGTTGGCATACGTCTTGAGCCTAAGCCAGGGAATCAGCTCGCATCTCGAGACGACTTGGGGTACACGGAGCATTCCTCGAGTTGCTGTGCTGAAGTTGGTGTTCCTCTAGACTTGGGACAGTGTTCTCGGGGCATCTCTGGAGTTGCCTGAAGGAAGTCGAGCCACCGGTCGTGTTGAATGGGGAACGGGGAATGGCTCTGGAGTCAATGCAGGGGAATCGGGCCTCATCTCGAGTTGATTTGGGGCACATGGAGCTGCTTTGCGTTGCTGGGGTGACCTCAGGGTCCGTCTAGACTGGTGACAGTGTTCTTGGGGACTGTCTCGAGATCCATTAAGCAAGTCGAAGCTCCTGACTTGTTTGAATGGGGTCACGGAATAGCTCTGCATGCACTGCAGGGGAATGGGGCCTCATCTCGCCTCTAGGGGGAAGTCTCATGGTTTTTCTCGAGTTGCGGCGGGGACCTGGGGTATGTTCTCGACTTACGGCGGGGATGGCCCTTCAAAACACGAGTTTCTTCAGTGACGTCAGGACTCCTGTCTAGTAACGAGGGACACCTCAGGAATCTCTTCGAGGCTTGGCAGGGCAAAAGGGACGCTTCTCGAGGTGAGGCAGGGCACCCAAGGACCCTTTCCAGTAGCCACAGGGATTTTGGGATTCCTATCAGTATTCAAGAGGAGTCAGGCATCGTCACCTTTTGAAGCAATGAACTCCGCGTGCCTCTCGAGGTGTCAGCGGGATGTGAGGCATTCCGTCAAAATGAGGCAGGGACCTAGGGCTTTCTCTAAGGTCTCCACAGGGGATTCAGACATCCCTTCATGTTGTGAGATGAAAGACGAGCCTGTATTCAAGCCACTGCAAGGAAATCCGGCCTCCTTTCAAGTTAGGGCTGCTCGCTGTATATTCCCCTTGAGGCAGCAAACTCGGGGTCCCTCCCACATACCTATTGCTGAGAGAAGCCTCCTCCTGAGGTGCTTCTGGGAAGTTGGCATACGTCTTGAGCCTAAGCCAGGGAATCAGCTCGCATCTCGAGACGACTTGGGGTACACGGAGCATTCCTCGAGTTGCTGTGCTGAAGTTGGTGTTCCTCTAGACTTGGGACAGTGTTCTCGGGGCATCTCTGGAGTTGCCTGAAGGAAGTCGAGCCACCGGTCGTGTTGAATGGGGAACGGGGAATGGCTCTGGAGTCAATGCAGGGGAATCGGGCCTCATCTCGAGTTGATTTGGGGCACATGGAGCTGCTTTGCGTTGCTGGGGTGACCTCAGGGTCCGTCTAGACTGGTGACAGTGTTCTTGGGGACTGTCTCGAGATCCATTAAGCAAGTCGAAGCTCCTGACTTGTTTGAATGGGGTCACGGAATAGCTCTGCATGCACTGCAGGGGAATGGGGCCTCATCTCGCCTCTAGGGGGAAGTCTCATGGTTTTTCTCGAGTTGCGGCGGGGACCTGGGGTATGTTCTCGACTTACGGCGGGGACGGCCCTTCAAAACACGAGTTTCTTCAGTGACGTCAGGAATCCTGTCTAGTAACGAGGGACACCTCAGGAATCTCTTCGAGGCTTGGCAGGGCCAAAGGGACGCTTCTCGAGGTGAGGCAGGGCACCCAAGGACCCTTTCCAGTAGCCACAGGGATTTTGGGATTCCTATCAGTATTCAAGAGGAGTCAGGCATCGTCACCTTTTGAAGCAATGAACTCCGCGTGCCTCTCGAGGTGTCAGCGGGATGTGAGGCATTCCGTCAAAATGACGCAGGGACCTAGGGCTTTCTCTAAGGTCTCCACAGGGGATTCAGACATCCCTTCATGTTGTGAGATGAAAGACGAGCCTGTATTCAAGCCACTGCAAGGAAATCCGGCCTCCTTTCAAGTTAGGGCTTCTCGCTGTATATTCCCCTTGAGGCAGCAAACTCGGGGTCCCTCCCACATACCTATTGCTGAGAGAAGCCTCCTCCTGAGGTGCTTCTGGGAAGTTGGCATACGTCTTGAGCCTAAGCCAGGGAATCAGCTCGCATCTCGAGACGACTTGGGGTACACGGAGCATTCTTCGAGTTGCTGTGCTGAAGTTGGTGTTCCTCTAGACTTGGGACAGTGTTCTCGGGGCATCTCTGGAGTTGCCTGAAGGAAGTCGAGCCACCGGTCGTGTTGAATGGGGAACGGGGAATGGCTCTGGAGTCAATGCAGGGGAATCGGGCCTCATCTCGAGCTGATTTGGGGCACATGGAGCTGCTTTGCGTTGCCGGGGTGACCTCAGGGTCCGTCTAGACTGGTGACAGTGTTCTTGGGGACTGTCTCGAGATCCATTAAGCAAGTCGAAGCTCCTGACTTGTTTGAATGGGGTCACGGAATAGCTCTGCATGCACTGCAGGGGAATGGGGCCTCATCTCGCCTCTAGGGGGAAGTCTCATGGTTTTTCTCGAGTTGCGGCGGGGACCTGGGGTATGTTCTCGACTTACGGCGGGGATGGCCCTTCAAAACACGAGTTTCTTCAGTGACGTCAGGACTCCTGTCTAGTAACGAGGGACACCTCAGGAATCTCTTCGAGGCTTGGCAGGGCAAAAGGGACGCTTCTCGAGGTGAGGCAGGGCACCCAAGGACCCTTTCCAGTAGCCACAGGGATTTTGGGATTCCTATCAGTATTCAAGAGGAGTCAGGCATCGTCACCTTTTGAAGCAATGAACTCCGCGTGCCTCTCGAGGTGTCAGCGGGATGTGAGGCATTCCGTCAAAATGAGGCAGGGACCTAGGGCTTTCTCTAAGGTCTCCACAGGGGATTCAGACATCCCTTCATGTTGTGAGATGAAAGACGAGCCTGTATTCAAGCCACTGCAAGGAAATCCGGCCTCCTTTCAAGTTAGGGCTTCTCGCTGTATATTCCCCTTGAGGCAGCAAACTCGGGGTCCCTCCCACATACCTATGGCTGAGAGAAGCCTCCTCCTGAGGTGCTTCTGGGAAGTTGGCATACGTCTTGAGCCTAAGCCAGGGAATCAGCTCGCATTTCGAGACGACTTGGGGTACACGGAGCATTCCTCGAGTTGCTGTGCTGAAGTTGGTGTTCCTCTAGACTTGGGACAGTGTTCTCGGGGCATCTCTGGAGTTGCCTGAAGGAAGTCGAGCCACCGGTCGTGTTGAATGGGGAACGGGGAATGGCTCTGGAGTCAATGCAGGGGAATCGGGCCTCATCTCGAGTTGATTTGGGGCACATGGAGCTGCTTTGCGTTGCTGGGGTGACCTCAGGGTCCATCTAGACTGGTGACAGTGTTCTTGGGGACTGTCTCGAGATCCATTAAGCAAGTCGAAGCTCCTGACTTGTTTGAATGGGGTCACGGAATAGCTCTGCATGCACTGCAGGGGAATGGGGCCTCATCTCGCCTCTAGGGGGAAGTCTCATGGTTTTTCTCGAGTTGCGGCGGGGACCTGGGGTATGTTCTCGACTTACGGCGGGGATGGCCCTTCAAAACACGAGTTTCTTCAGTGACGTCAGGACTCCTGTCTAGTAACAAGGGACACCTCAGGAATCTCTTCGAGGCTTGGCAGGGCCAAAGGGACGCTTCTCGAGGTGAGGCAGGGCACCCAAGGACCCTTTCCAGTAGCCACAGGGATTTTGGGATTCCTATCAGTATTCAAGAGGAGTCAGGCATCGTCACCTTTTGAAGCAATGAACTTCGCGTGCCTCTCGAGGTGTCAGCGGGATGTGAGGCATTCCGTCAAAATGAGGCAGGGACCTAGGGCTTTCTCTAAGGTCTCCACAGGGGATTCAGACATCCCTTCATGTTGTGAGATGAAAGACGAGCCTGTATTCAAGCCACTGCAAGGAAATCCGGCCTCCTTTCAAGTTAGGGCTTCTCGCTGTATATTCCCCTTGAGGCAGCAAACTCGGGGTCCCTCCCACATACCTATTGCTGAGAGAAGCCTCCTCCTGAGGTGCTTCTGGGAAGTTGGCATACGTCTTGAGCCTAAGCCAGGGAATCAGCTCGCATCTCGAGACGACTTGGGGTACACGGAGCATTCCTCGAGTTGCTGTGCTGAAGTTGGTGTTCCTCTAGACTTGGGACAGTGTTCTCGGGGCATCTCTGGAGTTGCCTGAAGGAAGTCGAGCCACCGGTCGTGTTGAATGGGGAACGGGGAATGGCTCTGGAGTCAATGCAGGGGAATCGGGCCTCATCTCGAGTTGATTTGGGGCACATGGAGCTGCTTTGCGTTGCTGGGGTGACCTCAGGGTCCGTCTAGACTGGTGACAGTGTTCTTGGGGACTGTCTCGAGATCCATTAAGCAAGTCGAAGCTCCTGACTTGTTTGAATGGGGTCACGGAATAGCTCTGCATGCACTGCAGGGGAATGGGGCCTCATCTCGCCTCTAGGGGGAAGTCTCATGGTTTTTCTCGAGTTGCGGCGGGGACCTGGGGTATGTTCTCGACTTACGGCGGGGATGGCCCTTCAAAACACGAGTTTCTTCAGTGAGGTCAGGACTCCTATCTCGTAACGAGGGACACCTCAGGAATCTCTTCGAGGCTTGGCAGGGCCAAAGGGACGCTTCTCGAGGTGAGGCAGGGCACCCAAGGACCCTTTCCAGTAGCCACAGGGATTTTGGGATTCCTATCAGTATTCAAGAGGAGTCAGGCATCGTCACCTTTTGAAGCAATGAACTCCGTGTGCCTCTCGAGGTATCAGCGGGATGTGAGGCATTCCGTCAAAATGAGGCAGGGACCTAGGGCTTTCTCTAAGGTCTCCACAGGGGATTCAGACATCCCTTCATGTTGTGAGATGAAAGACGAGCCTGTATTCAAGCCACTGCAAGGAAATCCGGCCTCCTTTCAAGTTAGGGCTTCTCGCTGTATATTCCCCTTGAGGCAGCAAACTCGGGGTCCCTCCCACATACCTATTGCTGAGAAAAGCCTCCTCCTGAGGTGCTTCTGGGAAGTTGGCATACGTCTTGAGCCTAAGCCAGGGAATCAGCTCGCATCTCGAGACGACTTGGGGTACACGGAGCATTCCTCGAGTTGCTGTGCTGAAGTTGGTGTTCCTCTAGACTTGGGACAGTGTTCTCGGGGCATCTCTGGAGTTGCCTGAAGGAAGTCGAGCCACCGGTCTTGTTGAATGGGGAACGGGGAATGGCTCTGGAGTCAATGCAGGGGAATCGGGCCTCATCTCGAGCTGATTTGGGGCACATGGAGCTGCTTTGCGTTGCCGGGGTGACCTCAGGGTCCGTCTAGACTGGTGACAGTGTTCTTGGGGACTGTCTCGAGATCCATTAAGCAAGTCGAAGCTCCTGACTTGTTTGAATGGGGTCACGGAATAGCTCTGCATGCACTGCAGGGGAATGGGGCCTCATCTCGCCTCTAGGGGGAAGTCTCATGGTTTTTCTCGAGTTGCAGCGGGGACCTGTTGTATGTTCTCGACTTACGGCGGGGATGGCCCTTCAAAACACGAGTTTCTTCAGTGACGTCAGGACTCCTGTCTCGTAACGAGGGACACCTCAGGAATCTCTTCGAGGCTTGGCAGGGCAAAAGGGACGCTTCTCGAGGTAAGGCAGGGCACCCAAGGACCCTTTCCAGTAGCCACAGGGATTTTGGGATTCCTATCAGTATTCAAGAGGAGTCAGGCATCGTCACCTTTTGAAGCAATGAACTCCGCGTGCCTCTCGAGGTGTCAGCGGGATGTGAGGCATTCCGTCAAAATGAGGCAGGGACCTAGGGCTTTCTCTAAGGTCTCCACAGGGGATTCAGACATCCCTTCATGTTGTGAGATGAAAGACGAGCCTGTATTCAAGCCACTGCAAGGAAATCCGGCCTCCTTTCAAGTTAGGGCTTCTCGCTGTATATTCCCCTTGAGGCAGCAAACTCGGGGTCCCTCCCACATACCTATTGCTGAGAGAAGCCTCCTCCTGAGGTGCTTCTGGGAAGTTGGCATACGTCTTGAGCCTAAGCCAGGGAATCAGCTCGCATCTCGAGACGACTTGGGGTACACGGAGCATTCCTCGAGTTGCTGTGCTGAAGTTGGTGTTCCTCTAGACTTGGGACAGTGTTCTCGGGGCATCTCTGGAGTTGCCTGAAGGAAGTCGAGCCACCGGTCGTGTTGAATGGGGAACGGGGAATGGCTCTGGAGTCAATGCAGGGGAATCGGGCCTCATCTCGAGTTGATTTGGGGCACATGGATCTGCTTTGCGTTGCTGGGGTGACCTCAGGGTCCGTCTAGACTGGTGACAGTGTTCTTGGGGACTGTCTCGAGATCCATTAAGCAAGTCGAAGCTCCTGACTTGTTTGAATGGGGTCACGGAATAGCTCTGCATGCACTTCAGGGGAATGGGGCCTCATCTCGCCTCTAGGGGGAAGTCTCATGGTTTTTCTCGAGTTGCGGCGGGGACGTGGGGTATGTTCTCGACTTACGGCGGGGATGGCCCTTCAAAACACGAGTTTCTTCAGTGACGTCAGGAATCCTGTCTAGTAACGAGGGACACCTCAGGAATCTCTTCGAGGCTTGGCAGGGCAAAAGGGACGCTTCTCGAGGTGAGGCAGGGCACCCAAGGACCCTTTCCAGTAGCCACAGGGATTTTGGGATTCCTATCAGTATTCAAGAGGAGTCAGGCATCGTCACCTTTTGAAGCAATGAACTCCGCGTGCCTCTCGAGGTGTCAGCGGGATGTGAGGCATTCCGTCAAAATGAGGCAGGGACCTAGGGCTTTCTCTAAGGTCTCCACAGGGGATTCAGACATCCCTTCATGTTGTGAGATGAAAGACGAGCCTGTATTCAAGCCACTGCAAGGAAATCCGGCCTCCTTTCAAGTTAGGGCTTCTCGCTGTATATTCCCCTTGAGGCAGCAAACTCGGGGTCCCTCCCACATACCTATTGCTGAGAGAAGCCTCCTCCTGAGGTGCTTCTGGGAAGTTGGCATACGTCTTGAGCCTAAGCCAGGGAATCCGCTCGCATCTCGAGACGACTTGGGGTACACGGAGCATTCCTCGAGTTGCTGTGCTGAAGTTGGTGTTCCTCTAGACTTGGGACAGTGTTCTCGGGGCATCTCTGGAGTTGCCTGAAGGAAGTCGAGCCACCGGTCGTGTTGCATGGGGAACGGGGAATGGCTCTGGAGTCAATGCAGGGGAATCGGGCCTCATCTCGAGTTGATTTGGGGCACATGGAGCTGCTTTGCGTTGCTGGGGTGACCTCAGGGTCCGTCTAGACTGGTGACAGTGTTCTTGGGGACTGTCTCGAGATCCATTAAGCAAGTCGAAGCTCCTGACTTGTTTGAATGGGGTCACGGAATAGCTCTGCATGCACTGCAGGGGAATGGGGCCTCATCTCGCCTCTAGGGGGAAGTCTCATGGTTTTTCTCGAGTTGCGGCGGGGACCTGGGTTATGTTCTCGACTTACGGCGGGGATGGCCCTTCAAAACACGAGTTTCTTCAGTGACGTCAGGACTCCTGTCTAGTAACGAGGGACACCTCAGGAATCTCTTCGAGGCTTGGCAGGGCCAAAGGGACGCTTCTCGAGGTGAGGCAGGGCACCCAAGGACCCTTTCCAGTAGCCACAGGGATTTTGGGATTCCTATCAGTATTCAAGAGGAGTCAGGCATCGTCACCTTTTGAAGCAATGAACTCCGCGTGCCTCTCGAGGTGTCAGCGGGATGTGAGGCATTCCGTCAAAATGAGGCAGGGACCTAGGGCTTTCTCTAAGGTCTCCACAGGGGATTCAGACATCCCTTCATGTTGTGAGATGAAAGACGAGCCTGTATTCAAGCCACTGCAAGGAAATCCGGCCTCATTTCAAGTTAGGGCTTCTCGCTGTATATTCCCCTTGAGGCAGCAAACTCGGGGTCCCTCCCACATACCTATTGCTGAGAGAAGCCTCCTCCTGAGGTGCTTCTGGGAAGTTGGCATACGTCTTGAGCCTAAGCCAGGGAATCAGCTCGCATCTCGAGACGACTTGGGGTACACGGAGCATTCCTCGAGTTGCTGTGCTGAAGTTGGTGTTCCTCTAGACTTGGGACAGTGTTCTCGGGGCATCTCTGGAGTTGCCTGAAGGAAGTCGAGCCACCGGTCGTGTTGAATGGGGAACGGGGAATGGCTCTGGAGTCAATGCAGGGGAATCGGGCCTCATCTCGAGCTGATTTGGGGCACATGGAGCTGCTTTGCGTTGCCGGGGTGACCTCAGGGTCCGTCTAGACTGGTGACAGTGTTCTTGGGGACTGTCTCGAGATCCATTAAGCAAGTCGAAGCTCCTGACTTGTTTGAATGGGGTCACGGAATAGCTCTGCATGCACTGCAGGGGAATGGGGCCTCATCTCGCCTCTAGGGGGAAGTCTCATGGTTTTTCTCGAGTTGCGGCGGGGACCTGGGGTATGTTCTCGACTTACGGCGGGGATGGCCCTTCAAAACACGAGTTTCTTCAGTGACGTCAGGACTCCTGTCTAGTAACGAGGGACACCTCAGGAATCTCTTCGAGGCTTGGCAGGGCAAAAGGGACGCTTCTCGAGGTGAGGCAGGGCACCCAAGGACCCTTTCCAGTAGCCACAGGGATTTTGGGATTCCTATCAGTATTCAAGAGGAGTCAGGCATCGTCACCTTTTGAAGCAGTGAACTCCGCGTGCCTCTCGAGGTGTCAGCGGGATGTGAGGGATTCCGTCAAAATGAGGCAGGGACCTAGCGCTTTCTCTAAGGTCTCCACAGGGGATTCAGACATCCCTTCATGTTGTGAGATGAAAGACGAGCCTGTATTCAAGCCACTGCAAGGAAATCCGGCCTCCTTTCAAGTTAGGGCTTCTCGCTGTATATTCCCCTTGAGGCAGCAAACTCGGGGTCCCTCCCACATACCTATTGCTGTGAGAAGCCTCCTCCTGAGGTGCTTCTGGGAAGTTGGCATACGTCTTGAGCCTAAGCCAGGGAATCAGCTCGCATCTCGAGATGACTTGGGGTACACGGAGCATTCCTCGAGTTGCTGTGCTGAAGTTGGTGTTCCTCTAGACTTGGGACAGTGTTCTCGGGGCATCTCTGGAGTTGCCTGAAGGAAGTCGAGCCACCGGTCGTGTTGAATGGGGAACGGGGAATGGCTCTGGAGTCAATGCAGGGGAATCGGGCCTCATCTCGAGCTGATTTGGCGCACATGGAGCTCCTTTGCGCTGCCGGGGTGACCTCAGGGTCCGTCTAGACTGGTGACAGTGTTCTTGGGGACTGTCTCGAGATCCATTAAGCAAGTCGAAGCTCCTGACTTGTTTGAATGGGGTCACGGAATAGCTCTGCATGCACTGCAGGGGAATGGGGCCTCATCTCGCCTCTAGGGGGAAGTCTCATGGTTTTTCTCGAGTTGCGGCGGGGACCTGGGGTATGTTCTCGACTTACAGCGGGGATGGCCCTTCAAAACACGAGTTTCTTCAGTGACGTCAGGACTCCTGTCTAGTAACGAGGGACACCTCAGGAATCTCTTCGAGGCTTGGCAGGGCCAAAGGGACGCTTCTCGAGGTGAGGCAGGGCACCCAAGGACCCTTTCCAGTAGCCACAGGGTTTTTGGGATTCCTATCAGTATTCAAGAGGAGTCAGGCATCGTCACCTTTTGAAGCAATGAACTCCGCGTGCCTCTCGAGGTGTCAGCGGGATGTGAGGCATTCCGTCAAAATGAGGCAGGGACCTAGGGCTTTCTCTAAGGTCTCCACAGGGGATTCAGACATCCCTTCATGTTGTGAGATGAAAGACGAGCCTGTATTCAAGCCACTGCAAGGAAATCCGGCCTCCTTTCAAGTTAGGGCTTCTCGCTGTATATTCCCCTTGAGGCAGCAAACTCGGGGTCCCTCCCACATACCTATTGCTGAGAGAAGCCTCCTCCTGAGGTGCTTCTGGGAAGTTGGCATACGTCTTGAGCCTAAGCCAGGGAATCAGCTCGCATCTCGAGACGACTTGGGGTACACGGAGCATTCCTCGAGTTGCTGTGCTGAAGTTGGTGTTCCTCTAGACTTGGGACAGTGTTCTCGGGGCATCTCTGGAGATGCCTGAAGGAAGTCGAGCCACCGGTCGTGTTGAATGGGGAACGGGGAATGGCTCTGGAGTCAATGCAGGGGAATCGGGCCTCATCTCGAGCTGATTTGGCGCACATGGAGCTCCTTTGCGCTGCCGGGGTGACCTCAGGGTCCGTCTAGACTGGTGACAGTGTTCTTGGGGACTGTCTCGAGATCCATTAAGCAAGTCGAAGCTCCTGACTTGTTTGAATGGGGTCACGGAATAGCTCTGCATGCACTGCAGGGGAATGGGGCCTCATCTCGCCTCTAGGGGGAAGTCTCATGGTTTTTCTCGAGTTGCGGCGGGGACCTGGGGTATGTTCTCGACTTACAGCGGGGATGGCCCTTCAAAACACGAGTTTCTTCAGTGACGTCAGGACTCCTGTCTAGTAACGAGGGACACCTCAGGAATCTCTTCGAGGCTTGGCAGGGCCAAAGGGACGCTTCTCGAGGTGAGGCAGGGCACCCAAGGACCCTTTCCAGTAGCCACAGGGTTTTTGGGATTCCTATCAGTATTCAAGAGGAGTCAGGCATCGTCACCTTTTGAAGCAATGAACTCCGCGTGCCTCTCGAGGTGTCAGCGGGATGTGAGGCATTCCGTCAAAATGAGGCAGGGACCTAGGGCTTTCTCTAAGGTCTCCACAGGGGATTCAGACATCCCTTCATGTTGTGAGATGAAAGACGAGCCTGTATTCAAGCCACTGCAAGGAAATCCGGCCTCCTTTCAAGTTAGGGCTTCTCGCTGTATATTCCCCTTGAGGCAGCAAACTCGGGGTCCCTCCCACATACCTATTGCTGAGAGAAGCCTCCTCCTGAGGTGCTTCTGGGAAGTTGGCATACGTCTTGAGCCTAAGCCAGGGAATCAGCTCGCATCTCGAGATGACTTGGGGTACACGGAGCATTCCTCGAGTTGCTGTGCTGAAGTTGGTGTTCCTCTAGACTTGGGACAGTGTTCTCGGGGCATCTCTGGAGTTGCCTGAAGGAAGTCGAGCCACCGGTCGTGTTGAATGGGGAACGGGGAATGGCTCTGGAGTCAATGCAGGGGAATCGGGCCTCATCTCGAGCTGATTTGGCGCACATGGAGCTCCTTTGCGCTGCCGGGGTGACCTCAGGGTCCGTCTAGACTGGTGACAGTGTTCTTGGGGACTGTCTCGAGATCCATTAAGCAAGTCGAAGCTCCTGACTTGTTTGAATGGGGTCACGGAATAGCTCTGCATGCACTGCAGGGGAATGGGGCCTCATCTCGCCTCTAGGGGGAAGTCTCATGGTTTTTCTCGAGTTGCGGCGGGGACCTGGGGTATGTTCTCGACTTACGGCGGGGATGGCCCTTCAAAACACGAGTTTCTTCAGTGACGTCAGGACTCCTGTCTAGTAACGAGGGACACCTCAGGAATCTCTTCGAGGCTTGGCAGGGCCAAAGGGACGCTTCTCGAGGTGAGGCAGGGCACCCAAGGACCCTTTCCAGTAGCCACAGGGTTTTTGGGATTCCTATCAGTATTCAAGAGGAGTCAGGCATCGTCACCTTTTGAAGCAATGAACTCCGCGTGCCTCTCGAGGTGTCAGCGGGATGTGAGGCATTCCGTCAAAATGAGGCAGGGACCTAGGGCTTTCTCTAAGGTCTCCACAGGGGATTCAGACATCCCTTCATGTTGTGAGATGAAAGACGAGCCTGTATTCAAGCCACTGCAAGGAAATCCGGCCTCCTTTCAAGTTAGGGCTTCTCGCTGTATATTCCCCTTGAGGCAGCAAACTCGGGGTCCCTCCCACATACCTATTGCTGAGAGAAGCCTCCTCCTGAGGTGCTTCTGGGAAGTTGGCATACGTCTTGAGCCTAAGCCAGGGAATCAGCTCGCATCTCGAGACGACTTGGGGTACACGGAGCATTCCTCGAGTTGCTGTGCTGAAGTTGGTGTTCCTCTAGACTTGGGACAGTGTTCTCGGGGCATCTCTGGAGATGCCTGAAGGAAGTCGAGCCACCGGTCGTGTTGAATGGGGAACGGGGAATGGCTCTGGAGTCAATGCAGGGGAATCGGGCCTCATCTCGAGCTGATTTGGCGCACATGGAGCTCCTTTGCGCTGCCGGGGTGACCTCAGGGTCCGTCTAGACTGGTGACAGTGTTCTTGGGGACTGTCTCGAGATCCATTAAGCAAGTCGAAGCTCCTGACTTGTTTGAATGGGGTCACGGAATAGCTCTGCATGCACTGCAGGGGAATGGGGCCTCATCTCGCCTCTAGGGGGAAGTCTCATGGTTTTTCTCGAGTTGCGGCGGGGACCTGGGGTATGTTCTCGACTTACAGCGGGGATGGCCCTTCAAAACACGAGTTTCTTCAGTGACGTCAGGACTCCTGTCTAGTAACGAGGGACACCTCAGGAATCTCTTCGAGGCTTGGCAGGGCCAAAGGGACGCTTCTCGAGGTGAGGCAGGGCACCCAAGGACCCTTTCCAGTAGCCACAGGGTTTTTGGGATTCCTATCAGTATTCAAGAGGAGTCAGGCATCGTCACCTTTTGAAGCAATGAACTCCGCGTGCCTCTCGAGGTGTCAGCGGGATGTGAGGCATTCCGTCAAAATGAGGCAGGGACCTAGGGCTTTCTCTAAGGTCTCCACAGGGGATTCAGACATCCCTTCATGTTGTGAGATGAAAGACGAGCCTGTATTCAAGCCACTGCAAGGAAATCCGGCCTCCTTTCAAGTTAGGGCTTCTCGCTGTATATTCCCCTTGAGGAAGCAAACTCGGGGTCCCTCCCACATACCTATTGCTGAGAGAAGCCTCCTCCTGAGGTGCTTCTGGGAAGTTGGCATACGTCTTGAGCCTAAGCCAGGGAATCAGCTCGCATCTCGAGATGACTTGGGGTACACGGAGCATTCCTCGAGTTGCTGTGCTGAAGTTGGTGTTCCTCTAGACTTGGGACAGTGTTCTCGGGGCATCTCTGGAGTTGCCTGAAGGAAGTCGAGCCACCGGTCGTGTTGAATGGGGAACGGGGAATGGCTCTGGAGTCAATGCAGGGGAATCGGGCCTCATCTCGAGTTGATTTGGGGCACATGGAGCTGCTTTGCGTTGCTTGGGTGACCTCAGGGTCCGTCTAGACTGGTGACAGTGTTCTTGGGGACTGTCTCGAGATCCATTAAGCAAGTCGAAGCTCCTGACTTGTTTGAATGGGGTCACGGAATAGCTCTGCATGCACTGCAGGGGAATGGGGCCTCATCTCGCCTCTAGGGGGAAGTCTCATGGTTTTTCTCGAGTTGCGGCGGGGACCTGGGGTATGTTCTCGACTTACGGCGGGGATGGCCCTTCAAAACACGAGTTTCTTCAGTGACGTCAGGACTCCTGTCTAGTAACGAGGGACACCTCAGGAATCTCTTCGAGGCTTGGCAGGGCAAAAGGGACGCTTCTCGAGGTGAGGCAGGGCACCCAAGGACCCTTTCCAGTAGCCACAGGGATTTTGGGATTCCTATCAGTATTCAAGAGGAGTCAGGCATCGTCACCTTTTGAAGCAATGAACTCCGCGTGCCTCTCGAGGTGTCAGCGGGATGTGAGGCATTCCGTCAAAATGAGGCAGGGACCTAGGGCTTTCTCTAAGGTCTCCACAGGGGATTCAGACATCCCTTCATGTTGTGAGATGAAAGACGAGCCTGTATTCAAGCCACTGCAAGGAAATCCGGCCTCCTTTCAAGTTAGGGCTTCTCGCTGTATATTCCCCTTGAGGCAGCAAACTCGGGGTCCCTCCCACATACCTATTGCTGAGAGAAGCCTCCTCCTGAGGTGCTTCTGGGAAGTTGGCATACGTCTTGAGCCTAAGCCAGGGAATCAGCTCGCATCTCGAGACGACTTGGGGTACATGGAGCATTCCTCGAGTTGCTGTGCTGAATTTGGTGTTCCTCTAGACTTGGGACAGTGTTCTCGGGGCATCTCTGGAGTTGCCTGAAGAAAGTCGAGCCACCGGTCGTGTTGAATGGGGAACGGGGAATGGCTCTGGAGTCAATGCAGGGGAATCGGGCCTCATCTCGAGTTGATTTGGGGCACATGGAGCTGCTTTGCGTTGCTGGGGTGACCTCAGGGTCCGTCTAGACTGGTGACAGTGTTCTTGGGGACTGTCTCGAGATCCATTAAGCAAGTCGAAGCTCCTGACTTGTTTGAATGGGGTCACGGAATAGCTCTGCATGCACTGCAGGGGAATGGGGCCTCATCTCGCCTCTAGGGGGAAGTCTCATGGTTTTTCTCGAGTTGCGGCGGGGACCTGGGGTATGTTCTCGACTTACGGCGGGGATGGCCCTTCAAAACACGAGTTTCTTCAGTGACGTCAGGACTCCTGTCTAGTAACGAGGGACACCTCAGGAATCTCTTCGAGGCTTGGCAGGGCCAAAGGGACGCTTCTCGAGGTGAGGCAGGGCACCCAAGGACCCTTTCCAGTAGCCACAGGGATTTTGGGATTCCTATCAGTATTCAAGAGGAGTCAGGCATCGTCACCTTTTGAAGCAATGAACTCCGCGTGCCTCTCGAGGTGTCAGCGGGATGTGAGGCATTCCGTCAAAATGAGGCAGGGACCTAGGGCTTTCTCTAAGGTCTCCACAGGGGATTCAGACATCCCTTCATGTTGTGAGATGAAAGACGAGCCTGTATTCAAGCCACTGCAAGGAAATCCGGCCTCCTTTCAAGTTAGGGCTTCTCGCTGTATATTCCCCTTGAGGCAGCAAACTCGGGGTCCCTCCCACATACCTATTGCTGAGAGAAGCCTCCTCCTGAGGTGCTTCTGGGAAGTTGGCATACGTCTTGAGCCTAAGCCAGGGAATCAGCTCGCATCTCGAGACGACTTGGGGTACACGGAGCATTCCTCGAGTTGCTGTGCTGAAGTTGGTGTTCCTCTAGACTTGGGACAGTGTTCTCGGGGCATCTCTGGAGTTGCCTGAAGGAAGTCGAGCCACCGGTCGTGTTGAATGGGGAACGGGGAATGGCTCTGGAGTCAATGCAGGGGAATCGGGCCTCATCTCGAGTTGATTTGGGGCACATGGAGCTGCTTTGCGTTGCTGGGGTGACCTCAGGGTCCGTCTAGACTGGTGACAGTGTTCTTGGGGACTGTCTCGAGATCCATTAAGCAAGTCGAAGCTCCTGACTTGTTTGAATGGGGTCACGGAATAGCTCTGCATGCACTGCAGGGGAATGGGGCCTCATCTCGCCTCTAGGGGGAAGTCTCATGGTTTTTCTCGAGTTGCGGCGGGGACCTGGGGTATGTTCTCGACTTACGGCGGGGATGGCCCTTCAAAACACGAGTTTCTTCAGTGACGTCAGGACTCCTGTCTAGTAACGAGGGACACCTCAGGAATCTCTTCGAGGCTTGGCAGGGCCAAAGGGACGCTTCTCGAGGTGAGGCAGGGCACCCAAGGACCCTTTCCAGTAGCCACAGGGATTTTGGGATTCCTATCAGTATTCAAGAGGAGTCAGGCATCGTCACCTTTTGAAACAATGAACTCCGCGTGCCTCTCGAGGTGTCAGCGGGATGTGAGGCATTCCGTCAAAATGAGGCAGGGACCTAGGGCTTTCTCTAAGGTCTCCACAGGGGATTCAGACATCCCTTCATGTTGTGAGATGAAAGACGAGCCTGTATTCAAGCCACTGCAAGGAAATCCGGCCTCCTTTCAAGTTAGGGCTTCTCGCTGTATATTCCCCTTGAGGCAGCAAACTCGGGGTCCCTCCCACATACCTATTGCTGAGAGAAGCCTCCTCCTGAGGTGCTTCTGGGAAGTTGGCATACGTCTTGAGCCTAAGCCAGGGAATCAGCTCGCATCTCGAGACGACTTGGGGTACACGGAGCATTCCTCGAGTTGCTGTGCTGAAGTTGGTGTTCCTCTAGACTTGGGACAGTGTTCTCGGGGCATCTCTGGAGTTGCCTGAAGGAAGTCGAGCCACCGGTCGTGTTGAATGGGGAACGGGGAATGGCTCTGGAGTCAATGCAGGGGAATCGGGCCTCATCTCGAGTTGATTTGGGGCACATGGAGCTGCTTTGCGTTGCTGGGGTGACCTCAGGGTCCGTCTAGACTGGTGACAGTGTTCTTGGGGACTGTCTCGAGATCCATTAAGCAAGTCGAAGCTCCTGACTTGTTTGAATGGGGTCACGGAATAGCTCTGCATGCACTGCAGGGGAATGGGGCCTCATCTCGCCTCTAGGGGGAAGTCTCATGGTTTTTCTCGAGTTGCGGCGGGGACCTGGGGTATGTTCTCGACTTACGGCGGGGATGGCCCTTCAAAACACGAGTTTCTTCAGTGACGTCAGGACTCCTGTCTAGTAACGAGGGACACCTCAGGAATCTCTTCGAGGCTTGGCAGGGCAAAAGGGACGCTTCTCGAGGTGAGGCAGGGCACCCAAGGACCCTTTCCAGTAGCCACAGGGATTTTGGGATTCCTATCAGTATTCAAGAGGAGTCAGGCATCGTCACCTTTTGAAGCAATGAACTCCGCGTGCCTCTCGAGGTGTCAGCGGGATGTGAGGCATTCCGTCAAAATGAGGCAGGGACCTAGGGCTTTCTCTAAGGTCTCCACAGGGGATTCAGACATCCCTTCATGTTGTGAGATGAAAGACGAGCCTGTATTCAAGACACTGCAAGGAAATCCGGCCTCCTTTCAAGTTAGGGCTTCTCGCTGTATATTCCCCTTGAGGCAGCAAACTCGGGGTCCCTCCCACATACCTATCGCTGAGAGAAGCCTCCTCCTGAGGTGCTTCTGGGAAGTTGGCATACGTCTTGAGCCTAAGCCAGGGAATCAGCTCGCATCTCGAGACGACTTGGGGTACACGGAGCATTCCTCGAGTTGCTGTGCTGAAGTTGGTGTTCCTCTAGACTTGGGACAGTGTTCTCGGGGCATCTCTGGAGTTGCCTGAAGGAAGTCGAGCCACCGGTCGTGTTGAATGGGGAACGGGGAATGGCTCTGGAGTCAATGCAGGGGAATCGGGCCTCATCTCGAGTTGATTTGGGGCACATGGAGCTGCTTTGCGTTGCTGGGGTGACCTCAGGGTCCATCTAGACTGGTGACAGTGTTCTTGGGGACTGTCTCGAGATCCATTAAGCAAGTCGAAGCTCCTGACTTGTTTGAATGGGGTCACGGAATAGCTCTGCATGCACTGCAGGGGAATGGGGCCTCATCTCGCCTCTAGGGGGAAGTCTCATGGTTTTTCTCGAGTTGCGGCGGGGACCTTGGGTATGTTCTCGACTTACGGCGGGGATGGCCCTTCAAAACACGAGTTTCTTCAGTGACGTCAGGACTCCTGTCTAGTAACAAGGGACACCTCAGGAATCTCTTCGAGGCTTGGCAGGGCCAAAGGGACGCTTCTCGAGGTGAGGCAGGGCACCCAAGGACCCTTTCCAGTAGCCACAGGGATTTTGGGATTCCTATCAGTATTCAAGAGGAGTCAGGCATCGTCACCTTTTGAAGCAATGAACTTCGCGTGCCTCTCGAGGTGTCAGCGGGATGTGAGGCATTCCGTCAAAATGAGGCAGGGACCTAGGGCTTTCTCTAAGGTCTCCACAGGGGATTCAGACATCCCTTCATGTTGTGAGATGAAAGACGAGCCTGTATTCAAGCCACTGCAAGGAAATCCGGCCTCCTTTCAAGTTAGGGCTTCTCGCTGTATATTCCCCTTGAGGCAGCAAACTCGGGGTCCCTCCCACATACCTATTGCTGAGAGAAGCCTCCTCCTGAGGTGCTTCTGGGAAGTTGGCATACGTCTTGAGCCTAAGCCAGGGAATCAGCTCGCATCTCGAGACGACTTGGGGTACACGGAGCATTCCTCGAGTTGCTGTGCTGAAGTTGGTGTTCCTCTAGACTTGGGACAGTGTTCTCGGGGCATCTCTGGAGTTGCCTGAAGGAAGTCGAGCCACCGGTCGTGTTGAATGGGGAACGGGGAATGGCTCTGGAGTCAATGCAGGGGAGTCGGGCCTCATCTCGAGTTGATTTGGGGCACATGGAGCTGCTTTGCGTTGCTGGGGTGACCTCAGGGTCCGTCTAGACTGGTGACAGTGTTCTTGGGGACTGTCTCGAGATCCATTAAGCAAGTCGAAGCTCCTGACTTGTTTGAATGGGGTCACGGAATAGCTCTGCATGCACTGCAGGGGAATGGGGCCTCATCTCGCCTCTAGGGGGAAGTCTCATGGTTTTTCTCGAGTTGCGGCGGGGACCTGGGGTATGTTCTCGACTTACGGCGGGGATGGCCCTTCAAAACACGAGTTTCTTCAGTGACGTCAGGACTCCTGTCTAGTAACGAGGGACACCTCAGGAATCTCTTCGAGGCTTGGCAGGGCAAAAGGGACGCTTCTCGAGGTGAGGCAGGGCACCCAAGGACCCTTTCCAGTAGCCACAGGGATTTTGGGATTCCTATCAGTATTCAAGAGGAGTCAGGCATCGTCACCTTTTGAAGCAATGAACTCCGCGTGCCTCTCGAGGTGTCAGCGGGATGTGAGGCATTCCGTCAAAATGAGGCAGGGACCTAGGGCTTTCTCTAAGGTCTCCACAGGGGATTCAGACATCCCTTCATGTTGTGAGATGAAAGACGAGCCTGTATTCAAGCCACTGCAAGGAAATCCGGCCTCCTTTCAAGTTAGGGCTGCTCGCTGTATATTCCCCTTGAGGCAGCAAACTCGGGGTCCCTCCCACATACCTATTGCTGAGAGAAGCCTCCTCCTGAGGTGCTTCTGGGAAGTTGGCATACGTCTTGAGCCTAAGCCAGGGAATCAGCTCGCATCTCGAGACGACTTGGGGTACACGGAGCATTCCTCGAGTTGCTGTGCTGAAGTTGGTGTTCCTCTAGACTTGGGACAGTGTTCTCGGGGCATCTCTGGAGTTGCCTGAAGGAAGTCGAGCCACCGGTCGTGTTGAATGGGGAACGGGGAATGGCTCTGGAGTCAATGCAGGGGAATCGGGCCTCATCTCGAGTTGATTTGGGGCACATGGAGCTGCTTTGCGTTGCTGGGGTGACCTCAGGGTCCGTCTAGACTGGTGACAGTGTTCTTGGGGACTGTCTCGAGATCCATTAAGCAAGTCGAAGCTCCTGACTTGTTTGAATGGGGTCACGGAATAGCTCTGCATGCACTGCAGGGGAATGGGGCCTCATCTCGCCTCTAGGGGGAAGTCTCATGGTTTTTCTCGAGTTGCGGCGGGGACCTGGGGTATGTTCTCGACTTACGGCGGGGATGGCCCTTCAAAACACGAGTTTCTTCAGTGACGTCAGGACTCCTGTCTAGTAACGAGGGACACCTCAGGAATCTCTTCGAGGCTTGGCAGGGCCAAAGGGACGCTTCTCGAGGTGAGGCAGGGCACCCAAGGACCCTTTCCAGTAGCCACAGGGATTTTGGGATTCCTATCAGTATTCAAGAGGAGTCAGGCATCGTCACCTTTTGAAGCAATGAACTCCGCGTGCCTCTCGAGGTGTCAGCGGGATGTGAGGCATTCCGTCAAAATGAGGCAGGGACCTAGGGCTTTCTCTAAGGTCTCCGCAGGGGATTCAGACATCCCTTCATGTTGTGAGATGAAAGACGAGCCTGTATTCAAGCCACTGCAAGGAAATCCGGCCTCCTTTCAAGTTAGGGCTTCTCGCTGTATATTCCCCTTGAGGCAGCAAACTCGGGGTCCCTCCCACATACCTATTGCTGAGAGAAGCCTCCTCCTGAGGTGCTTCTGGGAAGTTGGCATACGTCTTGAGCCTAAGCCAGGGAATCAGCTCGCATCTCGAGACGACTTGGGGTACACGGAGCATTCTTCGAGTTGCTGTGCTGAAGTTGGTGTTCCTCTAGACTTGGGACAGTGTTCTCGGGGCATCTCTGGAGTTGCCTGAAGGAAGTCGAGCCACCGGTCGTGTTGAATGGGGAACGGGGAATGGCTCTGGAGTCAATGCAGGGGAATCGGGCCTCATCTCGAGCTGATTTGGGGCACATGGATCTGCTTTGCGTTGCCGGGGTGACCTCAGGGTCCGTCTAGACTGGTGACAGTGTTCTTGGGGACTGTCTCGAGATCCATTAAGCAAGTCGAAGCTCCTGACTTGTTTGAATGGGGTCACGGAATAGCTCTGCATGCACTGCAGGGGAATGGGGCCTCATCTCGCCTCTAGGGGGAAGTCTCATGGTTTTTCTCGAGTTGCGGCGGGGACCTGGGGTATGTTCTCGACTTACGGCGGGGATGGCCCTTCAAAACACGAGTTTCTTCAGTGACGTCAGGACTCCTGTCTAGTAACGAGGGACACCTCAGGAATCTCTTCGAGGCTTGGCAGGGCAAAAGGGACGCTTCTCGAGGTGAGGCAGGGCACCCAAGGACCCTTTCCAGTAGCCACAGGGTTTTTGGGATTCCTATCAGTATTCAAGAGGAGTCAGGCATCGTCACCTTTTGAAGCAATGAACTCCGCGTGCCTCTCGAGGTGTCAGCGGGATGTGAGGCATTCCGTCAAAATGAGGCAGGGACCTAGGGCTTTCTCTAAGGTCTCCACAGGGGATTCAGACATCTCTTCATGTTGTGAGATGAAAGACGAGCCTGTATTCAAGCCACTGCAAGGAAATCCGGCCTCCTTTCAAGTTAGGGCTTCTCGCTGTATATTCCCCTTGAGGCAGCAAACTCGGGGTCCCTCCCACATACCTATGGCTGAGAGAAGCCTCCTCCTGAGGTGCTTCTGGGAAGTTGGCATACGTCTTGAGCCTAAGCCAGGGAATCAGCTCGCATTTCGAGACGACTTGGGGTACACGGAGCATTCCTCGAGTTGCTGTGCTGAAGTTGGTGTTCCTCTAGACTTGGGACAGTGTTCTCGGGGCATCTCTGGAGTTGCCTGAAGGAAGTCGAGCCACCGGTCGTGTTGAATGGGGAACGGGGAATGGCTCTGGAGTCAATGCAGGGGAATCGGGCCTCATCTCGAGTTGATTTGGGGCACATGGAGCTGCTTTGCGTTGCTGGGGTGACCTCAGGGTCCATCTAGACTGGTGACAGTGTTCTTGGGGACTGTCTCGAGATCCATTAAGCAAGTCGAAGCTCCTGACTTGTTTGAATGGGGTCACGGAATAGCTCTGCATGCACTGCAGGGGAATGGGGCCTCATCTCGCCTCTAGGGGGAAGTCTCATGGTTTTTCTCGAGTTGCGGCGGGGACCTGGGGTATGTTCTCGACTTACGGCGGGGATGGCCCTTCAAAACACGAGTTTCTTCAGTGACGTCAGGACTCCTGTCTAGTAACAAGGGACACCTCAGGAATCTCTTCGAGGCTTGGCAGGGCCAAAGGGACGCTTCTCGAGGTGAGGCAGGGCACCCAAGGACCCTTTCCAGTAGCCACAGGGATTTTGGGATTCCTATCAGTATTCAAGAGGAGTCAGGCATCGTCACCTTTTGAAGCAATGAACTTCGCGTGCCTCTCGAGGTGTCAGCGGGATGTGAGGCATTCCGTCAAAATGAGGCAGGGACCTAGGGCTTTCTCTAAGGTCTCCACAGGGGATTCAGACATCCCTTCATGTTGTGAGATGAAAGACGAGCCTGTATTCAAGCCACTGCAAGGAAATCCGGCCTCCTTTCAAGTTAGGGCTTCTCGCTGTATATTCCCCTTGAGGCAGCAAACTCGGGGTCCCTCCCACATACCTATTGCTGAGAGAAGCCTCCTCCTGAGGTGCTTCTGGGAAGTTGGCATACGTCTTGAGCCTAAGCCAGGGAATCAGCTCGCATCTCGAGACGACTTGGGGTACACGGAGCATTCCTCGAGTTGCTGTGCTGAAGTTGGTGTTCCTCTAGACTTGGGACAGTGTTCTCGGGGCATCTCTGGAGTTGCCTGAAGGAAGTCGAGCCACCGGTCGTGTTGAATGGGGAACGGGGAATGGCTCTGGAGTCAATGCAGGGGAATCGGGCCTCATCTCGAGTTGATTTGGGGCACATGGAGCTGCTTTGCGTTGCTGGGGTGACCTCAGGGTCCGTCTAGACTGGTGACAGTGTTCTTGGGGACTGTCTCGAGATCCATTAAGCAAGTCGAAGCTCCTGACTTGTTTGAATGGGGTCACGGAATAGCTCTGCATGCACTGCAGGGGAATGGGGCCTCATCTCGCCTGTAGGGGGAAGTCTCATGGTTTTTCTCGAGTTGCGGCGGGGACCTGGGGTATGTTCTCGACTTACGGCGGGGATGGCCCTTCAAAACACGAGTTTCTTCAGTGACGTCAGGACTCCTATCTCGTAACGAGGGACACCTCAGGAATCTCTTCGAGGCTTGGCAGGGCCAAAGGGACGCTTCTCGAGGTGAGGCAGGGCACCCAAGGACCCTTTCCAGTAGCCACAGGGATTTTGGGATTCCTATCAGTATTCAAGAGGAGTCAGGCATCGTCACCTTTTGAAGCAATGAACTCCGTGTGCCTCTCGAGGTATCAGCGGGATGTGAGGCATTCCGTCAAAATGAGGCAGGGACCTAGGGCTTTCTCTAAGGTCTCCACAGGGGATTCAGACATCCCTTCATGTTGTGAGATGAAAGACGAGCCTGTATTCAAGCCACTGCAAGGAAATCCGGCCTCCTTTCAAGTTAGGGCTTCTCGCTGTATATTCCCCTTGAGGCAGCAAACTCGGGGTCCCTCCCACATACCTATTGCTGAGAGAAGCCTCCTCCTGAGGTGCTTCTGGGAAGTTGGCATACGTCTTGAGCCTAAGCCAGGGAATCAGCTCGCATCTCGAGACGACTTGGGGTACACGGAGCATTCCTCGAGTTGCTGTGCTGAAGTTGGTGTTCCTCTAGACTTGGGACAGTGTTCTCGGGGCATCTCTGGAGTTGCCTGAAGGAAGTCGAGCCACCGGTCTTGTTGAATGGGGAACGGGGAATGGCTCTGGAGTCAATGCAGGGGAATCGGGCCTCATCTCGAGCTGATTTGGGGCACATGGAGCTGCTTTGCGTTGCCGGGGTGACCTCAGGGTCCGTCTAGACTGGTGACAGTGTTCTTGGGGACTGTCTCGAGATCCATTAAGCAAGTCGAAGCTCCTGACTTGTTTGAATGGGGTCACGGAATAGCTCTGCATGCACTGCAGGGGAATGGGGCCTCATCTCGCCTCTAGGGGGAAGTCTCATGGTTTTTCTCGAGTTGCAGCGGGGACCTGTTGTATGTTCTCGACTTACGGCGGGGATGGCCCTTCAAAACACGAGTTTCTTCAGTGACGTCAGGACTCCTGTCTCGTAACGAGGGACACCTCAGGAATCTCTTCGAGGCTTGGCAGGGCAAAAGGGACGCTTCTCGAGGTAAGGCAGGGCACCCAAGGACCCTTTCCAGTAGCCACAGGGATTTTGGGATTCCTATCAGTATTCAAGAGGAGTCAGGCATCGTCACCTTTTGAAGCAATGAACTCCGCGTGCCTCTCGAGGTGTCAGCGGGATGTGAGGCATTCCGTCAAAATGAGGCAGGGACCTAGGGCTTTCTCTAAGGTCTCCACAGGGTATTCAGACATCCCTTCATGTTGTGAGATGAAAGACGAGCCTGTATTCAAGCCACTGCAAGGAAATCCGGCCTCCTTTCAAGTTAGGGCTTCTCGCTGTATATTCCCCTTGAGGCAGCAAACTCGGGGTCCCTCCCACATACCTATTGCTGAGAGAAGCCTCCTCCTGAGGTGCTTCTGGGAAGTTGGCATACGTCTTGAGCCTAAGCCAGGGAATCAGCTCGCATCTCGAGACGACTTGGGGTACACGGAGCATTCCTCGAGTTGCTGTGCTGAAGTTGGTGTTCCTCTAGACTTGGGACAGTGTTCTCGGGGCATCTCTGGAGTTGCCTGAAGGAAGTCGAGCCACCGGTCGTGTTGAATGGGGAACGGGGAATGGCTCTGGAGTCAATGCAGGGGAATCGGGCCTCATCTCGAGTTGATTTGGGGCACATGGAGCTGCTTTGCGTTGCTGGGGTGACCTCAGGGTCCGTCTAGACTGGTGACAGTGTTCTTGGGGACTGTCTCGAGATCCATTAAGCAAGTCGAAGCTCCTGACTTGTTTGAATGGGGTCACGGAATAGCTCTGCATGCACTGCAGGGGAATGGGGCCTCATCTCGCCTCTAGGGGGAAGTCTCATGGTTTTTCTCGAGTTGCGGCGGGGACCTGGGGTATGTTCTCGACTTACGGCGGGGATGGCCCTTCAAAACACGAGTTTCTTCAGTGACGTCAGAACTCCTATCTCGTAACGAGGGACACCTCAGGAATCTCTTCGAGGCTTGGCAGGGCCAAAGGGACGCTTCTCGAGGTGAGGCAGGGCACCCAAGGACCCTTTCCAGTAGCCACAGGGATTTTGGGATTCCTATCAGTATTCAAGAGGAGTCAGGCATCGTCACCTTTTGAAGCAATGAACTCCGTGTGCCTCTCGAGGTATCAGCGGGATGTGAGGCATTCCGTCAAAATGAGGCAGGGACCTAGGGCTTTCTCTAAGGTCTCCACAGGGGATTCAGACATCCCTTCATGTTGTGAGATGAAAGACGAGCCTGTATTCAAGCCACTGCAAGGAAATCCGGCCTCCTTTCAAGTTAGGGCTTCTCGCTGTATATTCCCCTTGAGGCAGCAAACTCGGGGTCCCTCCCACATACCTATTGCTGAGAAAAGCCTCCTCCTGAGGTGCTTCTGGGAAGTTGGCATACGTCTTGAGCCTAAGCCAGGGAATCAGCTCGCATCTCGAGACGACTTGGGGTACACGGAGCATTCCTCGAGTTGCTGTGCTGAAGTTGGTGTTCCTCTAGACTTGGGACAGTGTTCTCGGGGCATCTCTGGAGTTGCCTGAAGGAAGTCGAGCCACCGGTCTTGTTGAATGGGGAACGGGGAATGGCTCTGGAGTCAATGCAGGGGAATCGGGCCTCATCTCGAGCTGATTTGGGGCACATGGAGCTGCTTTGCGTTGCCGGGGTGACCTCAGGGTCCGTCTAGACTGGTGACAGTGTTCTTGGGGACTGTCTCGAGATCCATTAAGCAAGTCGAAGCTCCTGACTTGTTTGAATGGGGTCACGGAATAGCTCTGCATGCACTGCAGGGGAATGGGGCCTCATCTCGCCTCTAGGGGGAAGTCTCATGGTTTTTCTCGAGTTGCAGCGGGGACCTGTTGTATGTTCTCGACTTACGGCGGGGATGGCCCTTCAAAACACGAGTTTCTTCAGTGACGTCAGGACTCCTGTCTCGTAACGAGGGACACCTCAGGAATCTCTTCGAGGCTTGGCAGGGCAAAAGGGACGCTTCTCGAGGTAAGGCAGGGCACCCAAGGACCCTTTCCAGTAGCCACAGGGATTTTGGGATTCCTATCAGTATTCAAGAGGAGTCAGGCATCGTCACCTTTTGAAGCAATGAACTCCGCGTGCCTCTCGAGGTGTCAGCGGGATGTGAGGCATTCCGTCAAAATGAGGCAGGGACCTAGGGCTTTCTCTAAGGTCTCCACAGGGTATTCAGACATCCCTTCATGTTGTGAGATGAAAGACGAGCCTGTATTCAAGCCACTGCAAGGAAATCCGGCCTCCTTTCAAGTTAGGGCTTCTCGCTGTATATTCCCCTTGAGGCAGCAAACTCGGGGTCCCTCCCACATACCTATTGCTGAGAGAAGCCTCCTCCTGAGGTGCTTCTGGGAAGTTGGCATACGTCTTGAGCCTAAGCCAGGGAATCAGCTCGCATCTCGAGACGACTTGGGGTACACGGAGCATTCCTCGAGTTGCTGTGCTGAAGTTGGTGTTCCTCTAGACTTGGGACAGTGTTCTCGGGGCATCTCTGGAGTTGCCTGAAGGAAGTCGAGCCACCGGTCGTGTTGAATGGGGAACGGGGAATGGCTCTGGAGTCAATGCAGGGGAATCGGGCCTCATCTCGAGTTGATTTGGGGCACATGGATCTGCTTTGCGTTGCTGGGGTGACCTCAGGGTCCGTCTAGACTGGTGACAGTGTTCTTGGGGACTGTCTCGAGATCCATTAAGCAAGTCGAAGCTCCTGACTTGTTTGAATGGGGTCACGGAATAGCTCTGCATGCATTTCAGGGGAATGGGGCCTCATCTCGCCTCTAGGGGGAAGTCTCATGGTTTTTCTCGAGTTGCGGCGGGGACCTGGGGTATGTTCTCGACTTACGGCGGGGATGGCCCTTCATAACACGAGTTTCTTCAGTGACGTCAGGAATCCTGTCTAGTAACGAGGGACACCTCAGGAATCTCTTCGAGGCTTGGCAGGGCAAAAGGGACGCTTCTCGAGGTGAGGCAGGGCACCCAAGGACCCTTTCCAGTAGCCACAGGGATTTTGGGATTCCTATCAGTATTCAAGAGGAGTCAGGCATCGTCACCTTTTGAAGCAATGAACTCCGCGTGCCTCTCGAGGTGTCAGCGGGATGTGAGGCATTCCGTCAAAATGAGGCAGGGACCTAGGGCTTTCTCTAAGGTCTCCACAGGGGATTCAGACATCCCTTCATGTTGTGAGATGAAAGACGAGCCTGTATTCAAGCCACTGCAAGGAAATCCGGCCTCCTTTCAAGTTAGGGCTTCTCGCTGTATATTCCCCTTGAGGCAGCAAACTCGGGGTCCCTCCCACATACCTATTGCTGAGAGAAGCCTCCTCTTGAGGTGCTTCTGGGAAGTTGGCATACGTCTTGAGCCTAAGCCAGGGAATCCGCTCGCATCTCGAGACGACTTGGGGTACACGGAGCATTCCTCGAGTTGCTGTGCTGAAGTTGGTGTTCCTCTAGACTTGGGACAGTGTTCTCGGGGCATCTCTGGAGTTGCCTGAAGGAAGTCGAGCCACCGGTCGTGTTGCATGGGGAACGGGGAATGGCTCTGGAGTCAATGCAGGGGAATCGGGCCTCATCTCGAGTTGATTTGGGGCACATGGAGCTGCTTTGCGTTGCTGGGGTGACCTCAGGGTCCGTCTAGACTGGTGACAGTGTTCTTGGGGACTGTCTCGAGATCCATTAAGCAAGTCGAAGCTCCTGACTTGTTTGAATGGGGTCACGGAATAGCTCTGCATGCACTGCAGGGGAATGGGGCCTCATCTCGCCTCTAGGGGGAAGTCTCATGGTTTTTCTCGAGTTGCGGCGGGGACCTGGGGTATGTTCTCGACTTACGGCGGGGATGGCCCTTCAAAACACGAGTTTCTTCAGTGACGTCAGGACTCCTGTCTAGTAACGAGGGACACCTCAGGAATCTCTTCGAGGCTTGGCAGGGCCAAAGGGACGCTTCTCGAGGTGAGGCAGGGCACCCAAGGACCCTTTCCAGTAGCCACAGGGATTTTGGGATTCCTATCAGTATTCAAGAGGAGTCAGGCATCGTCACCTTTTGAAGCAATGAACTCCGCGTGCCTCTCGAGGTGTCAGCGGGATGTGAGGCATTCCGTCAAAATGAGACAGGGACCTAGGGCTTTCTCTAAGGTCTCCACAGGGGATTCAGACATCCCTTCATGTTGTGAGATGAAAGACGAGCCTGTATTCAAGCCACTGCAAGGAAATCCGGCCTCCTTTCAAGTTAGGGCTTCTCGCTGTATATTCCCCTTGAGGCAGCAAACTCGGGGTCCCTCCCACATACCTATTGCTGAGAGAAGCCTCCTCCTGAGGTGCTTCTGGGAAGTTGGCATACGTCTTGAGCCTAAGCCAGGGAATCAGCTCGCATCTCGAGACGACTTGGGGTACACGGAGCATTCCTCGAGTTGCTGTGCTGAAGTTGGTGTTCCTCTAGACTTGGGACAGTGTTCTCGGGGCATCTCTGGAGTTGCCTGAAGGAAGTCGAGCCACCGGTCGTGTTGAATGGGGAACGGGGAATGGCTCTGGAGTCAATGCAGGGGAATCGGGCCTCATCTCGAGCTGATTTGGGGCACATGGAGCTGCTTTGCGTTGCCGGGGTGACCTCAGGGTCCGTCTAGACTGGTGACAGTGTTCTTGGGGACTGTCTCGAGATCCATTAAGCAAGTCGAAGCTCCTGACTTGTTTGAATGGGGTCACGGAATAGCTCTTCATGCACTGCAGGGGAATGGGGCCTCATCTCGCCTCTAGGGGGAAGTCTCATGGTTTTTCTCGAGTTGCGGCGGGGACCTGGGGTATGTTCTCGACTTACGGCGGGGATGGCCCTTCAAAACACGAGTTTCTTCAGTGACGTCAGGAATCCTGTCTAGTAACGAGGGACACCTCAGGAATCTCTTCGAGGCTTGGCAGGGCAAAAGGGACGCTTCTCGAGGTGAGGCAGGGCACCCAAGGACCCTTTCCAGTAGCCACAGGGTTTTTGGGATTCCTATCAGTATTCAAGAGGAGTCAGGCATCGTCACCTTTTGAAGCAGTGAACTCCGCGTGCCTCTCGAGGTGTCAGCGGGATGTGAGGGATTCCGTCAAAATGAGGCAGGGACCTAGCGCTTTCTCTAAGGTCTCCACAGGGGATTCAGACATCCCTTCATGTTGTGAGATGAAAGACGAGCCTGTATTCAAGCCACTGCAAGGAAATCCGGCCTCCTTTCAAGTTAGGGCTTCTCGCTGTATATTCCCCTTGAGGCAGCAAACTCGGGGTCCCTCCCACATACCTATTGCTGAGAGAAGCCTTCTCCTGAGGTGCTTCTGGGAAGTTGGCATACGTCTTGAGCCTAAGCCAGGGAATCAGCTCGCATCTCGAGATGACTTGGGGTACACGGAGCATTCCTCGAGTTGCTGTGCTGAAGTTGGTGTTCCTCTAGACTTGGGACAGTGTTCTCGGGGCATCTCTGGAGTTGCCTGAAGGAAGTCGAGCCACCGGTCGTGTTGAATGGGGAACGGGGAATGGCTCTGGAGTCAATGCAGGGGAATCGGGCCTCATCTCGAGCTGATTTGGCGCACATGGAGCTCCTTTGCGCTGCCGGGGTGACCTCAGGGTCCGTCTAGACTGGTGACAGTGTTCTTGGGGACTGTCTCGAGATCCATTAAGCAAGTCGAAGCTCCTGACTTGTTTGAATGGGGTCACGGAATAGCTCTGCATGCACTGCAGGGGAATGGGGCCTCATCTCGCCTCTAGGGGGAAGTCTCATGGTTTTTCTCGAGTTGCGGCGGGGACCTGGGGTATGTTCTCGACTTACAGCGGGGATGGCCCTTCAAAACACGAGTTTCTTCAGTGACGTCAGGACTCCTGTCTAGTAACGAGGGACACCTCAGGAATCTCTTCGAGGCTTGGCAGGGCCAAAGGGACGCTTCTCGAGGTGAGGCAGGGCACCCAAGGACCCTTTCCAGTAGCCACAGGGTTTTTGGGATTCCTATCAGTATTCAAGAGGAGTCAGGCATCGTCACCTTTTGAAGCAATGAACTCCGCGTGCCTCTCGAGGTGTCAGCGGGATGTGAGGCATTCCGTCAAAATGAGGCAGGGACCTAGGGCTTTCTCTAAGGTCTCCACAGGGGATTCAGACATCCCTTCATGTTGTGAGATGAAAGACGAGCCTGTATTCAAGCCACTGCAAGGAAATCCGGCCTCCTTTCAAGTTAGGACTTCTCGCTGTATATTCCCCTTGAGGCAGCAAACTCGGGGTCCCTCCCACATACCTATTGCTGAGAGAAGCCTCCTCCTGAGGTGCTTCTGGGAAGTTGGCATACGTCTTGAGCCTAAGCCAGGGAATCAGCTCGCATCTCGAGACGACTTGGGGTACACGGAGCATTCCTCGAGTTGCTGTGCTGAAGTTGGTGTTCCTCTAGACTTGGGACAGTGTTCTCGGGGCATCTCTGGAGATGCCTGAAGGAAGTCGAGCCACCGGTCGTGTTGAATGGGGAACGGGGAATGGCTCTGGAGTCAATGCAGGGGAATCGGGCCTCATCTCGAGCTGATTTGGCGCACATGGAGCTCCTTTGCGCTGCCGGGGTGACCTCAGGGTCCGTCTAGACTGGTGACAGTGTTCTTGGGGACTGTCTCGAGATCCATTAAGCAAGTCGAAGCTCCTGACTTGTTTGAATGGGGTCACGGAATAGCTCTGCATGCACTGCAGGGGAATGGGGCCTCATCTCGCCTCTAGGGGGAAGTCTCATGGTTTTTCTCGAGTTGCGGCGGGGACCTGGGGTATGTTCTCGACTTACAGCGGGGATGGCCCTTCAAAACACGAGTTTCTTCAGTGACGTCAGGACTCCTGTCTAGTAACGAGGGACACCTCAGGAATCTCTTCGAGGCTTGGCAGGGCCAAAGGGACGCTTCTCGAGGTGAGGCAGGGCACCCAAGGACCCTTTCCAGTAGCCACAGGGTTTTTGGGATTCCTATCAGTATTCAAGAGGAGTCAGGCATCGTCACCTTTTGAAGCAATGAACTCCGCGTGCCTCTCGAGGTGTCAGCGGGATGTGAGGCATTCCGTCAAAATGAGGCAGGGACCTAGGGCTTTCTCTAAGGTCTCCACAGGGGATTCAGACATCCCTTCATGTTGTGAGATGAAAGACGAGCCTGTATTCAAGCCACTGCAAGGAAATCCGGCCTCCTTTCAAGTTAGGGCTTCTCGCTGTATATTCCCCTTGAGGCAGCAAACTCGGGGTCCCTCCCACATACCTATTGCTGAGAGAAGCCTCCTCCTGAGGTGCTTCTGGGAAGTTGGCATACGTCTTGAGCCTAAGCCAGGGAATCAGCTCGCATCTCGAGATGACTTGGGGTACACGGAGCATTCCTCGAGTTGCTGTGCTGAAGTTGGTGTTCCTCTAGACTTGGGACAGTGTTCTCGGGGCATCTCTGGAGTTGCCTGAAGGAAGTCGAGCCACCGGTCGTGTTGAATGGGGAACGGGGAATGGCTCTGGAGTCAATGCAGGGGAATCGGGCCTCATCTCGAGCTGATTTGGCGCACATGGAGCTCCTTTGCGCTGCCGGGGTGACCTCAGGGTCCGTCTAGACTGGTGACAGTGTTCTTGGGGACTGTCTCGAGATCCATTAAGCAAGTCGAAGCTCCTGACTTGTTTGAATGGGGTCACGGAATAGCTCTGCATGCACTGCAGGGGAATGGGGCCTCATCTCGCCTCTAGGGGGAAGTCTCATGGTTTTTCTCGAGTTGCGGCGGGGACCTGGGGTATGTTCTCGTCTTACAGCGGGGATGGCCCTTCAAAACACGAGTTTCTTCAGTGACGTCAGGACTCCTGTCTAGTAACGAGGGACACCTCAGGAATCTCTTCGAGGCTTGGCAGGGCCAAAGGGACGCTTCTCGAGGTGAGGCAGGGCACCCAAGGACCCTTTCCAGTAGCCACAGGGATTTTGGGATTCCTATCAGTATTCAAGAGGAGTCAGGCATCGTCACCTTTTGAAGCAATGAACTCCGCGTGCCTCTCGAGGTGTCAGCGGGATGTGAGGCATTCCGTCAAAATGAGGCAGGGACCTAGGGCTTTCTCTAAGGTCTCCACAGGGGATTCAGACATCCCTTCATGTTGTGAGATGAAAGACGAGCCTGTATTCAAGCCACTGCAAGGAAATCCGGCCTCCTTTCAAGTTAGGGCTTCTCGCTGTATATTCCCCTTGAGGCAGCAAACTCGGGGTCCCTCCCACATACCTATTGCTGAGAGAAGCCTCCTCCTGAGGTGCTTCTGGGAAGTTGGCATACGTCTTGAGCCTAAGCCAGGGAATCAGCTCGCATCTCGAGACGACTTGGGGTACACGGAGCATTCCTCGAGTTGCTGTGCTGAAGTTGGTGTTCCTCTAGACTTGGGAGAGTGTTCTCGGGGCATCTCTGGAGTTGCCTGAAGGAAGTCGAGCCACCGGTCGTGTTGAATGGGGAACGGGGAATGGCTCTGGAGTCAATGCAGGGGAATCGGGCCTCATCTCGAGTTGATTTGGGGCACATGGAGCTGCTTTGCGTTGCTGGGGTGACCTCAGGGTCCGTCTAGACTGGTGACAGTGTTCTTGGGGACTGTCTCGAGATCCATTAAGCAAGTCGAAGCTCCTGACTTGTTTGAATGGGGTCACGGAATAGCTCTGCATGCACTGCAGGGGAATGGGGCCTCATCTCGCCTCTAGGGGGAAGTCTCATGGTTTTTCTCGAGTTGCGGCGGGGACCTGGGGTATGTTCTCGACTTACGGCGGGGATGGCCCTTCAAAACACGAGTTTCTTCAGTGACGTCAGGACTCCTGTCTAGTAACGAGGGACACCTCAGGAATCTCTTCGAGGCTTGGCAGGGCAAAAGGGACGCTTCTCGAGGTGAGGCAGGGCACCCAAGGACCCTTTCCAGTAGCCACAGGGATTTTGGGATTCCTATCAGTATTCAAGAGGAGTCAGGCATCGTCACCTTTTGAAGCAATGAACTCCGCGTGCCTCTCGAGGTGTCAGCGGGATGTGAGGCATTCCGTCAAAATGAGGCAGGGACCTAGGGCTTTCTCTAAGGTCTCCACAGGGGATTCAGACATCCCTTCATGTTGTGAGATGAAAGACGAGCCTGTATTCAAGACACTGCAAGGAAATCCGGCCTCCTTTCAAGTTAGAGCTTCTCGCTGTATATTCCCCTTGAGGCAGCAAACTCGGGGTCCCTCCCACATACCTATGGCTGAGAGAAGCCTCCTCCTGAGGTGCTTCTGGGAAGTTGGCATACGTCTTGAGCCTAAGCCAGGGAATCAGCTCGCATCTCGAGACGACTTGGGGTACACGGAGCATTCCTCGAGTTGCTGTGCTGAAGTTGGTGTTCCTCTAGACTTGGGACAGTGTTCTCGGGGCATCTCTGGAGTTGCCTGAAGGAAGTCGAGCCACCGGTCGTGTTGAATGGGGAACGGGGAATGGCTCTGGAGTCAATGCAGGGGAATCGGGCCTCATCTCGAGTTGATTTGGGGCACATGGAGCTGCTTTGCGTTGCCGGGGTGACCTCAGGGTCCGTCTAGACTGGTGACAGTGTTCTTGGGGACTGTCTCGAGATCCATTAAGCAAGTCGAAGCTCCTGACTTGTTTGAATGGGGTCACGGAATAGCTCTGCATGCACTGCAGGGGAATGGGGCCTCATCTCGCCTCTAGGGGGAAGTCTCATGGTTTTTCTCGAGTTGCGGTGGGGACCTGGGGTATGTTCTCGACTTACGGCGGGGATGGCCCTTCAAAACACGAGTTTCTTCAGTGACGTCAGGACTCCTGTCTAGTAACGAGGGACACCTCAGGAATCTCTTCGAGGCTTGGCAGGGCCAAAGGGACGCTTCTCGAGGTGAGGCAGGGCACCCAAGGACCCTTTCAGGTAGCCACAGGGATTTTGGGATTCCTATCAGTATTCAAGAGGAGTCAGGCATCGTCACCTTTTGAAGCAATGAACTCCGCGTGCCTCTCGAGGTGTCAGCGGGATGTGAGGCATTCCGTCAAAATGAGGCAGGGACCTAGGGCTTTCTCTAAGGTCTCCACAAGGGATTCAGACATCCCTTCATGTTGTGAGATGAAAGACGAGCCTGTATTCAAGCCACTGCAAGGAAATCCGGCCTCCTTTCAAGTTAGGGCTTCTCGCTGTATATTCCCCTTGAGGCAGCAAACTTGGGGTCCCTCCCACATACCTATTGCTGAGAGAAGCCTCCTCCTGAGGTGCTTCTGGGAAGTTGGCATACGTCTTGAGCCTAAGCCAGGGAATCAGCTCGCATCTCGAGACGACTTGGGGTACACGGAGCATTCCTCGAGTTGCTGTGCTGAAGTTGGTGTACCTCTAGACTTGGGACAGTGTTCTCGGGGCATCTCTGGAGTTGCCTGAAGGAAGTCGAGCCACCGGTCGTGTTGAATGGGGAACGGGGAATGGCTCTGGAGTCAATGCAGGGGAATCGGGCCTCATCTCGAGTTGATTTGGGGCACATGGAGCTGCTTTGTGTTGCTGGGGTGACCTCAGGGACCGTCTAGACTGGTGACAGTGTTCTTGGGGACTGTCTCGAGATCCATTAAGCAAGTCGAAGCTCCTGACTTGTTTGAATGGGGTCACGGAATAGCTCTGCATGCACTGCAGGGGAATGGGGCCTCATCTCGCCTCTAGGGGGAAGTCTCATGGTTTTTCTCGAGTTGCGGCGGGGACCTGGGGTATGTTCTCGACTTACGGCGGGGATGGCCCTTCAAAACACGAGTTTCTTCAGTGACGTCAGGACTCCTGTCTAGTAACGAGGGACACCTCAGGAATCTCTTCGAGGCTTGGCAGGGCCAAAGGGACGCTTCTCGAGGTGAGGCAGGGCACCCAAGGACCCTTTCCAGTAGCCACAGGGATTTTGGGATTCCTATCAGTATTCAAGAGGAGTCAGGCATCGTCACCTTTTGAAGCAATGAACTCCGCGTGCCTCTCGAGGTGTCAGCGGGATGTGAGGCATTCCGTCAAAATGAGGCAGGGACCTAGGGCTTTCTCTAAGGTCTCCACAGGGGATTCAGACATCCCTTCATGTTGTGAGATGAAAGACGAGCCTGTATTCAAGCCACTGCAAGGAAATCCGGCCTCCTTTCAAGTTAGGGCTTCTCGCTGTATATTCCCCTTGAGGCAGCAAACTCGGGGTCCCTCCCACATACCTATTGCTGAGAGAAGCCTCCTCCTGAGGTGCTTCTGGGAAGTTGGCATACGTCTTGAGCCTAAGCCAGGGAATCAGCTCGCATCTCGAGACGACTTGGGGTACACGGAGCATTCCTCGAGTTGCTGTGCTGAAGTTGGTGTTCCTCTAGACTTGGGACAGTGTTCTCGGGGCATCTCTGGAGTTGCCTGAAGGAAGTCGAGCCACCGGTCGTGTTGAATGGGGAACGGGGAATGGCTCTGGAGTCAATGCAGGGGAATCGGGCCTCATCTCGAGTTAATTTGGGGCACATGGAGCTGCTTTGCGTTGCTGGGGTGACCTCAGGGTCCGTCTAGACTGGTGACAGTGTTCTTGGGGACTGTCTCGAGATCCATTAAGCAAGTCGAAGCTCCTGACTTGTTTGAATGGGGTCACGGAATAGCTCTGCATGCACTGCAGGGGAATGGGGCCTCATCTCGCCTCTAGGGGGAAGTCTCATGGTTTTTCTCGAGTTGCGGCGGGGACCTGGGGTATGTTCTCGACTTACGGCGGGGATGGCCCTTCAAAACACGAGTTTCTTCAGTGACGTCAGGACTCCTGTCTAGTAACGAGGGACACCTCAGGAATCTCTTCGAGGCTTGGCAGGGCAAAAGGGACGCTTCTCGAGGTGAGGCAGGGCACCCAAGAACCCTTTCCAGTAGCCACAGGGATTTTGGGATTCCTATCAGTATTCAAGAGGAGTCAGGCATCGTCACCTTTTGAAGCAATGAACTCCGCGTGCCTCTCGAGGTGTCAGCGGGATGTGAGGCATTCCGTCAAAATGAGGCAGGGACCTAGGGCTTTCTCTAAGGTCTCCACAGGGGATTCAGACATCCCTTCATGTTGTGAGATGAAAGACGAGCCTGTATTCAAGCCACTGCAAGGAAATCCGGCCACCTTTCAAGTTAGGGCTTCTCGCTGTATATTCCCCTTGAGGCAGCAAACTCGGGGTCCCTCCCACATACCTATTGCTGAGAGAAGCCTCCTCCTGAGGTGCTTCTGGGAAGTTGGCATACGTCTTGAGCCTAAGCCAGGGAATCAGCTCGCATCTCGAGACGACTTGGGGTACACGGAGCATTCCTCGAGTTGCTGTGCTGAAGTTGGTGTTCCTCTAGACTTGGGACAGTGTTCTCGGGGCATCTCTGGAGTTGCCTGAAGGAAGTCGAGCCACCGGTCGTGTTGAATGGGGAACGGGGAATGGCTCTGGAGTCAATGCAGGGGAATCGGGCCTCATCTCGAGTTGATTTGGGGCACATGGAGCTGCTTTGCGTTGCTGGGGTGACCTCAGGGTCCATCTAGACTGGTGACAGTGTTCTTGGGGACTGTCTCGAGATCCATTAAGCAAGTCGAAGCTCCTGACTTGTTTGAATGGGGTCACGGAATAGCTCTGCATGCACTGCAGGGGAATGGGGCCTCATCTCGCCTCTAGGGGGAAGTCTCATGGTTTTTCTCGAGTTGCGGCGGGGACCTGGGGTATGTTCTCGACTTACGGCGGGGATGGCCCTTCAAAACACGAGTTTCTTCAGTGACGTCAGGACTCCTGTCTAGTAACAAGGGACACCTCAGGAATCTCTTCGAGGCTTGGCAGGGCCAAAGGGACGCTTCTCGAGGTGAGGCAGGGCACCCAAGGACCCTTTCCAGTAGCCACAGGGATTTTGGGATTCCTATCAGTATTCAAGAGGAGTCAGGCATCGTCACCTTTTGAAGCAATGAACTCCGCGTGCCTCTCGAGGTGTCAGCGGGATGTGAGGCATTCCGTCAAAATGAGGCAGGGACCTAGGGCTTTCTCTAAGGTCTCCACAGGGGATTCAGACATCCCTTCATGTTGTGAGATGAAAGACGAGCCTGTATTCAAGCCACTGCAAGGAAATCCGGCCTCCTTTCAAGTTAGGGCTTCTCGCTGTATATTCCCCTTGAGGCAGCAAACTCGGGGTCCCTCCCACATACCTATTGCTGAGAGAAGCCTCCTCCTGAGGTGCTTCTGGGAAGTTGGCATACGTCTTGAGCCTAAGCCAGGGAATCAGCTCGCATCTCGAGACGACTTGGGGTACACGGAGCATTCCTCGAGTTGCTGTGCTGAAGTTGGTGTTCCTCTAGACTTGGGACAGTGTTCTCGGGGCATCTCTGGAGTTGCCTGAAGGAAGTCGAGCCACCGGTCGTGTTGAATGGGGAACGGGGAATGGCTCTGGAGTCAATGCAGGGGAATCGGGCCTCATCTCGAGTTGATTTGGGGCACATGGAGCTGCTTTGCGTTGCTGGGGTGACCTCAGGGTCCGTCTAGACTGGTGACAGTGTTCTTGGGGACTGTCTCGAGATCCATTAAGCAAGTCGAAGCTCCTGACTTGTTTGAATGGGGTCACGGAATAGCTCTGCATGCACTGCAGGGGAATGGGGCCTCATCTCGCCTCTAGGGGGAAGTCTCATGGTTTTTCTCGAGTTGCGGCGGGGACCTGGGGTATGTTCTCGACTTACGGCGGGGATGGCCCTTCAAAACACGAGTTTCTTCAGTGACGTCAGGACTCCTATCTCGTAACGAGGGACACCTCAGGAATCTCTTCGAGGCTTGGCAGGGCCAAAGGGACGCTTCTCGAGGTGAGGCAGGGCACCCAAGGACCCTTTCCAGTAGCCACAGGGATTTTGGGATTCCTATCAGTATTCAAGAGGAGTCAGGCATCGTCACCTTTTGAAGGAATGAACTCCGTGTGCCTCTCGAGGTATCAGCGGGATGTGAGGCATTCCGTCAAAATGAGGCAGGGACCTAGGGCTTTCTCTAAGGTCTCCACAGGGGATTCAGACATCCCTTCATGTTGTGAGATGAAAGACGAGCCTGTATTCAAGCCACTGCAAGGAAATCCGGCCTCCTTTCAAGTTAGGGCTTCTCGCTGTATATTCCCCTTGAGGCAGCAAACTCGGGGTCCCTCCCACATACCTATTGCTGAGAAAAGCCTCCTCCTGAGGTGCTTCTGGGAAGTTGGCATACGTCTTGAGCCTAAGCCAGGGAATCAGCTCGCATCTCGAGACGACTTGGGGTACACGGAGCATTCCTCGAGTTGCTGTGCTGAAGTTGGTGTTCCTCTAGACTTGGGACAGTGTTCTCGGGGCATCTCTGGAGTTGCCTGAAGGAAGTCGAGCCACCGGTCTTGTTGAATGGGGAACGGGGAATGGCTCTGGAGTCAATGCAGGGGAATCGGGCCTCATCTCGAGCTGATTTGGGGCACATGGAGCTGCTTTGCGTTGCCGGGGTGACCTCAGGGTCCGTCTAGACTGGTGACAGTGTTCTTGGGGACTGTCTCGAGATCCATTAAGCAAGTCGAAGCTCCTGACTTGTTTGAATGGGGTCACGGAATAGCTCTGCATGCACTGCAGGGGAATGGGGCCTCATCTCGCCTCTAGGGGGAAGTCTCATGGTTTTTCTCGAGTTGCAGCGGGGACCTGTTGTATGTTCTCGACTTACGGCGGGGATGGCCCTTCAAAACACGAGTTTCTTCAGTGACGTCAGGACTCCTGTCTCGTAACGAGGGACACCTCAGGAATCTCTTCGAGGCTTGCCAGGGCAAAAGGGACGCTTCTCGAGGTGAGGCAGGGCACCCAAGGACCCTTTCCAGTAGCCACAGGGATTTTGGGATTCCTATCAGTATTCAAGAGGAGTCAGGCATCGTCACCTTTTGAAGCAATGAACTCCGCGTGCCTCTCGAGGTGTCAGCGGGATGTGAGGCATTCCGTCAAAATGAGGCAGGGACCTAGGGCTTTCTCTAAGGTCTCCACAGGGTATTCAGACATCCCTTCATGTTGTGAGATGAAAGACGAGCCTGTATTCAAGCCACTGCAAGGAAATCCGGCCTCCTTTCAAGTTAGGGCTTCTCGCTGTATATTCCCCTTGAGGCAGCAAACTCGGGGTCCCTCCCACATACCTATTGCTGAGAGAAGCCTCCTCCTGAGGTGCTTCTGGGAAGTTGGCATACGTCTTGAGCCTAAGCCAGGGAATCAGCTCGCATCTCGAGACGACTTGGGGTACACGGAGCATTCCTCGAGTTGCTGTGCTGAAGTTGGTGTTCCTCTAGACTTGGGACAGTGTTCTCGGGGCATCTCTGGAGTTGCCTGAAGGAAGTCGAGCCACCGGTCGTGTTGAATGGGGAACGGGGAATGGCTCTGGAGTCAATGCAGGGGAATCGGGCCTCATCTCGAGTTGATTTGGGGCACATGGATCTGCTTTGCGTTGCTGGGGTGACCTCAGGGTCCGTCTAGACTGGTGACAGTGTTCTTGGGGACTGTCTCGAGATCCATTAAGCAAGTCGAAGCTCCTGACTTGTTTGAATGGGGTCACGGAATAGCTCTGCATGCACTTCAGGGGAATGGGGCCTCATCTCGCCTCTAGGGGGAAGTCTCATTGTTTTTCTCGAGTTGCGGCGGGGACCTGGGGTATGTTCTCGACTTACGGCGGGGATGGCCCTTCAAAACACGAGTTTCTTCAGTGACGTCAGGAATCCTGTCTAGTAACGAGGGACACCTCAGGAATCTCTTCGAGGATTGGCAGGGCAAAAGGGACGCTTCTCGAGGTGAGGCAGGGCACCCAAGGACCCTTTCCAGTAGCCACAGGGATTTTGGGATTCCTATCAGTATTCAAGAGGAGTCAGGCATCGTCACCTTTTGAAGCAATGAACTCCGCGTGCCTCTCGAGGTGTCAGCGGGATGTGAGGCATTCCGTCAAAATGAGGCAGGGACCTAGGGCTTTCTCTAAGGTCTCCACAGGGGATTCAGACATCCCTTCATGTTGTGAGATGAAAGACGAGCCTGTATTCAAGCCACTGCAAGGAAATCCGGCCTCCTTTCAAGTTAGGGCTTCTCGCTGTATATTCCCCTTGAGGCAGCAAACTCGGGGTCCCTCCCACATACCTATTGCTGAGAGAAGCCTCCTCCTGAGGTGCTTCTGGGAAGTTGGCATACGTCTTGAGCCTAAGCCAGGGAATCAGCTCGCATCTCGAGACGACTTGGGGTACACGGAGCATTCCTCGAGTTGCTGTGCTGAAGTTGGTGTTCCTCTAGACTTGGGACAGTGTTCTCGGGGCATCTCTGGAGTTGCCTGAAGGAAGTCGAGCCACCGGTCGTGTTGCATGGGGAACGGGGAATGGCTCTGGAGTCAATGCAGGGGAATCGGGCCTCATCTCGAGTTGATTTGGGGCACATGGAGCTGCTTTGCGTTGCTGGGGTGACCTCAGGGTCCGTCTAGACTGGTGACAGTGTTCTTGGGGACTGTCTCGAGATCCATTAAGCAAGTCGAAGCTCCTGACTTGTTTGAATGGGGTCACGGAATAGCTCTGCATGCACTGCAGGGGAATGGGGCCTCATCTCGCCTCTAGGGGGAAGTCTCATGGTTTTTCTCGAGTTGCGGCGGGGACCTGGGGTATGTTCTCGACTTACGGCGGGGATGGCCCTTCAAAACACGAGTTTCTTCAGTGACGTCAGGACTCCTGTCTAGTAACGAGGGACACCTCAGGAATCTCTTCGAGGCTTGGCAGGGCCAAAGGGACGCTTCTCGAGGTGAGGCAGGGCAGCCAAGGACCCTTTCCAGTAGCCACAGGGATTTTGGGATTCCTATCAGTATTCAAGAGGAGTCAGGCATCGTCACCTTTTGAAGCAATGAACTCCGCGTGCCTCTCGAGGTGTCAGCGGGATGTGAGGCATTCCGTCAAAATGAGGCAGGGACCTAGGGCTTTCTCTAAGGTCTCCACAGGGGATTCAGACATCCCTTCATGTTGTGAGATGAAAGACGAGCCTGTATTCAAGCCACTGCAAGGAAATCCGGCCTCCTTTCAAGTTAGGGCTTCTCGCTGTATATTCCCCTTGAGGCAGCAAACTCGGGGTCCCTCCCACATACCTATTGCTGAGAGAAGCCTCCTCCTGAGGTGCTTCTGGGAAGTTGGCATACGTCTTGAGCCTAAGCCAGGGAATCAGCTCGCATCTCGAGACGACTTGGGGTACACGGAGCATTCCTCGAGTTGCTGTGCTGAAGTTGGTGTTCCTCTAGACTTGGGACAGTGTTCTCGGGGCATCTCTGGAGTTGCCTGAAGGAAGTCGAGCCACCGGTCGTGTTGAATGGGGAACGGGGAATGGCTCTGGAGTCAATGCAGGGGAATCGGGCCTCATCTCGAGCTGATTTGGGGCACATGGAGCTGCTTTGCGTTGCCGGGGTGACCTCAGGGTCCGTCTAGACTGGTGACAGTGTTCTTGGGGACTGTCTCGAGATCCATTAAGCAAGTCGAAGCTCCTGACTTGTTTGAATGGGGTCACGGAATAGCTCTGCATGCACTGCAGGGGAATGGGGCCTCATCTCGCCTCTAGGGGGAAGTCTCATGGTTTTTCTCGAGTTGCGGCGGGGACCTGGGGTATGTTCTCGACTTACGGCGGGGATGGCCCTTCAAAACACGAGTTTCTTCAGTGACGTCAGGAATCCTGTCTAGTAACGAGGGACACCTCAGGAATCTCTTCGAGGCTTGGCAGGGCAAAAGGGACGCTTCTCGAGGTGAGGCAGGGCACCCAAGGACCCTTTCCAGTAGCCACAGGGATTTTGGGATTCCTATCAGTATTCAAGAGGAGTCAGGCATCGTCACCTTTTGAAGCAGTGAACTCCGCGTGCCTCTCGAGGTGTCAGCGGGATGTGAGGGATTCCGTCAAAATGAGGCAGGGACCTAGCGCTTTCTCTAAGGTCTCCACAGGGGATTCAGACATCCCTTCATGTTGTGAGATGAAAGACGAGCCTGTATTCAAGCCACTGCAAGGAAATCCGGCCTCCTTTCAAGTTAGGGCTTCTCGCTGTATATTCCCCTTGAGGCAGCAAACTCGGGGTCCCTCCCACATACCTATTGCTGAGAGAAGCCTCCTCCTGAGGTGCTTCTGGGAAGTTGGCATACGTCTTGAGCCTAAGCCAGGGAATCAGCTCGCATCTCGAGACGACTTGGGGTACACGGAGCATTCCTCGAGTTGCTGTGCTGAAGTTGGTGTTCCTCTAGACTTGGGACAGTGTTCTCGGGGCATCTCTGGAGTTGCCTGAAGGAAGTCGAGCCACCGGTCTTGTTGAATGGGGAACGGGGAATGGCTCTGGAGTCAATGCAGGGGAATCGGGCCTCATCTCGAGCTGATTTGGGGCACATGGAGCTGCTTTGCGTTGCCGGGGTGACCTCAGGGTCCGTCTAGACTGGTGACAGTGTTCTTGGGGACTGTCTCGAGATCCATTAAGCAAGTCGAAGCTCCTGACTTGTTTGAATGGGGTCACGGAATAGCTCTGCATGCACTGCAGGGGAATGGGGCCTCATCTCGCCTCTAGGGGGAAGTCTCATGGTTTTTCTCGAGTTGCAGCGGGGACCTGTTGTATGTTCTCGACTTACGGCGGGGATGGCCCTTCAAAACACGAGTTTCTTCAGTGACGTCAGGACTCCTGTCTCGTAACGAGGGACACCTCAGGAATCTCTTCGAGGCTTGGCAGGGCAAAAGGGACGCTTCTCGAGGTAAGGCAGGGCACCCAAGGACCCTTTCCAGTAGCCACAGGGATTTTGGGATTCCTATCAGTATTCAAGAGGAGTCAGGCATCGTCACCTTTTGAAGCAATGAACTCCGCGTGCCTCTCGAGTGTCAGCGGGATGTGAGGCATTCCGTCAAAATGAGGCAGGGACCTAGGGCTTTCTCTAAGGTCTCCACAGGGTATTCAGACATCCCTTCATGTTGTGAGATGAAAGACGAGCCTGTATTCAAGCCACTGCAAGGAAATCCGGCCTCCTTTCAAGTTAGGGCTTCTCGCTGTATATTCCCCTTGAGGCAGCAAACTCGGGGTCCCTCCCACATACCTATTGCTGAGAGAAGCCTCCTCCTGAGGTGCTTCTGGGAAGTTGGCATACGTCTTGAGCCTAAGCCAGGGAATCAGCTCGCATCTCGAGACGACTTGGGGTACACGGAGCATTCCTCGAGTTGCTGTGCTGAAGTTGGTGTTCCTCTAGACTTGGGACAGTGTTCTCGGGGCATCTCTGGAGTTGCCTGAAGGAAGTCGAGCCACCGGTCGTGTTGAATGGGGAACGGGGAATGGCTCTGGAGTCAATGCAGGGGAATCGGGCCTCATCTCGAGTTGATTTGGGGCACATGGATCTGCTTTGCGTTGCTGGGGTGACCTCAGGGTCCGTCTAGACTGGTGACAGTGTTCTTGGGGACTGTCTCGAGATCCATTAAGCAAGTCGAAGCTCCTGACTTGTTTGAATGGGGTCACGGAATAGCTCTGCATGCACTTCAGGGGAATGGGGCCTCATCTCGCCTCTAGGGGGAAGTCTCATTGTTTTTCTCGAGTTGCGGCGGGGACCTGGGGTATGTTCTCGACTTACGGCGGGGATGGCCCTTCAAAACACGAGTTTCTTCAGTGACGTCAGGAATCCTGTCTAGTAACGAGGGACACCTCAGGAATCTCTTCGAGGATTGGCAGGGCAAAAGGGACGCTTCTCGAGGTGAGGCAGGGCACCCAAGGACCCTTTCCAGTAGCCACAGGGATTTTGGGATTCCTATCAGTATTCAAGAGGAGTCAGGCATCGTCACCTTTTGAAGCAATGAACTCCGCGTGCCTCTCGAGGTGTCAGCGGGATGTGAGGCATTCCGTCAAAATGAGGCAGGGACCTAGGGCTTTCTCTAAGGTCTCCACAGGGGATTCAGACATCCCTTCATGTTGTGAGATGAAAGACGAGCCTGTATTCAAGCCACTGCAAGGAAATCCGGCCTCCTTTCAAGTTAGGGCTTCTCGCTGTATATTCCCCTTGAGGCAGCAAACTCGGGGTCCCTCCCACATACCTATTGCTGAGAGAAGCCTCCTCCTGAGGTGCTTCTGGGAAGTTGGCATACGTCTTGAGCCTAAGCCAGGGAATCAGCTCGCATCTCGAGACGACTTGGGGTACACGGAGCATTCCTCGAGTTGCTGTGCTGAAGTTGGTGTTCCTCTAGACTTGGGACAGTGTTCTCGGGGCATCTCTGGAGTTGCCTGAAGGAAGTCGAGCCACCGGTCGTGTTGCATGGGGAACGGGGAATGGCTCTGGAGTCAATGCAGGGGAATCGGGCCTCATCTCGAGTTGATTTGGGGCACATGGAGCTGCTTTGCGTTGCTGGGGTGACCTCAAGGTCCGTCTAGACTGGTGACAGTGTTCTTGGGGACTGTCTCGAGATCCATTAAGCAAGTCGAAGCTCCTGACTTGTTTGAATGGGGTCACGGAATAGCTCTGCATGCACTGCAGGGGAATGGGGCCTCATCTCGCCTCTAGGGGGAAGTCTCATGGTTTTTCTCGAGTTGCGGCGGGGACCTGGGGTATGTTCTCGACTTACGGCGGGGATGGCCCTTCAAAACACGAGTTTCTTCAGTGACGTCAGGACTCCTGTCTAGTAACGAGGGACACCTCAGGAATCTCTTCGAGGCTTGGCAGGGCCAAAGGGACGCTTCTCGAGGTGAGGCAGGGCAGCCAAGGACCCTTTCCAGTAGCCACAGGGATTTTGGGATTCCTATCAGTATTCAAGAGGAGTCAGGCATCGTCACCTTTTGAAGCAATGAACTCCGCGTGCCTCTCGAGGTGTCAGCGGGATGTGAGGCATTCCGTCAAAATGAGGCAGGGACCTAGGGCTTTCTCTAAGGTCTCCACAGGGGATTCAGACATCCCTTCATGTTGTGAGATGAAAGACGAGCCTGTATTCAAGCCACTGCAAGGAAATCCGGCCTCCTTTCAAGTTAGGGCTTCTCGCTGTATATTCCCCTTGAGGCAGCAAACTCGGGGTCCCTCCCACATACCTATTGCTGAGAGAAGCCTCCTCCTGAGGTGCTTCTGGGAAGTTGGCATACGTCTTGAGCCTAAGCCAGGGAATCAGCTCGCATCTCGAGACGACTTGGGGTACACGGAGCATTCCTCGAGTTGCTGTGCTGAAGTTGGTGTTCCTCTAGACTTGGGACAGTGTTCTCGGGGCATCTCTGGAGTTGCCTGAAGGAAGTCGAGCCACCGGTCGTGTTGAATGGGGAACGGGGAATGGCTCTGGAGTCAATGCAGGGGAATCGGGCCTCATCTCGAGCTGATTTGGGGCACATGGAGCTGCTTTGCGTTGCCGGGGTGACCTCAGGGTCCGTCTAGACTGGTGACAGTGTTCTTGGGGACTGTCTCGAGATCCATTAAGCAAGTCGAAGCTCCTGACTTGTTTGAATGGGGTCACGGAATAGCTCTGCATGCACTGCAGGGGAATGGGGCCTCATCTCGCCTCTAGGGGGAAGTCTCATGGTTTTTCTCGAGTTGCGGCGGGGACCTGGGGTATGTTCTCGACTTACGGCGGGGATGGCCCTTCAAAACACGAGTTTCTTCAGTGACGTCAGGAATCCTGTCTAGTAACGAGGGACACCTCAGGAATCTCTTCGAGGCTTGGCAGGGCAAAAGGGACGCTTCTCGAGGTGAGGCAGGGCACCCAAGGACCCTTTCCAGTAGCCACAGGGATTTTGGGATTCCTATCAGTATTCAAGAGGAGTCAGGCATCGTCACCTTTTGAAGCAGTGAACTCCGCGTGCCTCTCGAGGTGTCAGCGGGATGTGAGGGATTCCGTCAAAATGAGGCAGGGACCTAGCGCTTTCTCTAAGGTCTCCACAGGGGATTCAGACATCCCTTCATGTTGTGAGATGAAAGACGAGCCTGTATTCAAGCCACTGCAAGGAAATCCGGCCTCCTTTCAAGTTAGGGCTTCTCGCTGTATATTCCCCTTGAGGCAGCAAACTCGGGGTCCCTCCCACATACCTATTGCTGAGAGAAGCCTCCTCCTGAGGTGCTTCTGGGAAGTTGGCATACGTCTTGAGCCTAAGCCAGGGAATCAGCTCGCATCTCGAGACGACTTGGGGTACACGGAGCATTCCTCGAGTTGCTGTGCTGAAGTTTGTGTTCCTCTAGACTTGGGACAGTGTTCTCGGGGCAACTCTGGAGTTGCCTGAAGGAAGTCGAGCCACCGGTCGTGTTGAATGGGGAACGGGGAATGGCTCTGGAGTCAATGCAGGGGAATCGCGCCTCATCTCGAGCTGATTTGGCGCACATGGAGCTCCTTTGCGCTGCCGGGGTGACCTCAGGGTCCGTCTAGACTGGTGACAGTGTTCTTGGGGACTGTCTCGAGATCCATTAAGCAAGTCGAAGCTCCTGACTTGTTTGAATGGGGTCACGGAATAGCTCTGCATGCACTGCAGGGGAATGGGGCCTCATCTCGCCTCTAGGGGGAAGTCTCATGGTTTTTCTCGAGTTGCGGCGGGGACCTGGGGTATGTTCTCGACTTACAGCGGGGATGGCCCTTCAAAACACGAGTTTCTTCAGTGACGTCAGGACTCCTGTCTAGTAACGAGGGACACCTCAGGAATCTCTTCGAGGCTTGGCAGGGCCAAAGGGACGCTTCTCGAGGTGAGGCAGGGCACCCAAGGACCCTTTCCAGTAGCCACAGGGTTTTTGGGATTCCTATCAGTATTCAAGAGGAGTCAGGCATCGTCACCTTTTGAAGCAATGAACTCCGCGTGCCTCTCGAGGTGTCAGCGGGATGTGAGGCATTCCGTCAAAATGAGGCAGGGACCTAGGGCTTTCTCTAAGGTCTCCACAGGGGATTCAGACATCCCTTCATGTTGTGAGATGAAAGACGAGCCTGTATTCAAGCCACTGCAAGGAAATCCGGCCTCCTTTCAAGTTAGGGCTTCTCGCTGTATATTCCCCTTGAGGCAGCAAACTCGGGGTCCCTCCCACATACCTATTCCTGAGAGAAGCCTCCTCCTGAGGTGCTTCTGGGAAGTTGGCATACGTCTTGAGCCTAAGCCAGGGAATCAGCTCGCATCTCGAGACGACTTGGGGTACACGGAGCATTCCTCGAGTTGCTGTGCTGAAGTTGGTGTTCCTCTAGACTTGGGACAGTGTTCTCGGGGCATCTCTGGAGATGCCTGAAGGAAGTCGAGCCACCGGTCGTGTTGAATGGGGAACGGGGAATGGCTCTGGAGTCAATGCAGGGGAATCGGGCCTCATCTCGAGCTGATTTGGCGCACATGGAGCTCCTTTGCGCTGCCGGGGTGACCTCAGGGTCCGTCTAGACTGGTGACAGTGTTCTTGGGGACTGTCTCGAGATCCATTAAGCAAGTCGAAGCTCCTGACTTGTTTGAATGGGGTCACGGAATAGCTCTGCATGCACTGCAGGGGAATGGGGCCTCATCTCGCCTCTAGGGGGAAGTCTCATGGTTTTTCTCGAGTTGCGGCGGGGACCTGGGGTATGTTCTCGACTTACAGCGGGGATGGCCCTTCAAAACACGAGTTTCTTCAGTGACGTCAGGACTCCTGTCTAGTAACGAGGGACACCTCAGGAATCTCTTCGAGGCTTGGCAGGGCCAAAGGGACGCTTCTCGAGGTGAGGCAGGGCACCCAAGGACCCTTTCCAGTAGCCACAGGGTTTTTGGGATTCCTATCAGTATTCAAGAGGAGTCAGGCATCGTCACCTTTTGAAGCAATGAACTCCGCGTGCCTCTCGAGGTGTCAGCGGGATGTGAGGCATTCCGTCAAAATGAGGCAGGGACCTAGGGCTTTCTCTAAGGTCTCCACAGGGGATTCAGACATCCCTTCATGTTGTGAGATGAAAGACGAGCCTGTATTCAAGCCACTGCAAGGAAATCCGGCCTCCTTTCAAGTTAGGGCTTCTCGCTGTATATTCCCCTTGAGGCAGCAAACTCGGGGTCCCTCCCACATACCTATTGCTGAGAGAAGCCTCCTCCTGAGGTGCTTCTGGGAAGTTGGCATACGTCTTGAGCCTAAGCCAGGGAATCAGCTCGCATCTCGAGATGACTTGGGGTACACGGAGCATTCCTCGAGTTGCTGTGCTGAAGTTGGTGTTCCTCTAGACTTGGGACAGTGTTCTCGGGGCATCTCTGGAGTTGCCTGAAGGAAGTCGAGCCACCGGTCGTGTTGAATGGGGAACGGGGAATGGCTCTGGAGTCAATGCAGGGGAATCGGGCCTCATCTCGAGCTGATTTGGCGCACATGGAGCTCCGTTGCGCTGCCGGGGTGACCTCAGGGTCCGTCTAGACTGGTGACAGTGTTCTTGGGGACTGTCTCGAGATCCATTAAGCAAGTCGAAGCTCCTGACTTGTTTGAATGGGGTCACGGAATAGCTCTGCATGCACTGCAGGGGAATGGGGCCTCATCTCGCCTCTAGGGGGAAGTCTCATGGTTTTTCTCGAGTTGCGGCGGGGACCTGGGGTATGTTCTCGCCTTACAGCGGGGATGGCCCTTCAAAACACGAGTTTCTTCAGTGACGTCAGGACTCCTGTCTAGTAACGAGGGACACCTCAGGAATCTCTTCGAGGCTTGGCAGGGCCAAAGGGACGCTTCTCGAGGTGAGGCAGGGCACCCAAGGACCCTTTCCAGTAGCCACAGGGTTTTTGGGATTCCTATCAGTATTCAAGAGGAGTCAGGCATCGTCACCTTTTGAAGCAATGAACTCCGCGTGCCTCTCGAGGTGTCAGCGGGATGTGAGGCATTCCGTCAAAATGAGGCAGGGACCTAGGGCTTTCTCTAAGGTCTCCACAGGGGATTCAGACATCCCTTCATGTTGTGAGATGAAAGACGAGCCTGTATTCAAGCCACTGCAAGGAAATCCGGCCTCCTTTCAAGTTAGGGCTTCTCGCTGTATATTCCCCTTGAGGCAGCAAACTCGGGGTCCCTCCCACATACCTATTGCTGAGAGAAGCCTCCTCCTGAGGTGCTTCTGGGAAGTTGGCATACGTCTTGAGCCTAAGCCAGGGAATCAGCTCGCATCTCGAGACGACTTGGGGTACACGGAGCATTCCTCGAGTTGCTGTGCTGAAGTTGGTGTACCTCTAGACTTGGGACAGTGTTCTCGGGGCATCTCTGGAGTTGCCTGAAGGAAGTCGAGCCACCGGTCGTGTTGAATGGGGAACGGGGAATGGCTCTGGAGTCAATGCAGGGGAATCGGGCCTCATCTCGAGTTGATTTGGGGCACATGGAGCTGCTTTGCGTTGCTGGGGTGACCTCAGGGTCCGTCTAGACTGGTGACAGTGTTCTTGGGGACTGTCTCGAGATCCATTAAGCAAGTCGAAGCTCCTGACTTGTTTGAATGGGGTCACGGAATAGCTCTGCATGCACTGCAGGGGAATGGGGCCTCATCTCGCCTCTAGGGGGAAGTCTCATGGTTTTTCTCGAGTTGCGGCGGGGACCTGGGGTATGTTCTCGACTTACGGCGGGGATGGCCCTTCAAAACACGAGTTTCTTCAGTGACGTCAGGACTCCTGTCTAGTAACGAGGGACACCTCAGGAATCTCTTCGAGGCTTGGCAGGGCCAAAGGGACGCTTCTCGAGGTGAGGCAGGGCACCCAAGGAGCCTTTCCAGTAGCCACAGGGTTTTTGGGATTCCTATCAGTATTCAAGAGGAGTCAGGCATCGTCACCTTTTGAAGCAATGAACTCCGCGTGCCTCTCGAGGTGTCAGCGGGATGTGAGGCATTCCGTCAAAATGAGGCAGGGACCTAGGGCTTTCTCTAAGGTCTCCACAGGGGATTCAGACATCCCTTCATGTTGTGAGATGAAAGACGAGCCTGTATTCAAGCCACTGCAAGGAAATCCGGCCTCCTTTCAAGTTAGGGCTTCTCGCTGTATATTCCCCTTGAGGCAGCAAACTCGGGGTCCCTCCCACATACCTATTGCTGAAAGAAGCCTCCTCCTGAGGTGCTTCTGGGAAGTTGGCATACGTCTTGAGCCTAAGCCAGGGAATCAGCTCGCATCTCGAGACGACTTGGGGTACACGGAGCATTCCTCGAGTTGCTGTGCTGAAGTTGGTGTACCTCTAGACTTGGGACAGTGTTCTCGGGGCATCTCTGGAGTTGCCTGAAGGAAGTCGAGCCACCGGTCGTGTTGAATGGGGAACGGGGAATGGCTCTGGAGTCAATGCAGGGGAATCGGGCCTCATCTCGAGTTGATTTGGGGCACATGGAGCTGCTTTGCGTTGCTGGGGTGACCTCAGGGTCCGTCTAGACTGGTGACAGTGTTCTTGGGGACTGTCTCGAGATCCATTAAGCAAGTCGAAGCTCCTGACTTGTTTGAATGGGGTCACGGAATAGCTCTGCATGCACTGCAGGGGAATGGGGCCTCATCTCGCCTCTAGGGGGAAGTCTCATGGTTTTTCTCGAGTTGCGGCGGGGACCTGGGGTATGTTCTCGACTTACGGCGGGGATGGCCCTTCAAAACACGAGTTTCTTCAGTGACGTCAGGACTCCTGTCTAGTAACGAGGGACACCTCAGGAATCTCTTCGAGGCTTGGCAGGGCCAAAGGGACGCTTCTCGAGGTGAGGCAGGGCACCCAAGGACCCTTTCCAGTAGCCACAGGGATTTTGGGATTCCTATCAGTATTCAAGAGGAGTCAGGCATCGTCACCTTTTGAAGCAATGAACTCCGCGTGCCTCTCGAGGTGTCAGCGGGATGTGAGGCATTCCGTCAAAATGAGGCAGGGACCTAGGGCTTTCTCTAAGGTCTCCACAGGGGATTCAGACATCCCTTCATGTTGTGAGATGAAAGACGAGCCTGTATTCAAGCCACTGCAAGGAAATCCGGCCTCCTTTCAAGTTAGGGCTTCTCGCTGTATATTCCCCTTGAGGCAGCAAACTCGGGGTCCCTCCCACATACCTATTGCTGAGAGAAGCCTCCTCCTGAGGTGCTTCTGGGAAGTTGGCATACGTCTTGAGCCTAAGCCAGGGAATCAGCTCGCATCTCGAGACGACTTGGGGTACACGGAGCATTCCTCGAGTTGCTGTGCTGAAGTTGGTGTTCCTCTAGACTTGGGACAGTGTTCTCGGGGCATCTCTGGAGTTGCCTGAAGGAAGTCGAGCCACCGGTCGTGTTGAATGGGGAACGGGGAATGGCTCTGGAGTCAATGCAGGGGAATCGGGCCTCATCTCGAGTTAATTTGGGGCACATGGAGCTGCTTTGCGTTGCTGGGGTGACCTCAGGGTCCGTCTAGACTGGTGACAGTGTTCTTGGGGACTGTCTCGAGATCCATTAAGCAAGTCGAAGCTCCTGACTTGTTTGAATGGGGTCACGGAATAGCTCTGCATGCACTGCAGGGGAATGGGGCCTCATCTCGCCTCTAGGGGGAAGTCTCATGGTTTTTCTCGAGTTGCGGCGGGGACCTGGGGTATGTTCTCGACTTACGGCGGGGATGGCCCTTAAAAACACGAGTTTCTTCAGTGACGTCAGGACTCCTGTCTAGTAACGAGGGACACCTCAGGAATCTCTTCGAGGCTTGGCAGGGCAAAAGGGACGCTTCTCGAGGTGAGGCAGGGCACCCAAGAACCCTTTCCAGTAGCCACAGGGATTTTGGGATTCCTATCAGTATTCAAGAGGAGTCAGGCATCGTCACCTTTTGAAGCAATGAACTCCGCGTGCCTCTCGAGGTGTCAGCGGGATGTGAGGCATTCCGTCAAAATGAGGCAGGGACCTAGGGCTTTCTCTAAGGTCTCCACAGGGGATTCAGACATCCCTTCATGTTGTGAGATGAAAGACGAGCCTGTATTCAAGCCACTGCAAGGAAATCCGGCCTCCTTTCAAGTTAGGGCTTCTCGCTGTATATTCCCCTTGAGGCAGCAAACTCGGGGTCCCTCCCACATACCTATTGCTGAGAGAAGCCTCCTCCTGAGGTGCTTCTGGGAAGTTGGCATACGTCTTGAGCCTAAGCCAGGGAATCAGCTCGCATCTCGAGACGACTTGGGGTACACGGAGCATTCCTCGAGTTGCTGTGCTGAAGTTGGTGTTCCTCTAGACTTGGGACAGTGTTCTCGGGGCATCTCTGGAGTTGCCTGAAGGAAGTCGAGCCACCGGTCGTGTTGAATGGGGAACGGGGAATGGCTCTGGAGTCAATGCAGGGGAATCGGGCCTCATCTCGAGTTGATTTGGGGCACATGGAGCTGCTTTGCGTTGCTGGGGTGACCTCAGGGTCCATCTAGACTGGTGACAGTGTTCTTGGGGACTGTCTCGAGATCCATTAAGCAAGTCGAAGCTCCTGACTTGTTTGAATGGGGTCACGGAATAGCTCTGCATGCACTGCAGGGGAATGGGGCCTCATCTCGCCTCTAGGGGGAAGTCTCATGGTTTTTCTCGAGTTGCGGCGGGGACCTGGGGTATGTTCTCGACTTACGGCGGGGATGGCCCTTCAAAACACGAGTTTCTTCAGTGACGTCAGGACTCCTGTCTAGTAAAAAGGGACACCTCAGGAATCTCTTCGAGGCTTGGCAGGGCCAAAGGGACGCTTCTCGAGGTGAGGCAGGGCACCCAAGGACCCTTTCCAGTAGCCACAGGGATTTTGGGATTCCTATCAGTATTCAAGAGGAGTCAGGCATCGTCACCTTTTGAAGCAATGAACTCCGCGTGCCTCTCGAGGTGTCAGCGGGATGTGAGGCATTCCGTCAAAATGAGGCAGGGACCTAGGGCTTTCTCTAAGGTCTCCACAGGGGATTCAGACATCCCTTCATGTTGTGAGATGAAAGACGAGCCTGTATTCAAGCCACTGCAAGGAAATCCGGCCTCCTTTCAAGTTAGGGCTGCTCGCTGTATATTCCCCTTGAGGCAGCAAACTCGGGGTCCCTCCCACATACCTATTGCTGAGAGAAGCCTCCTCCTGAGGTGCTTCTGGGAAGTTGGCATACGTCTTGAGCCTAAGCCAGGGAATCAGCTCGCATCTCGAGACGACTTGGGGTACACGGAGCATTCCTCGAGTTGCTGTGCTGAAGTTGGTGTTCCTCTAGACTTGGGACAGTGTTCTCGGGGCATCTCTGGAGTTGCCTGAAGGAAGTCGAGCCACCGGTCGTGTTGAATGGGGAACGGGGAATGGCTCTGGAGTCAATGCAGGGGAATCGGGCCTCATCTCGAGTTGATTTGGGGCACATGGAGCTGCTTTGCGTTGCTGGGGTGACCTCAGGGTCCGTCTAGACTGGTGACAGTGTTCTTGGGGACTGTCTCGAGATCCATTAAGCAAGTCGAAGCTCCTGACTTGTTTGAATGGGGTCACGGAATAGCTCTGCATGCACTGCAGGGGAATGGGGCCTCATCTCGCCTCTAGGGGGAAGTCTCATGGTTTTTCTCGAGTTGCGGCGGGGACCTGGGGTATGTTCTCGACTTACGGCGGGGATGGCCCTTCAAAACACGAGTTTCTTCAGTGACGTCAGGACTCCTATCTCGTAACGAGGGACACCTCAGGAATCTCTTCGAGGCTTGGCAGGGCCAAAGGGACGCTTCTCGAGGTGAGGCAGGGCACCCAAGGACCCTTTCCAGTAGCCACAGGGATTTTGGGATTCCTATCAGTATTCAAGAGGAGTCAGGCATCGTCACCTTTTGAAGGAATAAACTCCGTGTGCCTCTCGAGGTATCAGCGGGATGTGAGGCATTCCGTCAAAATGAGGCAGGGACCTAGGGCTTTCTCTAAGGTCTCCACAGGGGATTCAGACATCCCTTCATGTTGTGAGATGAAAGACGAGCCTGTATTCAAGCCACTGCAAGGAAATCCGGCCTCCTTTCAAGTTAGGGCTTCTCGCTGTATATTCCCCTTGAGGCAGCAAACTCGGGGTCCCTCCCACATACCTATTGCTGAGAAAAGCCTCCTCCTGAGGTGCTTCTGGGAAGTTGGCATACGTCTTGAGCCTAAGCCAGGGAATCAGCTCGCATCTCGAGACGACTTGGGGTACACGGAGCATTCCTCGAGTTGCTGTGCTGAAGTTGGTGTTCCTCTAGACTTGGGACAGTGTTCTCGGGGCATCTCTGGAGTTGCCTGAAGGAAGTCGAGCCACCGGTCTTGTTGAATGGGGAACGGGGAATGGCTCTGGAGTCAATGCAGGGGAATCGGGCCTCATCTCGAGCTGATTTGGGGCACATGGAGCTGCTTTGCGTTGCCGGGGTGACCTCAGGGTCCGTCTAGACTGGTGACAGTGTTCTTGGGGACTGTCTCGAGATCCATTAAGCAAGTCGAAGCTCCTGACTTGTTTGAATGGGGTCACGGAATAGCTCTGCATGCACTGCAGGGGAATGGGGCCTCATCTCGCCTCTAGGGGGAAGTCTCATGGTTTTTCTCGAGTTGCAGCGGGGACCTGTTGTATGTTCTCGACTTACGGCGGGGATGGCCCTTCAAAACACGAGTTTCTTCAGTGACGTCAGGACTCCTGTCTCGTAACGAGGGACACCTCAGGAATCTCTTCGAGGCTTGGCAGGGCAAAAGGGACGCTTCTCGAGGTAAGGCAGGGCACCCAAGGACCCTTTCCAGTAGCCACAGGGATTTTGGGATTCCTATCAGTATTCAAGAGGAGTCAGGCATCGTCACCTTTTGAAGCAATGAACTCCGCGTGCCTCTCGAGGTGTCAGCGGGATGTGAGGCATTCCGTCAAAATGAGGCAGGGACCTAGGGCTTTCTCTAAGGTCTCCACAGGGTATTCAGACATCCCTTCATGTTGTGAGATGAAAGACGAGCCTGTATTCAAGCCACTGCAAGGAAATCCGGCCTCCTTTCAAGTTAGGGCTTCTCGCTGTATATTCCCCTTGAGGCAGCAAACTCGGGGTCCCTCCCACATACCTATTGCTGAGAGAAGCCTCCTCCTGAGGTGCTTCTGGGAAGTTGGCATACGTCTTGAGCCTAAGCCAGGGAATCAGCTCGCATCTCGAGACGACTTGGGGTACACGGAGCATTCCTCGAGTTGCTGTGCTGAAGTTGGTGTTCCTCTAGACTTGGGACAGTGTTCTCGGGGCATCTCTGGAGTTGCCTGAAGGAAGTCGAGCCACCGGTCGTGTTGAATGGGGAACGGGGAATGGCTCTGGAGTCAATGCAGGGGAATCGGGCCTCATCTCGAGTTGATTTGGGGCACATGGATCTGCTTTGCGTTGCTGGGGTGACCTCAGGGTCCGTCTAGACTGGTGACAGTGTTCTTGGGGACTGTCTCGAGATCCATTAAGCAAGTCGAAGCTCCTGACTTGTTTGAATGGGGTCACGGAATAGCTCTGCATGCACTTCAGGGGAATGGGGCCTCATCTCGCCTCTAGGGGGAAGTCTCATTGTTTTTCTCGAGTTGCGGCGGGGACCTGGGGTATGTTCTCGACTTACGGCGGGGATGGCCCTTCAAAACACGAGTTTCTTCAGTGACGTCAGGAATCCTGTCTAGTAACGAGGGACACCTCAGGAATCTCTTCGAGGCTTGGCAGGGCCAAAGGGACGCTTCTCGAGGTGAGGCAGGGCACCCAAGGACCCTTTCCAGTAGCCACAGGGATTTTGGGATTCCTATCAGTATTCAAGAGGAGTCAGGCATCGTCACCTTTTGAAGCAATGAACTCCGCGTGCCTCTCGAGGTGTCAGCGGGATGTGAGGCATTCCGTCAAAATGAGGCAGGGACCTAGGGCTTTCTCTAAGGTCTCCACAGGGGATTCAGACATCCCTTCATGTTGTGAGATGAAAGACGAGCCTGTATTCAAGCCACTGCAAGGAAATCCGGCCTCCTTTCAAGTTAGGGCTTCTCGCTGTATATTCCCCTTGAGGCAGCAAACTCGGGGTCCCTCCCACATACCTATTGCTGAGAGAAGCCTCCTCCTGAGGTGCTTCTGGGAAGTTGGCATACGTCTTGAGCCTAAGCCAGGGAATCCGCTCGCATCTCGAGACGACTTGGGGTACACGGAGCATTCCTCGAGTTGCTGTGCTGAAGTTGGTGTTCCTCTAGACTTGGGACAGTGTTCTCGGGGCATCTCTGGAGTTGCCTGAAGGAAGTCGAGCCACCGGTCGTGTTGCATGGGGAACGGGGAATGGCTCTGGAGTCAATGCAGGGGAATCGGGCCTCATCTCGAGTTGATTTGGGGCACATGGAGCTGCTTTGCGTTGCTGGGGTGACCTCAGGGTCCGTCTAGACTGGTGACAGTGTTCTTGGGGACTGTCTCGAGATCCATTAAGCAAGTCGAAGCTCCTGACTTGTTTGAATGGGGTCACGGAATAGCTCTGCATGCACTGCAGGGGAATGGGGCCTCATCTCGCCTCTAGGGGGAAGTCTCATGGTTTTTCTCGAGTTGCGGCGGGGACCTGGGGTATGTTCTCGACTTACGGCGGGGATGGCCCTTCAAAACACGAGTTTCTTCAGTGACGTCAGGAATCCTGTCTAGTAACGAGGGACACCTCAGGAATCTCTTCGAGGCTTGGCAGGGCAAAAGGGACGCTTCTCGAGGTGAGGCAGGGCACCCAAGGACCCTTTCCAGTAGCCACAGGGATTTTGGGATTCCTATCAGTATTCAAGAGGAGTCAGGCATCGTCACCTTTTGAAGCAGTGAACTCCGCGTGCCTCTCGAGGTGTCAGCGGGATGTGAGGGATTCCGTCAAAATGAGGCAGGGACCTAGCGCTTTCTCTAAGGTCTCCACAGGGGATTCAGACATCCCTTCATGTTGTGAGATGAAAGACGAGCCTGTATTCAAGCCACTGCAAGGAAATCCGGCCTCCTTTCAAGTTAGGGCTTCTCGCTGTATATTCCCCTTGAGGCAGCAAACTCGGGGTCCCTCCCACATACCTATTGCTGAGAGAAGCCTCCTCCTGAGGTGCTTCTGGGAAGTTGGCATACGTCTTGAGCCTAAGCCAGGGAATCAGCTCGCATCTCGAGACGACTTGGGGTACACGGAGCATTCCTCGAATTGCTGTGCTGAAGTTGGTGTTCCTCTAGACTTGGGACAGTGTTCTCGGGGCATCTCTGGAGTTGCCTGAAGGAAGTCGAGCCACCGGTCGTGTTGAATGGGGAACGGGGAATGGCTCTGGAGTCAATGCAGGGGAATCGGGCCTCATCTCGAGCTGATTTGGCGCACATGGAGCTCCTTTGCGCTGCCGGGGTGACCTCAGGGTCCGTCTAGACTGGTGACAGTGTTCTTGGGGACTGTCTCGAGATCCATTAAGCAAGTCGAAGCTCCTGACTTGTTTGAATGGGGTCACGGAATAGCTCTGCATGCACTGCAGGGGAATGGGGCCTCATCTCGCCTCTAGGGGGAAGTCTCATGGTTTTTCTCGAGTTGCGGCGGGGACCTGGGGTATGTTCTCGACTTACAGCGGGGATGGCCCTTCAAAACACGAGTTTCTTCAGTGACGTCAGGACTCCTGTCTAGTAACGAGGGACACCTCAGGAATCTCTTCGAGGCTTGGCAGGGCCAAAGGGACGCTTCTCGAGGTGAGGCAGGGCACCCAAGGACCCTTTCCAGTAGCCACAGGGTTTTTGGGATTCCTATCAGTATTCAAGAGGAGTCAGGCATCGTCACCTTTTGAAGCAATGAACTCCGCGTGCCTCTCGAGGTGTCAGCGGGATGTGAGGCATTCCGTCAAAATGAGGCAGGGACCTAGGGCTTTCTCTAAGGTCTCCACAGGGGATTCAGACATCCCTTCATGTTGTGAGATGAAAGACGAGCCTGTATTCAAGCCACTGCAAGGAAATCCGGCCTCCTTTCAAGTTAGGGCTTCTCGCTGTATATTCCCCTTGAGGCAGCAAACTCGGGGTCCCTCCCACATACCTATTGCTGAGAGAAGCCTCCTCCTGAGGTGCTTCTGGGAAGTTGGCATACGTCTTGAGCCTAAGCCAGGGAATCAGCTCGCATCTCGAGACGACTTGGGGTACACGGAGCATTCCTCGAGTTGCTGTGCTGAAGTTGGTGTTCCTCTAGACTTGGGACAGTGTTCTCGGGGCATCTCTGGAGATGCCTGAAGGAAGTCGAGCCACCGGTCGTGTTGAATGGGGAACGGGGAATGGCTCTGGAGTCAATGCAGGGGAATCGGGCCTCATCTCGAGCTGATTTGGCGCACATGGAGCTCCTTTGCGCTGCCGGGGTGACCTCAGGGTCCGTCTAGACTGGTGACAGTGTTCTTGGGGACTGTCTCGAGATCCATTAAGCAAGTCGAAGCTCCTGACTTGTTTGAATGGGGTCACGGAATAGCTCTGCATGCACTGCAGGGGAATGGGGCCTCATCTCGCCTCTAGGGGGAAGTCTCATGGTTTTTCTCGAGTTGCGGCGGGGACCTGGGGTATGTTCTCGACTTACAGCGGGGATGGCCCTTCAAAACACGAGTTTCTTCAGTGACGTCAGGACTCCTGTCTAGTAACGAGGGACACCTCAGGAATCTCTTCGAGGCTTGGCAGGGCCAAAGGGACGCTTCTCGAGGTGAGGCAGGGCACCCAAGGACCCTTTCCAGTAGCCACAGGGTTTTTGGGATTCCTATCAGTATTCAAGAGGAGTCAGGCATCGTCACCTTTTGAAGCAATGAACTCCGCGTGCCTCTCGAGGTGTCAGCGGGATGTGAGGCATTCCGTCAAAATGAGGCAGGGACCTAGGGCTTTCTCTAAGGTCTCCACAGGGGATTCAGACATCCCTTCATGTTGTGAGATGAAAGACGAGCCTGTATTCAAGCCACTGCAAGGAAATCCGGCCTCCTTTCAAGTTAGGGCTTCTCGCTGTATATTCCCCTTGAGGCAGCAAACTCGGGGTCCCTCCCACATACCTATTGCTGAGAGAAGCCTCCTCCTGAGGTGCTTCTGGGAAGTTGGCATACGTCTTGAGCCTAAGCCAGGGAATCAGCTCGCATCTCGAGATGACTTGGGGTACACGGAGCATTCCTCGAGTTGCTGTGCTGAAGTTGGTGTTCCTCTAGACTTGGGACAGTGTTCTCGGGGCATCTCTGGAGTTGCCTGAAGGAAGTCGAGCCACCGGTCGTGTTGAATGGGGAACGGGGAATGGCTCTGGAGTCAATGCAGGGGAATCGGGCCTCATCTCGAGCTGATTTGGCGCACATGGAGCTCCTTTGCGCTGCCGGGGTGACCTCAGGGTCCGTCTAGACTGGTGACAGTGTTCTTGGGGACTGTCTCGAGATCCATTAAGCAAGTCGAAGCTCCTGACTTGTTTGAATGGGGTCACGGAATAGCTCTGCATGCACTGCAGGGGAATGGGGCCTCATCTCGCCTCTAGGGGGAAGTCTCATGGTTTTTCTCGAGTTGCGGCGGGGACCTGGGGTATGTTCTCGACTTACGGCGGGGATGGCCCTTCAAAACACGAGTTTCTTCAGTGACGTCAGGACTCCTGTCTAGTAACGAGGGACACCTCAGGAATCTCTTCGAGGCTTGGCAGGGCCAAAGGGACGCTTCTCGAGGTGAGGCAGGGCACCCAAGGACCCTTTCCAGTAGCCACAGGGTTTTTGGGATTCCTATCAGTATTCAAGAGGAGTCAGGAATCGTCACCTTTTGAAGCAATGAACTCCGCGTGCCTCTCGAGGTGTCAGCGGGATGTGAGGCATTCCGTCAAAATGAGGCAGGGACCTAGGGCTTTCTCTAAGGTCTCCACAGGGGATTCAGACATCCCTTCATGTTGTGAGATGAAAGACGAGCCTGTATTCAAGCCACTGCAAGGAAATCCGGCCTCCTTTCAAGTTAGGGCTTCTCGCTGTATATTCCCCTTGAGGCAGCAAACTCGGGGTCCCTCCCACATACCTATTGCTGAAAGAAGCCTCCGCCTGAGGTGCTTCTGGGAAGTTGGCATACGTCTTGAGCCTAAGCCAGGGAATCAGCTCGCATCTCGAGACGACTTGGGGTACACGGAGCATTCCTCGAGTTGCTGTGCTGAAGTTGGTGTACCTCTAGACTTGGGACAGTGTTCTCGGGGCATCTCTGGAGTTGCCTGAAGGAAGTCGAGCCACCGGTCGTGTTGAATGGGGAACGGGGAATGGCTCTGGAGTCAATGCAGGGGAATCGGGCCTCATCTCGAGTTGATTTGGGGCACATGGAGCTGCTTTGCGTTGCTGGGGTGACCTCAGGGTCCGTCTAGACTGGTGACAGTGTTCTTGGGGACTGTCTCGAGATCCATTAAGCAAGTCGAAGCTCCTGACTTGTTTGAATGGGGTCACGGAATAGCTCTGCATGCACTGCAGGGGAATGGGGCCTCATCTCGCCTCTAGGGGGAAGTCTCATGGTTTTTCTCGAGTTGCGGCGGGGACCTGGGGTATGTTCTCGACTTACGGCGGGGATGGCCCTTCAAAACACGAGTTTCTTCAGTGACGTCAGGACTCCTGTCTAGTAACGAGGGACACCTCAGGAATCTCTTCGAGGCTTGGCAGGGCCAAAGGGACGCTTCTCGAGGTGAGGCAGGGCACCCAAGGACCCTTTCCAGTAGCCACAGGGTTTTTGGGATTCCTATCAGTATTCAAGAGGAGTCAGGCATCGTCACCTTTTGAAGCAATGAACTCCGCGTGCCTCTCGAGGTGTCAGCGGGATGTGAGGCATTCCGTCAAAATGAGGCAGGGACCTAGGGCTTTCTCTAAGGTCTCCACAGGGGATTCAGACATCCCTTCATGTTGTGAGATGAAAGACGAGCCTGTATTCAAGCCACTGCAAGGAAATCCGGCCTCCTTTCAAGTTAGGGCTTCTCGCTGTATATTCCCCTTGAGGCAGCAAACTCGGGGTCCCTCCCACATACCTATTGCTGAAAGAAGCCTCCTCCTGAGGTGCTTCTGGGAAGTTGGCATACGTCTTGAGCCTAAGCCAGGGAATCAGCTCGCATCTCGAGACGACTTGGGGTACACGGAGCATTCCTCGAGTTGCTGTGCTGAAGTTGGTGTACCTCTAGACTTGGGACAGTGTTCTCGGGGCATCTCTGGAGTTGCCTGAAGGAAGTCGAGCCACCGGTCGTGTTGAATGGGGAACGGGGAATGGCTCTGGAGTCAATGCAGGGGAATCGGGCCTCATCTCGAGTTGATTTGGGGCACATGGAGCTGCTTTGCGTTGCTGGGGTGACCTCAGGGTCCGTCTAGACTGGTGACAGTGTTCTTGGGGACTGTCTCGAGATCCATTAAGCAAGTCGAAGCTCCTGACTTGTTTGAATGGGGTCACGGAATAGCTCTGCATGCACTGCAGGGGAATGGGGCCTCATCTCGCCTCTAGGGGGAAGTCTCATGGTTTTTCTCGAGTTGCGGCGGGGACCTGGGGTATGTTCTCGACTTACGGCGGGGATGGCCCTTCAAAACACGAGTTTCTTCAGTGACGTCAGGACTCCTGTCTAGTAACGAGGGACACCTCAGGAATCTCTTCGAGGCTTGGCAGGGCAAAAGGGACGCTTCTCGAGGTGAGGCAGGGCACCCAAGGACCCTTTCCAGTAGCCACAGGGATTTTGGGATTCCTATCAGTATTCAAGAGGAGTCAGGCATCGTCACCTTTTGAAGCAATGAACTCCGCGTGCCTCTCGAGGTGTCAGCGGGATGTGAGGCATTCCGTCAAAATGAGGCAGGGACCTAGGGCTTTCTCTAAGGTCTCCACAGGGGATTCAGACATCCCTTCATGTTGTGAGATGAAAGACGAGCCTGTATTCAAGCCACTGCAAGGAAATCCGGCCTCCTTTCAAGTTAGGGCTTCTCGCTGTATATTCCCCTTGAGGCAGCAAACTCGGGGTCCCTCCCACATACCTATTGCTGAGAGAAGCCTCCTCCTGAGGTGCTTCTGGGAAGTTGGCATACGTCTTGAGCCTAAGCCAGGGAATCAGCTCGCATCTCGAGACGACTTGGGGTACATGGAGCATTCCTCGAGTTGCTGTGCTGAATTTGGTGTTCCTCTAGACTTGGGACAGTGTTCTCGGGGCATCTCTGGAGTTGCCTGAAGAAAGTCGAGCCACCGGTCGTGTTGAATGGGGAACGGGGAATGGCTCTGGAGTCAATGCAGGGGAATTGGGCCTCATCTCGAGTTGATTTGGGGCACATGGAGCTGCTTTGCGTTGCTGGGGTGACCTCAGGGTCCGTCTAGACTGGTGACAGTGTTCTTGGGGACTGTCTCGAGATCCATTAAGCAAGTCGAAGCTCCTGACTTGTTTGAATGGGGTCACGGAATAGCTCTGCATGCACTGCAGGGGAATGGGGCCTCATCTCGCCTCTAGGGGGAAGTCTCATGGTTTTTCTCGAGTTGCGGCGGGGACCTGGGGTATGTTCTCGACTTACGGCGGGGATGGCCCTTCAAAACACGAGTTTCTTCAGTGACGTCAGGACTCCTGTCTAGTAACGAGGGACACCTCAGGAATCTCTTCGAGGCTTGGCAGGGCCAAAGGGACGCTTCTCGAGGTGAGGCAGGGCACCCAAGGACCCTTTCCAGTAGCCACAGTGATTTTGGGATTCCTATCAGTATTCAAGAGGAGTCAGGCATCGTCACCTTTTGAAGCAATGAACTCCGCGTGCCTCTCGAGGTGTCAGCGGGATGTGAGGCATTCCGTCAAAATGAGGCAGGGACCTAGGGCTTTCTCTAAGGTCTCCACAGGGGATTCAGACATCCCTTCATGTTGTGAGATGAAAGACGAGCCTGTATTCAAGCCACTGCAAGGAAATCCGGCCTCCTTTCAAGTTAGGGCTTCTCGCTGTATATTCCCCTTGAGGCAGCAAACTCGGGGTCCCTCCCACATACCTATTGCTGAGAGAAGCCTCCTCCTGAGGTGCTTCTGGGAAGTTGGCATAGGTCTTGAGCCTAAGCCAGGGAATCAGCTCGCATCTCGAGACGACTTGGGGTACACGGAGCATTCCTCGAGTTGCTGTGCTGAAGTTGGTGTTCCTCTAGACTTGGGACAGTGTTCTCGGGGCATCTCTGGAGTTGCCTGAAGGAAGTCGAGCCACCGGTCGTGTTGAATGGGGAACGGGGAATGGCTCTGGAGTCAATGCAGGGGAATCGGGCCTCATCTCGAGTTGATTTGGGGCACATGGAGCTGCTTTGCGTTGCTGGGGTGACCTCAGGGTCCGTCTAGACTGGTGACAGTGTTCTTGGGGACTGTCTCGAGATCCATTAAGCAAGTCGAAGCTCCTGACTTGTTTGAATGGGGTCACGGAATAGCTCTGCATGCACTGCAGGGGAATGGGGCCTCATCTCGCCTCTAGGGGGAAGTCTCATGGTTTTTCTCGAGTTGCGGCGGGGACCTGGGGTATGTTCTCGACTTACGGCGGGGATGGCCCTTCAAAACACGAGTTTCTTCAGTGACGTCAGGACTCCTGTCTAGTAACGAGGGACACCTCAGGAATCTCTTCGAGGCTTGGCAGGGCCAAAGGGACGCTTCTCGAGGTGAGGCAGGGCACCCAAGGACCCTTTCCAGTAGCCACAGGGTTTTTGGGATTCCTATCAGTATTCAAGAGGAGTCAGGCATCATCACCTTTTGAAGCAATGAACTCCGCGTGCCTCTCGAGGTGTCAGCGGGATGTGAGGCATTCCGTCAAAATGAGGCAGGGACCTAGGGCTTTCTCTAAGGTCTCCACAGGGGATTCAGACATCCCTTCATGTTGTGAGATGAAAGACGAGCCTGTATTCAAGCCACTGCAAGGAAATCCGGCCTCCTTTCAAGTTAGGGCTTCTCGCTGTATATTCCCCTTGAGGCAGCAAACTCGGGGTCCCTCCCACATACCTATTGCTGAAAGAAGCCTCCTCCTGAGGTGCTTCTGGGAAGTTGGCATACGTCTTGAGCCTAAGCCAGGGAATCAGCTCGCATCTCGAGACGACTTGGGGTACACGGAGCATTCCTCGAGTTGCTGTGCTGAAGTTGGTGTACCTCTAGACTTGGGACAGTGTTCTCGGGGCATCTCTGGAGTTGCCTGAAGGAAGTCGAGCCACCGGTCGTGTTGAATGGGGAACGGGGAATGGCTCTGGAGTCAATGCAGGGGAATCGGGCCTCATCTCGAGTTGATTTGGGGCACATGGAGCTGCTTTGCGTTGCTGGGGTGACCTCAGGGTCCGTCTAGACTGGTGACAGTGTTCTTGGGGACTGTCTCGAGATCCATTAAGCAAGTCGAAGCTCCTGACTTGTTTGAATGGGGTCACGGAATAGCTCTGCATGCACTGCAGGGGAATGGGGCCTCATCTCGCCTCTAGGGGGAAGTCTCATGGTTTTTCTCGAGTTGCGGCGGGGACCTGGGGTATGTTCTCGACTTACGGCGGGGATGGCCCTTCAAAACACGAGTTTCTTCAGTGACGTCAGGACTCCTGTCTAGTAACGAGGGACACCTCAGGAATCTCTTCGAGGCTTGGCAGGGCAAAAGGGACGCTTCTCGAGGTGAGGCAGGGCACCCAAGGACCCTTTCCAGTAGCCACAGGGATTTTGGGATTCCTATCAGTATTCAAGAGGAGTCAGGCATCGTCACCTTTTGAAGCAATGAACTCCGCGTGCCTCTCGAGGTGTCAGCGGGATGTGAGGCATTCCGTCAAAATGAGGCAGGGACCTAGGGCTTTCTCTAAGGTCTCCACAGGGGATTCAGACATCCCTTCATGTTGTGAGATGAAAGACGAGCCTGTATTCAAGCCACTGCAAGGAAATCCGGCCTCCTTTCAAGTTAGGGCTTCTCGCTGTATATTCCCCTTGAGGCAGCAAACTCGGGGTCCCTCCCACATACCTATTGCTGAGAGAAGCCTCCTCCTGAGGTGCTTCTGGGAAGTTGGCATACGTCTTGAGCCTAAGCCAGGGAATCAGCTCGCATCTCGAGACGACTTGGGGTACATGGAGCATTCCTCGAGTTGCTGTGCTGAATTTGGTGTTCCTCTAGACTTGGGACAGTGTTCTCGGGGCATCTCTGGAGTTGCCTGAAGAAAGTCGAGCCACCGGTCGTGTTGAATGGGGAACGGGGAATGGCTCTGGAGTCAATGCAGGGGAATCGGGCCTCATCTCGAGTTGATTTGGGGCACATGGAGCTGCTTTGCGTTGCTGGGGTGACCTCAGGGTCCGTCTAGACTGGTGACAGTGTTCTTGGGGACTGTCTCGAGATCCATTAAGCAAGTCGAAGCTCCTGACTTGTTTGAATGGGGTCACGGAATAGCTCTGCATGCACTGCAGGGGAATGGGGCCTCATCTCGCCTCTAGGGGGAAGTCTCATGGTTTTTCTCGAGTTGCGGCGGGGACCTGGGGTATGTTCTCGACTTACGGCGGGGATGGCCCTTCAAAACACGAGTTTCTTCAGTGACGTCAGGACTCCTGTCTAGTAACGAGGGACACCTCAGGAATCTCTTCGAGGCTTGGCAGGGCCAAAGGGACGCTTCTCGAGGTGAGGCAGGGCACCCAAGGACCCTTTCCAGTAGCCACAGTGATTTTGGGATTCCTATCAGTATTCAAGAGGAGTCAGGCATCGTCACCTTTTGAAGCAATGAACTCCGCGTGCCTCTCGAGGTGTCAGCGGGATGTGAGGCATTCCGTCAAAATGAGGCAGGGACCTAGGGCTTTCTCTAAGGTCTCCACAGGGGATTCAGACATCCCTTCATGTTGTGAGATGAAAGACGAGCCTGTATTCAAGCCACTGCAAGGAAATCCGGCCTCCTTTCAAGTTAGGGCTTCTCGCTGTATATTCCCCTTGAGGCAGCAAACTCGGGGTCCCTCCCACATACCTATTGCTGAGAGAAGCCTCCTCCTGAGGTGCTTCTGGGAAGTTGGCATAGGTCTTGAGCCTAAGCCAGGGAATCAGCTCGCATCTCGAGACGACTTGGGGTACACGGAGCATTCCTCGAGTTGCTGTGCTGAAGTTGGTGTTCCTCTAGACTTGGGACAGTGTTCTCGGGGCATCTCTGGAGTTGCCTGAAGGAAGTCGAGCCACCGGTCGTGTTGAATGGGGAACGGGGAATGGCTCTGGAGTCAATGCAGGGGAATCGGGCCTCATCTCGAGTTGATTTGGGGCACATGGAGCTGCTTTGCGTTGCTGGGGTGACCTCAGGGTCCGTCTAGACTGGTGACAGTGTTCTTGGGGACTGTCTCGAGATCCATTAAGCAAGTCGAAGCTCCTGACTTGTTTGAATGGGGTCACGGAATAGCTCTGCATGCACTGCAGGGGAATGGGGCCTCATCTCGCCTCTAGGGGGAAGTCTCATGGTTTTTCTCGAGTTGCAGCGGGGACCTGTTGTATGTTCTCGACTTACGGCGGGGATGGCCCTTCAAAACACGAGTTTCTTCAGTGACGTCAGGACTCCTGTCTCGTAACGAGGGACACCTCAGGAATCTCTTCGAGGCTTGGCAGGGCAAAAGGGACGCTTCTCGAGGTAAGGCAGGGCACCCAAGGACCCTTTCCAGTAGCCACAGGGATTTTGGGATTCCTATCAGTATTCAAGAGGAGTCAGGCATCGTCACCTTTTGAAGCAATGAACTCCGCGTGCCTCTCGAGGTGTCAGCGGGATGTGAGGCATTCCGTCAAAATGAGGCAGGGACCTAGGGCTTTCTCTAAGGTCTCCACAGGGTATTCAGACATCCCTTCATGTTGTGAGATGAAAGACGAGCCTGTATTCAAGCCACTGCAAGGAAATCCGGCCTCCTTTCAAGTTAGGGCTTCTCGCTGTATATTCCCCTTGAGGCAGCAAACTCGGGGTCCCTCCCACATACCTATTGCTGAGAGAAGCCTCCTCCTGAGGTGCTTCTGGGAAGTTGGCATACGTCTTGAGCCTAAGCCAGGGAATCAGCTCGCATCTCGAGACGACTTGGGGTACACGGAGCATTCCTCGAGTTGCTGTGCTGAAGTTGGTGTTCCTCTAGACTTGGGACAGTGTTCTCGGGGCATCTCTGGAGTTGCCTGAAGGAAGTCGAGCCACCGGTCGTGTTGAATGGGGAACGGGGAATGGCTCTGGAGTCAATGCAGGGGAATCGGGCCTCATCTCGAGTTGATTTGGGGCACATGGAGCTGCTTTGCGTTGCTGGGGTGACCTCAGGGTCCGTCTAGACTGGTGACAGTGTTCTTGGGGACTGTCTCGAGATCCATTAAGCAAGTCGAAGCTCCTGACTTGTTTGAATGGGGTCACGGAATAGCTCTGCATGCACTGCAGGGGAATGGGGCCTCATCTCGCCTCTAGGGGGAAGTCTCATGGTTTTTCTCGAGTTGCGGCGGGGACCTGGGGTATGTTCTCGACTTACGGCGGGGATGGCCCTTCAAAACACGAGTTTCTTCAGTGACGTCAGGACTCCTATCTCGTAACGAGGGACACCTCAGGAATCTCTTCGAGGCTTGGCAGGGCCAAAGGGACGCTTCTCGAGGTGAGGCAGGGCACCCAAGGACCCTTTCCAGTAGCCACAGGGATTTTGGGATTCCTATCAGTATTCAAGAGGAGTCAGGCATCGTCACCTTTTGAAGCAATGAACTCCGTGTGCCTCTCGAGGTATCAGCGGGATGTGAGGCATTCCGTCAAAATGAGGCAGGGACCTAGGGCTTTCTCTAAGGTCTCCACAGGGGATTCAGACATCCCTTCATGTTGTGAGATGAAAGACGAGCCTGTATTCAAGCCACTGCAAGGAAATCCGGCCTCCTTTCAAGTTAGGGCTTCTCGCTGTATATTCCCCTTGAGGCAGCAAACTCGGGGTCCCTCCCACATACCTATTGCTGAGAAAAGCCTCCTCCTGAGGTGCTTCTGGGAAGTTGGCATACGTCTTGAGCCTAAGCCAGGGAATCAGCTCGCATCTCGAGACGACTTGGGGTACACGGAGCATTCCTCGAGTTGCTGTGCTGAAGTTGGTGTTCCTCTAGACTTGGGACAGTGTTCTCGGGGCATCTCTGGAGTTGCCTGAAGGAAGTCGAGCCACCGGTCTTGTTGAATGGGGAACGGGGAATGGCTCTGGAGTCAATGCAGGGGAATCGGGCCTCATCTCGAGCTGATTTGGGGCACATGGAGCTGCTTTGCGTTGCCGGGGTGACCTCAGGGTCCGTCTAGACTGGTGACAGTGTTCTTGGGGACTGTCTCGAGATCCATTAAGCAAGTCGAAGCTCCTGACTTGTTTGAATGGGGTCACGGAATAGCTCTGCATGCACTGCAGGGGAATGGGGCCTCATCTCGCCTCTAGGGGGAAGTCTCATGGTTTTTCTCGAGTTGCAGCGGGGACCTGTTGTATGTTCTCGACTTACGGCGGGGATGGCCCTTCAAAACACGAGTTTCTTCAGTGACGTCAGGACTCCTGTCTCGTAACGAGGGACACCTCAGGAATCTCTTCGAGGCTTGGCAGGGCAAAAGGGACGCTTCTCGAGGTAAGGCAGGGCACCCAAGGACCCTTTCCAGTAGCCACAGGGATTTTGGGATTCCTATCAGTATTCAAGAGGAGTCAGGCATCGTCACCTTTTGAAGCAATGAACTCCGCGTGCCTCTCGAGGTGTCAGCGGGATGTGAGGCATTCCGTCAAAATGAGGCAGGGACCTAGGGCTTTCTCTAAGGTCTCCACAGGGTATTCAGACATCCCTTCATGTTGTGAGATGAAAGACGAGCCTGTATTCAAGCCACTGCAAGGAAATCCGGCCTCCTTTCAAGTTAGGGCTTCTCGCTGTATATTCCCCTTGAGGCAGCAAACTCGGGGTCCCTCCCACATACCTATTGCTGAGAGAAGCCTCCTCCTGAGGTGCTTCTGGGAAGTTGGCATACGTCTTGAGCCTAAGCCAGGGAATCAGCTCGCATCTCGAGACGACTTGGGGTACACGGAGCATTCCTCGAGTTGCTGTGCTGAAGTTGGTGTTCCTCTAGACTTGGGACAGTGTTCTCGGGGCATCTCTGGAGTTGCCTGAAGGAAGTCGAGCCACCGGTCGTGTTGAATGGGGAACGGGGAATGGCTCTGGAGTCAATGCAGGGGAATCGGGCCTCATCTCGAGTTGATTTGGGGCACATGGATCTGCTTTGCGTTGCTGGGGTGACCTCAGGGTCCGTCTAGACTGGTGACAGTGTTCTTGGGGACTGTCTCGAGATCCATTAAGCAAGTCGAAGCTCCTGACTTGTTTGAATGGGGTCACGGAATAGCTCTGCATGCACTTCAGGGGAATGGGGCCTCATCTCGCCTCTAGGGGGAAGTCTCATGGTTTTTCTCGAGTTGCGGCGGGGACCTGGGGTATGTTCTCGACTTACGGCGGGGATGGCCCTTCAAAACACGAGTTTCTTCAGTGACGTCAGGAATCCTGTCTAGTAACGAGGGACACCTCAGGAATCTCTTCGAGGCTTGGCAGGGCAAAAGGGACGCTTCTCGAGGTGAGGCAGGGCACCCAAGGACCCTTTCCAGTAGCCACAGGGATTTTGGGATTCCTATCAGTATTCAAGAGGAGTCAGGCATCGTCACCTTTTGAAGCAATGAACTCCGCGTGCCTCTCGAGGTGTCAGCGGGATGTGAGGCATTCCGTCAAAATGAGGCAGGGACCTAGGGCTTTCTCTAAGGTCTCCACAGGGGATTCAGACATCCCTTCATGTTGTGAGATGAAAGACGAGCCTGTATTCAAGCCACTGCAAGGAAATCCGGCCTCCTTTCAAGTTAGGGCTTCTCGCTGTATATTCCCCTTGAGGCAGCAAACTCGGGGTCCCTCCCACATACCTATTGCTGAGAGAAGCCTCCTCTTGAGGTGCTTCTGGGAAGTTGGCATACGTCTTGAGCCTAAGCCAGGGAATCCGCTCGCATCTCGAGACGACTTGGGGTACACGGAGCATTCCTCGAGTTGCTGTGCTGAAGTTGGTGTTCCTCTAGACTTGGGACAGTGTTCTCGGGGCATCTCTGGAGTTGCCTGAAGGAAGTCGAGCCACCGGTCGTGTTGCATGGGGAACGGGGAATGGCTCTGGAGTCAATGCAGGGGAATCGGGCCTCATCTCGAGTTGATTTGGGGCACATGGAGCTGCTTTGCGTTGCTGGGGTGACCTCAGGGTCCGTCTAGACTGGTGACAGTGTTCTTGGGGACTGTCTCGAGATCCATTAAGCAAGTCGAAGCTCCTGACTTGTTTGAATGGGGTCACGGAATAGCTCTGCATGCACTGCAGGGGAATGGGGCCTCATCTCGCCTCTAGGGGGAAGTCTCATGGTTTTTCTCGAGTTGCGCCGGGGACCTGGGGTATGTTCTCGACTTACGGCGGGGATGGCCCTTCAAAACACGAGTTTCTTCAGTGACGTCAGGACTCCTGTCTAGTAACGAGGGACACCTCAGGAATCTCTTCGAGGCTTGGCAGGGCCAAAGGGACGCTTCTCGAGGTGAGGCAGGGCACCCAAGGACCCTTTCCAGTAGCCACAGGGATTTTGGGATTCCTATCAGTATTCAAGAGGAGTCAGGCATCGTCACCTTTTGAAGCAATGAACTCCGCGTGCCTCTCGAGGTGTCAGCGGGATGTGAGGCATTCCGTCAAAATGAGGCAGGGACCTAGGGCTTTCTCTAAGGTCTCCACAGGGGATTCAGACATCCCTTCATGTTGTGAGATGAAAGACGAGCCTGTATTCAAGCCACTGCAAGGAAATCCGGCCTCCTTTCAAGTTAGGGCTTCTCGCTGTATATTCCCCTTGAGGCAGCAAACTCGGGGTCCCTCCCACATACCTATTGCTGAGAGAAGCCTCCTCCTGAGGTGCTTCTGGGAAGTTGGCATACGTCTTGAGCCTAAGCCAGGGAATCAGCTCGCATCTCGAGACGACTTGGGGTACACGGAGCATTCCTCGAGTTGCTGTGCTGAAGTTGGTGTTCCTCTAGACTTGGGACAGTGTTCTCGGGGCATCTCTGGAGTTGCCTGAAGGAAGTCGAGCCACCGGTCGTGTTGAATGGGGAACGGGGAATGGCTCTGGAGTCAATGCAGGGGAATCGGGCCTCATCTCGAGCTGATTTGGGGCACATGGAGCTGCTTTGCGTTGCCGGGGTGACCTCAGGGTCCGTCTAGACTGGTGACAGTGTTCTTGGGGACTGTCTCGAGATCCATTAAGCAAGTCGAAGCTCCTGACTTGTTTGAATGGGGTCACGGAATAGCTCTGCATGCACTGCAGGGGAATGGGGCCTCATCTCGCCTCTAGGGGGAAGTCTCATGGTTTTTCTCGAGTTGCGGCGGGGACCTGGGGTATGTTCTCGACTTACGGCGGGGATGGCCCTTCAAAACACGAGTTTCTTCAGTGACGTCAGGAATCCTGTCTAGTAACGAGGGACACCTCAGGAATCTCTTCGAGGCTTGGCAGGGCAAAAGGGACGCTTCTCGAGGTGAGGCAGGGCACCCAAGGACCCTTTCCAGTAGCCACAGGGATTTTGGGATTCCTATCAGTATTCAAGAGGAGTCAGGCATCGTCACCTTTTGAAGCAGTGAACTCCGCGTGCCTCTCGAGGTGTCAGCGGGATGTGAGGGATTCCGTCAAAATGAGGCAGGGACCTAGCGCTTTCTCTAAGGTCTCCACAGGGGATTCAGACATCCCTTCATGTTGTGAGATGAAAGACGAGCCTGTATTCAAGCCACTGCAAGGAAATCCGGCCTCCTTTCAAGTTAGGGCTTCTCGCTGTATATTCCCCTTGAGGCAGCAAACTCGGGGTCCCTCCCACATACCTATTGCTGAGAGAAGCCTTCTCCTGAGGTGCTTCTGGGAAGTTGGCATACGTCTTGAGCCTAAGCCAGGGAATCAGCTCGCATCTCGAGATGACTTGGGGTACACGGAGCATTCCTCGAGTTGCTGTGCTGAAGTTGGTGTTCCTCTAGACTTGGGACAGTGTTCTCGGGGCATCTCTGGAGTTGCCTGAAGGAAGTCGAGCCACCGGTCGTGTTGAATGGGGAACGGGGAATGGCTCTGGAGTCAATGCAGGGGAATCGGGCCTCATCTCGAGCTGATTTGGCGCACATGGAGCTCCTTTGCGCTGCCGGGGTGACCTCAGGGTCCGTCTAGACTGGTGACAGTGTTCTTGGGGACTGTCTCGAGATCCATTAAGCAAGTCGAAGCTCCTGACTTGTTTGAATGGGGTCACGGAATAGCTCTGCATGCACTGCAGGGGAATGGGGCCTCATCTCGCCTCTAGGGGGAAGTCTCATGGTTTTTCTCGAGTTGCGGCGGGGACCTGGGGTATGTTCTCGACTTACAGCGGGGATGGCCCTTCAAAACACGAGTTTCTTCAGTGACGTCAGGACTCCTGTCTAGTAACGAGGGACACCTCAGGAATCTCTTCGAGGCTTGGCAGGGCCAAAGGGACGCTTCTCGAGGTGAGGCAGGGCACCCAAGGACCCTTTCCAGTAGCCACAGGGTTTTTGGGATTCCTATCAGTATTCAAGAGGAGTCAGGCATCGTCACCTTTTGAAGCAATGAACTCCGCGTGCCTCTCGAGGTGTCAGCGGGATGTGAGGCATTCCGTCAAAATGAGGCAGGGACCTAGGGCTTTCTCTAAGGTCTCCACAGGGGATTCAGACATCCCTTCATGTTGTGAGATGAAAGACGAGCCTGTATTCAAGCCACTGCAAGGAAATCCGGCCTCCTTTCAAGTTAGGGCTTCTCGCTGTATATTCCCCTTGAGGCAGCAAACTCGGGGTCCCTCCCACATACCTATTGCTGAGAGAAGCCTCCTCCTGAGGTGCTTCTGGGAAGTTGGCATACGTCTTGAGCCTAAGCCAGGGAATCAGCTCGCATCTCGAGACGACTTGGGGTACACGGAGCATTCCTCGAGTTGCTGTGCTGAAGTTGGTGTTCCTCTAGACTTGGGACAGTGTTCTCGGGGCATCTCTGGAGATGCCTGAAGGAAGTCGAGCCACCGGTCGTGTTGAATGGGGAACGGGGAATGGCTCTGGAGTCAATGCAGGGGAATCGGGCCTCATCTCGAGCTGATTTGGCGCACATGGAGCTCCTTTGCGCTGCCGGGGTGACCTCAGGGTCCGTCTAGACTGGTGACAGTGTTCTTGGGGACTGTCTCGAGATCCATTAAGCAAGTCGAAGCTCCTGACTTGTTTGAATGGGGTCACGGAATAGCTCTGCATGCACTGCAGGGGAATGGGGCCTCATCTCGCCTCTAGGGGGAAGTCTCATGGTTTTTCTCGAGTTGCGGCGGGGACCTGGGGTATGTTCTCGACTTACAGCGGGGATGGCCCTTCAAAACACGAGTTTCTTCAGTGACGTCAGGACTCCTGTCTAGTAACGAGGGACACCTCAGGAATCTCTTCGAGGCTTGGCAGGGCCAAAGGGACGCTTCTCGAGGTGAGGCAGGGCACCCAAGGACCCTTTCCAGTAGCCACAGGGTTTTTGGGATTCCTATCAGTATTCAAGAGGAGTCAGGCATCGTCACCTTTTGAAGCAATGAACTCCGCGTGCCTCTCGAGGTGTCAGCGGGATGTGAGGCATTCCGTCAAAATGAGGCAGGGACCTAGGGCTTTCTCTAAGGTCTCCACAGGGGATTCAGACATCCCTTCATGTTGTGAGATGAAAGACGAGCCTGTATTCAAGCCACTGCAAGGAAATCCGGCCTCCTTTCAAGTTAGGGCTTCTCGCTGTATATTCCCCTTGAGGCAGCAAACTCGGGGTCCCTCCCACATACCTATTGCTGAGAGAAGCCTCCTCCTGAGGTGCTTCTGGGAAGTTGGCATACGTCTTGAGCCTAAGCCAGGGAATCAGCTCGCATCTCGAGATGACTTGGGGTACACGGAGCATTCCTCGAGTTGCTGTGCTGAAGTTGGTGTTCCTCTAGACTTGGGACAGTGTTCTCGGGGCATCTCTGGAGTTGCCTGAAGGAAGTCGAGCCACCGGTCGTGTTGAATGGGGAACGGGGAATGGCTCTGGAGTCAATGCAGGGGAATCGGGCCTCATCTCGAGCTGATTTGGCGCACATGGAGCTCCTTTGCGCTGCCGGGGTGACCTCAGGGTCCGTCTAGACTGGTGACAGTGTTCTTGGGGACTGTCTCGAGATCCATTAAGCAAGTCGAAGCTCCTGACTTGTTTGAATGGGGTCACGGAATAGCTCTGCATGCACTGCAGGGGAATGGGGCCTCATCTCGCCTCTAGGGGGAAGTCTCATGGTTTTTCTCGAGTTGCGGCGGGGACCTGGGGTATGTTCTCGTCTTACAGCGGGGATGGCCCTTCAAAACACGAGTTTCTTCAGTGACGTCAGGACTCCTGTCTAGTAACGAGGGACACCTCAGGAATCTCTTCGAGGCTTGGCAGGGCCAAAGGGACGCTTCTCGAGGTGAGGCAGGGCACCCAAGGACCCTTTCCAGTAGCCACAGGGATTTTGGGATTCCTATCAGTATTCAAGAGGAGTCAGGCATCGTCACCTTTTGAAGCAATGAACTCCGCGTGCCTCTCGAGGTGTCAGCGGGATGTGAGGCATTCCGTCAAAATGAGGCAGGGACCTAGGGCTTTCTCTAAGGTCTCCACAGGGGATTCAGACATCCCTTCATGTTGTGAGATGAAAGACGAGCCTGTATTCAAGCCACTGCAAGGAAATCCGGCCTCCTTTCAAGTTAGGGCTTCTCGCTGTATATTCCCCTTGAGGCAGCAAACTCGGGGTCCCTCCCACATACCTATTGCTGAGAGAAGCCTCCTCCTGAGGTGCTTCTGGGAAGTTGGCATACGTCTTGAGCCTAAGCCAGGGAATCAGCTCGCATCTCGAGACGACTTGGGGTACACGGAGCATTCCTCGAGTTGCTGTGCTGAAGTTGGTGTTCCTCTAGACTTGGGACAGTGTTCTCGGGGCATCTCTGGAGTTGCCTGAAGGAAGTCGAGCCACCGGTCGTGTTGAATGGGGAACGGGGAATGGCTCTGGAGTCAATGCAGGGGAATCGGGCCTCATCTCGAGTTGATTTGGGGCACATGGAGCTGCTTTGCGTTGCTGGGGTGACCTCAGGGTCCGTCTAGACTGGTGACAGTGTTCTTGGGGACTGTCTCGAGATCCATTAAGCAAGTCGAAGCTCCTGACTTGTTTGAATGGGGTCACGGAATAGCTCTGCATGCACTGCAGGGGAATGGGGCCTCATCTCGCCTCTAGGGGGAAGTCTCATGGTTTTTCTCGAGTTGCGGCGGGGACCTGGGGTATGTTCTCGACTTACGGCGGGGATGGCCCTTCAAAACACGAGTTTCTTCAGTGACGTCAGGACTCCTGTCTAGTAACGAGGGACACCTCAGGAATCTCTTCGAGGCTTGGCAGGGCAAAAGGGACGCTTCTCGAGGTGAGGCAGGGCACCCAAGGACCCTTTCCAGTAGCCACAGGGATTTTGGGATTCCTATCAGTATTCAAGAGGAGTCAGGCATCGTCACCTTTTGAAGCAATGAACTCCGCGTGCCTCTCGAGGTGTCAGCGGGATGTGAGGCATTCCGTCAAAATGAGGCAGGGACCTAGGGCTTTCTCTAAGGTCTCCACAGGGGATTCAGACATCCCTTCATGTTGTGAGATGAAAGACGAGCCTGTATTCAAGACACTGCAAGGAAATCCGGCCTCCTTTCAAGTTAGGGCTTCTCGCTGTATATTCCCCTTGAGGCAGCAAACTCGGGGTCCCTCCCACATACCTATGGCTGAGAGAAGCCTCCTCCTGAGGTGCTTCTGGGAAGTTGGCATACGTCTTGAGCCTAAGCCAGGGAATCAGCTCGCATCTCGAGACGACTTGGGGTACACGGAGCATTCCTCGAGTTGCTGTGCTGAAGTTGGTGTTCCTCTAGACTTGGGACAGTGTTCTCGGGGCATCTCTGGAGTTGCCTGAAGGAAGTCGAGCCACCGGTCGTGTTGAATGGGGAACGGGGAATGGCTCTGGAGTCAATGCAGGGGAATCGGGCCTCATCTCGAGTTGATTTGGGGCACATGGAGCTGCTTTGCGTTGCCGGGGTGACCTCAGGGTCCGTCTAGACTGGTGACAGTGTTCTTGGGGACTGTCTCGAGATCCATTAAGCAAGTCGAAGCTCCTGACTTGTTTGAATGGGGTCACGGAATAGCTCTGCATGCACTGCAGGGGAATGGGGCCTCATCTCGCCTCTAGGGGGAAGTCTCATGGTTTTTCTCGAGTTGCGGTGGGGACCTGGGGTATGTTCTCGACTTACGGCGGGGATGGCCCTTCAAAACACGAGTTTCTTCAGTGACGTCAGGACTCCTGTCTAGTAACGAGGGACACCTCAGGAATCTCTTCGAGGCTTGGCAGGGCCAAAGGGACGCTTCTCGAGGTGAGGCAGGGCACCCAAGGACCCTTTCAGGTAGCCACAGGGATTTTGGGATTCCTATCAGTATTCAAGAGGAGTCAGGCATCGTCACCTTTTGAAGCAATGAACTCCGCGTGCCTCTCGAGGTGTCAGCGGGATGTGAGGCATTCCGTCAAAATGAGGCAGGGACCTAGGGCTTTCTCTAAGGTCTCCACAAGGGATTCAGACATCCCTTCATGTTGTGAGATGAAAGACGAGCCTGTATTCAAGCCACTGCAAGGAAATCCGGCCTCCTTTCAAGTTAGGGCTTCTCGCTGTATATTCCCCTTGAGGCAGCAAACTTGGGGTCCCTCCCACATACCTATTGCTGAGAGAAGCCTCCTCCTGAGGTGCTTCTGGGAAGTTGGCATACGTCTTGAGCCTAAGCCAGGGAATCAGCTCGCATCTCGAGACGACTTGGGGTACACGGAGCATTCCTCGAGTTGCTGTGCTGAAGTTGGTGTACCTCTAGACTTGGGACAGTGTTCTCGGGGCATCTCTGGAGTTGCCTGAAGGAAGTCGAGCCACCGGTCGTGTTGAATGGGGAACGGGGAATGGCTCTGGAGTCAATGCAGGGGAATCGGGCCTCATCTCGAGTTGATTTGGGGCACATGGAGCTGCTTTGCGTTGCTGGGGTGACCTCAGGGACCGTCTAGACTGGTGACAGTGTTCTTGGGGACTGTCTCGAGATCCATTAAGCAAGTCGAAGCTCCTGACTTGTTTGAATGGGGTCACGGAATAGCTCTGCATGCACTGCAGGGGAATGGGGCCTCATCTCGCCTCTAGGGGGAAGTCTCATGGTTTTTCTCGAGTTGCGGCGGGGACCTGGGGTATGTTCTCGACTTACGGCGGGGATGGCCCTTCAAAACACGAGTTTCTTCAGTGACGTCAGGACTCCTGTCTAGTAACGAGGGACACCTCAGGAATCTCTTCGAGGCTTGGCAGGGCCAAAGGGACGCTTCTCGAGGTGAGGCAGGGCACCCAAGGACCCTTTCCAGTAGCCACAGGGATTTTGGGATTCCTATCAGTATTCAAGAGGAGTCAGGCATCGTCACCTTTTGAAGCAATGAACTCCGCGTGCCTCTCGAGGTGTCAGCGGGATGTGAGGCATTCCGTCAAAATGAGGCAGGGACCTAGGGCTTTCTCTAAGGTCTCCACAGGGGATTCAGACATCCCTTCATGTTGTGAGATGAAAGACGAGCCTGTATTCAAGCCACTGCAAGGAAATCCGGCCTCCTTTCAAGTTAGGGCTTCTCGCTGTATATTCCCCTTGAGGCAGCAAACTCGGGGTCCCTCCCACATACCTATTGCTGAGAGAAGCCTCCTCCTGAGGTGCTTCTGGGAAGTTGGCATACGTCTTGAGCCTAAGCCAGGGAATCAGCTTGCATCTCGAGACGACTTGGGGTACACGGAGCATTCCTCGAGTTGCTGTGCTGAAGTTGGTGTTCCTCTAGACTTGGGACAGTGTTCTCGGGGCATCTCTGGAGTTGCCTGAAGGAAGTCGAGCCACCGGTCGTGTTGAATGGGGAACGGGGAATGGCTCTGGAGTCAATGCAGGGGAATCGGGCCTCATCTCGAGTTAATTTGGGGCACATGGAGCTGCTTTGCGTTGCTGGGGTGACCTCAGGGTCCGTCTAGACTGGTGACAGTGTTCTTGGGGACTGTCTCGAGATCCATTAAGCAAGTCGAAGCTCCTGACTTGTTTGAATGGGGTCACGGAATAGCTCTGCATGCACTGCAGGGGAATGGGGCCTCATCTCGCCTCTAGGGGGAAGTCTCATGGTTTTTCTCGAGTTGCGGCGGGGACCTGGGGTATGTTCTCGACTTACGGCGGGGATGGCCCTTCAAAACACGAGTTTCTTCAGTGACGTCAGGACTCCTGTCTAGTAACGAGGGACACCTCAGGAATCTCTTCGAGGCTTGGCAGGGCAAAAGGGACGCTTCTCGAGGTGAGGCAGGGCACCCAAGAACCCTTTCCAGTAGCCACAGGGATTTTGGGATTCCTATCAGTATTCAAGAGGAGTCAGGCATCGTCACCTTTTGAAGCAATGAACTCCGCGTGCCTCTCGAGGTGTCAGCGGGATGTGAGGCATTCCGTCAAAATGAGGCAGGGACCTAGGGCTTTCTCTAAGGTCTCCACAGGGGATTCAGACATCCCTTCATGTTGTGAGATGAAAGACGAGCCTGTATTCAAGCCACTGCAAGGAAATCCGGCCTCCTTTCAAGTTAGGGCTTCTCGCTGTATATTCCCCTTGAGGCAGCAAACTCGGGGTCCCTCCCACATACCTATTGCTGAGAGAAGCCTCCTCCTGAGGTGCTTCTGGGAAGTTGGCATACGTCTTGAGCCTAAGCCAGGGAATCAGCTCGCATCTCGAGACGACTTGGGGTACACGGAGCATTCCTCGAGTTGCTGTGCTGAAGTTGGTGTTCCTCTAGACTTGGGACAGTGTTCTCGGGGCATCTCTGGAGTTGCCTGAAGGAAGTCGAGCCACCGGTCGTGTTGAATGGGGAACGGGGAATGGCTCTGGAGTCAATGCAGGGGAATCGGGCCTCATCTCGAGTTGATTTGGGGCACATGGAGCTGCTTTGCGTTGCTGGGGTGACCTCAGGGTCCATCTAGACTGGTGACAGTGTTCTTGGGGACTGTCTCGAGATCCATTAAGCAAGTCGAAGCTCCTGACTTGTTTGAATGGGGTCACGGAATAGCTCTGCATGCACTGCAGGGGAATGGGGCCTCATCTCGCCTCTAGGGGGAAGTCTCATGGTTTTTCTCGAGTTGCGGCGGGGACCTGGGGTATGTTCTCGACTTACGGCGGGGATGGCCCTTCAAAACACGAGTTTCTTCAGTGACGTCAGGACTCCTGTCTAGTAACAAGGGACACCTCAGGAATCTCTTCGAGGCTTGGCAGGGCCAAAGGGACGCTTCTCGAGGTGAGGCAGGGCACCCAAGGACCCTTTCCAGTAGCCACAGGGATTTTGGGATTCCTATCAGTATTCAAGAGGAGTCAGGCATCGTCACCTTTTGAAGCAATGAACTTCGCGTGCCTCTCGAGGTGTCAGCGGGATGTGAGGCATTCCGTCAAAATGAGGCAGGGACCTAGGGCTTTCTCTAAGGTCTCCACAGGGGATTCAGACATCCCTTCATGTTGTGAGATGAAAGACGAGCCTGTATTCAAGCCACTGCAAGGAAATCCGGCCTCCTTTCAAGTTAGGGCTTCTCGCTGTATATTCCCCTTGAGGCAGCAAACTCGGGGTCCCTCCCACATACCTATTGCTGAGAGAAGCCTCCTCCTGAGGTGCTTCTGGGAAGTTGGCATACGTCTTGAGCCTAAGCCAGGGAATCAGCTCGCATCTCGAGACGACTTGGGGTACACGGAGCATTCCTCGAGTTGCTGTGCTGAAGTTGGTGTTCCTCTAGACTTGGGACAGTGTTCTCGGGGCATCTCTGGAGTTGCCTGAAGGAAGTCGAGCCACCGGTCGTGTTGAATGGGGAACGGGGAATGGCTCTGGAGTCAATGCAGGGGAATCGGGCCTCATCTCGAGTTGATTTGGGGCACATGGAGCTGCTTTGCGTTGCTGGGGTGACCTCAGGGTCCGTCTAGACTGGTGACAGTGTTCTTGGGGACTGTCTCGAGATCCATTAAGCAAGTCGAAGCTCCTGACTTGTTTGAATGGGGTCACGGAATAGCTCTGCATGCACTGCAGGGGAATGGGGCCTCATCTCGCCTCTAGGGGGAAGTCTCATGGTTTTTCTCGAGTTGCGGCGGGGACCTGGGGTATGTTCTCGACTTACGGCGGGGATGGCCCTTCAAAACACGAGTTTCTTCAGTGACGTCAGGACTCCTATCTCGTAACGAGGGACACCTCAGGAATCTCTTCGAGGCTTGGCAGGGCCAAAGGGACGCTTCTCGAGGTGAGGCAGGGCACCCAAGGACCCTTTCCAGTAGCCACAGGGATTTTGGGATTCCTATCAGTATTCAAGAGGAGTCAGGCATCGTCACCTTTTGAAGGAATGAACTCCGTGTGCCTCTCGAGGTATCAGCGGGATGTGAGGCATTCCGTCAAAATGAGGCAGGGACCTAGGGCTTTCTCTAAGGTCTCCACAGGGGATTCAGACATCCCTTCATGTTGTGAGATGAAAGACGAGCCTGTATTCAAGCCACTGCAAGGAAATCCGGCCTCCTTTCAAGTTAGGGCTTCTCGCTGTATATTCCCCTTGAGGCAGCAAACTCGGGGTCCCTCCCACATACCTATTGCTGAGAAAAGCCTCCTCCTGAGGTGCTTCTGGGAAGTTGGCATACGTCTTGAGCCTAAGCCAGGGAATCAGCTCGCATCTCGAGACGACTTGGGGTACACGGAGCATTCCTCGAGTTGCTGTGCTGAAGTTGGTGTTCCTCTAGACTTGGGACAGTGTTCTCGGGGCATCTCTGGAGTTGCCTGAAGGAAGTCGAGCCACCGGTCGTGTTGAATGGGGAACGGGGAATGGCTCTGGAGTCAATGCAGGGGAATCGGGCCTCATCTCGAGTTGATTTGGGGCACATGGATCTGCTTTGCGTTGCTGGGGTGACCTCAGGGTCCGTCTAGACTGGTGACAGTGTTCTTGGGGACTGTCTCGAGATCCATTAAGCAAGTCGAAGCTCCTGACTTGTTTGAATGGGGTCACGGAATAGCTCTGCATGCACTTCAGGGGAATGGGGCCTCATCTCGCCTCTAGGGGGAAGTCTCATTGTTTTTCTCGAGTTGCGGCGGGGACCTGGGGTATGTTCTCGACTTACGGCGGGGATGGCCCTTCAAAACACGAGTTTCTTCAGTGACGTCAGGAATCCTGTCTAGTAACGAGGGACACCTCAGGAATCTCTTCGAGGCTTGGCAGGGCAAAAGGGACGCTTCTCGAGGTGAGGCAGGGCACCCAAGGACCCTTTCCAGTAGCCACAGGGATTTTGGGATTCCTATCAGTATTCAAGAGGAGTCAGGCATCGTCACCTTTTGAAGCAATGAACTCCGCGTGCCTCTCGAGGTGTCAGCGGGATGTGAGGCATTCCGTCAAAATGAGGCAGGGACCTAGGGCTTTCTCTAAGGTCTCCACAGGGGATTCAGACATCCCTTCATGTTGTGAGATGAAAGACGAGCCTGTATTCAAGCCACTGCAAGGAAATCCGGCCTCCTTTCAAGTTAGGGCTTCTCGCTGTATATTCCCCTTGAGGCAGCAAACTCGGGGTCCCTCCCACATACCTATTGCTGAGAGAAGCCTCCTCCTGAGGTGCTTCTGGGAAGTTGGCATACGTCTTGAGCCTAAGCCAGGGAATCAGCTCGCATCTCGAGACGACTTGGGGTACACGGAGCATTCCTCGAGTTGCTGTGCTGAAGTTGGTGTTCCTCTAGACTTGGGACAGTGTTCTCGGGGCATCTCTGGAGTTGCCTGAAGGAAGTCGAGCCACCGGTCGTGTTGCATGGGGAACGGGGAATGGCTCTGGAGTCAATGCAGGGGAATCGGGCCTCATCTCGAGTTGATTTGGGGCACATGGAGCTGCTTTGCGTTGCTGGGGTGACCTCAGGGTCCGTCTAGACTGGTGACAGTGTTCTTGGGGACTGTCTCGAGATCCATTAAGCAAGTCGAAGCTCCTGACTTGTTTGAATGGGGTCACGGAATAGCTCTGCATGCACTGCAGGGGAATGGGGCCTCATCTCGCCTCTAGGGGGAAGTCTCATGGTTTTTCTCGAGTTGCGGCGGGGACCTGGGGTATGTTCTCGACTTACGGCGGGGATGGCCCTTCAAAACACGAGTTTCTTCAGTGACGTCAGGACTCCTGTCTAGTAACGAGGGACACCTCAGGAATCTCTTCGAGGCTTGGCAGGGCCAAAGGGACGCTTCTCGAGGTGAGGCAGGGCAGCCAAGGACCCTTTCCAGTAGCCACAGGGATTTTGGGATTCCTATCAGTATTCAAGAGGAGTCAGGCATCGTCACCTTTTGAAGCAATGAACTCCGCGTGCCTCTCGAGGTGTCAGCGGGATGTGAGGCATTCCGTCAAAATGAGGCAGGGACCTAGGGCTTTCTCTAAGGTCTCCACAGGGGATTCAGACATCCCTTCATGTTGTGAGATGAAAGACGAGCCTGTATTCAAGCCACTGCAAGGAAATCCGGCCTCCTTTCAAGTTAGGGCTTCTCGCTGTATATTCCCCTTGAGGCAGCAAACTCGGGGTCCCTCCCACATACCTATTGCTGAGAGAAGCCTCCTCCTGAGGTGCTTCTGGGAAGTTGGCATACGTCTTGAGCCTAAGCCAGGGAATCAGCTCGCATCTCGAGACGACTTGGGGTACACGGAGCATTCCTCGAGTTGCTGTGCTGAAGTTGGTGTTCCTCTAGACTTGGGACAGTGTTCTCGGGGCATCTCTGGAGTTGCCTGAAGGAAGTCGAGCCACCGGTCGTGTTGAATGGGGAACGGGGAATGGCTCTGGAGTCAATGCAGGGGAATCGGGCCTCATCTCGAGCTGATTTGGGGCACATGGAGCTGCTTTGCGTTGCCGGGGTGACCTCAGGGTCCGTCTAGACTGGTGACAGTGTTCTTGGGGACTGTCTCGAGATCCATTAAGCAAGTCGAAGCTCCTGACTTGTTTGAATGGGGTCACGGAATAGCTCTGCATGCACTGCAGGGGAATGGGGCCTCATCTCGCCTCTAGGGGGAAGTCTCATGGTTTTTCTCGAGTTGCGGCGGGGACCTGGGGTATGTTCTCGACTTACAGCGGGGATGGCCCTTCAAAACACGAGTTTCTTCAGTGACGTCAGGACTCCTGTCTAGTAACGAGGGACACCTCAGGAATCTCTTCGAGGCTTGGCAGGGCCAAAGGGACGCTTCTCGAGGTGAGGCAGGGCACCCAAGGACCCTTTCCAGTAGCCACAGGGTTTTTGGGATTCCTATCAGTATTCAAGAGGAGTCAGGCATCGTCACCTTTTGAAGCAATGAACTCCGCGTGCCTCTCGAGGTGTCAGCGGGATGTGAGGCATTCCGTCAAAATGAGGCAGGGACCTAGGGCTTTCTCTAAGGTCTCCACAGGGGATTCAGACATCCCTTCATGTTGTGAGATGAAAGACGAGCCTGTATTCAAGCCACTGCAAGGAAATCCGGCCTCCTTTCAAGTTAGGGCTTCTCGCTGTATATTCCCCTTGAGGCAGCAAACTCGGGGTCCCTCCCACATACCTATTGCTGAGAGAAGCCTCCTCCTGAGGTGCTTCTGGGAAGTTGGCATACGTCTTGAGCCTAAGCCAGGGAATCAGCTCGCATCTCGAGACGACTTGGGGTACACGGAGCATTCCTCGAGTTGCTGTGCTGAAGTTGGTGTACCTCTAGACTTGGGACAGTGTTCTCGGGGCATCTCTGGAGTTGCCTGAAGGAAGTCGAGCCACCGGTCGTGTTGAATGGGGAACGGGGAATGGCTCTGGAGTCAATGCAGGGGAATCGGGCCTCATCTCGAGTTGATTTGGGGCACATGGAGCTGCTTTGCGTTGCTGGGGTGACCTCAGGGTCCGTCTAGACTGGTGACAGTGTTCTTGGGGACTGTCTCGAGATCCATTAAGCAAGTCGAAGCTCCTGACTTGTTTGAATGGGGTCACGGAATAGCTCTGCATGCACTGCAGGGGAATGGGGCCTCATCTCGCCTCTAGGGGGAAGTCTCATGGTTTTTCTCGAGTTGCGGCGGGGACCTGGGGTATGTTCTCGACTTACGGCGGGGATGGCCCTTCAAAACACGAGTTTCTTCAGTGACGTCAGGACTCCTGTCTAGTAACGAGGGACACCTCAGGAATCTCTTCGAGGCTTGGCAGGGCCAAAGGGACGCTTCTCGAGGTGAGGCAGGGCACCCAAGGAGCCTTTCCAGTAGCCACAGGGTTTTTGGGATTCCTATCAGTATTCAAGAGGAGTCAGGCATCGTCACCTTTTGAAGCAATGAACTCCGCGTGCCTCTCGAGGTGTCAGCGGGATGTGAGGCATTCCGTCAAAATGAGGCAGGGACCTAGGGCTTTCTCTAAGGTCTCCACAGGGGATTCAGACATCCCTTCATGTTGTGAGATGAAAGACGAGCCTGTATTCAAGCCACTGCAAGGAAATCCGGCCTCCTTTCAAGTTAGGGCTTCTCGCTGTATATTCCCCTTGAGGCAGCAAACTCGGGGTCCCTCCCACATACCTATTGCTGAAAGAAGCCTCCTCCTGAGGTGCTTCTGGGAAGTTGGCATACGTCTTGAGCCTAAGCCAGGGAATCAGCTCGCATCTCGAGACGACTTGGGGTACACGGAGCATTCCTCGAGTTGCTGTGCTGAAGTTGGTGTACCTCTAGACTTGGGACAGTGTTCTCGGGGCATCTCTGGAGTTGCCTGAAGGAAGTCGAGCCACCGGTCGTGTTGAATGGGGAACGGGGAATGGCTCTGGAGTCAATGCAGGGGAATCGGGCCTCATCTCGAGTTGATTTGGGGCACATGGAGCTGCTTTGCGTTGCTGGGGTGACCTCAGGGTCCGTCTAGACTGGTGACAGTGTTCTTGGGGACTGTCTCGAGATCCATTAAGCAAGTCGAAGCTCCTGACTTGTTTGAATGGGGTCACGGAATAGCTCTGCATGCACTGCAGGGGAATGGGGCCTCATCTCGCCTCTAGGGGGAAGTCTCATGGTTTTTCTCGAGTTGCGGCGGGGACCTGGGGTATGTTCTCGACTTACGGCGGGGATGGCCCTTCAAAACACGAGTTTCTTCAGTGACGTCAGGACTCCTGTCTAGTAACGAGGGACACCTCAGGAATCTCTTCGAGGCTTGGCAGGGCAAAAGGGACGCTTCTCGAGGTGAGGCAGGGCACCCAAGGACCCTTTCCAGTAGCCACAGGGATTTTGGGATTCCTATCAGTATTCAAGAGGAGTCAGGCATCGTCACCTTTTGAAGCAATGAACTCCGCGTGCCTCTCGAGGTGTCAGCGGGATGTGAGGCATTCCGTCAAAATGAGGCAGGGACCTAGGGCTTTCTCTAAGGTCTCCACAGGGGATTCAGACATCCCTTCATGTTGTGAGATGAAAGACGAGCCTGTATTCAAGCCACTGCAAGGAAATCCGGCCTCCTTTCAAGTTAGGGCTTCTCGCTGTATATTCCCCTTGAGGCAGCAAACTCGGGGTCCCTCCCACATACCTATTGCTGAGAGAAGCCTCCTCCTGAGGTGCTTCTGGGAAGTTGGCATACGTCTTGAGCCTAAGCCAGGGAATCAGCTCGCATCTCGAGACGACTTGGGGTACACGGAGCATTCCTCGAGTTGCTGTGCTGAAGTTGGTGTTCCTCTAGACTTGGGACAGTGTTCTCGGGGCATCTCTGGAGTTGCCTGAAGGAAGTCGAGCCACCGGTCGTGTTGAATGGGGAACGGGGAATGGCTCTGGAGTCAATGCAGGGGAATCGGGCCTCATCTCGAGTTAATTTGGGGCACATGGAGCTGCTTTGCGTTGCTGGGGTGACCTCAGGGTCCGTCTAGACTGGTGACAGTGTTCTTGGGGACTGTCTCGAGATCCATTAAGCAAGTCGAAGCTCCTGACTTGTTTGAATGGGGTCACGGAATAGCTCTGCATGCACTGCAGGGGAATGGGGCCTCATCTCGCCTCTAGGGGGAAGTCTCATGGTTTTTCTCGAGTTGCGGCGGGGACCTGGGGTATGTTCTCGACTTACGGCGGGGATGGCCCTTCAAAACACGAGTTTCTTCAGTGACGTCAGGAATCCTGTCTAGTAACGAGGGACACCTCAGGAATCTCTTCGAGGCTTGGCAGGGCAAAAGGGACGCTTCTCGAGGTGAGGCAGGGCACCCAAGGACCCTTTCCAGTAGCCACAGGGATTTTGGGATTCCTATCAGTATTCAAGAGGAGTCAGGCATCGTCACCTTTTGAAGCAGTGAACTCCGCGTGCCTCTCGAGGTGTCAGCGGGATGTGAGGGATTCCGTCAAAATGAGGCAGGGACCTAGCGCTTTCTCTAAGGTCTCCACAGGGGATTCAGACATCCCTTCATGTTGTGAGATGAAAGACGAGCCTGTATTCAAGCCACTGCAAGGAAATCCGGCCTCCTTTCAAGTTAGGGCTTCTCGCTGTATATTCCCCTTGAGGCAGCAAACTCGGGGTCCCTCCCACATACCTATTGCTGAGAGAAGCCTCCTCCTGAGGTGCTTCTGGGAAGTTGGCATACGTCTTGAGCCTAAGCCAGGGAATCAGCTCGCATCTCGAGACGACTTGGGGTACACGGAGCATTCCTCGAGTTGCTGTGCTGAAGTTGGTGTTCCTCTAGACTTGGGACAGTGTTCTCGGGGCATCTCTGGAGTTGCCTGAAGGAAGTCGAGCCACCGGTCGTGTTGAATGGGGAACGGGGAATGGCTCTGGAGTCAATGCAGGGGAATCGGGCCTCATCTCGAGCTGATTTGGCGCACATGGAGCTCCTTTGCGCTGCCGGGGTGACCTCAGGGTCCGTCTAGACTGGTGACAGTGTTCTTGGGGACTGTCTCGAGATCCATTAAGCAAGTCGAAGCTCCTGACTTGTTTGAATGGGGTCACGGAATAGCTCTGCATGCACTGCAGGGGAATGGGGCCTCATCTCGCCTCTAGGGGGAAGTCTCATGGTTTTTCTCGAGTTGCGGCGGGGACCTGGGGTATGTTCTCGACTTACAGCGGGGATGGCCCTTCAAAACACGAGTTTCTTCAGTGACGTCAGGACTCCTGTCTAGTAACGAGGGACACCTCAGGAATCTCTTCGAGGCTTGGCAGGGCCAAAGGGACGCTTCTCGAGGTGAGGCAGGGCACCCAAGGACCCTTTCCAGTAGCCACAGGGTTTTTGGGATTCCTATCAGTATTCAAGAGGAGTCAGGCATCGTCACCTTTTGAAGCAATGAACTCCGCGTGCCTCTCGAGGTGTCAGCGGGATGTGAGGCATTCCGTCAAAATGAGGCAGGGACCTAGGGCTTTCTCTAAGGTCTCCACAGGGGATTCAGACATCCCTTCATGTTGTGAGATGAAAGACGAGCCTGTATTCAAGCCACTGCAAGGAAATCCGGCCTCCTTTCAAGTTAGGGCTTCTCGCTGTATATTCCCCTTGAGGCAGCAAACTCGGGGTCCCTCCCACATACCTATTGCTGAGAGAAGCCTCCTCCTGAGGTGCTTCTGGGAAGTTGGCATACGTCTTGAGCCTAAGCCAGGGAATCAGCTCGCATCTCGAGACGACTTGGGGTACACGGAGCATTCCTCGAGTTGCTGTGCTGAAGTTGGTGTTCCTCTAGACTTGGGACAGTGTTCTCGGGGCATCTCTGGAGATGCCTGAAGGAAGTCGAGCCACCGGTCGTGTTGAATGGGGAACGGGGAATGGCTCTGGAGTCAATGCAGGGGAATCGGGCCTCATCTCGAGCTGATTTGGCGCACATGGAGCTCCTTTGCGCTGCCGGGGTGACCTCAGGGTCCGTCTAGACTGGTGACAGTGTTCTTGGGGACTGTCTCGAGATCCATTAAGCAAGTCGAAGCTCCTGACTTGTTTGAATGGGGTCACGGAATAGCTCTGCATGCACTGCAGGGGAATGGGGCCTCATCTCGCCTCTAGGGGGAAGTCTCATGGTTTTTCTCGAGTTGCGGCGGGGACCTGGGGTATGTTCTCGACTTACAGCGGGGATGGCCCTTCAAAACACGAGTTTCTTCAGTGACGTCAGGACTCCTGTCTAGTAACGAGGGACACCTCAGGAATCTCTTCGAGGCTTGGCAGGGCCAAAGGGACGCTTCTCGAGGTGAGGCAGGGCACCCAAGGACCCTTTCCAGTAGCCACAGGGTTTTTGGGATTCCTATCAGTATTCAAGAGGAGTCAGGCATCGTCACCTTTTGAAGCAATGAACTCCACGTGCCTCTCGAGGTGTCAGCGGGATGTGAGGCATTCCGTCAAAATGAGGCAGGGACCTAGGGCTTTCTCTAAGGTCTCCACAGGGGATTCAGACATCCCTTCATGTTGTGAGATGAAAGACGAGCCTGTATTCAAGCCACTGCAAGGAAATCCGGCCTCCTTTCAAGTTAGGGCTTCTCGCTGTATATTCCCCTTGAGGCAGCAAACTCGGGGTCCCTCCCACATACCTATTGCTGAGAGAAGCCTCCTCCTGAGGTGCTTCTGGGAAGTTGGCATACGTCTTGAGCCTAAGCCAGGGAATCAGCTCGCATCTCGAGATGACTTGGGGTACACGGAGCATTCCTCGAGTTGCTGTGCTGAAGTTGGTGTTCCTCTAGACTTGGGACAGTGTTCTCGGGGCATCTCTGGAGTTGCCTGAAGGAAGTCGAGCCACCGGTCGTGTTGAATGGGGAACGGGGAATGGCTCTGGAGTCAATGCAGGGGAATCGGGCCTCATCTCGAGCTGATTTGGCGCACATGGAGCTCCTTTGCGCTGCCGGGGTGACCTCAGGGTCCGTCTAGACTGGTGACAGTGTTCTTGGGGACTGTCTCGAGATCCATTAAGCAAGTCGAAGCTCCTGACTTGTTTGAATGGGGTCACGGAATAGCTCTGCATGCACTGCAGGGGAATGGGGCCTCATCTCGCCTCTAGGGGGAAGTCTCATGGTTTTTCTCGAGTTGCGGCGGGGACCTGGGGTATGTTCTCGACTTACAGCGGGGATGGCCCTTCAAAACACGAGTTTCTTCAGTGACGTCAGGACTCCTGTCTAGTAACGAGGGACACCTCAGGAATCTCTTCGAGGCTTGGCAGGGCCAAAGGGACGCTTCTCGAGGTGAGGCAGGGCACCCAAGGACCCTTTCCAGTAGCCACAGGGTTTTTGGGATTCCTATCAGTATTCAAGAGGAGTCAGGAATCGTCACCTTTTGAAGCAATGAACTCCGCGTGCCTCTCGAGGTGTCAGCGGGATGTGAGGCATTCCGTCAAAATGAGGCAGGGACCTAGGGCTTTCTCTAAGGTCTCCACAGGGGATTCAGACATCCCTTCATGTTGTGAGATGAAAGACGAGCCTGTATTCAAGCCACTGCAAGGAAATCCGGCCTCCTTTCAAGTTAGGGCTTCTCGCTGTATATTCCCCTTGAGGCAGCAAACTCGGGGTCCCTCCCACATACCTATTGCTGAAAGAAGCCTCCGCCTGAGGTGCTTCTGGGAAGATGGCATACGTCTTGAGCCTAAGCCAGGGAATCAGCTCGCATCTCGAGACGACTTGGGGTACACGGAGCATTCCTCGAGTTGCTGTGCTGAAGTTGGTGTACCTCTAGACTTGGGACAGTGTTCTCGGGGCATCTCTGGAGTTGCCTGAAGGAAGTCGAGCCACCGGTCGTGTTGAATGGGGAACGGGGAATGGCTCTGGAGTCAATGCAGGGGAATCGGGCCTCATCTCGAGTTGATTTGGGGCACATGGAGCTGCTTTGCGTTGCTGGGGTGACCTCAGGGTCCGTCTAGACTGGTGACAGTGTTCTTGGGGACTGTCTCGAGATCCATTAAGCAAGTCGAAGCTCCTGACTTGTTTGAATGGGGTCACGGAATAGCTCTGCATGCACTGCAGGGGAATGGGGCCTCATCTCGCCTCTAGGGGGAAGTCTCATGGTTTTTCTCGAGTTGCGGCGGGGACCTGGGGTATGTTCTCGACTTACGGCGGGGATGGCCCTTCAAAACACGAGTTTCTTCAGTGACGTCAGGACTCCTGTCTAGTAACGAGGGACACCTCAGGAATCTCTTCGAGGCTTGGCAGGGCCAAAGGGACGCTTCTCGAGGTGAGGCAGGGCACCCAAGGACCCTTTCCAGTAGCCACAGGGTTTTTGGGATTCCTATCAGTATTCAAGAGGAGTCAGGCATCGTCACCTTTTGAAGCAATGAACTCCGCGTGCCTCTCGAGGTGTCAGCGGGATGTGAGGCATTCCGTCAAAATGAGGCAGGGACCTAGGGCTTTCTCTAAGGTCTCCACAGGGGATTCAGACATCCCTTCATGTTGTGAGATGAAAGACGAGCCTGTATTCAAGCCACTGCAAGGAAATCCGGCCTCCTTTCAAGTTAGGGCTTCTCGCTGTATATTCCCCTTGAGGCAGCAAACTCGGGGTCCCTCCCACATACCTATTGCTGAAAGAAGCCTCCTCCTGAGGTGCTTCTGGGAAGTTGGCATACGTCTTGAGCCTAAGCCAGGGAATCAGCTCGCATCTCGAGACGACTTGGGGTACACGGAGCATTCCTCGAGTTGCTGTGCTGAAGTTGGTGTACCTCTAGACTTGGGACAGTGTTCTCGGGGCATCTCTGGAGTTGCCTGAAGGAAGTCGAGCCACCGGTCGTGTTGAATGGGGAACGGGGAATGGCTCTGGAGTCAATGCAGGGGAATCGGGCCTCATCTCGAGTTGATTTGGGGCACATGGAGCTGCTTTGCGTTGCTGGGGTGACCTCAGGGTCCGTCTAGACTGGTGACAGTGTTCTTGGGGACTGTCTCGAGATCCATTAAGCAAGTCGAAGCTCCTGACTTGTTTGAATGGGGTCACGGAATAGCTCTGCATGCACTGCAGGGGAATGGGGCCTCATCTCGCCTCTAGGGGGAAGTCTCATGGTTTTTCTCGAGTTGCGGCGGGGACCTGGGGTATGTTCTCGACTTACGGCGGGGATGGCCCTTCAAAACACGAGTTTCTTCAGTGACGTCAGGACTCCTGTCTAGTAACGAGGGACACCTCAGGAATCTCTTCGAGGCTTGGCAGGGCAAAAGGGACGCTTCTCGAGGTGAGGCAGGGCACCCAAGGACCCTTTCCAGTAGCCACAGGGATTTTGGGATTCCTATCAGTATTCAAGAGGAGTCAGGCATCGTCACCTTTTGAAGCAATGAACTCCGCGTGCCTCTCGAGGTGTCAGCGGGATGTGAGGCATTCCGTCAAAATGAGGCAGGGACCTAGGGCTTTCTCTAAGGTCTCCACAGGGGATTCAGACATCCCTTCATGTTGTGAGATGAAAGACGAGCCTGTATTCAAGCCACTGCAAGGAAATCCGGCCTCCTTTCAAGTTAGGGCTTCTCGCTGTATATTCCCCTTGAGGCAGCAAACTCGGGGTCCCTCCCACATACCTATTGCTGAGAGAAGCCTCCTCCTGAGGTGCTTCTGGGAAGTTGGCATACGTCTTGAGCCTAAGCCAGGGAATCAGCTCGCATCTCGAGACGACTTGGGGTACATGGAGCATTCCTCGAGTTGCTGTGCTGAATTTGGTGTTCCTCTAGACTTGGGACAGTGTTCTCGGGGCATCTCTGGAGTTGCCTGAAGAAAGTCGAGCCACCGGTCGTGTTGAATGGGGAACGGGGAATGGCTCTGGAGTCAATGCAGGGGAATCGGGCCTCATCTCGAGTTGATTTGGGGCACATGGAGCTGCTTTGCGTTGCTGGGGTGACCTCAGGGTCCGTCTAGACTGGTGACAGTGTTCTTGGGGACTGTCTCGAGATCCATTAAGCAAGTCGAAGCTCCTGACTTGTTTGAATGGGGTCACGGAATAGCTCTGCATGCACTGCAGGGGAATGGGGCCTCATCTCGCCTCTAGGGGGAAGTCTCATGGTTTTTCTCGAGTTGCGGCGGGGACCTGGGGTATGTTCTCGACTTACGGCGGGGATGGCCCTTCAAAACACGAGTTTCTTCAGTGACGTCAGGACTCCTGTCTAGTAACGAGGGACACCTCAGGAATCTCTTCGAGGCTTGGCAGGGCCAAAGGGACGCTTCTCGAGGTGAGGCAGGGCACCCAAGGACCCTTTCCAGTAGCCACAGTGATTTTGGGATTCCTATCAGTATTCAAGAGGAGTCAGGCATCGTCACCTTTTGAAGCAATGAACTCCGCGTGCCTCTCGAGGTGTCAGCGGGATGTGAGGCATTCCGTCAAAATGAGGCAGGGACCTAGGGCTTTCTCTAAGGTCTCCACAGGGGATTCAGACATCCCTTCATGTTGTGAGATGAAAGACGAGCCTGTATTCAAGCCACTGCAAGGAAATCCGGCCTCCTTTCAAGTTAGGGCTTCTCGCTGTATATTCCCCTTGAGGCAGCAAACTCGGGGTCCCTCCCACATACCTATTGCTGAGAGAAGCCTCCTCCTGAGGTGCTTCTGGGAAGTTGGCATAGGTCTTGAGCCTAAGCCAGGGAATCAGCTCGCATCTCGAGACGACTTGGGGTACACGGAGCATTCCTCGAGTTGCTGTGCTGAAGTTGGTGTTCCTCTAGACTTGGGACAGTGTTCTCGGGGCATCTCTGGAGTTGCCTGAAGGAAGTCGAGCCACCGGTCGTGTTGAATGGGGAACGGGGAATGGCTCTGGAGTCAATGCAGGGGAATCGGGCCTCATCTCGAGTTGATTTGGGGCACATGGAGCTGCTTTGCGTTGCTGGGGTGACCTCAGGGTCCGTCTAGACTGGTGACAGTGTTCTTGGGGACTGTCTCGAGATCCATTAAGCAAGTCGAAGCTCCTGACTTGTTTGAATGGGGTCACGGAATAGCTCTGCATGCACTGCAGGGGAATGGGGCCTCATCTCGCCTCTAGGGGGAAGTCTCATGGTTTTTCTCGAGTTGCGGCGGGGACCTGGGGTATGTTCTCGACTTACGGCGGGGATGGCCCTTCAAAACACGAGTTTCTTCAGTGACGTCAGGACTCCTGTCTAGTAACGAGGGACACCTCAGGAATCTCTTCGAGGCTTGGCAGGGACAAAGGGACGCTTCTCGAGGTGAGGCAGGGCACCCAAGGACCCTTTCCAGTAGCCACAGGGATTTTGGGATTCCTATCAGTATTCAAGAGGAGTCAGGCATCGTCACCTTTTGAAGCAATGAACTCCGCGTGCCTCTCGAGGTGTCAGCGGGATGTGAGGCATTCCGTCAAAATGAGGCAGGGACCTAGGGCTTTCTCTAAGGTCTCCACAGGGGATTCAGACATCCCTTCATGTTGTGAGATGAAAGACGAGCCTGTATTCAAGCCACTGCAAGGAAATCCGGCCTCCTTTCAAGTTAGGGCTTCTCGCTGTATATTCCCCTTGAGGCAGCAAACTCGGGGTCCCTCCCACATACCTATTGCTGAGAGAAGCCTCCTCCTGAGGTGCTTCTGGGAAGTTGGCATACGTCTTGAGCCTAAGCCAGGGAATCAGCTCGCATCTCGAGACGACTTGGGGTACATGGAGCATTCCTCGAGTTGCTGTGCTGAATTTGGTGTTCCTCTAGACTTGGGACAGTGTTCTCGGGGCATCTCTGGAGTTGCCTGAAGAAAGTCGAGCCACCGGTCGTGTTGAATGGGGAACGGGGAATGGCTCTGGAGTCAATGCAGGGGAATCGGGCCTCATCTCGAGTTGATTTGGGGCACATGGAGCTGCTTTGCGTTGCTGGGGTGACCTCAGGGTCCGTCTAGACTGGTGACAGTGTTCTTGGGGACTGTCTCGAGATCCATTAAGCAAGTCGAAGCTCCTGACTTGTTTGAATGGGGTCACGGAATAGCTCTGCATGCACTGCAGGGGAATGGGGCCTCATCTCGCCTCTAGGGGGAAGTCTCATGGTTTTTCTCGAGTTGCGGCGGGGACCTGGGGTATGTTCTCGACTTACGGCGGGGATGGCCCTTCAAAACACGAGTTTCTTCAGTGACGTCAGGACTCCTGTCTAGTAACGAGGGACACCTCAGGAATCTCTTCGAGGCTTGGCAGGGCCAAAGGGACGCTTCTCGAGGTGAGGCAGGGCACCCAAGGACCCTTTCCAGTAGCCACAGTGATTTTGGGATTCCTATCAGTATTCAAGAGGAGTCAGGCATCGTCACCTTTTGAAGCAATGAACTCCGCGTGCCTCTCGAGGTGTCAGCGGGATGTGAGGCATTCCGTCAAAATGAGGCAGGGACCTAGGGCTTTCTCTAAGGTCTCCACAGGGGATTCAGACATCCCTTCATGTTGTGAGATGAAAGACGAGCCTGTATTCAAGCCACTGCAAGGAAATCCGGCCTCCTTTCAAGTTAGGGCTTCTCGCTGTATATTCCCCTTGAGGCAGCAAACTCGGGGTCCCTCCCACATACCTATTGCTGAGAGAAGCCTCCTCCTGAGGTGCTTCTGGGAAGTTGGCATAGGTCTTGAGCCTAAGCCAGGGAATCAGCTCGCATCTCGAGACGACTTGGGGTACACGGAGCATTCCTCGAGTTGCTGTGCTGAAGTTGGTGTTCCTCTAGACTTGGGACAGTGTTCTCGGGGCATCTCTGGAGTTGCCTGAAGGAAGTCGAGCCACCGGTCGTGTTGAATGGGGAACGGGGAATGGCTCTGGAGTCAATGCAGGGGAATCGGGCCTCATCTCGAGTTGATTTGGGGCACATGGAGCTGCTTTGCGTTGCTGGGGTGACCTCAGGGTCCGTCTAGACTGGTGACAGTGTTCTTGGGGACTGTCTCGAGATCCATTAAGCAAGTCGAAGCTCCTGACTTGTTTGAATGGGGTCACGGAATAGCTCTGCATGCACTGCAGGGGAATGGGGCCTCATCTCGCCTCTAGGGGGAAGTCTCATGGTTTTTCTCGAGTTGCGGCGGGGACCTGGGGTATGTTCTCGACTTACGGCGGGGATGGCCCTTCAAAACACGAGTTTCTTCAGTGACGTCAGGACTCCTGTCTAGTAACGAGGGACACCTCAGGAATCTCTTCGAGGCTTGGCAGGGACAAAGGGACGCTTCTCGAGGTGAGGCAGGGCACCCAAGGACCCTTTCCAGTAGCCACAGGGATTTTGGGATTCCTATCAGTATTCAAGAGGAGTCAGGCATCGTCACCTTTTGAAGCAATGAACTCCGCGTGCCTCTCGAGGTGTCAGCGGGATGTGAGGCATTCCGTCAAAATGAGGCAGGGACCTAGGGCTTTCTCTAAGGTCTCCACAGGGGATTCAGACATCCCTTCATGTTGTGAGATGAAAGACGAGCCTGTATTCAAGCCACTGCAAGGAAATCCGGCCTCCTTTCAAGTTAGGGCTTCTCGCTGTATATTCCCCTTGAGGCAGCAAACTCGGGGTCCCTCCCACATACCTATTGCTGAGAGAAGCCTCCTCCTGAGGTGCTTCTGGGAAGTTGGCATACGTCTTGAGCCTAAGCCAGGGAATCAGCTCGCATCTCGAGACGACTTGGGGTACACGGAGCATTCCTCGAGTTGCTGTGCTGAAGTTGGTGTTCCTCTAGACTTGGGACAGTGTTCTCGGGGCATCTCTGGAGTTGCCTGAAGGAAGTCGAGCCACCGGTCATGTTGAATGGGGAACGGGGAATGGCTCTGGAGTCAATGCAGGGGAATCGGGCCTCATCTCGAGTTGATTTGGGGCACATGGAGCTGCTTTGCGTTGCTGGGGTGACCTCAGGGTCCGTCTAGACTGGTGACAGTGTTCTTGGGGACTGTCTCGAGATCCATTAAGCAAGTCGAAGCTCCTGACTTGTTTGAATGGGGTCACGGAATAGCTCTGCATGCACTGCAGGGGAATGGGGCCTCATCTCGCCTCTAGGGGGAAGTCTCATGGTTTTTCTCGAGTTGCGGTGGGGACCTGGGGTATGTTCTCGACTTACGGCGGGGATGGCCCTTCAAAACACGAGTTTCTTCAGTGACGTCAGGACTCCTGTCTAGTAACGAGGGACACCTCAGGAATCTCTTCGAGGCTTGGCAGGGCCAAAGGGACGCTTCTCGAGGTGAGGCAGGGCACCCAAGGACCCTTTCAGGTAGCCACAGGGATTTTGGGATTCCTATCAGTATTCAAGAGGAGTCAGGCATCGTCACCTTTTGAAGCAATGAACTCCGCGTGCCTCTCGAGGTGTCAGCGGGATGTGAGGCATTCCGTCAAAATGAGGCAGGGACCTAGGGCTTTCTCTAAGGTCTCCACAAGGGATTCAGACATCCCTTCATGTTGTGAGATGAAAGACGAGCCTGTATTCAAGCCACTGCAAGGAAATCCGGCCTCCTTTCAAGTTAGGGCTTCTCGCTGTATATTCCCCTTGAGGCAGCAAACTCGGGGTCCCTCCCACATACCTATTGCTGAGAGAAGCCTCCTCCTGAGGTGCTTCTGGGAAGTTGGCATACGTCTTGAGCCTAAGCCAGGGAATCAGCTCGCATCTCGAGACGACTTGGGGTACACGGAGCATTCCTCGAGTTGCTGTGCTGAAGTTGGTGTACCTCTAGACTTGGGACAGTGTTCTCGGGGCATCTCTGGAGTTGCCTGAAGGAAGTCGAGCCACCGGTCGTGTTGAATGGGGAACGGGGAATGGCTCTGGAGTCAATGCAGGGGAATCGGGCCTCATCTCGAGTTGATTTGGGGCACATGGAGCTGCTTTGCGTTGCTGGGGTGACCTCAGGGACCGTCTAGACTGGTGACAGTGTTCTTGGGGACTGTCTCGAGATCCATTAAGCAAGTCGAAGCTCCTGACTTGTTTGAATGGGGTCACGGAATAGCTCTGCATGCACTGCAGGGGAATGGGGCCTCATCTCGCCTCTAGGGGGAAGTCTCATGGTTTTTCTCGAGTTGCGGCGGGGACCTGGGGTATGTTCTCGACTTACGGCGGGGATGGCCCTTCAAAACACGAGTTTCTTCAGTGACGTCAGGACTCCTGTCTAGTAACGAGGGACACCTCAGGAATCTCTTCGCGGCTTGGCAGGTCCAAAGGGACGCTTCTCGAGGTGAGGCAGGGCACCCAAGGACCCTTTCCAGTAGCCACAGGGATTTTGGGATTCCTATCAGTATTCAAGAGGAGTCAGGCATCGTCACCTTTTGAAGCAATGAACTCCGCGTGCCTCTCGAGGTGTCAGCGGGATGTGAGGCATTCCGTCAAAATGAGGCAGGGACCTAGGGCTTTCTCTAAGGTCTCCACAGGGGATTCAGACATCCCTTCATGTTGTGAGATGAAAGACGAGCATGTATTCAAGCCACTGCAAGGAAATCCGGCCTCCTTTCAAGTTAGGGCTTCTCGCTGTATATTCCCCTTGAGGCAGCAAACTTGGGGTCCCTCCCACATACCTATTGCTGAGAGAAGCCTCCTCCTGAGGTGCTTCTGGGAAGTTGGCATACGTCTTGAGCCTAAGCCAGGGAATCAGCTCGCATCTCGAGACGACTTGGGGTACACGGAGCATTCCTCGAGTTGCTGTGCTGAAGTTGGTGTTCCTCTAGACTTGGGACAGTGTTCTCGGGGCATCTCTGGAGTTGCCTGAAGGAAGTCGAGCCACCGGTCGTGTTGAATGGGGAACGGGGAATGGCTCTGGAGTCAATGCAGGGGAATCGGGCCTCATCTCGAGTTAATTTGGGGCACATGGAGCTGCTTTGCGTTGCTGGGGTGACCTCAGGGTCCGTCTAGACTGGTGACAGTGTTCTTGGGGACTGTCTCGAGATCCATTAAGCAAGTCGAAGCTCCTGACTTGTTTGAATGGGGTCACGGAATAGCTCTGCATGCACTGCAGGGGAATGGGGCCTCATCTCGCCTCTAGGGGGAAGTCTCATGGTTTTTCTCGAGTTGCGGCGGGGACCTGGGGTATGTTCTCGACTTACGGCGGGGATGGCCCTTCAAAACACGAGTTTCTTCAGTGACGTCAGGACTCCTGTCTAGTAACGAGGGACACCTCAGGAATCTCTTCGAGGCTTGGCAGGGCAAAAGGGACGCTTCTCGAGGTGAGGCAGGGCACCCAAGGACCCTTTCCAGTAGCCACAGGGATTTTGGGATTCCTATCAGTATTCAAGAGGAGTCAGGCATCGTCACCTTTTGAAGCAATGAACTCCGCGTGCCTCTCGAGGTGTCAGCGGGATGTGAGGCATTCCGTCAAAATGAGGCAGGGACCTAGGGCTTTCTCTAAGGTCTCCACAGGGGATTCAGACATCCCTTCATGTTGTGAGATGAAAGACGAGCCTGTATTCAAGCCACTGCAAGGAAATCCGGCCTCCTTTCAAGTTAGGGCTTCTCGCTGTATATTCCCCTTGAGGCAGCAAACTCGGGGTCCCTCCCACATACCTATTGCTGAGAGAAGCCTCCTCCTGAGGTGCCTCTGGGAAGTTGGCATACGTCTTGAGCCTAAGCCAGGGAATCAGCTCGCATCTCGAGACGACTTGGGGTACACGGAGCATTCCTCGAGTTGCTGTGCTGAAGTTGGTGTTCCTCTAGACTTGGGACAGTGTTCTCGGGGCATCTCTGGAGTTGCCTGAAGGAAGTCGAGCCACCGGTCGTGTTGAATGGGGAACGGGGAATGGCTCTGGAGTCAATGCAGGGGAATCGGGCCTCATCTCGAGTTGATTTGGGGCACATGGAGCTGCTTTGCGTTGCTGGGGTGACCTCAGGGTCCGTCTAGACTGGTGACAGTGTTCTTGGGGACTGTCTCGAGATCCATTAAGCAAGTCGAAGCTCCTGACTTGTTTGAATGGGGTCACGGAATAGCTCTGCATGCACTGCAGGGGAATGGGGCCTCATCTCGCCTCTAGGGGGAAGTCTCATGGTTTTTCTCGAGTTGCGGCGGGGACCTGGGGTATGTTCTCGACTTACGGCGGGGATGGCCCTTCAAAACACGAGTTTCTTCAGTGACGTCAGGACTCCTGTCTAGTAACGAGGGACACCTCAGGAATCTCTTCGAGGCTTGGCAGGGCAAAAGGGACGCTTCTCGAGGTGAGGCAGGGCACCCAAGAACCCTTTCCAGTAGCCACAGGGATTTTGGGATTCCTATCAGTATTCAAGAGGAGTCAGGCATCGTCACCTTTTGAAGCAATGAACTCCGCGTGCCTCTCGAGGTGTCAGCGGGATGTGAGGCATTCCGTCAAAATGAGGCAGGGACCTAGGGCTTTCTCTAAGGTCTCCACAGGGGATTCAGACATCCCTTCATGTTGTGAGATGAAAGACGAGCCTGTATTCAAGCCACTGCAAGGAAATCCGGCCTCCTTTCAAGTTAGGGCTTCTCGCTGTATATTCCCCTTGAGGCAGCAAACTCGGGGTCCCTCCCACATACCTATTGCTGAGAGAAGCCTCCTCCTGAGGTGCTTCTGGGAAGTTGGCATACGTCTTGAGCCTAAGCCAGGGAATCAGCTCGCATCTCGAGACGACTTGGGGTACACGGAGCATTCCTCGAGTTGCTGTGCTGAAGTTGGTGTTCCTCTAGACTTGGGACAGTGTTCTCGGGGCATCTCTGGAGTTGCCTGAAGGAAGTCGAGCCACCGGTCGTGTTGAATGGGGAACGGGGAATGGCTCTGGAGTCAATGCAGGGGAATCGGGCCTCATCTCGAGCTGATTTGGGGCACATGGAGCTGCTTTGCGTTGCCGGGGTGACCTCAGGGTCCGTCTAGACTGGTGACAGTGTTCTTGGGGACTGTCTCGAGATCCATTAAGCAAGTCGAAGCTCCTGACTTGTTTGAATGGGGTCACGGAATAGCTCTGCATGCACTGCAGGGGAATGGGGCCTCATCTCGCCTCTAGGGGGAAGTCTCATGGTTTTTCTCGAGTTGCGGCGGGGACCTGGGGTATGTTCTCGACTTACGGCGGGGATGGCCCTTCAAAACACGAGTTTCTTCAGTGACGTCAGGACTCCTGTCTAGTAACGAGGGACACCTCAGGAATCTCTTCGAGGCTTGGCAGGGCCAAAGGGACGCTTCTCGAGGTGAGGCAGGGCACCCAAGGACCCTTACCAGTAGCCACAGGGATTTTGGGATTCCTATCAGTATTCAAGAGGAGTCAGGCATCGTCACCTTTTGAAGCAATGAACTCCGCGTGCCTCTCGAGGTGTCAGCGGGATGTGAGGCATTCCGTCAAAATGAGGCAGGGACCTAGGGCTTTCTCTAAGGTCTCCACAGGGGATTCAGACATCCCTTCATGTTGTGAGATGAAAGACGAGCCTGTATTCAAGCCACTGCAAGGAAATCCGGCCTCCTTTCAAGTTAGGGCTTCTCGCTGTATATTCCCCTTGAGGCAGCAAACTTGGGGTCCCTCCCACATACCTATTGCTGAGAGAAGCCTCCTCCTGAGGTGCTTCTGGGAAGTTGGCATACGTCTTGAGCCTAAGCCAGGGAATCAGCTCGCATCTCGAGACGACTTGGGGTACACGGAGCATTCCTCGAGTTGCTGTGCTGAAGTTGGTGTTCCTCTAGACTTGGGACAGTGTTCTCGGGGCATCTCTGGAGTTGCCTGAAGGAAGTCGAGCCACCGGTCGTGTTGAATGGGGAACGGGGAATGGCTCTGGAGTCAATGCAGGGGAATCGGGCCTCATCTCGAGTTGATTTGGGGCACATGGAGCTGCTTTGCGTTGCTGGGGTGACCTCAGGGACCGTCTAGACTGGTGACAGTGTTCTTGGGGACTGTCTCGAGATCCATTAAGCAAGTCGAAGCTCCTGACTTGTTTGAATGGGGTCACGGAATAGCTCTGCATGCACTGCAGGGGAATGGGGCCTCATCTCGCCTCTAGGGGGAAGTCTCATGGTTTTTCTCGAGTTGCGGCGGGGACCTGGGGTATGTTCTCGACTTACGGCGGGGATGGCCCTTCAAAACACGAGTTTCTTCAGTGACGTCAGGACTCCTGTCTAGTAACGAGGGACACCTCAGGAATCTCTTCGAGGCTTGGCAGGGCCAAAGGGACGCTTCTCGAGGTGAGGCAGGGCACCCAAGGACCCTTTCCAGTAGCCACAGGGATTTTGGGATTCCTATCAGTATTCAAGAGGAGTCAGGCATCGTCACCTTTTGAAGCAATGAACTCCGCGTGCCTCTCGAGGTGTCAGCGGGATGTGAGTCATTCCGTCAAAATGAGGCAGGGACCTAGGGCTTTCTCTAAGGTCTCCACAGGGGATTCAGACATCCCTTCATGTTGTGAGATGAAAGACGAGCCTGTATTCAAGCCACTGCAAGGAAATCCGGCCTCCTTTCAAGTTAGGGCTTCTCGCTGTATATTCCCCTTGAGGCAGCAAACTCGGGGTCCCTCCCACATACCTATTGCTGAGAGAAGCCTCCTCCTGAGGTGCTTCTGGGAAGTTGGCATACGTCTTGAGCCTAAGCCAGGGAATCAGCTCGCATCTCGAGACGACTTGGGGTACACGGAGCATTCCTCGAGTTGCTGTGCTGAAGTTGGTGTTCCTCTAGACTTGGGACAGTGTTCTCGGGGCATCTCTGGAGTTGCCTGAAGGAAGTCGAGCCACCGGTCGTGTTGAATGGGGAACGGGGAATGGCTCTGGAGTCAATGCAGGGGAATCGGGCCTCATCTCGAGTTAATTTGGGGCACATGGAGCTGCTTTGCGTTGCTGGGGTGACCTCAGGGTCCGTCTAGACTGGTGACAGTGTTCTTGGGGACTGTCTCGAGATCCATTAAGCAAGTCGAAGCTCCTGACTTGTTTGAATGGGGTCACGGAATAGCTCTGCATGCACTGCAGGGGAATGGGGCCTCATCTCGCCTCTAGGGGGAAGTCTCATGGTTTTTCTCGAGTTGCGGCGGGGACCTGGGGTATGTTCTCGACTTACGGCGGGGATGGCCCTTCAAAACACGAGTTTCTTCAGTGACGTCAGGACTCCTGTCTAGTAACGAGGGACACCTCAGGAATCTCTTCGAGGCTTGGCAGGGCCAAAGGGACGCTTCTCGAGGTGAGGCAGGGCACCCAAGGACCCTTTCAGGTAGCCACAGGGATTTTGGGATTCCTATCAGTATTCAAGAGGAGTCAGGCATCGTCACCTTTTGAAGCAATGAACTCCGCGTGCCTCTCGAGGTGTCAGCGGGATGTGAGGCATTCCGTCAAAATGAGGCAGGGACCTAGGGCTTTCTCTAAGGTCTCCACAAGGGATTCAGACATCCCTTCATGTTGTGAGATGAAAGACGAGCCTGTATTCAAGCCACTGCAAGGAAATCCGGCCTCCTTTCAAGTTAGGGCTTCTCGCTGTATATTCCCCTTGAGGCAGCAAACTCGGGGTCCCTCCCACATACCTATTGCTGAGAGAAGCCTCCTCCTGAGGTGCTTCTGGGAAGTTGGCATACGTCTTGAGCCTAAGCCAGGGAATCAGCTCGCATCTCGAGACGACTTGGGGTACACGGAGCATTCCTCGAGTTGCTGTGCTGAAGTTGGTGTACCTCTAGACTTGGGACAGTGTTCTCGGGGCATCTCTGGAGTTGCCTGAAGGAAGTCGAGCCACCGGTCGTGTTGAATGGGGAACGGGGAATGGCTCTGGAGTCAATGCAGGGGAATCGGGCCTCATCTCGAGTTGATTTGGGGCACATGGAGCTGCTTTGCGTTGCTGGGGTGACCTCAGGGACCGTCTAGACTGGTGACAGTGTTCTTGGGGACTGTCTCGAGATCCATTAAGCAAGTCGAAGCTCCTGACTTGTTTGAATGGGGTCACGGAATAGCTCTGCATGCACTGCAGGGGAATGGGGCCTCATCTCGCCTCTAGGGGGAAGTCTCATGGTTTTTCTCGAGTTGCGGCGGGGACCTGGGGTATGTTCTCGACTTACGGCGGGGATGGCCCTTCAAAACACGAGTTTCTTCAGTGACGTCAGGACTCCTGTCTAGTAACGAGGGACACCTCAGGAATCTCTTCGCGGCTTGGCAGGTCCAAAGGGACGCTTCTCGAGGTGAGGCAGGGCACCCAAGGACCCTTTCCAGTAGCCACAGGGATTTTGGGATTCCTATCAGTATTCAAGAGGAGTCAGGCATCGTCACCTTTTGAAGCAATGAACTCCGCGTGCCTCTCGAGGTGTCAGCGGGATGTGAGGCATTCCGTCAAAATGAGGCAGGGACCTAGGGCTTTCTCTAAGGTCTCCACAGGGGATTCAGACATCCCTTCATGTTGTGAGATGAAAGACGAGCATGTATTCAAGCCACTGCAAGGAAATCCGGCCTCCTTTCAAGTTAGGGCTTCTCGCTGTATATTCCCCTTGAGGCAGCAAACTCGGGGTCCCTCCCACATACCTATTGCTGAGAGAAGCCTCCTCCTGAGGTGCTTCTGGGAAGTTGGCATACGTCTTGAGCCTAAGCCAGGGAATCAGCTCGCATCTCGAGACGACTTGGGGTACACGGAGCATTCCTCGAGTTGCTGTGCTGAAGTTGGTGTTCCTCTAGACTTGGGACAGTGTTCTCGGGGCATCTCTGGAGTTGCCTGAAGGAAGTCGAGCCACCGGTCGTGTTGAATGGGGAACGGGGAATGGCTCTGGAGTCAATGCAGGGGAATCGGGCCTCATCTCGAGTTAATTTGGGGCACATGGAGCTGCTTTGCGTTGCTGGGGTGACCTCAGGGTCCGTCTAGACTGGTGACAGTGTTCTTGGGGACTGTCTCGAGATCCATTAAGCAAGTCGAAGCTCCTGACTTGTTTGAATGGGGTCACGGAATAGCTCTGCATGCACTGCAGGGGAATGGGGCCTCATCTCGCCTCTAGGGGGAAGTCTCATGGTTTTTCTCGAGTTGCGGCGGGGACCTGGGGTATGTTCTCGACTTACGGCGGGGATGGCCCTTCAAAACACGAGTTTCTTCAGTGACGTCAGGACTCCTGTCTAGTAACGAGGGACACCTCAGGAATCTCTTCGAGGCTTGGCAGGGCAAAAGGGACGCTTCTCGAGGTGAGGCAGGGCACCCAAGAACCCTTTCCAGTAGCCACAGGGATTTTGGGATTCCTATCAGTATTCAAGAGGAGTCAGGCATCGTCACCTTTTGAAGCAATGAACTCCGCGTGCCTCTCGAGGTGTCAGCGGGATGTGAGGCATTCCGTCAAAATGAGGCAGGGACCTAGGGCTTTCTCTAAGGTCTCCACAGGGGATTCAGACATCCCTTCATGTTGTGAGATGAAAGACGAGCCTGTATTCAAGCCACTGCAAGGAAATCCGGCCTCCTTTCAAGTTAGGGCTTCTCGCTGTATATTCCCCTTGAGGCAGCAAACTCGGGGTCCCTCCCACATACCTATTGCTGAGAGAAGCCTCCTCCTGAGGTGCCTCTGGGAAGTTGGCATACGTCTTGAGCCTAAGCCAGGGAATCAGCTCGCATCTCGAGACGACTTGGGGTACACGGAGCATTCCTCGAGTTGCTGTGCTGAAGTTGGTGTTCCTCTAGACTTGGGACAGTGTTCTCGGGGCATCTCTGGAGTTGCCTGAAGGAAGTCGAGCCACCGGTCGTGTTGAATGGGGAACGGGGAATGGCTCTGGAGTCAATGCAGGGGAATCGGGCCTCATCTCGAGTTGATTTGGGGCACATGGAGCTGCTTTGCGTTGCTGGGGTGACCTCAGGGTCCGTCTAGACTGGTGACAGTGTTCTTGGGGACTGTCTCGAGATCCATTAAGCAAGTCGAAGCTCCTGACTTGTTTGAATGGGGTCACGGAATAGCTCTGCATGCACTGCAGGGGAATGGGGCCTCATCTCGCCTCTAGGGGGAAGTCTCATGGTTTTTCTCGAGTTGCGGCGGGGACCTGGGGTATGTTCTCGACTTACGGCGGGGATGGCCCTTCAAAACACGAGTTTCTTCAGTGACGTCAGGACTCCTGTCTAGTAACGAGGGACACCTCAGGAATCTCTTCGAGGCTTGGCAGGGCAAAAGGGACGCTTCTCGAGGTGAGGCAGGGCACCCAAGAACCCTTTCCAGTAGCCACAGGGATTTTGGGATTCCTATCAGTATTCAAGAGGAGTCAGGCATCGTCACCTTTTGAAGCAATGAACTCCGCGTGCCTCTCGAGGTGTCAGCGGGATGTGAGGCATTCCGTCAAAATGAGGCAGGGACCTAGGGCTTTCTCTAAGGTCTCCACAGGGGATTCAGACATCCCTTCATGTTGTGAGATGAAAGACGAGCCTGTATTCAAGCCACTGCAAGGAAATCCGGCCTCCTTTCAAGTTAGGGCTTCTCGCTGTATATTCCCCTTGAGGCAGCAAACTCGGGGTCCCTCCCACATACCTATTGCTGAGAGAAGCCTCCTCCTGAGGTGCTTCTGGGAAGTTGGCATACGTCTTGAGCCTAAGCCAGGGAATCAGCTCGCATCTCGAGACGACTTGGGGTACACGGAGCATTCCTCGAGTTGCTGTGCTGAAGTTGGTGTTCCTCTAGACTTGGGACAGTGTTCTCGGGGCATCTCTGGAGTTGCCTGAAGGAAGTCGAGCCACCGGTCGTGTTGAATGGGGAACGGGGAATGGCTCTGGAGTCAATGCAGGGGAATCGGGCCTCATCTCGAGCTGATTTGGGGCACATGGAGCTGCTTTGCGTTGCCGGGGTGACCTCAGGGTCCGTCTAGACTGGTGACAGTGTTCTTGGGGACTGTCTCGAGATCCATTAAGCAAGTCGAAGCTCCTGACTTGTTTGAATGGGGTCACGGAATAGCTCTGCATGCACTGCAGGGGAATGGGGCCTCATCTCGCCTCTAGGGGGAAGTCTCATGGTTTTTCTCGAGTTGCGGCGGGGACCTGGGGTATGTTCTCGACTTACGGCGGGGATGGCCCTTCAAAACACGAGTTTCTTCAGTGACGTCAGGACTCCTGTCTAGTAACGAGGGACACCTCAGGAATCTCTTCGAGGCTTGGCAGGGCCAAAGGGACGCTTCTCGAGGTGAGGCAGGGCACCCAAGGACCCTTACCAGTAGCCACAGGGATTTTGGGATTCCTATCAGTATTCAAGAGGAGTCAGGCATCGTCACCTTTTGAAGCAATGAACTCCGCGTGCCTCTCGAGGTGTCAGCGGGATGTGAGGCATTCCGTCAAAATGAGGCAGGGACCTAGGGCTTTCTCTAAGGTCTCCACAGGGGATTCAGACATCCCTTCATGTTGTGAGATGAAAGACGAGCCTGTATTCAAGCCACTGCAAGGAAATCCGGCCTCCTTTCAAGTTAGGGCTTCTCGCTGTATATTCCCCTTGAGGCAGCAAACTTGGGGTCCCTCCCACATACCTATTGCTGAGAGAAGCCTCCTCCTGAGGTGCTTCTGGGAAGTTGGCATACGTCTTGAGCCTAAGCCAGGGAATCAGCTCGCATCTCGAGACGACTTGGGGTACACGGAGCATTCCTCGAGTTGCTGTGCTGAAGTTGGTGTTCCTCTAGACTTGGGACAGTGTTCTCGGGGCATCTCTGGAGTTGCCTGAAGGAAGTCGAGCCACCGGTCGTGTTGAATGGGGAACGGGGAATGGCTCTGGAGTCAATGCAGGGGAATCGGGCCTCATCTCGAGTTGATTTGGGGCACATGGAGCTGCTTTGCGTTGCTGGGGTGACCTCAGGGACCGTCTAGACTGGTGACAGTGTTCTTGGGGACTGTCTCGAGATCCATTAAGCAAGTCGAAGCTCCTGACTTGTTTGAATGGGGTCACGGAATAGCTCTGCATGCACTGCAGGGGAATGGGGCCTCATCTCGCCTCTAGGGGGAAGTCTCATGGTTTTTCTCGAGTTGCGGCGGGGACCTGGGGTATGTTCTCGACTTACGGCGGGGATGGCCCTTCAAAACACGAGTTTCTTCAGTGACGTCAGGACTCCTGTCTAGTAACGAGGGACACCTCAGGAATCTCTTCGAGGCTTGGCAGGGCCAAAGGGACGCTTCTCGAGGTGAGGCAGGGCACCCAAGGACCCTTTCCAGTAGCCACAGGGATTTTGGGATTCCTATCAGTATTCAAGAGGAGTCAGGCATCGTCACCTTTTGAAGCAATGAACTCCGCGTGCCTCTCGAGGTGTCAGCGGGATGTGAGTCATTCCGTCAAAATGAGGCAGGGACCTAGGGCTTTCTCTAAGGTCTCCACAGGGGATTCAGACATCCCTTCATGTTGTGAGATGAAAGACGAGCCTGTATTCAAGCCACTGCAAGGAAATCCGGCCTCCTTTCAAGTTAGGGCTTCTCGCTGTATATTCCCCTTGAGGCAGCAAACTCGGGGTCCCTCCCACATACCTATTGCTGAGAGAAGCCTCCTCCTGAGGTGCTTCTGGGAAGTTGGCATACGTCTTGAGCCTAAGCCAGGGAATCAGCTCGCATCTCGAGACGACTTGGGGTACACGGAGCATTCCTCGAGTTGCTGTGCTGAAGTTGGTGTTCCTCTAGACTTGGGACAGTGTTCTCGGGGCATCTCTGGAGTTGCCTGAAGGAAGTCGAGCCACCGGTCGTGTTGAATGGGGAACGGGGAATGGCTCTGGAGTCAATGCAGGGGAATCGGGCCTCATCTCGAGTTAATTTGGGGCACATGGAGCTGCTTTGCGTTGCTGGGGTGACCTCAGGGTCCGTCTAGACTGGTGACAGTGTTCTTGGGGACTGTCTCGAGATCCATTAAGCAAGTCGAAGCTCCTGACTTGTTTGAATGGGGTCACGGAATAGCTCTGCATGCACTGCAGGGGAATGGGGCCTCATCTCGCCTCTAGGGGGAAGTCTCATGGTTTTTCTCGAGTTGCGGCGGGGACCTGGGGTATGTTCTCGACTTACGGCGGGGATGGCCCTTCAAAACACGAGTTTCTTCAGTGACGTCAGGACTCCTGTCTAGTAACGAGGGACACCTCAGGAATCTCTTCGAGGCTTGGCAGGGCAAAAGGGACGCTTCTCGAGGTGAGGCAGGGCACCCAAGAACCCTTTCCAGTAGCCACAGGGATTTTGGGATTCCTATCAGTATTCAAGAGGAGTCAGGCATCGTCACCTTTTGAAGCAATGAACTCCGCGTGCCTCTCGAGGTGTCAGCGGGATGTGAGGCATTCCGTCAAAATGAGGCAGGGACCTAGGGCTTTCTCTAAGGTCTCCACAGGGGATTCAGACATCCCTTCATGTTGTGAGATGAAAGACGAGCCTGTATTCAAGCCACTGCAAGGAAATCCGGCCTCCTTTCAAGTTAGGGCTTCTCGCTGTATATTCCCCTTGAGGCAGCAAACTCGGGGTCCCTCCCACATACCTATTGCTGAGAGAAGCCTCCTCCTGAGGTGCTTCTGGGAAGTTGGCATACGTCTTGAGCCTAAGCCAGGGAATCAGCTCGCATCTCGAGACGACTTGGGGTACACGGAGCATTCCTCGAGTTGCTGTGCTGAAGTTGGTGTTCCTCTAGACTTGGGACAGTGTTCTCGGGGCATCTCTGGAGTTGCCTGAAGGAAGTCGAGCCACCGGTCGTGTTGAATGGGGAACGGGGAATGGCTCTGGAGTCAATGCAGGGGAATCGGGCCTCATCTCGAGTTAATTTGGGGCACATGGAGCTGCTTTGCGTTGCTGGGGTGACCTCAGGGTCCGTCTAGACTGGTGACAGTGTTCTTGGGGACTGTCTCGAGATCCATTAAGCAAGTCGAAGCTCCTGACTTGTTTGAATGGGGTCACGGAATAGCTCTGCATGCACTGCAGGGGAATGGGGCCTCATCTCGCCTCTAGGGGGAAGTCTCATGGTTTTTCTCGAGTTGCGGCGGGGACCTGGGGTATGTTCTCGACTTACGGCGGGGATGGCCCTTCAAAACACGAGTTTCTTCAGTGACGTCAGGACTCCTGTCTAGTAACGAGGGACACCTCAGGAATCTCTTCGAGGCTTGGCAGGGCAAAAGGGACGCTTCTCGAGGTGAGGCAGGGCACCCAAGAACCCTTTCCAGTAGCCACAGGGATTTTGGGATTCCTATCAGTATTCAAGAGGAGTCAGGCATCGTCACCTTTTGAAGCAATGAACTCCGCGTGCCTCTCGAGGTGTCAGCGGGATGTGAGGCATTCCGTCAAAATGAGGCAGGGACCTAGGGCTTTCTCTAAGGTCTCCACAGGGGATTCAGACATCCCTTCATGTTGTGAGATGAAAGACGAGCCTGTATTCAAGCCACTGCAAGGAAATCCGGCTTCCTTTCAAGTTAGGGCTTCTCGCTGTATATTCCCCTTGAGGCAGCAAACTCGGGGTCCCTCCCACATACCTATTGCTGAGAGAAGCCTCCTCCTGAGGTGCCTCTGGGAAGTTGGCATACGTCTTGAGCCTAAGCCAGGGAATCAGCTCGCATCTCGAGACGACTTGGGGTACACGGAGCATTCCTCGAGTTGCTGTGCTGAAGTTGGTGTTCCTCTAGACTTGGGACAGTGTTCTCGGGGCATCTCTGGAGTTGCCTGAAGGAAGTCGAGCCACCGGTCGTGTTGAATGGGGAACGGGGAATGGCTCTGGAGTCAATGCAGGGGAATCGGGCCTCATCTCGAGTTGATTTGGGGCACATGGAGCTGCTTTGCGTTGCTGGGGTGACCTCAGGGTCCGTCTAGACTGGTGACAGTGTTCTTGGGGACTGTCTCGAGATCCATTAAGCAAGTCGAAGCTCCTGACTTGTTTGAATGGGGTCACGGAATAGCTCTGCATGCACTGCAGGGGAATGGGGCCTCATCTCGCCTCTAGGGGGAAGTCTCATGGTTTTTCTCGAGTTGCGGCGGGGACCTGGGGTATGTTCTCGACTTACGGCGGGGATGGCCCTTCAAAACACGAGTTTCTTCAGTGACGTCAGGACTCCTGTCTAGTAACGAGGGACACCTCAGGAATCTCTTCGAGGCTTGGCAGGGCAAAAGGGACGCTTCTCGAGGTGAGGCAGGGCACCCAAGAACCCTTTCCAGTAGCCACAGGGATTTTGGGATTCCTATCAGTATTCAAGAGGAGTCAGGCATCGTCACCTTTTGAAGCAATGAACTCCGCGTGCCTCTCGAAGTGTCAGCGGGATGTGAGGCATTCCGTCAAAATGAGGCAGGGACCTAGGGCTTTCTCTAAGGTCTCCACAGGGGATTCAGACATCCCTTCATGTTGTGAGATGAAAGACGAGCCTGTATTCAAGCCACTGCAAGGAAATCCGGCCTCCTTTCAAGTTAGGGCTTCTCGCTGTATATTCCCCTTGAGGCAGCAAACTCGGGGTCCCTCCCACATACCTATTGCTGAGAGAAGCCTCCTCCTGAGGTGCTTCTGGGAAGTTGGCATACGTCTTGAGCCTAAGCCAGGGAATCAGCTCGCATCTCGAGACGACTTGGGGTACACGGAGCATTCCTCGAGTTGCTGTGCTGAAGTTGGTGTTCCTCTAGACTTGGGACAGTGTTCTCGGGGCATCTCTGGAGTTGCCTGAAGGAAGTCGAGCCACCGGTCGTGTTGAATGGGGAACGGGGAATGGCTCTGGAGTCAATGCAGGGGAATCGGGCCTCATCTCGAGCTGATTTGGGGCACATGGAGCTGCTTTGCGTTGCCGGGGTGACCTCAGGGTCCGTCTAGACTGGTGACAGTGTTCTTGGGGACTGTCTCGAGATCCATTAAGCAAGTCGAAGCTCCTGACTTGTTTGAATGGGGTCACGGAATAGCTCTGCATGCACTGCAGGGGAATGGGGCCTCATCTCGCCTCTAGGGGGAAGTCTCATGGTTTTTCTCGAGTTGCGGCGGGGACCTGGGGTATGTTCTCGACTTACGGCGGGGATGGCCCTTCAAAACACGAGTTTCTTCAGTGACGTCAGGACTCCTGTCTAGTAACGAGGGACACCTCAGGAATCTCTTCGAGGCTTGGCAGGGCCAAAGGGACGCTTCTCGAGGTGAGGCAGGGCACCCAAGGACCCTTACCAGTAGCCACAGGGATTTTGGGATTCCTATCAGTATTCAAGAGGAGTCAGGCATCGTCACCTTTTGAAGCAATGAACTCCGCGTGCCTCTCGAGGTGTCAGCGGGATGTGAGGCATTCCGTCAAAATGAGGCAGGGACCTAGGGCTTTCTCTAAGGTCTCCACAGGGGATTCAGACATCCCTTCATGTTGTGAGATGAAAGACGAGCCTGTATTCAAGCCACTGCAAGGAAATCCGGCCTCCTTTCAAGTTAGGGCTTCTCGCTGTATATTCCCCTTGAGGCAGCAAACTTGGGGTCCCTCCCACATACCTATTGCTGAGAGAAGCCTCCTCCTGAGGTGCTTCTGGGAAGTTGGCATACGTCTTGAGCCTAAGCCAGGGAATCAGCTCGCATCTCGAGACGACTTGGGGTACACGGAGCATTCCTCGAGTTGCTGTGCTGAAGTTGGTGTTCCTCTAGACTTGGGACAGTGTTCTCGGGGCATCTCTGGAGTTGCCTGAAGGAAGTCGAGCCACCGGTCGTGTTGAATGGGGAACGGGGAATGGCTCTGGAGTCAATGCAGGGGAATCGGGCCTCATCTCGAGTTGATTTGGGGCACATGGAGCTGCTTTGCGTTGCTGGGGTGACCTCAGGGACCGTCTAGACTGGTGACAGTGTTCTTGGGGACTGTCTCGAGATCCATTAAGCAAGTCGAAGCTCCTGACTTGTTTGAATGGGGTCACGGAATAGCTCTGCATGCACTGCAGGGGAATGGGGCCTCATCTCGCCTCTAGGGGGAAGTCTCATGGTTTTTCTCGAGTTGCGGCGGGGACCTGGGGTATGTTCTCGACTTACGGCGGGGATGGCCCTTCAAAACACGAGTTTCTTCAGTGACGTCAGGACTCCTGTCTAGTAACGAGGGACACCTCAGGAATCTCTTCGAGGCTTGGCAGGGCCAAAGGGACGCTTCTCGAGGTGAGGCAGGGCACCCAAGGACCCTTTCCAGTAGCCACAGGGATTTTGGGATTCCTATCAGTATTCAAGAGGAGTCAGGCATCGTCACCTTTTGAAGCAATGAACTCCGCGTGCCTCTCGAGGTGTCAGCGGGATGTGAGTCATTCCGTCAAAATGAGGCAGGGACCTAGGGCTTTCTCTAAGGTCTCCACAGGGGATTCAGACATCCCTTCATGTTGTGAGATGAAAGACGAGCCTGTATTCAAGCCACTGCAAGGAAATCCGGCCTCCTTTCAAGTTAGGGCTTCTCGCTGTATATTCCCCTTGAGGCAGCAAACTCGGGGTCCCTCCCACATACCTATTGCTGAGAGAAGCCTCCTCCTGAGGTGCTTCTGGGAAGTTGGCATACGTCTTGAGCCTAAGCCAGGGAATCAGCTCGCATCTCGAGACGACTTGGGGTACACGGAGCATTCCTCGAGTTGCTGTGCTGAAGTTGGTGTTCCTCTAGACTTGGGACAGTGTTCTCGGGGCATCTCTGGAGTTGCCTGAAGGAAGTCGAGCCACCGGTCGTGTTGAATGGGGAACGGGGAATGGCTCTGGAGTCAATGCAGGGGAATCGGGCCTCATCTCGAGTTAATTTGGGGCACATGGAGCTGCTTTGCGTTGCTGGGGTGACCTCAGGGTCCGTCTAGACTGGTGACAGTGTTCTTGGGGACTGTCTCGAGATCCATTAAGCAAGTCGAAGCTCCTGACTTGTTTGAATGGGGTCACGGAATAGCTCTGCATGCACTGCAGGGGAATGGGGCCTCATCTCGCCTCTAGGGGGAAGTCTCATGGTTTTTCTCGAGTTGCGGCGGGGACCTGGGGTATGTTCTCGACTTACGGCGGGGATGGCCCTTCAAAACACGAGTTTCTTCAGTGACGTCAGGACTCCTGTCTAGTAACGAGGGACACCTCAGGAATCTCTTCGAGGCTTGGCAGGGCAAAAGGGACGCTTCTCGAGGTGAGGCAGGGCACCCAAGAACCCTTTCCAGTAGCCACAGGGATTTTGGGATTCCTATCAGTATTCAAGAGGAGTCAGGCATCGTCACCTTTTGAAGCAATGAACTCCGCGTGCCTCTCGAGGTGTCAGCGGGATGTGAGGCATTCCGTCAAAATGAGGCAGGGACCTAGGGCTTTCTCTAAGGTCTCCACAGGGGATTCAGACATCCCTTCATGTTGTGAGATGAAAGACGAGCCTGTATTCAAGCCACTGCAAGGAAATCCGGCCTCCTTTCAAGTTAGGGCTTCTCGCTGTATATTCCCCTTGAGGCAGCAAACTCGGGGTCCCTCCCACATACCTATTGCTGAGAGAAGCCTCCTCCTGAGGTGCTTCTGGGAAGTTGGCATACGTCTTGAGCCTAAGCCAGGGAATCAGCTCGCATCTCGAGACGACTTGGGTTACACGGAGCATTCCTCGAGTTGCTGTGCTGAAGTTGGTGTTCCTCTAGACTTGGGACAGTGTTCTCGGGGCATCTCTGGAGTTGCCTGAAGGAAGTCGAGCCACCGGTCGTGTTGAATGGGGAACGGGGAATGGCTCTGGAGTCAATGCAGGGGAATCGGGCCTCATCTCGAGTTGATTTGGGGCACATGGAGCTGCTTTGCGTTGCTGGGGTGACCTCAGGGACCGTCTAGACTGGTGACAGTGTTCTTGGGGACTGTCTCGAGATCCATTAAGCAAGTCGAAGCTCCTGAGTTGTTTGAATGGGGTCACGGAATAGCTCTGCATGCACTGCAGGGGAATGGGGCCTCATCTCGCCTCTAGGGGGAAGTCTCATGGTTTTTCTCGAGTTGCGGCGGGGACCTGGGGTATGTTCTCGACTTACGGCGGGGATGGCCCTTCAAAACACGAGTTTCTTCAGTGACGTCAGGACTCCTGTCTAGTAACGAGGGACACCTCAGGAATCTCTTCGAGGCTTGGCAGGGCCAAAGGGACGCTTCTCGAGGTGAGGCAGGGCACCCAAGGACCCTTTCCAGTAGCCACAGGGATTTTGGGATTCCTATCAGTATTCAAGAGGAGTCAGGCATCGTCACCTTTTGAAGCAATGAACTCCGCGTGCCTCTCGAGGTGTCAGCGGGATGTGAGGCATTCCGTCAAAATGAGGCAGGGACCTAGGGCTTTCTCTAAGGTCTCCACAGGGGATTCAGACATCCCTTCATGTTGTGAGATGAAAGACGAGCCTGTATTCAAGCCACTGCAAGGAAATCCGGCCTCCTTTCAAGTTAGGGCTTCTCGCTGTATATTCCCCTTGAGGCAGCAAACTCGGGGTCCCTCCCACATACCTATTGCTGAGAGAAGCCTCCTCCTGAGGTGCTTCTGGGAAGTTGGCATACGTCTTGAGCCTAAGCCAGGGAATCAGCTCGCATCTCGAGACGACTTGGGGTACACGGAGCATTCCTCGAGTTGCTGTGCTGAAGTTGGTGTTCCTCTAGACTTGGGACAGTGTTCTCGGGGCATCTCTGGAGTTGCCTGAAGGAAGTCGAGCCACCGGTCGTGTTGAATGGGGAACGGGGAATGGCTCTGGAGTCAATGCAGGGGAATCGGGCCTCATCTCGAGTTAATTTGGGGCACATGGAGCTGCTTTGCGTTGCTGGGGTGACCTCAGGGTCCGTCTAGACTGGTGACAGTGTTCTTGGGGACTGTCTCGAGATCCATTAAGCAAGTCGAAGCTCCTGACTTGTTTGAATGGGGTCACGGAATAGCTCTGCATGCACTGCAGGGGAATGGGGCCTCATCTCGCCTCTAGGGGGAAGTCTCATGGTTTTTCTCGAGTTGCGGCGGGGACCTGGGGTATGTTCTCGACTTACGGCGGGGATGGCCCTTCAAAACACGAGTTTCTTCAGTGACGTCAGGACTCCTGTCTAGTAACGAGGGACACCTCAGGAATCTCTTCGAGGCTTGGCAGGGCAAAAGGGACGCTTCTCGAGGTGAGGCAGGGCACCCAAGAACCCTTTCCAGTAGCCACAGGGATTTTGGGATTCCTATCAGTATTCAAGAGGAGTCAGGCATCGTCACCTTTTGAAGCAATGAACTCCGCGTGCCTCTCGAGGTGTCAGCGGGATGTGAGGCATTCCGTCAAAATGAGGCAGGGACCTAGGGCTTTCTCTAAGGTCTCCACAGGGGATTCAGACATCCCTTCATGTTGTGAGATGAAAGACGAGCCTGTATTCAAGCCACTGCAAGGAAATCCGGCCTCCTTTCAAGTTAGGGCTTCTCGCTGTATATTCCCCTTGAGGCAGCAAACTCGGGGTCCCTCCCACATACCTATTGCTGAGAGAAGCCTCCTCCTGAGGTGCTTCTGGGAAGTGTGCATACGTCTTGAGCCTAAGCCAGGGAATCAGCTCGCATCTCGAGACGACTTGGGGTACACGGAGCATTCCTCGAGTTGCTGTGCTGAAGTTGGTGTTCCTCTAGACTTGGGACAGTGTTCTCGGGGCATCTCTGGAGTTGCCTGAAGGAAGTCGAGCCACCGGTCGTGTTGAATGGGGAACGGGGAATGGCTCTGGAGTCAATGCAGGGGAATCGGGCCTCATCTCGAGCTGATTTGGGGCACATGGAGCTGCTTTGCGTTGCCGGGGTGACCTCAGGGTCCGTCTAGACTGGTGACAGTGTTCTTGGGGACTGTCTCGAGATCCATTAAGCAAGTCGAAGCTCCTGACTTGTTTGAATGGGGTCACGGAATAGCTCTGCATGCACTGCAGGGGAATGGGGCCTCATCTCGCCTCTAGGGGGAAGTCTCATGGTTTTTCTCGAGTTGCGGCGGGGACCTGGGGTATGTTCTCGACTTACGGCGGGGATGGCCCTTCAAAACACGAGTTTCTTCAGTGACGTCAGGACTCCTGTCTAGTAACGAGGGACACCTCAGGAATCTCTTCGAGGCTTGGCAGGGCCAAAGGGACGCTTCTCGAGGTGAGGCAGGGCACCCAAGGACCCTTTCCAGTAGCCACAGGGATTTTGGGATTCCTATCAGTATTCAAGAGGAGTCAGGCATCGTCACCTTTTGAAGCAATGAACTCCGCGTGCCTCTCGAGGTGTCAGCGGGATGTGAGGCATTCCGTCAAAATGAGGCAGGGACCTAGGGCTTTCTCTAAGGTCTCCACAGGGGATTCAGACATCCCTTCATGTTGTGAGATGAAAGACGAGCCTGTATTCAAGCCACTGCAAGGAAATCCGGCCTCCTTTCAAGTTAGGGCTTCTCGCTGTATATTCCCCTTGAGGCAGCAAACTCGGGGTCCCTCCCACATACCTATTGCTGAGAGAAGCCTCCTCCTGAGGTGCTTCTGGGAAGTTGGCATACGTCTTGAGCCTAAGCCAGGGAATCAGCTCGCATCTCGAGACGACTTGGGGTACACGGAGCATTCCTCGAGTTGCTGTGCTGAAGTTGGTGTTCCTCTAGACTTGGGACAGTGTTCTCGGGGCATCTCTGGAGTTGCCTGAAGGAAGTCGAGCCACCGGTCGTGTTGAATGGGGAATGGGGAATGGCTCTGGAGTCAATGCAGGGGAATCGGGCCTCATCTCGAGCTGATTTGGGGCACATGGAGCTGCTTTGCGTTGCCGGGGTGACCTCAGGGTCCGTCTAGACTGGTGACAGTGTTCTTGGGGACTGTCTCGAGATCCATTAAGCAAGTCGAAGCTCCTGACTTGTTTGAATGGGGTCACGGAATAGCTCTGCATGCACTGCAGGGGAATGGGGCCTCATCTCGCCTCTAGGGGGAAGTCTCATGGTTTTTCTCGAGTTGCGGCGGGGACCTGGGGTATGTTCTCGACTTACGGCGGGGATGGCCCTTCAAAACACGAGTTTCTTCAGTGACGTCAGGACTCCTGTCTAGTAACGAGGGACACCTCAGGAATCTCTTCGAGGCTTGGCAGGGCAAAAGGGACGCTTCTCGAGGTGAGGCAGGGCACCCAAGGACCCTTTCCAGTAGCCACAGGGATTTTGGGATTCCTATCAGTATTCAAGAGGAGTCAGGCATCGTCACCTTTTGAAGCAATGAACTCCGCGTGCCTCTCGAGGTGTCAGCGGGATGTGAGGCATTCCGTCAAAATGAGGCAGGGACCTAGGGCTTTCTCTAAGGTCTCCACAGGGGATTCAGACATCCCTTCATGTTGTGAGATGAAAGACGAGCCTGTATTCAAGCCACTGCAAGGAAATCCGGCTTCCTTTCAAGTTAGGGCTTCTCGCTGTATATTCCCCTTGAGGCAGCAAACTCGGGGTCCCTCCCACATACCTATTGCTGAGAGAAGCCTCCTCCTGAGGTGCTTCTGGGAAGTTGGCATACGTCTTGAGCCTAAGCCAGGGAATCAGCTCGCATCTCGAGACGACTTGGGGTACACGGAGCATTCCTCGAGTTGCTGTGCTGAAGTTGGTGTTCCTCTAGACTTGGGACAGTGTTCTCGGGGCATCTCTGGAGTTGCCTGAAGGAAGTCGAGCCACCGGTCGTGTTGAATGGGGAACGGGGAATGGCTCTGGAGTCAATGCAGGGGAATCGGGCCTCATCTCGAGTTGATTTGGGGCACATGGAGCTGCTTTGCGTTGCTGGGGTGACCTCAGGGTCCGTCTAGACTGGTGACAGTGTTCTTGGGGACTGTCTCGAGATCCATTAAGCAAGTCGAAGCTCCTGACTTGTTTGAATGGGGTCACGGAATAGCTCTGCATGCACTGCAGGGGAATGGGGCCTCATCTCGCCTCTAGGGGGAAGTCTCATGGTTTTTCTCGAGTTGCGGCGGGGACCTGGGGTATGTTCTCGACTTACGGCGGGGATGGCCCTTCAAAACACGAGTTTCTTCAGTGACGTCAGGACTCCTGTCTAGTAACGAGGGACACCTCAGGAATCTCTTCGAGGCTTGGCAGGGCCAAAGGGACGCTTCTCGAGGTGAGGCAGGGCACCCAAGGACCCTTTCCAGTAGCCACAGGGATTTTGGGATTCCTATCAGTATTCAAGAGGAGTCAGGCATCGTCACCTTTTGAAGCAATGAACTCCGCGTGCCTCTCGAGGTGTCAGCGGGATGTGAGGCATTCCGTCAAAATGAGGCAGGGACCTAGGGCTTTCTCTAAGGTCTCCACAGGGGATTCAGACATCCCTTCATGTTGTGAGATGAAAGACGAGCCTGTATTCAAGCCACTGCAAGGAAATCCGGCCTCCTTTCAAGTTATGGCTTCTCGCTGTATATTCCCCTTGAGGCAGCAAACTCGGGGTCCCTCCCACATACCTATTGCTGAGAGAAGCCTCCTCCTGAGGTGCTTCTGGGAAGTTGGCATACGTCTTGAGCCTAAGCCAGGGAATCAGCTCGCATCTCGAGACGACTTGGGGTACACGGAGCATTCCTCGAGTTGCTGTGCTGAAGTTGGTGTTCCTCTAGACTTGGGACAGTGTTCTCGGGGCATCTCTGGAGTTGCCTGAAGGAAGTCGAGCCACCGGTCGTGTTGAATGGGGAACGGGGAATGGCTCTGGAGTAAATGCAGGGGAATCGGGCCTCATCTCGAGCTGATTTGGGGCACATGGAGCTGCTTTGTGTTGCTGGGGTGACCTCAGGGTCCGTCTAGACTGGTGACAGTGTTCTTGGGGACTGTCTCGAGATCCATTAAGCAAGTCGAAGCTCCTGACTTGTTTGAATGGGGTCACGGAATAGCTCTGCATGCACTGCAGGGGAATGGGGCCTCATCTCGCCTCTAGGGGGAAGTCTCATGGTTTTTCTCGAGTTGCGGCGGGGACCTGGGGTATGTTCTCGACTTACGGTGGGGATGGCCCTTCAAAACACGAGTTTCTTCAGTGACGTCAGGACTCCTGTCTAGTAACGAGGGACACCTCAGGAATCTCTTCGAGGCTTGGCAGGGCAAAAGGGACGCTTCTCGAGGTGAGGCAGGGCACCCAAGAACCCTTTCCAGTAGCCACAGGGATTTTGGGATTCCTATCAGTATTCAAGAGGAGTCAGGCATCGTCACCTTTTGAAGCAATGAACTCCGCGTGCCTCTCGAGGTGTCAGCGGGATGTGAGGCATTCCGTCAAAATGAGGCAGGGACCTAGGGCTTTCTCTAAGGTCTCCACAGGGGATTCAGACATCCCTTCATGTTGTGAGATGAAAGACGAGCCTGTATTCAAGCCACTGCAAGGAAATCCGGCCTCCTTTCAAGTTAGGGCTTCTCGCTGTATATTCCCCTTGAGGCAGCAAACTCGGGGTCCCTCCCACATACCTATTGCTGAGAGAAGCCTCCTCCTGAGGTGCTTCTGGGAAGTTGGCATACGTCTTGAGCCTAAGCCAGGGAATCAGCTCGCATCTCGAGACGACTTGGGGTACACGGAGCATTCCTCGAGTTGCTGTGCTGAAGTTGGTGTTCCTCTAGACTTGGGACAGTGTTCTCGGGGCATCTCTGGAGTTGCCTGAAGGAAGTCGAGCCACCGGTCGTGTTGAATGGGGAACGGGGAATGGCTCTGGAGTCAATGCAGGGGAATCGGGCCTCATCTCGAGTTGATTTGGGGCACATGGAGCTGCTTTGCGTTGCTGGGGTGACCTCAGGGTCCGTCTAGACTGGTGACAGTGTTCTTGGGGACTGTCTCGAGATCCATTAAGCAAGTCGAAGCTCCTGACTTGTTTGAATGGGGTCACGGAATAGCTCTGCATGCACTGCAGGGGAATGGGGCCTCATCTCGCCTCTAGGGGGAAGTCTCATGGTTTTTCTCGAGTTGCGGTGGGGACCTGGGGTATGTTCTCGACTTACGGCGGGGATGGCCCTTCAAAACACGAGTTTCTTCAGTGACGTCAGGACTCCTGTCTAGTAACGAGGGACACCTCAGGAATCTCTTCGAGGCTTGGCAGGGCAAAAGGGACGCTTCTCGAGGTGAGGCAGGGCACCCAAGAACCCTTTCCAGTAGCCACAGGGATTTTGGGATTCCTATCAGTATTCAAGAGGAGTCAGGCATCGTCACCTTTTGAAGCAATGAACTCCGCGTGCCTCTCGAGGTGTCAGCGGGATGTGAGGCATTCCGTCAAAATGAGGCAGGGACCTAGGGCTTTCTCTAAGGTCTCCACAGGGGATTCAGACATCCCTTCATGTTGTGAGATGAAAGACGAGCCTGTATTCAAGCCACTGCAAGGAAATCCGGCCTCCTTTCAAGTTAGGGCTTCTCGCTGTATATTCCCCTTGAGGAAGCAAACTCGGGGTCCCTCCCACATACCTATTGCTGAGAGAAGCTTCCTCCTGAGGTGCTTCTGGGAAGTTGGCATACGTCTTTAGCCTAAGCCAGGGAATCAGCTCGCATCTCGAGACGACTTGGGGTACACGGAGCATTCCTCGAGTTGCTGTGCTGAAGTTGGTGTTCCTCTAGACTTGGGACAGTGTTCTCGGGGCATCTCTGGAGTTGCCTGAAGGAAGTCGAGCCACCGGTCGTGTTGAATGGGGAACGGGGAATGGCTCTGGAGTCAATGCAGGGGAATCGGGCCTCATCTCGAGCTGATTTGGGGCACATGGAGCTGCTTTGCGTTGCCGGGGTGACCTCAGGGTCCGTCTAGACTGGTGACAGTGTTCTTGGGGACTGTCTCGAGATCCATTAAGCAAGTCGAAGCTCCTGACTTGTTTGAATGGGGTCACGGAATAGCTCTGCATGCACTGCAGGGGAATGGGGCCTCATCTCGCCTCTAGGGGGAAGTCTCATGGTTTTTCTCGAGTTGCGGCGGGGACCTGGGGTATGTTCTCGACTTACGGCGGGGATGGCCCTTCAAAACACGAGTTTCTTCAGTGACGTCAGGACTCCTGTCTAGTAACGAGGGACACCTCAGGAATCTCTTCGAGGCTTGGCAGGGCCAAAGGGACGCTTCTCGAGGTGAGGCAGGGCACCCAAGGACCCTTTCCAGTAGCCACAGGGATTTTGGGATTCCTATCAGTATTCAAGAGGAGTCAGGCATCGTCACCTTTTGAAGCAATGAACTCCACGTGCCTCTCGAGGTGTCAGCGGGATGTGAGGCATTCCGTCAAAATGAGGCAGGGACCTAGGGCTTTCTCTAAGGTCTCCACAGGGGATTCAGACATCCCTTCATGTTGTGAGATGAAAGACGAGCCTGTATTCAAGCCACTGCAAGGAAATCCGGCCTCCTTTCAAGTTAGGGCTTCTCGCTGTATATTCCCCTTGAGGCAGCAAACTCGGGGTCCCTCCCACATACCTATTGCTGAGAGAAGCCTCCTCCTGAGGTGCTTCTGGGAAGTTGGCATACGTCTTGAGCCTAAGCCAGGGAATCAGCTCGCATCTCGAGACGACTTGGGGTACACGGAGCATTCCTCGAGTTGCTGTGCTGAAGTTGGTGTTCCTCTAGACTTGGGACAGTGTTCTCGGGGCATCTCTGGAGTTGCCTGAAGGAAGTCGAGCCACCGGTCGTGTTGAATGGGGAATGGGGAATGGCTCTAGAGTCAATGCAGGGGAATCGGGCCTCATCTCGAGCTGATTTGGGGCACATGGAGCTGCTTTGCGTTGCCGGGGTGACCTCAGGGTCCGTCTAGACTGGTGACAGTGTTCTTGGGGACTGTCTCGAGATCCATTAAGCAAGTCGAAGCTCCTGACTTGTTTGAATGGGGTCACGGAATAGCTCTGCATGCACTGCAGGGGAATGGGGCCTCATCTCGCCTCTAGGGGGAAGTCTCATGGTTTTTCTCGTGTTGCGGCGGGGACCTGGGGTATGTTCTCGACTTACGGCGGGGATGGCCCTTCAAAACACGAGTTTCTTCAGTGACGTCAGGACTCCTGTCTAGTAACGAGGGACACCTCAGGAATCTCTTCGAGGCTTGGCAGGGCAAAAGGGACGCTTCTCGAGGTGAGGCAGGGCACCCAAGGACCCTTTCCAGTAGCCACAGGGATTTTGGGATTCCTATCAGTATTCAAGAGGAGTCAGGCATCGTCACCTTTTGAAGCAATGAACTCCGCGTGCCTCTCGAGGTGTCAGCGGGATGTGAGGCATTCCGTCAAAATGAGGCAGGGACCTAGGGCTTTCTCTAAGGTCTCCACAGGGGATTCAGACATCCCTTCATGTTGTGAGATGAAAGACGAGCCTGTATTCAAGCCACTGCAAGGAAATCCGGCTTCCTTTCAAGTTAGGGCTTCTCGCTGTATATTCCCCTTGAGGCAGCAAACTCGGGGTCCCTCCCACATACCTATTGCTGAGAGAAGCCTCCTCCTGAGGTGCTTCTGGGAAGTTGGCATACGTCTTGAGCCTAAGCCAGGGAATCAGCTCGCATCTCGAGACGACTTGGGGTACACGGAGCATTCCTCGAGTTGCTGTGCTGAAGTTGGTGTTCCTCTAGACTTGGGACAGTGTTCTCGGGGCATCTCTGGAGTTGCCTGAAGGAAGTCGAGCCACCGGTCGTGTTGAATGGGGAACGGGGAATGGCTCTGGAGTCAATGCAGGGGAATCGGGCCTCATCTCGAGTTGATTTGGGGCACATGGAGCTGCTTTGCGTTGCTGGGGTGACCTCAGGGTCCGTCTAGACTGGTGACAGTGTTCTTGGGGACTGTCTCGAGATCCATTAAGCAAGTCGAAGCTCCTGACTTGTTTGAATGGGGTCACGGAATAGCTCTGCATGCACTGCAGGGGAATGGGGCCTCATCTCGCCTCTAGGGGGAAGTCTCATGGTTTTTCTCGAGTTGCGGCGGGGACCTGGGGTATGTTCTCGACTTACGGCGGGGATGGCCCTTCAAAACACGAGTTTCTTCAGTGACGTCAGGACTCCTGTCTAGTAACGAGGGACACCTCAGGAATCTCTTCGAGGCTTGGCAGGGCCAAAGGGACGCTTCTCGAGGTGAGGCAGGGCACCCAAGGACCCTTTCCAGTAGCCACAGGGATTTTGGGATTCCTATCAGTATTCAAGAGGAGTCAGGCATCGTCACCTTTTGAAGCAATGAACTCCGCGTGCCTCTCGAGGTGTCAGCGGGATGTGAGGCATTCCGTCAAAATGAGGCAGGGACCTAGGGCTTTCTCTAAGGTCTCCACAGGGGATTCAGACATCCCTTCATGTTGTGAGATGAAAGACGAGCCTGTATTCAAGCCACTGCAAGGAAATCCGGCCTCCTTTCAAGTTATGGCTTCTCGCTGTATATTCCCCTTGAGGCAGCAAACTCGGGGTCCCTCCCACATACCTATTGCTGAGAGAAGCCTCCTCCTGAGGTGCTTCTGGGAAGTTGGCATACGTCTTGAGCCTAAGCCAGGGAATCAGCTCGCATCTCGAGACGACTTGGGGTACACGGAGCATTCCTCGAGTTGCTGTGCTGAAGTTGGTGTTCCTCTAGACTTGGGACAGTGTTCTCGGGGCATCTCTGGAGTTGCCTGAAGGAAGTCGAGCCACCGGTCGTGTTGAATGGGGAACGGGGAATGGCTCTGGAGTAAATGCAGGGGAATCGGGCCTCATCTCGAGCTGATTTGGGGCACATGGAGCTGCTTTGTGTTGCTGGGGTGACCTCAGGGTCCGTCTAGACTGGTGACAGTGTTCTTGGGGACTGTCTCGAGATCCATTAAGCAAGTCGAAGCTCCTGACTTGTTTGAATGGGGTCACGGAATAGCTCTGCATGCACTGCAGGGGAATGGGGCCTCATCTCGCCTCTAGGGGGAAGTCTCATGGTTTTTCTCGAGTTGCGGCGGGGACCTGGGGTATGTTCTCGACTTACGGTGGGGATGGCCCTTCAAAACACGAGTTTCTTCAGTGACGTCAGGACTCCTGTCTAGTAACGAGGGACACCTCAGGAATCTCTTCGAGGCTTGGCAGGGCAAAAGGGACGCTTCTCGAGGTGAGGCAGGGCACCCAAGAACCCTTTCCAGTAGCCACAGGGATTTTGGGATTCCTATCAGTATTCAAGAGGAGTCAGGCATCGTCACCTTTTGAAGCAATGAACTCCGCGTGCCTCTCGAGGTGTCAGCGGGATGTGAGGCATTCCGTCAAAATGAGGCAGGGACCTAGGGCTTTCTCTAAGGTCTCCACAGGGGATTCAGACATCCCTTCATGTTGTGAGATGAAAGACGAGCCTGTATTCAAGCCACTGCAAGGAAATCCGGCCTCCTTTCAAGTTAGGGCTTCTCGCTGTATATTCCCCTTGAGGCAGCAAACTCGGGGTCCCTCCCACATACCTATTGCTGAGAGAAGCCTCCTCCTGAGGTGCTTCTGGGAAGTTGGCATACGTCTTGAGCCTAAGCCAGGGAATCAGCTCGCATCTCGAGACGACTTGGGGTACACGGAGCATTCCTCGAGTTGCTGTGCTGAAGTTGGTGTTCCTCTAGACTTGGGACAGTGTTCTCGGGGCATCTCTGGAGTTGCCTGAAGGAAGTCGAGCCACCGGTCGTGTTGAATGGGGAACGGGGAATGGCTCTGGAGTCAATGCAGGGGAATCGGGCCTCATCTCGAGTTGATTTGGGGCACATGGAGCTGCTTTGCGTTGCTGGGGTGACCTCAGGGTCCGTCTAGACTGGTGACAGTGTTCTTGGGGACTGTCTCGAGATCCATTAAGCAAGTCGAAGCTCCTGACTTGTTTGAATGGGGTCACGGAATAGCTCTGCATGCACTGCAGGGGAATGGGGCCTCATCTCGCCTCTAGGGGGAAGTCTCATGGTTTTTCTCGAGTTGCGGTGGGGACCTGGGGTATGTTCTCGACTTACGGCGGGGATGGCCCTTCAAAACACGAGTTTCTTCAGTGACGTCAGGACTCCTGTCTAGTAACGAGGGACACCTCAGGAATCTCTTCGAGGCTTGGCAGGGCAAAAGGGACGCTTCTCGAGGTGAGGCAGGGCACCCAAGAACCCTTTCCAGTAGCCACAGGGATTTTGGGATTCCTATCAGTATTCAAGAGGAGTCAGGCATCGTCACCTTTTGAAGCAATGAACTCCGCGTGCCTCTCGAGGTGTCAGCGGGATGTGAGGCATTCCGTCAAAATGAGGCAGGGACCTAGGGCTTTCTCTAAGGTCTCCACAGGGGATTCAGACATCCCTTCATGTTGTGAGATGAAAGACGAGCCTGTATTCAAGCCACTGCAAGGAAATCCGGCCTCTTTTCAAGTTAGGGCTTCTCGCTGTATATTCCCCTTGAGGAAGCAAACTCGGGGTCCCTCCCACATACCTATTGCTGAGAGAAGCTTCCTCCTGAGGTGCTTCTGGGAAGTTGGCATACGTCTTTAGCCTAAGCCAGGGAATCAGCTCGCATCTCGAGACGACTTGGGGTACACGGAGCATTCCTCGAGTTGCTGTGCTGAAGTTGGTGTTCCTCTAGACTTGGGACAGTGTTCTCGGGGCATCTCTGGAGTTGCCTGAAGGAAGTCGAGCCACCGGTCGTGTTGAATGGGGAACGGGGAATGGCTCTGGAGTCAATGCAGGGGAATCGGGCCTCATCTCGAGCTGATTTGGGGCACATGGAGCTGCTTTGCGTTGCCGGGGTGACCTCAGGGTCCGTCTAGACTGGTGACAGTGTTCTTGGGGACTGTCTCGAGATCCATTAAGCAAGTCGAAGCTCCTGACTTGTTTGAATGGGGTCACGGAATAGCTCTGCATGCACTGCAGGGGAATGGGGCCTCATCTCGCCTCTAGGGGGAAGTCTCATGGTTTTTCTCGAGTTGCGGCGGGGACCTGGGGTATGTTCTCGACTTACGGCGGGGATGGCCCTTCAAAACACGAGTTTCTTCAGTGACGTCAGGACTCCTGTCTAGTAAAGAGGGACACCTCAGGAATCTCTTCGAGGCTTGGCAGGGCCAAAGGGACGCTTCTCGAGGTGAGGCAGGGCACCCAAGGACCCTTTCCAGTAGCCACAGGGATTTTGGGATTCCTATCAGTATTCAAGAGGAGTCAGGCATCGTCACCTTTTGAAGCAATGAACTCCGCGTGCCTCTCGAGGTGTCAGCGGGATGTGAGGCATTCCGTCAAAATGAGGCAGGGACCTAGGGCTTTCTCTAAGGTCTCCACAGGGGATTCAGACATCCCTTCATGTTGTGAGATGAAAGACAAGCCTGTATTCAAGCCACTGCAAGGAAATCCGGCTTCCTTTCAAGTTAGGGCTTCTCGCTGTATATTCCCCTTGAGGCAGCAAACTCGGGGTCCCTCCCACATACCTATTGCTGAGAGAAGCTTCCTCCTGAGGTGCTTCTGGGAAGTTGGCATACGTCTTGAGCCTAAGCCAGGGAATCAGCTCGCATCTCGAGACGACTTGGGGTACACGGAGCATTCCTCGAGTTGCTGTGCTGAAGTTGGTGTTCCTCTAGACTTGGGACAGTGTTCTCGGGGCATCTCTGGAGTTGCCTGAAGGAAGTCGAGCCACCGGTCGTGTTGAATGGGGAACGGGGAATGGCTCTGGAGTCAATGCAGGGGAATCGGGCCTCATCTCGAGTTGATTTGGGGCACATGGAGCTGCTTTGCGTTGCTGGGGTGACCTCAGGGTCCGTCTAGACTGGTGACAGTGTTCTTGGGGACTGTCTCGAGATCCATTAAGCAAGTCGAAGCTCCTGACTTGTTTGAATGGGGTCACGGAATAGCTCTGCATGCACTGCAGGGGAATGGGGCCTCATCTCGCCTCTAGGGGGAAGTCTCATGGTTTTTCTCGAGTTGCGGCGGGGACCTGGGGTATGTTCTCGACTTACGGCGGGGATGGCCCTTCAAAACACGAGTTTCTTCAGTGACGTCAGGACTCCTGTCTAGTAACGAGGGACACCTCAGGAATCTCTTCGAGGCTTGGCAGGGCCAAAGGGACGCTTCTCGAGGTGAGGCAGGGCACCCAAGGACCCTTTCCAGTAGCCACAGGGATTTTGGGATTCCTATCAGTATTCAAGAGGAGTCAGGCATCGTCACCTTTTGAAGCAATGAACTCCGCGTTCCTCTCGAGGTGTCAGCGGGATGTGAGGCATTCCGTCAAAATGAGGCAGGGACCTAGGGCTTTCTCTAAGGTCTCCACAGGGGATTCAGACATCCCTTCATGTTGTGAGATGAAAGACGAGCCTGTATTCAAGCCACTGCAAGGAAATCCGGCCTCCTTTCAAGTTAGGGCTTCTCGCTGTATATTCCCCTTGAGGCAGCAAACTCGGGGTCCCTCCCACATACCTATTGCTGAGAGAAGCCTCCTCCTGAGGTGCTTCTGGGAAGTTGGCATACGTCTTGAGCCTAAGCCAGGGAATCAGCTCGCATCTCGAGACGACTTGGGGTACACGGAGCATTCCTCGAGTTGCTGTGCTGAAGTTGGTGTTCCTCTAGACTTGGGACAGTGTTCTCGGGGCATCTCTGGAGTTGCCTGAAGGAAGTCGAGCCACCGGTCGTGTTGAATGGGGAACGGGGAATGGCTCTGGAGTCAATGCAGGGGAATCGGGCCTCATCTCGAGTTAATTTGGGGCACATGGAGCTGCTTTGCGTTGCTGGGGTGACCTCAGGGTCCGTCTAGACTGGTGACAGTGTTCTTGGGGACTGTCTCGAGATCCATTAAGCAAGTCGAAGCTCCTGACTTGTTTGAATGGGGTCACGGAATAGCTCTGCATGCACTGCAGGGGAATGGGGCCTCATCTCGCCTCTAGGGGGAAGTCTCATGGTTTTTCTCGAGTTGCGGCGGGGACCTGGGGTATGTTCTCGACTTACGGCGGGGATGGCCCTTCAAAACACGAGTTTCTTCAGTGACGTCAGGACTCCTGTCTAGTAACGAGGGACACCTCAGGAATCTCTTCGAGGCTTGGCAGGGCAAAAGGGACGCTTCTCGAGGTGAGGCAGGGCACCCAAGAACCCTTTCCAGTAGCCACAGGGATTTTGGGATTCCTATCAGTATTCAAGAGGAGTCAGGCATCGTCACCTTTTGAAGCAATGAACTCCGCGTGCCTCTCGAGGTGTCAGCGGGATGTGAGGCATTCCGTCAAAATGAGGCAGGGACCTAGGGCTTTCTCTAAGGTCTCCACAGGGGATTCAGACATCCCTTCATGTTGTGAGATGAAAGACGAGCCTGTATTCAAGCCACTGCAAGGAAATCCGGCCTCCTTTCAAGTTAGGGCTTCTCGCTGTATATTCCCCTTGAGGCAGCAAACTCGGGGTCCCTCCCACATACCTATTGCTGAGAGAAGCCTCCTCCTGAGGTGCTTCTGGGAAGTTGGCATACGTCTTGAGCCTAAGCCAGGGAATCAGCTCGCATCTCGAGACGACTTGGGGTACACGGAGCATTCCTCGAGTTGCTGTGCTGAAGTTGGTGTTCCTCTAGACTTGGGACAGTGTTCTCGGGGCATCTCTGGAGTTGCCTGAAGGAAGTCGAGCCACCGGTCGTGTTGAATGGGGAACGGGGAATGGCTCTGGAGTCAATGCAGGGGAATCGGGCCTCATCTCGTGCTGATTTGGGGCACATGGAGCTGCTTTGCGTTGCCGGGGTGACCTCAGGGTCCGTCTAGACTGGTGACAGTGTTCTTGGGGACTGTCTCGAGATCCATTAAGCAAGTCGAAGCTCCTGACTTGTTTGAATGGGGTCACGGAATAGCTCTGCATGCACTGCAGGGGAATGGGGCCTCATCTCGCCTCTAGGGGGAAGTCTCATGGTTTTTCTCGAGTTGCGGCGGGGACCTGGGGTATGTTCTCGACTTACGGCGGGGATGGCCCTTCAAAACACGAGTTTCTTCAGTGACGTCAGGACTCCTGTCTAGTAACGAGGGACACCTCAGGAATCTCTTCGAGGCTTGGCAGGGCAAAAGGGACGCTTCTCGAGGTGAGGCAGGGCACCCAAGGACCCTTTCCAGTAGCCACAGGGATTTTGGGATTCCTATCAGTATTCAAGAGGAGTCAGGCATCGTCACCTTTTGAAGCAATGAACTCCGCGTGCCTCTCGAGGTGTCAGCGGGATGTGAGGCATTCCGTCAAAATGAGGCAGGGACCTAGGGCTTTCTCTAAGGTCTCCACAGGGGATTCAGACATCCCTTCATGTTGTGAGATGAAAGACGAGCCTGTATTCAAGCCACTGCAAGGAAATCCGGCTTCCTTTCAAGTTAGGGCTTCTCGCTGTATATTCCCCTTGAGGCAGCAAACTCGGGGTCCCTCCCACATACCTATTGCTGAGAGAAGCCTCCTCCTGAGGTGCTTCTGGGAAGTTGGCATACGTCTTGAGCCTAAGCCAGGGAATCAGCTCGCATCTCGAGACGACTTGGGGTACACGGAGCATTCCTCGAGTTGCTGTGCTGAAGTTGCTGTTCCTCTAGACTTGGGACAGTGTTCTCGGGGCATCTCTGGAGTTGCCTGAAGGAAGTCGAGCCACCGGTCGTGTTGAATGGGGAACGGGGAATGGCTCTGGAGTCAATGCAGGGGAATCGGGCCTCATCTCGAGTTGATTTGGGGCACATGGAGCTGCTTTGCGTTGCTGGGGTGACCTCAGGGTCCGTCTAGACTGGTGACAGTGTTCTTGGGGACTGTCTCGAGATCCATTAAGCAAGTCGAAGCTCCTGACTTGTTTGAATGGGGTCACGGAATAGCTCTGCATGCACTGCAGGGGAATGGGGCCTCATCTCGCCTCTAGGGGGAAGTCTCATGGTTTTTCTCGAGTTGCGGCGGGGACCTGGGGTATGTTCTCGACTTACGGCGGGGATGGCCCTTCAAAACACGAGTTTCTTCAGTGACGTCAGGACTCCTGTCTAGTAACGAGGGACACCTCAGGAATCTCTTCGAGGCTTGGCAGGGCCAAAGGGACGCTTCTCGAGGTGAGGCAGGGCACCCAAGGACCCTTTCCAGTAGCCACAGGGATTTTGGGATTCCTATCAGTATTCAAGAGGAGTCAGGCATCGTCACCTTTTGAAGCAATGAACTCCGCGTGCCTCTCGAGGTGTCAGCGGGATGTGAGGCATTCCGTCAAAATGAGGCAGGGACCTAGGGCTTTCTCTAAGGTCTCCACAGGGGATTCAGACATCCCTTCATGTTGTGAGATGAAAGACGAGCCTGTATTCAAGCCACTGCAAGGAAATCCGGCCTCCTTTCAAGTTAGGGCTTCTCGCTGTATATTCCCCTTGAGGCAGCAAACTCGGGGTCCCTCCCACATACCTATTGCTGAGAGAAGCCTCCTCCTGAGGTGCTTCTGGGAAGTTGGCATACGTCTTGAGCCTAAGCCAGGGAATCAGCTCGCATCTCGAGACGACTTGGGGTACACGGAGCATTCCTCGAGTTGCTGTGCTGAAGTTGGTGTTCCTCTAGACTTGGGACAGTGTTCTCGGGGCATCTCTGGAGTTGCCTGAAGGAAGTCGAGCCACCGGTCGTGTTGAATGGGGAACGGGGAATGGCTCTGGAGTCAATGCAGGGGAATCGGGCCTCATCTCGAGCTGATTTGGGGCACATGGAGCTGCTTTGCGTTGCCGGGGTGACCTCAGGGTCCGTCTAGACTGGTGACAGTGTTCTTGGGGACTGTCTCGAGATCCATTAAGCAAGTCGAAGCTCCTGACTTGTTTGAATGGGGTCACGGAATAGCTCTGCATGCACTGCAGGGGAATGGGGCCTCATCTCGCCTCTAGGGGGAAGTCTCATGGTTTTTCTCGAGTTGCGGCGGGGACCTGGGGTATGTTCTCGACTTACGGCGGGGATGGCCCTTCAAAACACGAGTTTCTTCAGTGACGTCAGGACTCCTGTCTAGTAACGAGGGACACCTCAGGAATCTCTTCGAGGCTTGGCAGGGCAAAAGGGACGCTTCTCGAGGTGAGGCAGGGCACCCAAGGACCCTTTCCAGTAGCCACAGGGATTTTGGGATTCCTATCAGTATTCAAGAGGAGTCAGGCATCGTCACCTTTTGAAGCAATGAACTCCGCGTGCCTCTCGAGGTGTCAGCGGGATGTGAGGCATTCCGTCAAAATGAGGCAGGGACCTAGGGCTTTCTCTAAGGTCTCCACAGGGGATTCAGACATCCCTTCATGTTGTGAGATGAAAGACGAGCCTGTATTCAAGCCACTGCAAGGAAATCCGGCTTCCTTTCAAGTTAGGGCTTCTCGCTGTATATTCCCCTTGAGGCAGCAAACTCGGGGTCCCTCCCACATACCTATTGCTGAGAGAAGCCTCCTCCTGAGGTGCTTCTGGGAAGTTGGCATACGTCTTCAGCCTAAGCCAGGGAATCAGCTCGCATCTCGAGACGACTTGGGGTACACGGAGCATTCCTCGAGTTGCTGTGCTGAAGTTGGTGTTCCTCTAGACTTGGGACAGTGTTCTCGGGGCATCTCTGGAGTTGCCTGAAGGAAGTCGAGCCACCGGTCGTGTTGAATGGGGAACGGGGAATGGCTCTGGAGTCAATGCAGGGGAATCGGGCCTCATCTCGAGTTGATTTGGGGCACATGGAGCTGCTTTGCGTTGCTGGGGTGACCTCAGGGTCCGTCTAGACTGGTGACAGTGTTCTTGGGGACTGTCTCGAGATCCATTAAGCAAGTCGAAGCTCCTGACTTGTTTGAATGGGGTCACGGAATAGCTCTGCATGCACTGCAGGGGAATGGGGCCTCATCTCGCCTCTAGGGGGAAGTCTCATGGTTTTTCTCGAGTTGCGGCGGGGACCTGGGGTATGTTCTCGACTTACGGCGGGGATGGCCCTTCAAAACACGAGTTTCTTCAGTGACGTCAGGACTCCTGTCTAGTAACGAGGGACACCTCAGGAATCTCTTCGAGGCTTGGCAGGGCCAAAGGGACGCTTCTCGAGGTGAGGCCGGGCACCCAAGGACCCTTTCCAGTAGCCACAGGGATTTTGGGATTCCTATCAGTATTCAAGAGGAGTCAGGCATCGTCACCTTTTGAAGCAATGAACTCCGCGTGCCTCTCGAGGTGTCAGCGGGATGTGAGGCATTCCGTCAAAATGAGGCAGGGACCTAGGGCTTTCTCTAAGGTCTCCACAGGGGATTCAGACATCCCTTCATGTTGTGAGATGAAAGACGAGCCTGTATTCAAGCCACTGCAAGGAAATCCGGCCTCCTTTCAAGTTAGGGCTTCTCGCTGTATATTCCCCTTGAGGCAGCAAACTCGGGGTCCCTCCCACATACCTATTGCTGAGAGAAGCCTCCTCCTGAGGTGCTTCTGGGAAGTTGGCATACGTCTTGAGCCTAAGCCAGGGAATCAGCTCGCATCTCGAGACGACTTGGGGTACACGGAGCATTCCTCGAGTTGCTGTGCTGAACTTGGTGTTCCTCTAGACTTGGGACAGTGTTCTCGGGGCATCTCTGGAGTTGCCTGAAGGAAGTCGAGCCACCGGTCGTGTTGAATGGGGAACGGGGAATGGCTCTGGAGTCAATGCAGGGGAATCGGGCCTCATCTCGTGCTGATTTGGGGCACATGGAGCTGCTTTGCGTTGCCGGGGTGACCTCAGGGTCCGTCTAGACTGGTGACAGTGTTCTTGGGGACTGTCTCGAGATCCATTAAGCAAGTCGAAGCTCCTGACTTGTTTGAATGGGGTCACGGAATAGCTCTGCATGCACTGCAGGGGAATGGGGCCTCATCTCGCCTCTAGGGGGAAGTCTCATGGTTTTTCTCGAGTTGCGGCGGGGACCTGGGGTATGTTCTCGACTTACGGCGGGGATGGCCCTTCAAAACACGAGTTTCTTCAGTGACGTCAGGACTCCTGTCTAGTAACGAGGGACACCTCAGGAATCTCTTCGAGGCTTGGCAGGGCAAAAGGGACGCTTCTCGAGGTGAGGCAGGGCACCCAAGGACCCTTTCCAGTAGCCACAGGGATTTTGGGATTCCTATCAGTATTCAAGAGGAGTCAGGCATCGTCACCTTTTGAAGCAATGAACTCCGCGTGCCTCTCGAGGTGTCAGCGGGATGTGAGGCATTCCGTCAAAATGAGGCAGGGACCTAGGGCTTTCTCTAAGGTCTCCACAGGGGATTCAGACATCCCTTCATGTTGTGAGATGAAAGACGAGCCTGTATTCAAGCCACTGCAAGGAAATCCGGCTTCCTTTCAAGTTAGGGCTTCTCGCTGTATATTCCCCTTGAGGCAGCAAACTCGGGGTCCCTCCCACATACCTATTGCTGAGAGAAGCTTCCTCCTGAGGTGCTTCTGGGAAGTTGGCATACGTCTTGAGCCTAAGCCAGGGAATCAGCTCGCATCTCGAGACGACTTGGGGTACACGGAGCATTCCTCGAGTTGCTGTGCTGAAGTTGGTGTTCCTCTAGACTTGGGACAGTGTTCTCGGGGCATCTCTGGAGTTGCCTGAAGGAAGTCGAGCCACCGGTCGTGTTGAATGGGGAACGGGGAATGGCTCTGGAGTCAATGCAGGGGAATCGGGCCTCATCTCGAGTTGATTTGGGGCACATGGAGCTGCTTTGCGTTGCTGGGGTGACCTCAGGGTCCGTCTAGACTGGTGACAGTGTTCTTGGGGACTGTCTCGAGATCCATTAAGCAAGTCGAAGCTCCTGACTTGTTTGAATGGGGTCACGGAATAGCTCTGCATGCACTGCAGGGGAATGGGGCCTCATCTCGCCTCTAGGGGGAAGTCTCATGGTTTTTCTCGAGTTGCGGCGGGGACCTGGGGTATGTTCTCGACTTACGGCGGGGATGGCCCTTCAAAACACGAGTTTCTTCAGTGACGTCAGGACTCCTGTCTAGTAACGGGGACACCTCAGGAATCTCTTCGAGGCTTGGCAGGGCCAAAGGGACGCTTCTCGAGGTGAGGCAGGGCACCCAAGAACCCTTTCCAGTAGCCACAGGGATTTTGGGATTCCTATCAGTATTCAAGAGGAGTCAGGCATCGTCACCTTTTGAAGCAATGAACTCCGCGTGCCTCTCGAGGTGTCAGCGGGATGTGAGGCATTCCGTCAAAATGAGGCAGGGACCTAGGGCTTTCTCTAAGGTCTCCACAGGGGATTCAGACATCCCTTCATGTTGTGAGATGAAAGACGAGCCTGTATTCAAGCCACTGCAAGGAAATCCGGCCTCCTTTCAAGTTAGGGCTTCTCGCTGTATATTCCCCTTGAGGAAGCAAACTCGGGGTCCCTCCCACATACCTATTGCTGAGAGAAGCCTCCTCCTGAGGTGCTTCTGGGAAGTTGGCATACGTCTTGAGCCTAAGCCAGGGAATCAGCTCGCATCTCGAGACGACTTGGGGTACACGGAGCATTCCTCGAGTTGCTGTGCTGAAGTTGGTGTTCCTCTAGACTTGGGACAGTGTTCTCGGGGCATCTCTGGAGTTGCCTGAAGGAAGTCGAGCCACCGGTCGTGTTGAATGGGGAACGGGGAATGGCTCTGGAGTCAATGCAGGGGAATCGGGCCTCATCTCGAGTTGATTTGGGGCACATGGAGCTGCTTTGCGTTGCTGGGGTGACCTCAGGGTCCGTCTAGACTGGTGACAGTGTTCTTGGGGACTGTCTCGAGATCCATTAAGCAAGTCGAAGCTCCTGACTTGTTTGAATGGGGTCACGGAATAGCTCTGTATGCACTGCAGGGGAATGGGGCCTCATCTCGCCTCTAGGGGGAAGTCTCATGGTTTTTCTCGAGTTGCGGCGGGGACCTGGGGTATGTTCTCCACTTACGGCGGGGATGGCCCTTCAAAACACGAGTTTCTTCAGTGACGTCAGGACTCCTGTCTAGTAACGAGGGACACCTCAGGAATCTCTTCGAGGCTTGGCAGGGCCAAAGGGACGCTTCTCGAGGTGAGGCAGGGCACCCAAGGACCCTTTCCAGTAGCCACAGGGATTTTGGGATTCCTATCAGTATTCAAGAGGAGTCAGGCATCGTCACCTTTTGAAGCAATGAACTCCGCGTGCCTCTCGAGGTGTCAGCGGGATGTGAGGCATTCCGTCAAAATGAGGCAGGGACCTAGGGCTTTCTCTAAGGTCTCCACAGGGGATTCAGACATCCCTTCATGTTGTGAGATGAAAGACGAGCCTGTATTCAAGCCACTGCAAGGAAATCCGGCCTCCTTTCAAGTTAGGGCTTCTCGCTGTATATTCCCCTTGAGGCAGCAAACTCGGGGTCCCTCCCACATACCTATTGCTGAGAGAAGCCTCCTCCTGAGGTGCTTCTGGGAAGTTGGCATACGTCTTGAGCCTAAGCCAGGGAATCAGCTCGCATCTCGAGACGACTTGGGGTACACGGAGCATTCCTCGAGTTGCTGTGCTGAAGTTGGTGTTCCTCTAGACTTGGGACAGTGTTCTCGGGGCATCTCTGGAGTTGCCTGAAGGAAGTCGAGCCACCGGTCGTGTTGAATGGGGAACGGGGAATGGCTCTGGAGTCAATGCAGGGGAATCGGGCCTCATCTCGTGCTGATTTGGGGCACATGGAGCTGCTTTGCGTTGCCGGGGTGACCTCAGGGTCCGTCTAGACTGGTGACAGTGTTCTTGGGGACTGTCTCGAGATCCATTAAGCAAGTCGAAGCTCCTGACTTGTTTGAATGGGGTCACGGAATAGCTCTGCATGCACTGCAGGGGAATGGGGCCTCATCTCGCCTCTAGGGGGAAGTCTCATGGTTTTTCTCGAGTTGCGGCGGGGACCTGGGGTATGTTCTCGACTTACGGCGGGGATGGCCCTTCAAAACACGAGTTTCTTCAGTGACGTCAGGACTCCTGTCTAGTAACGAGGGACACCTCAGGAATCTCTTCGAGGCTTGGCAGGGCAAAAGGGACGCTTCTCGAGGTGAGGCAGGGCACCCAAGGACCCTTTCCAGTAGCCACAGGGATTTTGGGATTCCTATCAGTATTCAAGAGGAGTCAGGCATCGTCACCTTTTGAAGCAATGAACTCCGCGTGCCTCTCGAGGTGTCAGCGGGATGTGAGGCATTCCGTCAAAATGAGGCAGGGACCTAGGGCTTTCTCTAAGGTCTCCACAGGGGATTCAGACATCCCTTCATGTTGTGAGATGAAAGACGAGCCTGTATTCAAGCCACTGCAAGGAAATCCGGCTTCCTTTCAAGTTAGGGCTTCTCGCTGTATATTCCCCTTGAGGCAGCAAACTCGGGGTCCCTCCCACATACCTATTGCTGAGAGAAGCTTCCTCCTGAGGTGCTTCTGGGAAGTTGGCATACGTCTTGAGCCTAAGCCAGGGAATCAGCTCGCATCTCGAGACGACTTGGGGTACACGGAGCATTCCTCGAGTTGCTGTGCTGAAGTTGGTGTTCCTCTAGACTTGGGACAGTGTTCTCGGGGCATCTCTGGAGTTGCCTGAAGGAAGTCGAGCCACCGGTCGTGTTGATTGGGGAACGGGGAATGGCTCTGGAGTCAATGCAGGGGAATCGGGCCTCATCTCGAGTTGATTTGGGGCACATGGAGCTGCTTTGCGTTGCTGGGGTGACCTCAGGGTCCGTCTAGACTGGTGACAGTGTTCTTGGGGACTGTCTCGAGATCCATTAAGCAAGTCGAAGCTCCTGACTTGTTTGAATGGGGTCACGGAATAGCTCTGCATGCACTGCAGGGGAATGGGGCCTCATCTCGCCTCTAGGGGGAAGTCTCATGGTTTTTCTCGAGTTGCGGCGGGGACCTGGGGTATGTTCTCGACTTACGGCGGGGATGGCCCTTCAAAACACGAGTTTCTTCAGTGACGTCAGGACTCCTGTCTAGTAACGGGGACACCTCAGGAATCTCTTCGAGGCTTGGCAGGGCCAAAGGGACGCTTCTCGAGGTGAGGCAGGGCACCCAAGAACCCTTTCCAGTAGCCACAGGGATTTTGGGATTCCTATCAGTATTCAAGAGGAGTCAGGCATCGTCACCTTTTGAAGCAATGAACTCCGCGTGCCTCTCGAGGTGTCAGCGGGATGTGAGGCATTCCGTCAAAATGAGGCAGGGACCTAGGGCTTTCTCTAAGGTCTCCACAGGGGATTCAGACATCCCTTCATGTTGTGAGATGAAAGACGAGCCTGTATTCAAGCCACTGCAAGGAAATCCGGCCTCCTTTCAAGTTAGGGCTTCTCGCTGTATATTCCCCTTGAGGAAGCAAACTCGGGGTCCCTCCCACATACCTATTGCTGAGAGAAGCCTCCTCCTGAGGTGCTTCTGGGAAGTTGGCATACGTCTTGAGCCTAAGCCAGGGAATCAGCTCGCATCTCGAGACGACTTGGGGTACACGGAGCATTCCTCGAGTTGCTGTGCTGAAGTTGGTGTTCCTCTAGACTTGGGACAGTGTTCTCGGGGCATCTCTGGAGTTGCCTGAAGGAAGTCGAGCCACCGGTCGTGTTGAATGGGGAACGGGGAATGGCTCTGGAGTCAATGCAGGGGAATCGGGCCTCATCTCGAGTTGATTTGGGGCACATGGAGCTGCTTTGCGTTGCTGGGGTGACCTCAGGGTCCGTCTAGACTGGTGACAGTGTTCTTGGGGACTGTCTCGAGATCCATTAAGCAAGTCGAAGCTCCTGACTTGTTTGAATGGGGTCACGGAATAGCTCTGTATGCACTGCAGGGGAATGGGGCCTCATCTCGCCTCTAGGGGGAAGTCTCATGGTTTTTCTCGAGTTGCGGCGGGGACCTGGGGTATGTTCTCCACTTACGGCGGGGATGGCCCTTCAAAACACGAGTTTCTTCAGTGACGTCAGGACTCCTGTCTAGTAACGAGGGACACCTCAGGAATCTCTTCGAGGCTTGGCAGGGCCAAAGGGACGCTTCTCGAGGTGAGGCAGGGCACCCAAGGACCCTTTCCAGTAGCCACAGGGATTTTGGCATTCCTATCAGTATTCAAGAGGAGTCAGGCATCGTCACCTTTTGAAGCAATGAACTCCGCGTTCCTCTCGAGGTGTCAGCGGGATGTGAGGCATTCCGTCAAAATGAGGCAGGGACCTAGGGCTTTCTCTAAGGTCTCCACAGGGGATTCAGACATCCCTTCATGTTGTGAGATGAAAGACGAGCCTGTATTCAAGCCACTGCAAAGAAATCCGGCCTCCTTTCAAGTTAGGGCTTCTCGCTGTATATTCCCCTTGAGGCAGCAAACTCGGGGTCCCTCCCACATACCTATTGCTGAGAGAAGCCTCCTCCTGAGGTGCTTCTGGGAAGTTGGCATACGTCTTGAGCCTAAGCCAGGGAATCAGCTCGCATCTCGAGACGACTTGGGGTACACGGAGCATTCCTCGAGTTGCTGTGCTGAAGTTGGTGTTCCTCTAGACTTGGGACAGTGTTCTCGGGGCATCTCTGGAGTTGCCTGAAGGAAGTCGAGCCACCGGTCGTGTTGAATGGGGAACGGGGAATGGCTCTGGAGTCAATGCAGGGGAATCGGGCCTCATCTCGAGCTGATTTGGGGCACATGGAGCTGCTTTGCGTTGCTGGGGTGACCTCAGGGTCCGTCTAGACTGGTGACAGTGTTCTTGGGGACTGTCTCGAGATCCATTAAGCAAGTCGAAGCTCCTGACTTGTTTGAATGGGGTCACGGAATAGCTCTGCATGCACTGCAGGGGAATGGGGCCTCATCTCGCCTCTAGGGGGAAGTCTCATGGTTTTTCTCGAGTTGCGGCGGGGACCTGGGGTATGTTCTCGACTTACGGCGGGGATGGCCCTTCAAAACACGAGTTTCTTCAGTGACGTCAGGACTCCTGTCTAGTAACGAGGGACACCTCAGGAATCTCTTCGAGGCTTGGCAGGGCAAAAGGGACGCTTCTCGAGGTGAGGCAGGGCACCCAAGAACCCTTTCCAGTAGCCACAGGGATTTTGGGATTCCTATCAGTATTCAAGAGGAGTCAGGCATCGTCACCTTTTGAAGCAATGAACTCCGCGTGCCTCTCGAGGTGTCAGCGGGATGTGAGGCATTCCGTCAAAATGAGGCAGGGACCTAGGGCTTTCTCTAAGGTCTCCACAGGGGATTCAGACATCCCTTCATGTTGTGAGATGAAAGACGAGCCTGTATTCAAGCCACTGCAAGGAAATCCGGCCTCCTTTCAAGTTAGGGCTTCTCGCTGTATATTCCCCTTGAGGCAGCAAACTCGGGGTCCCTCCCACATACCTATTGCTGAGAGAAGCTTCCTCCTGAGGTGCTTCTGGGAAGTTGGCATACGTCTTGAGCCTAAGCCAGGGAATCAGCTCGCATCTCGAGACGACTTGGGGTACACGGAGCATTCCTCGAGTTGCTGTGCTGAAGTTGGTGTTCCTCTAGACTTGGGACAGTGTTCTCGGGGCATCTCTGGAGTTGCCTGAAGGAAGTCGAGCCACCGGTCGTGTTGAATGGGGAACGGGAAATGGCTCTGGAGTCAATGCAGGGGAATCGGGCCTCATCTCGAGCTGATTTGGGGCACATGGAGCTGCTTTGCGTTGCTGGGGTGACCTCAGGGTCCGTCTAGACTGGTGACAGTGTTCTTGGGGACTGTCTCGAGATCCATTAAGCAAGTCGAAGCTCCTGACTTGTTTGAATGGGGTCACGGAATAGCTCTGCATGCACTGCAGGGGAATGGGGCCTCATCTCGCCTCTAGGGGGAAGTCTCATGGTTTTTCTCGAGTTGCGGCGGGGACCTGGGGTATGTTCTCGACTTACGGCGGGGATGGCCCTTCAAAACACGAGTTTCTTCAGTGACGTCAGGACTCCTGTCTAGTAACGAGGGACACCTCAGGAATCTCTTCGAGGCTTGGCAGGGCAAAAGGGACGCTTCTCGAGGTGAGGCAGGGCACCCAAGAACCCTTTCCAGTAGCCACAGGGATTTTGGGATTCCTATCAGTATTCAAGAAGAGTCAGGCATCGTCACCTTTTGAAGCAATGAACTCCGCGTGCCTCTCGAGGTGTCAGCGGGATGTGAGGCATTCCGTCAAAATGAGGCAGGGACCTAGGGCTTTCTCTAAGGTCTCCACAGGGGATTCAGACATCCCTTCATGTTGTGAGATGAAAGACGAGCCTGTATTCAAGCCACTGCAAGGAAATCCGGCCTCCTTTCAAGTTAGGGCTTCTCGCTGTATATTCCCCTTGAGGCAGCAAACTCGGGGTCCCTCCCACATACCTATTGCTGAGAGAAGCTTCCTCCTGAGGTGCTTCTGGGAAGTTGGCATACGTCTTGAGCCTAAGCCAGGGAATCAGCTCGCATCTCGAGACGACTTGGGGTACACGGAGCATTCCTCGAGTTGCTGTGCTGAAGTTGGTGTTCCTCTAGACTTGGGACAGTGTTCTCGGGGCATCTCTGGAGTTGCCTGAAGGAAGTCGAGCCACCGGTCGTGTTGAATGGGGAACGGGGAATGGCTCTGGAGTCAATGCAGGGGAATCGGGCCTCATCTCGAGTTGATTTGGGGCACATGGAGCTGCTTTGCGTTGCCGGGGTGACATCAGGGTCCGTCTAGACTGGTGACAGTGTTCTTGGGGACTGTCTCGAGATCCATTAAGCAAGTCGAAGCTCCTGACTTGTTTGAATGGGGTCACGGAATAGCTCTGCATGCACTGCAGGGGAATGGGGCCTCATCTCGCCTCTAGGGGGAAGTCTCATGGTTTTTCTCGAGTTGCGGCGGGGACCTGGGGTATGTTCTCGACTTACGGCGGGGATGGCCCTTCAAAACACGAGTTTCTTCAGTGACGTCAGGACTCCTGTCTAGTAACGAGGGACACCTCAGGAATCTCTTCGAGGCTTGGCAGTGCCAAAGGGACGCTTCTCGAGGTGAGGCAGGGCACCCAAGGACCCTTTCCAGTAGCCACAGGGATTTTGGGATTCCTATCAGTATTCAAGAGGAGTCAGGCATCGTCACCTTTTGAAGCAATGAACTCCGCGTGCCTCTCGAAGTGTCAGCGGGATGTGAGGCATTCCGTCAAAATGAGGCAGGGACCTAGGGCTTTCTCTAAGGTCTCCACAGGGGATTCAGACATCCCTTCATGTTGTGAGATGAAAGACGAGCCTGTATTCAAGCCACTGCAAGGAAATCCGGCCTCCTTTCAAGTTAGGACTTCTCGCTGTATATTCCACTTGAGGCAGCAAACTCGGGGTCCCTCCCACATACCTATTGCTGAGAGAAGCCTCCTCCTGAGGTGCTTCTGGGAAGTTGGCATACGTCTTGAGCCTAAGCCAGGGAATCAGCTCGCATCTCGAGACGACTTGCGGTACACGGAGCATTCCTCGAGTTGCTGTGCTGAAGTTGGTGTTCCTCTAGACTTGGGACAGTGTTCTCGGGGCATCTCTGGAGTTGCCTGAAGGAAGTCGAGCCACCGGTCGTGTTGAATGGGGAACGGGGAATGGCTCTGGAGTCAATGCAGGGGAATCGGGCCTCATCTCGAGTTGATTTGGGGCACATGGAGCTGCTTTGCGTTGCTGGGGTGACCTCAGGGTCCGTCTAGACTGGTGACAGTGTTCTTGGGGACTGTCTCGAGATCCATTAAGCAAGTCGAAGCTCCTGACTTGTTTGAATGGGGTCACGGAATAGCTCTGCATGCAGTGCAGGGGAATGGGGCCTCATCTCGCCTCTAGGGGGAAGTCTCATGGTTTTTCTCGAGTTGCGGCGGGGACCTGGGGTATGTTCTCGACTTACGGCGGGGATGGCCCTTCAAAACACGAGTTTCTTCAGTGACGTCAGGACTCCTGTCTAGTAACGAGGGACACCTCAGGAATCTCTTCGAGGCTTGGCAGGGCCAAAGGGACGCTTCTCGAGGTGAGGCAGGGCACCCAAGGACCCTTTCCAGTAGCCACAGGGATTTTGGGATTCCTATCAGTATTCAAGAGGAGTCAGGCATCGTCACCTTTTGAAGCAATGAACTCCGCGTGCCTCTCGAGGTGTCAGCGGGATGTGAGGCATTCCGTCAAAATGAGGCAGGGACCTAGGGCTTTCTCTAAGGTCTCCACAGGGGATTCAGACATCCCTTCATGTTGTGAGATGAAAGACGAGCCTGTATTCAAGCCACTGCAAGGAAATCCGGCCTCCTTTCAAGTTAGGGCTTCTCGCTGTATATTCCCCTTGAGGCAGCAAACTCGGGGTCCCTCCCACATACCTATTGCTGAGAGAAGCCTCCTCCTGAGGTGCTTCTGGGAAGTTGGCATACGTCTTGAGCCTAAGCCAGGGAATCAGCTCGCATCTCGAGACGACTTGGGGTACACGGAGCATTCCTCGAGTTGCTGTGCTGAAGTTGGTGTTCCTCTAGACTTGGGACAGTGTTCTCGGGGCATCTCTGGAGTTGCCTGAAGGAAGTCGAGCCACCGGTCGTGTTGAATGGGGAACGGGGAATGGCTCTGGAGTCAATGCAGGGGAATCGGGCCTCATCTCGAGTTGATTTGGGGCACATGGAGCTGCTTTGCGTTGCTGGGGTGACCTCAGTGTCCGTCTAGACTGGTGACAGTGTTCTTGGGGACTGTCTCGAGATCCATTAAGCAAGTCGAAGCTCCTGACTTGTTTGAATGGGGTCACGGAATAGCTCTGCATGCACTGCAGGGGAATGGGGCCTCATCTCGCCTCTAGGGGGAAGTCTCATGGTTTTTCTCGAGTTGCGGCGGGGACCTGGGGTATGTTCTCGACTTACGGCGGGGATGGCCCTTCAAAACACGAGTTTCTTCAGTGACGTCAGGACTCCTGTCTAGTAACGAGGGACACCTCAGGAATCTCTTCGAGGCTTGGCAGGGCCAAAGGGACGCTTCTCGAGGTGAGGCAGGGCACCCAAGAACCCTTTCCAGTAGCCACAGGGATTTTGGGATTCCTATCAGTATTCAAGAGGAGTCAGGCATCGTCACCTTTTGAAGCAATGAACTCCGCGTGCCTCTCGAGGTGTCAGCGGGATGTGAGGCATTCCGTCAAAATGAGGCAGGGACCTAGGGCTTTCTCTAAGGTCTCCACAGGGGATTCAGACATCCCTTCATGTTGTGAGATGAAAGACGAGCCTGTATTCAAGCCACTGCAAGGATATCCGGCCTCCTTTCAAGTTAGGGCTTCTCGCTGCATATTCCCCTTGAGGCAGCAAACTCGGGGTCCCTCCCACATACCTATTGCTGAGAGAAGCCTCCTCCTGAGGTGCTTCTGGGAAGTTGGCATACGTCTTGAGCCTAAGCCAGGGAATCAGCTCGCATCTCGAGACGACTTGGGGTACACGGAGCATTCCTCGAGTTGCTGTGCTGAAGTTGGTGTTCCTCTAGACTTGGGACAGTGTTCTCGGGGCATCTCTGGAGTTGCCTGAAGGAAGTCGAGCCACCGGTCGTGTTGAATGGGGAACGGGGAATGGCTCTGGAGTCAATGCAGGGGAATCGGGCCTCATCTCGAGCTGATTTGGGGCACATGGAGCTGCTTTGCGTTGCCGGGGTGACCTCAGGGTCCGTCTAGACTGGTGACAGTGTTCTTGGGGACTGTCTCGAGATCCATTAAGCAAGTCGAAGCTCCTGACTTGTTTGAATGGGGTCACGGAATAGCTCTGCATGCACTGCAGGGGAATGGGGCCTCATCTCGCCTCTAGGGGGAAGTCTCATGGTTTTTCTCGAGTTGCGGCGGGGACCTGGGGTATGTTCTCGACTTACGGCGGGGATGGCCCTTCAAAACACGAGTTTCTTCAGTGACGTCAGGACTCCTGTCTAGTAACGAGGGACACCTCAGGAATCTCTTCGAGGCTTGGCAGGGCAAAAGGGACGCTTCTCGAGGTGAGGCAGGGCACCCAGGGACCCTTTCCAGTAGCCACAGGGATTTTGGGATTCCTATCAGTATTCAAGAGGAGTCAGGCATCGTCACCTTTTGAAGCAATGAACTCCGCGTGCCTCTCGAGGTGTCAGCGGGATGTGAGGCATTCCGTCAAAATGAGGCAGGGACCTAGGGCTTTCTCTAAGGTCTCCACAGGGGATTCAGACATCCCTTCATGTTGTGAGATGAAAGACGAGCCTGTATTCAAGCCACTGCAAGGAAATCCGGCTTCCTTTCAAGTTAGGGCTTCTCGCTGTATATTCCCCTTGAGGCAGCAAACTCGGGGTCCCTCCCACATACCTATTGCTGAGAGAAGCCTCCTCCTGAGGTGCTTCTGGGAAGTTGGCATACGTCTTGAGCCTAAGCCAGGGAATCAGCTCGCATCTCGAGACGACTTGGGGTACACGGAGCATTCCTCGAGTTGCTGTGCTGAAGTTGGTGTTCCTCTAGACTTGGGACAGTGTTCTCGGGGCATCTCTGGAGTTGCCTGAAGGAAGTCGAGCCACCGGTCGTGTTGAATGGGGAACGGGGAATGGCTCTGGAGTCAATGCAGGGGAATCGGGCCTCATCTCGAGTTGATTTGGGGCACATGGAGCTGCTTTGCGTTGCTGGGGTGACCTCAGGGTCCGTCTAGACTGGTGACAGTGTTCTTGGGGACTGTCTCGAGATCCATTAAGCAAGTCGAAGCTCCTGACTTGTTTGAATGGGGTCACGGAATAGCTCTGCATGCACTGCAGGGGAATGGGGCCTCATCTCGCCTCTAGGGGGAAGTCTCATGGTTTTTCTCGAGTTGCGGCGGGGACCTGGGGTATGTTCTCGACTTACGGCGGGGATGGCCCTTCAAAACACGAGTTTCTTCAGTGACGTCAGGACTCCTGTCTAGTAACGAGGGACACCTCAGGAATCTCTTCGAGGCTTGGCAGGGCAAAAGGGACGCTTCTCGAGGTGAGGCAGGGCACCCAAGGACCCTTTCCAGTAGCCACAGGGATTTTGGGATTCCTATCAGTATTCAAGAGGAGTCAGGCATCGTCACCTTTTGAAGCAATGAACTCCGCGTTCCTCTCGAGGTGTCAGCGGGATGTGAGGCATTCCGTCAAAATGAGGCAGGGACCTAGGGCTTTCTCTAAGGTCTCCACAGGGGATTCAGACATCCCTTCATGTTGTGAGATGAAAGACGAGCCTGTATTCAAGCCACTGCAAGGAAATCCGGCCTCCTTTCAAGTTAGGGCTTCTCGCTGTATATTCCCCTTGAGGCAGCAAACTCGGGGTCCCTCCCACATACCTATTGCTGAGAGAAGCCTCCTCCTGAGGTGCTTCTGGGAAGTTGGCATACGTCTTGAGCCTAAGCCAGGGAATCAGCTCGCATCTCGAGACGACTTGGGGTACACGGAGCATTCCTCGAGTTGCTGTGCTGAAGTTGGTGTTCCTCTAGACTTGGGACAGTGTTCTCGGGGCATCTCTGGAGTTCCCTGAAGGAAGTCGAGCCAACGGTCGTGTTGAATGGGGAACGGGGAATGGCTCTGGAGTCAATGCAGGGGAATCGGGCCTCATCTCGAGTTGATTTGGGGCACATGGCGCTGCTTTGCGTTGCTGGGGTGACCTCAGGGTCCGTCTAGACTGGTGACAGTGTTCTTGGGGACTGTCTCGAGATCCATTAAGCAAGTCGAAGCTCCTGACTTGTTTGAATGGGGTCACGGAATAGCTCTGCATGCACTGCAGGGGAATGGGGCCTCATCTCGCCTCTAGGGGGAAGTCTCATGGTTTTTCTCGAGTTGCGGCGGGGACCTGGGGTATGTTCTCGACTTACGGCGGGGATGGCCCTTCAAAACACGAGTTTCTTCAGTGACGTCAGGACTCCTGTCTAGTAACGAGGGACACTTCAGGAATCTCTTCGAGGCTTGGCAGGGCAAAAGGGACGCTTCTCGAGGTGAGGCAGGGCACCCAAGAACCCTTTCCAGTAGCCACAGGGAATTTGGGATTCCTATCAGTATTCAAGAGGAGTCAGGCATCGTCACCTTTTGAAGCAATGAACTCCGCGTGCCTCTCGAGGTGTCAGCGGGATGTGAGGCATTCCGTCAAAATGAGGCAGGTACCTAGGGCTTTCTCTAAGGTCTCCACAGGGGATTCAGACATCCCTTCATGTTGTGAGATGAAAGACGAGCCTGTATTCAAGCCACTGCAAGGAAATCCGGCCTCCTTTCAAGTTAGGGCTTCTCGCTGTATATTCCCCTTGAGGCAGCAAACTCGGGGTCCTTCCCACATACCTATTGCTGAGAGAAGCCTCCTCCTGAGGTGCTTCTGGGAAGTTGGCATACGTCTTGAGCCTAAGCCAGGGAATCAGCTCGCATCTCGAGACGACTTGGGGTACACGGAGCATTCCTCGAGTTGCTGTGCTGAAGTTGGTGTTTCTCTAGACTTGGGACAGTGTTCTCGGGGCATCTCTGGAGTTGCCTGAAGGAAGTCGAGCCACCTGTCGTGTTGAATGGGGAACGGGGAATGGCTCTGGAGTAAATGCAGGGAAATCGGGCCTCATCTCGAGCTGATTTGGGGCACATGGAGCTGCTTTGCATTGCCGGGGTGACCTCAGGGTCCGTCTAGACTGGTGACAGTGTTCTTGGGGACTGTCTCGAGATCCATTAAGCAAGTCGAAGCTCCTGACTTGTTTGAATGGGGTCACGGAATAGCTCTGCATGCACTGCAGGGGAATGGGGCCTCATCTCGCTCTAGGGGGAAGTCTCATGGTTTTTCTCGAGTTGCGGCGGGGACCTGGGGTATGTTCTCGACTTACGGCGGGGATGGCCCTTCAAAACACGAGTTTCTTCAGTGACGTCAGGACTCCTGTGTAGTAACGAGGGACACCTCAGGAATCTCTTCGAGGCTTGGCAGGGCAAAAGGGACGCTTCTCGAGGTGAGGCAGGGCACCCAAGGACCCTTTCCAGTAGCCACAGGGATTTTGGGATTCCTATCAGTATTCAAGAGGAGTCAGGCATCGTCACCTTTTGAAGCAATGAACTCCGCGTGCCTCTCGAGGTGTCAGCGGGATGTGAGGCATTCCGTCAAAATGAGGCAGGGACCTAGGGCTTTCTCTAAGGTCTCCACAGGGGATTCAGATATCCCTTCATGTTGTGAGATGAAAGACGAGCCTGTATTCAAGCCACTGCAAGGAAATCCGGCTTCCTTTCAAGTTAGGGCTTCTCGATGTATATTCCCCTTGAGACAGCAAACTCGGGGTCCCTCCCACATACCTATTGCTGAGAGCAGCTTCCTCCTGAGGTGCTTCTGGGAAGTTGGCATACGTCTTGAGCCTAAGCCAGGGAATCAGCTCGCATCTCGAGACGACTTGGGGTACACGGAGCATTCCTCGAGTTGCTGTGCTGAAGTTGGTGTTCCTCTAGACTTGGGACAGTGTTCTCGGGGCATCTCTGGAGTTGCCTGAAGGAAGTCGAGCCACCGGTCGTGTTGAATGGGGAACGGGGAATGGCTCTGGAGTCAATGCAGGGGAATCGGGCCTCATCTCGATTTGATTTGGGGCACATGGAGCTGCTTTGCGTTGCTGCGGTGACCTCAGGGTCCGTCTAGACTGGTGACAGTGTTCTTGGGGACTGTCTCGAGATCCATTAAGCAAGTCGAAGCTCCTCACTTGTTTGAATGGGGTCACGGAATAGCTCTGCATGCACTGCAGGGGAATGGGGCCTCATCTCGCCTCTAGGGGGAAGTCTCATGGTTTTTCTCGAGTTGCGGCGGGGACCTGGGGTATGTTCTCGACTTACGGCGGGGATGGCCCTTCAAAACACGAGTTTCTTCAGTGACGTCAGGACTCCTGTCTAGTAACGAGGGACACCTCAGGAATCTCTTCGAGGCTTGGCAGGGCAAAAGGGACGCTTCTCGAGGTGAGGCAGGGCACCCAAGAACCCTTTCCAGTAGCCACAGGGATTTTGGGATTCCTATCAGTATTCAAGAGGAGTCAGGCATCGTCACCTTTTGAAGCAATGAACTCCGCGTGCCTCTCGAGGTGTCAGCGGGATGTGAGGCATTCCGTCAAAATGAGGCAGGGACCTAGGGCTTTCTCTAAGGTCTCCACAGGGGATTCAGACATCCCTTCATGTTGTGAGATGAAAGACGAGCCTGTATTCAAGCCACTGCAAGGAAATCCGGCCTCCTTTCAAGTTAGGGCTTCTCGCTGTATATTCCCCTTGAGGCAGCAAACTCGGGGTCCCTCCCACATACCTATTGCTGAGAGAAGCCTCCTCCTGAGGTGCTTCTGGGAAGTTGGCATACGTCTTGAGCCTAAGCCAGGGAATCAGCTCGCATCTCGAGACGACTTGGGGTACACGGAGCATTCCTCGAGTTGCTGTGCTGAAGTTGGTGTTCCTCTAGACTTGGGACAGTGTTCTCGGGGCATCTCTGGAGTTGCCTGAAGGAAGTCGAGCCACCGGTCGTGTTGAATGGGGAACGGGGAATGGCTCTGGAGTCAATGCAGGGGAATCGGGCCTCATCTCGAGTTGATTTGGGGCACATGGAGCTGCTTTGCGTTGCTGGGGTGACCTCAGGGTCCGTCTAGACTGGTGACAGTGTTCTTGGGGACTGTCTCGAGATCCATTAAGCAAGTCGAAGCTCCTGACTTGTTTGAATGGGGTCACGGAATAGCTCTGCATGCACTGCAGGGGAATGGGGCCTCATCTCGCCTCTAGGGGGAAGTCTCATGGTTTTTCTCGAGTTGCGGCGGGGACCTGGGGTATGTTCTCGACTTACGGCGGGGATGGCCCTTCAAAACACGAGTTTCTTCAGTGACGTCAGGACTCCTGTCTAGTAACGAGGGACACCTCAGGAATCTCTTCGAGGCTTGGCAGGGCAAAAGGGACGCTTCTCGAGGTGAGGCAGGGCACCCAAGAACCCTTTCCAGTAGCCACAGGGATTTTGGGATTCCTATCAGTATTCAAGAGGAGTCAGGCATCGTCACCTTTTGAAGCAATGAACTCCGCGTTCCTCTCGAGGTGTCAGCGGGATGTGAGGCATTCCGTCAAAATGAGGCAGGGACCTAGGGCTTTCTCTAAGGTCTCCACAGGGGATTCAGACATCCCTTCATGTTGTGAGATGAAAGACGAGCCTGTATTCAAGCCACTGCAAGGAAATCCGGCCTCCTTTCAAGTTAGGGCTTCTCGCTGTATATTCCCCTTGAGGCAGCAAACTCGGGGTCCCTCCCACATACCTATTGCTGAGAGAAGCCTCCTCCTGAGGTGCTTCTGGGAAGTTGGCATACGTCTTGAGCCTAAGCCAGGGAATCAGCTCGCATCTCGAGACGACTTGGGGTACACGGAGCATTCCTCGAGTTGCTGTGCTGAAGTTGGTGTTCCTCTAGACTTGGGACAGTGTTCTCGGGGCATCTCTGGAGTTGCCTGAAGGAAGTCGAGCCACCGGTCGTGTTGAATGGGGAACGGGGAATGGCTCTGGAGTCAATGCAGGGGAATCGGGCCTCATCTCGAGCTGATTTGGGGCACATGGAGCTGCTTTGCGTTGCCGGGGTGACCTCAGGGTCCGTCTAGACTGGTGACAGTGTTCTTGGGGACTGTCTCGAGATCCATTAAGCAAGTCGAAGCTCCTGACTTGTTTGAATGGGGTCACGGAATAGCTCTGCATGCACTGCAGGGGAATGGGGCCTCATATCGCCTCTAGGGGGAAGTCTCATGGTTTTTCTCGAGTTGCGGCGGGGACCTGGGGTATGTTCTCGACTTACGGCGGGGATGGCCCTTCAAAACACGAGTTTCTTCAGTGACGTCAGGACTCCTGTCTAGTAACGAGGGACACCTCAGGAATCTCTTCGAGGCTTGGCAGTGCCAAAGGGACGCTTCTCGAGGTGAGGCAGGGCACCCAAGGACCCTTTCCAGTAGCCACAGGGATTTTGGGATTCCTATCAGTATTCAAGAGGAGTCAAGCATCGTCACCTTTTGAAGCAATGAACTCCGCGTGCCTCTCGAGGTGTCAGCGGGATGTGAGGCATTCCGTCAAAATGAGGCAGGGACCTAGGGCTTTCTCTAAGGTCTCCACAGGGGATTCAGACATCCCTTCATGTTGTGAGATGAAAGACGAGC